TGTCACTCATGATTTTGGTGCGCGTATACATATTGAGAAATTCAGCCAACATTACAAGTTGGAATATACTCCTGAACTGTTTAGCGGTTTACGTATAAAATTGCCTGGGTGTACTGCTGTGCTCTTTCCATCGGGAAAGTGCAACTTTTTGGGATTGAAAGAAATGCATGACATACAAATATCTGTAGCCTTTGTCGGTCGAATGATTGCAAGGCAATAAATTTATTCAGTTGTGTATCCGTATGGAACAGTATTCCAGTCTTGCGTAATGCGCCGCTTATCATACGTCACTTGCAAACGCTTAGTAATATCGCTATTGGACAGAACAAGTTTTGACTTGACACGCTTAATAACGTCATCGTAATGCACATCAATACAACCAGAAGTGTGTAGAATATTCATCATGGACTCCATGTTAATTTTCTCTTTAATCCGATTATTAATGGTGAATCCCTTGATTTTCACTACTGAATTTCCATCGTTGGTTGTGTAAGCATAAGTTTTGGCGCCCAAGCTGACAAACTGCGTAATATGTTGTCCAGGTTTCAGTTCATTGGTTAAATCGCTCAGAAAACGGCCAGTAGGAGGGTCAGGCCATCCCGGTTTTGACACAAAGAAAATAGAATCTACAAAATAAATAACTCCAACAACCTGCCTTTTAAAATGCAGTTCTGTAAAATACCTGTATCAAAATACAAGAGGCGTTCTTTAACCATATCCATAAACTGGTATAGATGCAGTCGTGCCCAGCAGGTGGTGAACCTAATGTAAAAATTGCGTTAAATTCTGCATGCAGAATAAAGCTTTTACAAAACTTACGCGGCCAAAACGACATTGGTGTTCGGATTCTGCTCGATGAAACCATCTTCTTTGGTGTACGTAATTTGCACAACATTGTCATCAAAGAGATCCCACGAGTGCACATGGTGCTTGCCCGACAATAACATTTCATAAAATGTTTTGGGGTCATGGATATACATGGTATTCAGTTTGTTATCCTGCATTCCTAGTCGGCCCCAAAAACTGTTTAGGCATAAACTTGGCTAAAGCACGTAGGCCGGGATTTTCTTTGATTTTACTGTAATCTAACTTGACTCCTTCTCGTTCTTCAAAATCAGAAATGTAATTTCGCTTTTCAGTTTCTGTAGTGATACCCGCTGGCCATCCGCTGGCTTCAGTTTTGATCTTCAAAAAGCGGTCAATGTACTCTTTGAAAAGATGATCATCGAATGTTTCGTAATGCCACACTTCGTATATCCTGCTGACAATGTATCCCCGAGCCATAGCAGCATGTAACTCTGGCGTACACCACGTTCCTGTTATTTCCCTTTCCGAATCCGAGTGGTCACATTTCTTCGTGTTCTGTTCTTTAACACATGTTGCACATAACGGAAAGGTCAGCTTGCCGTTACAACGGTATGGTAAAATGGGTAACCACAAATCTCCCGGTGGTAGTACTGTGCAATAGACCAAACCGAAATATTCACGAATGTCTTGAAAGTTGTTAGTTAAAATAACAGGATGTCCAAGCGGATACCGGCGGTTTTTGTTGACAAAAGGATATTCACTGTTGACATCGAAATACTTGATCTTTTCATCGGATGTTATCGTATGCAACAGCCGCACGGCATTTGTTCGCCCACCATAAAATGCGCTCCGAGGATTCAGCGGTTCAGCCATCTTTATGTTACTGATGAACTTGCGCATTTCCGAATCGATGCGAACGTTAGCGTCATAATCATGTTCCCAAACAGTGGTTACCGGGTGACCCAGAGAGCGCAGGTACTGTTCGCGGTCCATCGTCTCTTTGTAAATATCACGCATTGGAAGGTTTCGAAACGGATGCAAAGTTTCAGGGTCCATACAGGTTGGGCAGCCATGATACCAACAGCCATAAAATTCATAGATGTGACCAGTATCTTCTTGGTATCCATCCACGTAGTAAGGACCGACTTTCTGCTCCTTACCAGAAACTACAGACTGGATGGCACAATTTTCTTCATTTTCCATCCACGAAATCCATTTCATGGCCTTCACGGACTGTAAGCGATTGCGAGCAAACCGCTGTTGCGGCACCAGTCCAATTTGATTTGGTTTCAGAATGAAGGAGCGCCAATACAAATTGCATAATCCAGCGATAGTCAGAGCCGACGTAAACGGTCACAGACCATTGCTAATTTCCATAAACAAAGCACGAAACTGTTGGCAACAGGTGCGCAGGACGGTAACGTCATTTTCGCAGTAAGTAACAAATTCTTTGCGAAAATCAAAAAGTCCGTTTTTGGCGCAGATATCTGCATCGTACCATTCTTTGAAAGAAGTTTGTGTCTTCTTGTCCATTGTCCGGAAGCCGTATTCATCCATGCTAGGATACGGCACAACATGGTCCCAATTTTCAGGACGATTAAATTTATGTGGAAAGGCCCCTTTGCTGATGTCCGGTAATCCAAATGTCGCTGGCCATTTGGCTAGGCTTTGTGGGTTGTAATTAATGCTGTCGCGAAAGTGAATATCATAACCCGGCACATCCAGTTGCAAAATCTTTCCACCATTTATGATCACTTTGGGTGTCACACCGTTTTTTAAAAGCCATTGTAGAACAAAATATCCATCAAACGCTTTGAAATTATGCGCGCTGATATAATACCCTCTGTGGTTTTCGCTGATCAAAAATTCGCACAGTTTGTCGGTTATGCACTTCCCTAATGGTTCGTCAGTAGGAGGAAAAGTCCATTGAGTTCCCGCGTCATCTTGCACGACGGCTAAATTTGGAACCAACTGACCATTATCCTGGACGTATGTCTCGAAATCAAAATAAAGAAACTGGGCATTTTCATTCCTTTGTCGCTCTTCGGGGGTTACCTTGTGCGGTTTCATAAAACACTGGTGCGTTTCCGGCAGGACATGGACATTGCAATTTTTGCAGTACATTTCTCCGCATTGGTGGTCATTTGATCCTTTTCGGTTGCGAAGCGAGACTATACAGCGGCATTCCCGGCAAACTTTGATTGTGCTGCACAATGTTTTTCCACGACTCTTTTTAGGTACTGCTTTGTGGCGATCAAAACATCCTTGCCCAAAAAATATCCGATTGCAATCATTGCAGTGTAGAGGATTTGTTGTATCCCGTTCGCAATTCGTTCATAGACATTGATGGCAGATGTTGCTGCAGCGATGAGTCCGCCGATCAGAATAACCTTTACCGCAGTGATAGCACCAATATGATCTTTTAAAAAAAGCTGCGAGCGATAACAGTAAATCATAATGGTGACCATAAAGAAGCAGTATGATGTGACGTTCCTGGAATTTTCCGCTGTATACAATGCTGCTCCCTTGGTCTAAACTGACGACGATGATTTGATACCCAGGCAAAACAGCTTCAAATAGGGGGATATCTATGAGGTTATACGCTTTCTCGGTCAGCTTGGCTCGTCTTATTAATTTTTTAGCTTCGTTCGTTAGCAGTTTTTTACCCTCACGAAGTCGGCGAATCAGTTTCTTATCCTTGTCAGCATACGCTTTGCCAAACACTAAGGCTCTGGCCATGCAGATATTATCAGTATTTTTTATCTGCACTATAGACTTCATCTTTTTAAGTTTCTGGTATAACAGTCGCGGAACTAACCGCCGACACCCCCCAATTGGCAATTGCGTGTATTGCACAGATATTTCAAAAGTTTCGTCGAGTATAAAGTCCTCGTTTGAATGCAGCACCTTTTCAACTTCATCCATCCATCGCTTTACATCAAGTTGTGAACGCTGAATTGGTGGTGTCCAAATGGGGTGGTCCAATGCATGGGAATCAATACGCAACCGAACAAGCTCGCTATCCCCAATATCTCGTAAAACAGACTGAAGGATGTGCTCCAAAATAAAGGTTAGCACGACTGGAATTTCCACAAAAGGGACATGATCAAGCTGGGAAACCTACAACGGTTCCACAAGTGATATGAGAAATCTGGCTACAATAATCGCATTATTATTAATCAAATATGTCAACAGGGTCTTAAAAATAATTGTTTGATTTAAAAGATTTTATAATTATTTTGAGTCATTGTTATTAAATACAAGTTACCCAGCCTGAATATATATTGAGCTACCTACAATCTTCACAACAAAGTCGCCGCCTAAAGACTGTGCGATATGAATCTAAAGTTTTTGTTATGGAACTTGGTTAAAGTATTTGTGCAACTTTTATAATATTGATGACAAAACCAGTAATACTAATAATGATAAAATAATAATCATATGGTTTTTTTAGAAAGACTTACTTTCACGCTAAAACACTTGAAATGGAGCTTGTATTTCCGGGAAAACTTTTCGCCGTTGTTTTCGATTGTGACGTGTTCATCGATGTCGAAAGGGTGGTTTTGTGTTTCAATGTCTGGGTCCGCCGGTTTCTGCCCCCCTGTTTGCTCGGTGCTGCAATCGTTGTAGTCCAATGCGTGTGAGGTGTTACCACCCAATAAATTAACCGCAGACAATGCATCATCACACACCCAGTCATCCAAACTTGCTAAAAGTGCACAATCATCTAGGTCTTGTTGGGATAACTGGTCCATTTTGATAGTAAAAGCATCAGGAAGAAGTGCAACCCCGCACGTTAAACATTACTTTTTGAAATAACGCTGTATAGAAAGACTCCCACAGCGCTCGATAAAAGTAAGACAGACTCACAGCGAACTAGGCTTTCATAATCAAAAAGGTTATTGCACGGTTGTAAGTATAACCGGTACTTGGCACCAGGTACGGTACATGGTACCAGGTACGCGTTACCATGGAAACAGTACCTGCACCATGTACCACAGTACATAGCACTTTCAGTCGGAGCATACCTTGTTGTGCAATCAGTATACAAATGAAGCTTACAAAATTATTTCGTGCGTGAAAATACATATGCATCCGCGCGCATTTACTTGTGCGCATGTGTGCAATTGCAAATGCACTTATACATATGCGCATGTGTGCAAATGCTCATACACACTTGCGCATCCGTGCAAATGCAAATGCACATGCGCAAAGTACGTGTAGGATGGACATACGTACTACTGTTAACAGCCAAAGGAATTCGCCTGTCCAAAATCATCGTAAGGAACGGGTATGATGTTCCTGAAGGAGGATGGGAGTCCTTTCTGGCTGTCACTATCAACGACCATGCCATCGATATCGTCGATAACGAAGACATCATGAGCTCGGTGGCCGAAGTGATGGCGGTATGTGACGAGCTGGTGCTTATTAACTACATGGCGTCGCAAGCGATCATTGATACGACATTTATGTTGTTGTTCTCCTGCAACGGATTTATACCCCGTCCCATGCTGAGAGGCATGCGCTCCGGTCTTACTTTTCTTGATTTGGGTGTGACTATTCCCTTTCTCCGCTTTCGCCATGAGGAGACAGCTGCTGAACAGCGTCGGCGCTTTCTGGTCGCGGCCAATGACTGCTGTATGACCGTTAGTCAGGATGTTCTACAAAAGGTCACAGAATTGTGTGCTCGATGGGTGACGAAGCTGGCCTATCCCGAAGATTGGATTGGCATTCGCAAGTTACTTAAGCTGTGAGCGTTTAAAACTCAAAACTACAACATAGTATTAAGAAGTGAAGTTTACAATACGTTATAATTTCTTGTATTTTGTGAAAATTCGGGAAAAACCCGAACGGTGGGCAGAGCGCAGATATTTTTGTTTAATCAGGTTCAGCAGCTTCGGTCCAAATGATAATCCACAACGATGGGACACGACGGATTTGCGCCAGGTGAACGCTGACAATTTCAGCAGTTTGACCTTCACAGCTCTGCACGGGGTCTACAGAGACCGACGACGAACAACCTGATGTCAAAGATGACGTAGTTGGATAATGTCAGTATTTGCCACTGGTACTGCAGTTCCTGTTAGTCGTTTTGTGTTAGTATTCATGTTGAAGTGGGAATGTTGCAATAACCGTGTTCTCTACTAACAAGTCATGTAATAGCGTAACGTCAGTTTTTACGGACGCTGGTCGAAGTTTGGGCCAAGTTTGGGCCTTACATTTTGCAGTTCATGTGCTAAACCTTGTTAATACAAAATTTTGACCTTAGTTGACTTGAGCGTACTGACAAAGTGGATTAGAGTACGCGACTAGATTGTGCGGTGTATTTAACGGATTTCAGCCGAAGGTGTTTCCGGTGCTGTTTTCGATTACGATAAAGGCGCGCGTTGCTAACTGGATTCATTGGCCAAAATCGCGCAGTAGTATCTGGGCATTCAAGTTTTAAAAAAATAAGAATAATTTAATGGATGCATCCAGTCATTGCTTCAAACAGTACAGATGGTCTAATGCTTCTACCGTACGACTATTAGCCAATGTCTTGATCAATAAGCACTTTAGCAGCGTCCTCATTCAACGACCCGGCAGAAAAATCCTATCGGAAATGAGGACAATATGCAAAAGCGTAAAAAGCATAGGTAGTAGGTTGGCTAAGGGTCATAGTTTTTGTGACCAGACGAAAGGTTCCGTTACGGCCCGGTAATTTGCAACTGTGCAACGGAGAGACACACACAGCAATGAGAGACCACTGCATATATTTAATTTTTTCCGCATATAAATCCTTCGTCCCGCGCACTTATTGTTTCGCAGTTGAGTGCATCCAACTTCGAATACTGTAATTATGCAATATACAATGTGCATGCGAGTATGATAGAAGTGAGCATTCTCGCTACTCGTTCGCGAAAAAAGATTGCCACAGTGAGATCTTTGAATCATCTTCTGTGTTAACAGAAGACACAACTGCCGCAGGAGATTCTTATAGTTTCACAAGTGTTTAGGCCGTATCACAGTGCATATGTACCGGCTTGCTTTTTTCTTCAGTAAGAGCAGCATTCTGTTGTATACCGCATGGCATCGTGACCTAAATGCAGGGCCGGTGGATGGAAAATGTTTTCACGCAGTATATTCGATGTCTCGGTACGAGAAGTGGTAGATTTCTCTTAAATTTTTCCTCTGTGCTCTAGATTTCTGTGATAGTCCTAGGCTTACTGGAGAATTCATGGCGTGAATTGCAAACGTCGAAAATTCCGGCCACCATCGACTTCAGCATAATGATGCGGTTTTTCTCCTTCAACACCAAACGATGGATTTTGTTACTAAACGTGCTGGTATTGTTTCTCTTGGGATTGACAGCTTATATGCAGGTTCGCCAAACTTACCATGCAACCGGCAACGAGGCCCTGTACGAAGAACAAAATCGCCCGGAAGGAGTGCACACGAAGGATAATGCGGCATATTACCGTAAAGAAATGGATGGTAAAAATGACGGAAATGCTAAAAAATCTGACAATACCATGGCGGCTAAATCATCGTTGGAAGATACGTGCGCCGCTAGCGAAGGCAATCCGGTGAAGGCCACGTATGAGTCAAGCGAGATGGCGTCTTCATTAAAATTTGGTGACCTCACTTGGCACGGAGATAAAGGAATATGGGACGAAGAAATCCAGAAACGCTTTTACGAGGTGGTTTCCATATAAAAACATTTCGACTTCGGAGTAAACGGTAACAATTCGGCACCTGGTCTTATTTTTGTTGCAGAATTATCTTAACACGGAAGCCGAGCAGAATCGGTCGCTTAAAGTGTTCCTTGTACCGTTTTCACATGCGGATCCCGGATGGTGAGTACGGTATTTAACCGCTTTCGTACGTAAAGTATCAAAGGTTATCGAATTATCAAAGGTTGTGGCAGGTTGCAGACTGTAGATGGATATATGGAAGGTTCCACGAAACACACATTAAACTTAATGGTCGAACATCTGACACTGTGGAAAGATAGGACATTCATCTGGGCGGAAATCAGTTTTTTCGAAATGTGGTGGAATACGATTAACGAAACAATCAAGGAGCAAGTGCGCACGTTGGTCGAAGAGGGTCGACTGGAATTCGTTAACGGTGGCTATGTAATGCCGGATGAGGCAAATTGCCACTACTACGCTATTATCCACCAATACGTTTACGGTATGGTGAATGCTGCGAATGTTGATCATATTGACCTTGTGCCATAATATGATTATGTACAGAGTCATTGTGGTTCTTTAACTTGCGCCAGTAGTAAACTGCGCATTAACCCTACTGTACAAATCTGATTTGACACACCCTTTCGATAGGTCATCAGTGGCTGCATCAAACTTTTAACATCACCGTCAAACACGGATTCAGCATCGACCCTTTTGGCTATTCTTCGACAATGCCATATATTCTGAAGAACATGGGTTTCGACAGCATGTACATTCAGCGCATCCACTACGTCATCCGGAAACGTCTGGTTCACAGCGGTGTGTCACAGTTCTTGTGGCAGCAGCCGTGGGATAAATCCAGTACGGACTCCATGTTCTGTTACATAAACCACGGCACCGTGTATACCCTCAAATACACATGCGGTGTGGAACCCCACGTGTGCAAAGAATTCGATTACGAAACTCCAAGGGTACGTATCACTTGAAATATAGAATTTAATACTATCAAACTTAGCATTAAGCTAACTACTTATAATATGTAATAAAAAGGCTTGTAAAGGTTATGCTGCGCTTCTGTTGTTGCGCATGATCATTTGGCATTATTTCGAAGCAACTAGACGAACGACTGGTCCCCACAGTCAGCCGGCAGCTGATGGATCAATTCCGCAAACTAGCCTATCTACATCCGCACAATATCCTCTTAATTCCGATGGGTGATGATTTCCGGTGGGGGAACAAACTGGAATGGGACGCTAAATACGGGAATTTCAAAAAGATTGCTGACTATTTGAACAGTGATCCGAAATATCGGGTGCACATTCAATTCGGCACATTCAAAAACTATTACGATGCGGTATTTAAAGCCATGGGCAAACCGGGGAAAGAGTGGAAGACACCGGTATTAAAAGGCGATTTCTTCCCGTACGCCGATCGGTACATGGAATACTGGACCGGCTATTTCACGTCACATCCGTATCAGAAATCGCTGAGTCGGATGCTGGAGCAGCAACTACGAACGGCGGAGATTTTATACAGTATTGCCTTGTTGCGCAACGAGAGGCTTGATGATGCAAAGCTCACTGAAGGCCTCCAGAAGGCTGCACGGAATCTTGGATTATATCAACATCACGATGCGATAACCGGTACTTAGGATCTCAACCTTTCACCCTTTCCTATGGATTTCAGCGATTCTGCTAATTGCAGCATTGGTTGAATGATTTAGGTACTTCAAAACAAGCGGTTTCCGATGATTATGAGCTGCGCTTGTTGGACGGTTTGAACATGACTGACAAAGCCATTACACACATAGCGGCCGCTCTCTTCTATCCAGAAAGCACCGCACCGAAGTTGTTTGAATCACATTCCACAATAAAAAAATCTGGTGACCTTCCTTCACAGCGGATTATTAAATTAAACGAGGAGGGAGCAGCGAAATATGTCGTTATTTTCAGTTCATTAGCCTCCGCTCGCCATGTGACAGCTGATCTGTATGTTGATACCGAAGATGTTGTCATTGAGGACGAACAGGGCCACGCCATTCAGTACCAAGTTAGCCCCATGCTCGATCCGCAAAGCAACAGCGGTAAAATCTTGGATAACGGATTCCGGCTGACCTTCGTGACGGAATTCAAAACCATCGGATTTCAAACCTTTACCATAAGGGCGGCAAACGAAAGTACGCCACCAAGCCAGCATGCGACACGTATAACCGAAAAGGTCACCGATTTTTCAAAGGATATCATTCTGTCAAATACACTGGTTTCCGCGGAATTTTCTCCTGTGAGCGGTCTGTTGAAAGCAATAACTGACCTTTCTACCGGTATACGACGCCATATACGGATAGAGTTTAAACGTTATGAAACCACTCAGAGTGGCGCGTACATTTTCTGGCCGAACGCCATAGCTGACCTTTTACCAGATTCACATACCGTACGAATACTGGAAGGGGACATTTATTCGGAAATACATGTCATGTTGCCGGGCATTTTGTATCAGACAGTGCGTTTGTTTCATGTTAACGGTGATTTGGGAAAATACCTGGATGTGAATATTGTGGATAATTTGGCTTCGCAACGTAATCTGGAAGCTGTATTGCGGTTGACGACAGATCTGCGTAATGACCTTACATTTTTCGCGGATTCCAATGGATTCCAGATGGTTAAGAGAAGAGCCTCTCATGATTTGCCAACACAAGCAAATTATTATCCAGCAACTAGCATGGCTTTTATGCACGATAAAAAGAGCCGGTTGACGATCCATTTGGCGCGGGCACATGGTGTTGGCAGTCAAGATGTCGGTCAAATGGAAGTCATGTTCGATCGGATTCTAAGTAGGTTTGAATTGCACACAAGAGGTGCTAACAAATTTATAAACGCGGAAATTCTTTGCCTTATTACATACAAGAAACAGCCTCGGCTTCGCCTCCGCGTTTCTTGTGGTCCCCAGTCTACGGCCGGTTTATTCAAATGATTTCGATCAGCTGTTTAGTTAACATCTTATTCCTTCAGCAAAACAAAACGGTCCGAAATTAGCGCCAAAACGTAGATAGGATAATAAGTGAATTTACGGCTTTTGTGCACTCATTTACATTGACTTGACGCATTCCCATTGACTCAGAAAGGAATCTATGTTAACTTTTCCATCCCGACTCTGAGTCTACGAGGTAGAAATTTTCAACGTAAAGAACGCTTGCAGTAGATGCTAGTGGTAGTTCGGTCACTCGTTCACCTAGCGGGCCGTGTGGCGGGTGCTCTGGACAGCAGCGGTAATTCGGTCACTTGTTCACCTAGCGGGCTGTGTGCTCTGGACAGCAGCGGTGACCGAAGTGTCACTCGTTCACACACAGCCCGCGTGAACGTGTGCTCTGGACAGCAGCGGTAGTTCGGTCACCTAGCGGGCCGTGTGCTCTGGACAGCAGCGGTAGTTCGGTCACTCGTTCACCTAGCGGGCTGTGTGCTCTGGACTGTGCTCAGATGATGGAAACGGTTTTTGCTGATTCTATAGGGGAAAGCTGGGTTCGTGTATCCCTTTTTTGTAATAACAGATCTCGAATGTAGATACCGTATTATATTCCGTATTATACGGAATAATTTACGGACTGTATATGCTGTTTAATTAATTACTGTCCTTAGTTTTGCTCGGACTGCAGTGAAAGGTCAGCCCGTTTGAACGATTGCGATGGTCAGCTTCTTTTACAGCTGCCTTCAAGTGGCTTTTAACGAGCGTTCTTATTCTTAAGTCATGTTTTTGAGCGCTTTAAATTGTTAACGATTTGTTGAAACGAAGCCATCCACTAGCAGCATCGTTTGTGTTACTGCTAATATTACTGGTTTTCTAGTTTTATAGGAGTAAAATTTTAAATATTTTTTATTTGCTGATCTAAAAAGGTACCAGTTTAAATTTACTGATTTTTTCTCCATGCAACCGGACTTTGAAATTATTTTCAAGGTCACCTTGAGCTTTCAGCTCTACCGGCACCGGCACGGGGCACGGGAGCCGGAGCGAATAATTTTTAAAACAAAATGCATGTGACACAGTTTCCAGACATGCGGAATCGAATGGCCGTATCAGTTTTTCGATTAATTTTTTGGTTTGTTCTGACCAGATCGTACGGGGTTTTCCGTTGTAATATAGATCTTTACCTTGATAATACGATGACCTCGGGAACATTGATCAAGAAATTATTGACATTGCGTTACTAGAATTATTGCCGGATTTCTTTGTTAATTTGTTTGCAATGTTTTGCCTTTTTAATTACATATCTTATCTTCATTTCAACAGGTCAGGACGATGGGCGCGGTCTCAATCAAGCGCTGGCCGATCTCCGCTCTGTCTCCACAAATTTCCGTATCCAGTTGGAGACAATCGGATTTTGCCATACATGCACGACATCAGCTGATCCGACAGCCTTGGCCAATCGGCTCAATCTCGATCTGAATAACGCGCCAACTGTCTTAACGGCAAATTTGCGAAATATTTTTGCGAAAGTAAAATAAAACATTCATATTCAGCCATGAAGATTCAGATAACAAGTGGCTGAGTTTACTGGACGGTCTTGGTGGATTTCTGATGATTGAACGTGGAAGCGTCTCCATAAAGGTAAGTTTTCTGTCATGTTAAAACTGATAATCACTGATGCATCTGATATGGTGACAAAAGAAATATAATGTGGTGTAAAATAGCGTCTGAGAAATGTATAATTATTACGCTGTTTACGAAAGGTACTCTAAAAGATAAATTTAATTATGTAAGTGCCGGTAAAGGCGATTGCATGGCGTCTCAGAATTGTTGTTCAACGCACTTTTGTAGCGGAGTTAGAAATGTCATTCTAATTTCTGAATATTTATCCTTTGTACAAATTCTTATTAACATACTCGTAATCTGCAAAAAACGAAAATTTTCCTGGTGCAAGCAAAAACTTAACCGCCGTTAGTTTCTTTCGCTCTAGTTCCACAACGGCAGTTGTGCCAGTATTCCCGATATGGTTAACAAAGTTAAGCGTGCTTCGGGTAGCGTTCTGTATATTCGAGCGCAGCTCAAATATATGACATCATCTTTGACACATTCTTGTGGATCGCCACCGTCTCCGCTGTCACAATCGGCTCCCAGCTTATGAAAAATAGCTCCAAATGAACGTCTTTGTACATATAGCGGTTTCAGCAGCACCAGATGAGTACTGCACGGTAGTGAGCCGGTCAGTTTGGTTAGCCTGGATCCAAGACTGGTTTCGTTTCCTTGGACGTTGGCTGTTAAAACCGTTGGTGGATAATTCAAATCGAGATTCACACGATTCGCCAAAGCTGTTGGGTCAGCTGACGTCGCACAAGCACGACAGTAGCCGTTCGTCTCTAGCTGAATACGCAAATGCGTGTGAACCGAATGATAATCATTTAACGCTTCCTGCAAGCCGCGACCATCGTCCTGAGCTGCAAAAACCAAAATATTGAAAAGAGTTTATAAAGCAAAACCTTAAAGTATATTTTTGAAAATTAAGCTTCTTGCTAAATTGTTCAGGTACGCAAATGGATTTCTCAATTAAATTTTCCCGTATTATTTTAAACATTTCATGTTACGTATCGATGTCACATATACGGATCACAAAAAAAGAAGACGAAATATTTCCAAGATTCTTAACTACTTGTTCACTTACATAAGATACGATCAAACATAACTTCCAGCTGGCCGAGATCGTGACCCCCGACACCGTGCGCTCGCGCCATATGTATTGTCAACCGACTCTTATCATCCTGAATAAAAGCCATACTAGTTGCCGGATAATAATTGGCTTGCGTGGGGAGATCTTGGGAAGCTCTCCGTTTGATCATCTGGAACCCATTGGAGTCCGTAAAGAAAGTCAGATTATTGTGCAGATCCGTGGAGAGCCGTATTTGGGCTTATATATATATATAGAAAAGACTTTGAAATTTGATTATGGTTCTGAACGAAATTAGTTATCGCGTAAATAATTATCGAATTATAATTTTAAAGTGAATTATCGTTGATTTATTATTGACGCATAAATCTTTTCAAGGTACATCAAAACAAGCTGTTTCTGACGACTACGAAGCGCGTTTACTGGACGGTTTGAACAAGACGAGCACAGCCATTGCGTACATGGCTTCAGTTATGCACTGGCCAGAAGATATAGATCACGAATCCTTCGGATTCCATGACATCATCGAAAAAACTCGTCTCCCATCAAAACGCGTCATTCAGCTGAAAGACCACACAAAGCGCAAGTATGTTGCCATTTTTAACTCGATCGCATGCATTCGCCAGATGGCAATAGATCTTTACACTGACACCGAAAACGTCGTCATCGAAGACGTAAACAAGCAAGCCATCCAATACCAAGTAAGCCCTATGCTCGATCCGCAAAGCATCAGTGCCAAATTTTTAAAAGACGGATTCCGCTTGACCTTTACTACAACGTTCGAAACCATTGAGTTCCAGACGTTTACCCTACGAGCGGTCAACGACAGTGCGGTATTGGGAAGGCATGTGACGCGTGTAACCGACAAGGTCACGAATCTTTCAAAAGACATCATTCTGGAAAACGCCCTTATCTCGGCGGAATTTTCGCCTTTGAACGGTTTATTAGAAGCCATAACTGACCGCGCAACCGGAATACGCCGTATAGTGAGAATGGAATTTAAACGCTATGAAACCATGCAGAGTGGTGCGTACATTTCCATGCCGAGTGGAATTGCCGATCTCATACCGTATCCACATACTGTGCGGCTCTTCGAGGGAGACATTTATTCCGAAATCCATGTTATACTGCCGGGTGCATTATGCCAGACTGTCCGCTTGTTTCACAGTGATAAGGATCTCGGTGCATATCTAGACGTGAATATTGTGGATAATCTGAAGGCGCATTATAACTTGGAAGCTGTGATACGGCTCTCCACGGATCTGCACAATAATCTGACTTTCTTTACGGACTCCAATGGGTTCCAGATGATCAAACGGAGAGCTTCCCAAGATCTCCCCACGCAAGCCAATTATTATCCGGCAACTAGTATGGCTTTTATTCAGGATGATAAGAGTCGGTTGACAATACATATGGCGCGAGCGCACGGTGTCGGGAGTCACGATCTCGGCCAGCTGGAAGTTATGTTTGATCGTATCTTATGTAAGTGAACAAGTAGTTAAGAATCTTGGAAATATTTCGTCTTCTTTTTTTGTGATCCGTATATGTGACATCGATACGTAACATGAAATGTTTAAAATAATACGGGAAAATTTAATTGAGAAATCCATTTGCGTACCTGAACAATTTAGCAAGAAGCTTAATTTTCAAAAATATACTTTAAGGTTTTGCTTTATAAACTCTTTTCAATATTTTGGTTTTTTGCAGCTCAGGACGATGGTCGCGGCTTGCAGGAAGCGTTAAATGATTATCATTCGGTTCACACGCATTTGCGTATTCAGCTAGAGACGAACGGCTACTGTCGTGCTTGTGCGACGTCAGCTGACCCAACAGCTTTGGCGAATCGTGTGAATCTCGATTTGAATTATCCACCAACGGTTTTAACAGCCAACGTCCAAGGAAACGAAACCAGTCTTGGATCCAGGCTAACCAAACTGACCGGCTCACTACCGTGCAGTACTCATCTGGTGCTGCTGAAACCGCTATATGTACAAAGACGTTCATTTGGAGCTATTTTTCATAAGCTGGGAGCCGATTGTGAAAGCGGAGACGGTGGCGATCCACAAGAATGTGTCAAAGATGATGTCATATATTTGAGCAAATTTCTGCGCTCGAATATACAGAACGCTACCCGAAGCACGCTTAACTTTGTTAACCATATCGGGAATACTGGCACAACTGCCGTTGTGGAACTAGAGCGAAAGAAACTAACGGCGGTTAAGTTTTTGCTTGCACCAGGAAAATTTTCGTTTTTTGCAGATTACGAGTATGTTAATAAGAATTTGTACAAAGGATAAATATTCAGAAATTAGAATGACATTTCTAACTCCGCTACAAAAGTGCGTTGAACAACAATTCTGAGACGCCATGCAATCGCCTTTACCGGCACTTACATAATTAAATTTATCTTTTAGAGTACCTTTCGTAAACAGCGTAATAATTATACATTTCTCAGACGCTATTTTACACCACATTATATTTCTTTGTCACCATATCGAGCACTATTTCGATAAGTTGTATCAAAGAACCATCTTGGCCTTGGATAACAGCCAGTGAGTGACCATTGTTCCCTTTCCCTGTTCGACAAGTTGAGCAGTTTCAAATGCAATATTTTTATCAGTGATTATCAGTTTTAACATGACAGAAAACTTACCTTTATGGAGACGCTTCCACGTTCAATCATCAGAAATCCACCAAGACCGTCCAGTAAATCCCGTGTGTCACTTGTTATCTGAATCTTCATGGCTGAATATGAATGTTTTATTTTACTTTCGCAAAAATATTAACTACCGATGTGATAAAGCACTTACGTTCTCCAGTGGATTCCATTCTGGATGCAACATTTACCGTGTCACCAAAACTACGGACATAAGCCGTGGTGACCTTTAACTGCTAAAGCAAAATGTTGACTTTTTTTTGCTTTCTGGACTTACAGACAATAACGTGGCATTTTTAAACCAACGATGCCGGCAACGCAAGGTCCTGTAGTTAACGACCGCTTCTTAATTTTCAGATTCTGCATGACGGTCGTTAACACCTTAAAGATATTTTACCCGAATTAACGCCGGCTCGGATTTCGATACGCGTCTGCGGTGAATGCGGCACAACAAATGTTGAAATGCGCATCAATAAATCGAGGCTCATTTCGGCTATTTCCGATGCATGACGATTGCCATTTCTTATTGGCAGTCCAGATGAGACCTGCAAATACAGTATGATAACAATTAACGCTTGTCGGTAAAATAAATCCAACAACATCATTGTTCTACCATATAGGCGTCGCCGATCGTTTCCACTTTGTACACATCAAATTTCTCCAGAACACCGTCCACAAAAATGTACAAACTGTTTAAGAGCATCACAACATCCATGGGCGTACCACTGGCGGCTATCGTGGTAAATCCGACGATGTCACTGAAGAAGATCGTTACGCACTCGAACGCTTCGGGATCCACGTGAGCGCCTTTCGTCAGTTGGGTTGCTATGAACCTACATCATTATTTCCAGTTTGTTAGAATAATGTGAAAGCAGATTAAGGTAGTTGGTACTGACTTTGGAAGTAACTGGCTGAGTAAAGCCTCCGAGCGATTCTTCTCATCCAAAAACTGCTGCGTTTGATCGGCGACCTTTTGCTCGAGATCATCGGCATACTGCTCCATACGCTTTAGAAGCACATCCACAATGTTGTCACCAACATTGCCGACAATCTTTCGCAAGTTGTCCTGGATTTTAGCAAACACCGGTCGCATAACCGGCGTTTCATCCCAGCAGCGTTCCATTAGTTCGTACAACTCATTGGAGCATGCAGAGCGGGGAACACGCGGACGAACTGGAGGAATATTATTCGCGATGATCTAATAAATAAAAATATTTATTCGCGGAAAGGAAAATCTTAGTCAGATTATATAGTACTTCTTGCAATATTTCAGCATCCGATAGTTCCAGTGGGTCGTTTGGTGTATGATATGGTGGGCTGCGCAAAATGATTTGCTGCAGGATTATTGCAAAGCTGTACACGTCTCCCTTCTGCAAAACACCGGGTTTTAAAACAGTATTCCAATCTAATGGCATCTAAAAATACCTGGGTTCCTCGCATCGGCATGGCATGACGCAACAGTTCTGGAGCTCTCCAGAGAAAAGTCTGCAATGAACGCATGTTGTCGATACCGGGACGCGGAGGAACGAAATCGGATGGATGACGGAAATACGAAATGCCGTAATCGGTGATTTTCAGGGTGAAACGCGAATCGATCAAGCAAGTCAGAGCCGACAGGAATCCGTGGGAGACGAATGGTGTTGTGTGTAAGTACGCCATTCCCTACGATTATTTAAAAGTAAAACGAACAAGTTGTTGCGTCAACACTTGCAGCACTGTCGGTAGTGTTCGCCTTACGGAGACCAAATCCCGGATCATGGAGTTTTTGAAGAACCAGTCCAACTTGATTAGCTCGTTCTCTAACACGTCGGCCAGCGTTCCTTTACGACAGGTCTCGCCGGAAACAAAATGGCAGATACCATCGTTACGAACAACGATGCCGACGAAATGATGCAGATTGGTATGATCCATTGTTTTCATCTATATAAAAAGGTCATTCAAGTATACCAGTCTTCACACTTTCAGTCACCTGAGTACGCTTTGTTGCAGATTACAATCTCAAATAATAGATAGGTCACTTCGTTGACTTTTATGCATACAAATTCATTGCATATTAACTACTCTGTAGTCTGTATGCGCTGCAGTTTGCCTATACTCTGTACGCACAATATTGAGCTCTTCGATTAAATCCGGTTTCGGATACTTTGCAACGTCGGAGACATCTTTCAAAGACAACAGCTTTCCACCCACATTCGCCATCATGCTCACGAAGGAATATGGCGATTGTTTGCTGGTTTGAGAGATTGTAAGTGCCGATTTGGCAGCCTGAAAAAGTGATTTATGAACAAGTTTTGGCATTTATTCAGCATGCCCTTACTTGCACTTTTGATCCGCTGACGGCGCCACCTGTTACGTAAGTAACTTCGTCTTCGGGAATGCGCCACCATAGCGGATCATACTGGGATCGTAGATGCCTGAAGTTAACGAGATCTTACGTCTGAAGCACTCTATTCGGCCGATGAGAATTTCGGGTGAAAAAACACGGACATACCGTAATTTTACGTAGAGGACCAAACTTCCAATGAAAATTGTCAGTACAAGAAGTATGGGCACAACTACCGCCACAGTCAGACTGCCGGTTGACATCCGTTCAACACACTTATCACCTCGAAATCCACACACAGGTTCATCGGGTGGAAGACGTCCGTCGGCACTGGGCCACACCACAGTTTGGATGATAGCGAATTTGTCGCTTCGGTTGTCGTTTCTGTGTTCGTTGTACTGCATGCAGCTCTACATTTTGAATTTAAAATAAACGTTCAAAAGTGTGTGTTAAACGGGTAAAAGTTACCTCGAATAGGTTGGTTTTGCATTAAAATACTGAATATCAAAGATCCCATCTCGTTCCCCATCCGGTCCAATCCAGAACGGCTCGCCAAATACTTGAAATTCCTTTTCCAGTAGGAATGTGCTGAGGAAGCGCCCATCTCGGTAATTCTGTCCTGTTTCCTTCAATTGCTTTATTGCCGTCGCGTACATCCGAATGGTCTCGTAGAGTGATTTTACCACCGGGTCAATCTGTCAAAATTCTTCATCTATCTGTCTGTTCACAATCCCAATACAACGGTCACAAACTGCCTTTCCCCCACTGTCCCACACATACGCAATTAAGCGGGGGTTATAGAAGTGTGCTCTTACCGATTCCAAAGGATCGTAAAGGTAATTGTATCTATCACGTGCGATTGTTTTGATCTGTCGTTCAAAGTTGTATGTAATGGTTGTGTCAATGTCCATTTGGAGTTCGACTTTAAGTAAGCTCCGGTATGCTTGCTGCACTATCTGTATTACAAACATCACCATTTCCAAATTATTAAGAGCAGCGGTATTAAGGAATCGAGGTGCAATCAGACTTACCGAATCATATTGATCGTGCACAATCGGTGTGATTGTTCCCCAGTATGGTAGATCGTACAACTGTACGGCCAAAAACACCTGCAAAAATATTAGCTAGTAATTCTGGTGTTCCATAATTTCCATTAGCATAAGATGCTATTTCTGGTGAGAGAGACAAGTATGAGGTTTGCACTTACGTGCTCTCCTTTGGTATAGCCCATTTTGCTGGCCGCGATCTTTAAATAAAGTCAATATTAGGGTTTTCCCGTTTGAAAACCGGCCAACACACGAAAACGTAACAAAATGATATTTTTAGTAGTACACGTATGAAATCATCGGTTATCTGAATCACTTTACGTTAGAAAATAAAAATACTGTGGATAAGTTACCATGATGTCACGGATTCCAGTAGCATGCACCATGAGGAATATAACTGCAATTGCAAAGCAAGCTTATTGCAGGAAAAGAAATTGCGAAATGGTACATATGTAATCCTATATGTGCTGCTTCTTTGGAACGCGTGGGAAGCTGGAATGGGATTACAAGGGCAACGAACTTATAGGTGGATTCTGGCAACACATCCTTCAAGGTTCCAGAAAACATGTTTCATAGAAATCCCCGACATTATATGATGCGGGATTGCCGCCGATTATCATGCACAAGAGCTACTACTCAGTAGGTGTATAATTATCTGAATACGACGCTCTCCCGAGTGTCACAACGTACAAATTATAGCCACATCATAGCTATGTGGCGTTTAGTGACTATGTATTACATAGCCACTAAATGCCAAAAATCTGCAACAGCTTGCAGCTTACCGCGTGATCTTGCGTTCGCTGCTCTCAAAGTCGGAAGGTAATCATCGGGCGTCATATTTTTACTGCGCACATAATTTACAATGGTATTTTGATAAATTATTCTGCGTCGGGATTCCAGCAAAGTCATAATCGGACCGACCATGCTGCTAAAGAATGAATACGAGTCGTCCTGCAGAATGGTTAAATGCCGGTAATTAAACTCATCGAGGAAGTATAACAGGAAATCTGTCAGATCGCTGAAACCGAATGCCGGACGCGTTAATAATGGATAATCGGAATAATCGGCATCCACTTGGATGGCCCAGACGCCGGCCGCTGGTGCACCGAAGATGGGCACATTTAAAGTGTCGGCAAAACCATACAGTGCGGCCGCGGTAAATGCACAACCTACAGAAAACTGAATCTGCACTCATGTTCTTTATCATGCAAAATATACGTACTGGGTCCGAGGAATGCGTCGCATCTGGTTCCCTGTTTAAGGAGATCGTACATGGTCGACACGAGGGTATACATGGTGCGACCACACGATGGACCGGTTGACACATGGACAATACGAAACTGAATGTCCCTGGGTAATATGTAAGCGTTAGCGTTCTGGACACCAAGATACACCGCAGCAGCAGAGCGGTTCATCGTGGAAAAATACGAGTCGTCTTCCCATACAAAACACAGCGTAAGGTTCTCGCATTTAAGCTTCTTTGCAATAACCACCATGATCAAGATCACGAAGAGTAATCTCAACGACATTCTTTGTACGGCGACAAGAAAGCGTAGCAGGACGGTAACATGACATTTAGACCGACGCAGCGCACTGAACAACAACTTGTTTTCGAAAAACGCACCGTGCTCATATATGCTGCCATCAAATAATCGAAACCAGTGCTTCACTCGCCCGCATTATGCCGGCATGTTCCCACTTCCCACAATAATTCTGGCTTCCAGTGCGTCATAAAATTCGCGATTTCGGGTAAATTGTTGTACACTGAAAAATCGACTTCCTTTGACGATAAGAATGAACAGTGAGCCTTATTGTCATTTACAACAGAGCATTGATGCGTAATTTGTAGGATGCCAGAGCACGCAGCTTTTTGGAAGGAAGCGTACATTGTTAAAGTGTCAGCGAGCTCCACTCAAATTATACCAGTAAATTTAGCTGCACATCCGATTGCTGAGGAGCGGCTTGCTGTATTAAACTGTTGCTCCTTTCGCCAGATACAGATGCTAGTGCAAATGCATCCACATGATCTTCTGATCTGCGTGGGCATTGTGCACATGCAGTACCCGACCTTGAACAACTGCCCGTCAGCAAATTTAATAGTGGTTATTTGTTTTCCACAGGCATAAAGCAGTTCATGCAATGTTCAACCTTAAGAGCGCAGTTATTGTACACTATATAAAGCGATAAATTTTCTGGACATAAAATACAGTTCGACGCAGCATTACTGCAAGTTAAACGGGTGGGCTTATGTTAAACGGGTGGGCTGCCATTGGCAGTGAAACGCTTGGCCAGTGCCATCATCTTCTCACTCTAATCCAGAAAGCTGAGCCATGTAACATCCCGATTGCACGTGCCAGGTACCGTGCTACAAATACTTAACGTCCAGCATTTGTATAAATATAACAACAAACGAAGGTAACGCTTTACTCGTACATGATACACAAACTGCTTGAAAATGAGAAAACTGACAGATTAGTATATCTATCCACAAAACCACGTTTCGTTTTGCATTGACAAAAACAGGCGCTTTCATTTGCATTTTGAGTGATTCATGACGTGGTATGACTAAACATTAACAACATGAAAAGTTGTGAAAGGCTGGTGCTGTTTTATTATAATCTGGAAGCCGAAACAAATAATGGGAAAGTGCTTTGTATTTCCACAGTTTACTTATGCGCGACTAATGGTAAATAAGAAAACAGCAAAGCAATATGACATTAAAGGTGCAGTGAAATTGGTTCGGTCAGGATTTTGATTTCGTCGTCGATATCAGCCAAAAGGTAAGCATTTGCCCTTTCCCCTATTGCAAAATATGTTTGTTATTAGAATTTTAACTACGCAACAATGTTTTCATAGCCATACATACCTTTATGGAAACGCTCCCTCGTTCGACCATTAAAAATCCGCCAAGGCTCTCCAACAGGCTGCGGGTTTCGTTGGTGATCTGGATTTTCATTGCTATAGCACATCCAACACAAGTGACAGTAGTAAATAACGTTTGTTAAATAAAAAAAAGTATTTTGCTCACGTTCTCCAGTGGATTCCATTCGTGAAGCAACATTTACGGTATCTCCAAATCTGCGATACAATAACGATGAACCGTATTTAAAAACAGCTGTCTCGCTTAAATGATATGAAAACAAACTCAGTTGCAGAATGCATGACTTTCTTACAAACAATAACGCGGCATTTTCAATCCGACAATTCCGGCCACGCAGGGTCCTACATAATTATGAGCAAAATGTCAGGTCAAACTGAAGCATTTTTAAGGCAAAATTTTTTCTGCATACATAACATTCCTCTACTACATTTTCTACCAGTGATTTTCATTACCGGAATTTATACCGGCTCGAATTTGAATACACGTTTTAGGCGAGTGCGGTACAACGAATGTAGAAATTTGTGTTAACAGTTCCAGACTCATTTCAGCAATCTCTGATACATGCCGATTTCCATTTCTAACCGGTAATCCAGACGACACCTTGAAATTATGGAATTTCGTTAACTATTTATGATGTATGTCTTGGACTACCTATTTCGTGAAGACAGTGCTACGACAAAGTACCATATAAGCATCGCCAATTGTTTCCACTTTATAGACATCAAACTTCTCAAGCGTCCCATCAAAGAATGTGTATAAACTATTTAATAATCGCACAACATCCATCGGTGTGCCATGCGCCGCAATGGTCGTAAATCCAACAATGTCGCTAAAAAAGATCGTCACGCACTCAAACGCTTCGGGATCGACTTGAGCACCTTTGGTCAGCTGTGCAGCTATGAACCTGTAAAATGTCTGGTTTGGTCTCTAGATCTACATCAGAAAATACGTTGGGTAAACTCTAACTTTGGCAGTAATTGGCTAAGTAGAGCTTCCGAACGGTTCTTCTCATCCAGAAACTGTTGTGTCTGCTCGGAGACCTTCTGTTCGAGGTCTTCGGCATACTGCTCCATGCGTTTAAGCAACACGTCCACGATATTGTCGCCCACGTTCCCGATGACCTTACGTAAACTCTCCTTAATTTTAGCGAAGACGGGACGAATGATGGGTGTCTCGTCCCAGCAACGCTCCATCAGCTCGTACAGCTCTTGGGAGCAAGCGGGACGCGGTACGCGAGGTCGAACTGGAGGTATGTTGTTCGCTATTACCTTACGAAAAAATCTAGTTTCCAAAAAATCTTAGGATTGTCGCAGTACATTAGCTTACTTCTTGTAGGATCTCGGCGTCGGATAGTTCAAGTGGATCGTTCGGTAAATGATAGGGCGGCGTGCGCAAAATAATTTGTTGCAAGATTATGGCAAAACTGTAAACATCGCCCTTCTGCAAAATAAATTTCATAATATCGTCGCCAGTGAAAAAATGACGAACCATTATTCTATCAAATTATACAACATTCTTGGACAATTGGCATAATACAGACGTAAAGGATCCGACTATACCGACTATATCCACTTAACTACGATTTAACTTCAGGCAGTAAGGCAACCGGTTCTTGGAGATTCAAAAGCTAACTAACTACGCACGTGCATTACCTATTGCATATTAAAATGTTTTACATTTGATGTCAACTCCGTACCTGTGTTCCACGTATCGGCATGGCATGACGAAGGAGCTCGGGCGCTCTCCAGAGATACATTTGCACTGATCCAGTGTTATCGATTCCGGGGCGTGGTGCGGCATAATCTCTAGGACGACGAAAGTACGATATGCCATAATCAGAAACTTTCAGTGTAAAACGCGAATCAATTAAACAGGTCGGAGCCGAAAGAAATCCGTGGGACATTATCGGCGTCGTATGTAGATAGGCCATTCCCTGGAAATTAATGGTGGAAATCGAAACACACTTGGCTGACAGCATACTACCGGTACAAACGATTAGGTAAACCAACTCTTGAGAGATTCTTACCGATACCAGATCGCGGATCATGGAGTTCTTAAAGAACCAGTCCAGTTTGATTAATTCATTCTCCAGTACACTGGCTAATGTGCCTTTACGGCACAATTCACCGGCCATGTAATGACAGATGCCATCGTTGCGGACGATGATTCCAATGAAATGGTGGAGATTGGTGTGATCGACTGTCTTAATCTAGCATGGCAAATTAAGGCGACCTTTTACCACTTTTCCCATGGAGCACTTTTTACAGTATCTGCATTCTGTACCAGATTAAGCTCCTCGATTAGTTCTGATTTGGGAAATTTAGGAACTTCTGAAACATCCTTCAAGGTCATCGGTTTACCATCCAGTGTGCCGACTAATCCACGGACGATAGGAACAGTGGTTCCTTGTTTGCTTATTTGGGAAATATTGTGGGTGGAGTGGTCCGCCTACTCAAAAGCTGTGAATTATAATGATACTGCACAAAGAGAACGGTGAAAATCGTAATTATACAAAATTGCTTCTTTATATAATTAACCTGCACTTTGGCATCACTAGTTGCATTCATGGAAAAAATAACGTCGTCTTCGGATATTTTCCACCATAGCGGATCATATTGGTCTTTTAGATGTCTGAAGAAACTACAGTACTGAGTAATGTTATGATGGTTTTTGCGCAAAGGTCATTTACCGCAATCGAAAGTACGATATCCCACTGCCGATAGCGATGGCGACAAGTAGAATGACAGGAACAGCAATGGACACTGCCAGCACTCCGGTAGATATTCGATTAACACACTTATCACCGCGGTATCCACAGACCGGTTCATCCGGTGGAAGTTGGCCGTCCGAGCTGGGCCACTGAATACTGTTGATCGCGGCGAACTCAGCACTATTCGGGTCGTTGTTTTTGTGTTGGATGTATTGTAGAAAATCCTGTCAAAATGTTAAGATTGTGTTTCTGGATTTTCCGAAACAAACGCGATGCCACAAGGTCCCTTATCGATGGCTATGAAAGGCTTGTGTGATTATTACTTTTGATTTGCTAGACATCACCAAAATCAGCCCATTCAGTAATTCTCCTGAAACAACGATTAACCAATCAGATTCTACAGGGGTGCTACGCCAAGTTCGGGCAGTTACAAAAATTCCTCTGCTTCTATCAATTAAGTCTAATATTTTTAATTTATTCTTGCAAGATAGTTCTTATCCTGGATCACCTTAGATAATTTTGTTTCTCACCAATCAGATTCTCTGGTAATTTTAGGTAATACTCGCAGTACAGTGCAGTATCAGATCGACAATAGCAAACCCTGCTTGGCTGTGTAAATAAATCGAGCACGTTCTGTAAACTATTGATGTAACTGAAAAAATCCAGAATACCTCGAACGTGTTAGACTGTAAGTTATAATACTGGATGTTCATATTGCAGTCCCGTTCTCCATCTGATCCAATCCACACACGGCTTCCTCGAAAAACTTCGAAGGACGAATTGATAAAGCGGTTTGTCACTATACCGCCGTCTTTGTAGTCTTGGTGATCGGCCGATAAATCCTGGATCACCGTAGCGTACATCATTACGGTTTCATACAATGACGTCACGACCGGGTCAATCTGTGAAAAAGTTAGAGTATCAGTTTCTGCTAACAATGAATTGTGCCGTCAACCGCATGTCAGAATCCGATAGGCACTTGCACGATAATATTATATTATGTAAATTGTATTCGACACCATGAAGTAACCGATTCCTGCTTTATAGTAATTCTTCCCCGCGCTAGGGGTCAAACATCGATTGCACTACATTCAGCTACCATTTACCGTTTCTACGGGGTCGTAATGATAATTAAACTTGTCTCGAGCAGTAATTTTGACTTGTCGCTGGAAATTATCCATATCTATAGTACCCGTAGTTGCAATCTGAAGCTGAATCCTCAGGAGGCTTTGGTAGGCGTGTTGAGCTATCTAGGAAAAACGTAGCATCGTTAGTAAAATAAGTACACACAGTTGCTGAAAAACTTGTGTTTAATATTAATCAAAAGCTCGCTTAATTACCAGGTCGTTTTCGTCGTGGGCGATTGGTGAAATTGTGCCCCAGTATGAAAGGTCATATAACTCAAGCGCCAGATAAACCTTGAAACGATTATTTAATTAGTTGTAAATACTCATCATTTTGCGGCGGTACGGTAACTACTAATCGTCTCAACTTACGTAATCACCTTGAGTGTATCCCAGGTTGCTCGCAGCAATCTGAAAGAAATCGACTACATCAGTATAAATTATAATCAGTAGAGCTGAGTTAAAATACGTATATGAATCTACTAAAAAAACTGCATTATTTCTACAACTGCACCTGTTATAAAAGGTTTCAGTATATCTATATCTTTCATAAATGTGCATTGGATTGTGCTTTTCATGTAATTACCATGATATCCCGAATTCCATGGGCGTGTACCATTAGGAATATGACTACAATGCCAACACAAATGGTATTTAACTCACGATTGCTTGTTAATCAAAATTATACAGCTATAGGAATATAAGAGGGTGAAAGAGGAACATCCGGGAATGCTATTACGCTGCTATAATAATCTAATTATGGCAGAATGTTTCGACAAATAATACACAACAATGCCGTACCGCGAGATCTCGCACTGGCGGCTCTTAAAAGAGGCCCATAATCGTCTGCTGTCATGTTGTTGCTCCGTACATATGCTACGATCGTATTTTGAAAAATCACGTTGCGTCGTGCTTGCAGAAGGGTCATGATAGGACTGACTATACTGCTAAAGAATGAGTAGGAATCATCCTGAATTATGGTTATATGACGGTAGTTATACTGATCTAGAAAGTGAATCAGGAAATCGGTCAAGTCGCTGAACCCAAAGGTTGGACGGGTCAGCAGCTGATAGTCCGAGTAGTCGGCATCCACCTGTATAGCCCAGACGCCGGCGGCCGGCGCACCAAAAATAGGGATGTTCAGCGCTTGCGCGAACCCGTACAATCCGGCAGCGGTAAAAGAGCAGCCTATAAAAAGTAAAAATTTGACGTGGCTGTTATTATTTATCGAAAGAAATGGCACTCCTTTACACCTTTATTTTCCAGAATGAGAATGCATCGCTTAAAAAACTACACTTCAACAGTTCAGCTAGAAAACGGGTCCCAGTTAATACGAGACAAAACAGTACGAAATACCCAAAAGATTCATCATGTTACCACGCATAAATCACTATTTTTAAGAAATGCTAGTTTTTCTATTACTGTTTTATTTAGCTATGCAGTCTATGTTTTTTGCACAATATTTTGAACCTTATTGACACCCGATATTGCGCAATTTGAACCATGATTAATTAACATAAGTGCGCTTTAAAAAACCTTAAATCTTCACTTACTTGGGCCAAGGAAAGCGTCACATGTGGTGCCTCGATTAAATAAATCATAGATTTCCGATATAACCGAGTATAGTGTGCGACCACAAGATAGACCAGCAGATTGGTAAACAATGCGAAACTGGACATCCGGCGGTAAGATGAAAGTATTGGCATTTTCCACACCAAAATATACCGCTGCCGCTGCGCGTTGCATTGTAGAGAAATATGAATCGTCTTCCCACACAAAACATATTGTCAAGTTCTCACATTTAATCTTGTTAGCTATCAGAAGCGTGTAAACAAACAGTGAAATTAAAACAGAAGGCATGATATTCGCGAATATTTTAATAAATAGTTTTATAAGCTGATGATGGCAGTACTATCTCCAAAACCCTCTCAGTTTTACAAAAAACAACATTAATTATCACGAAAATTCAATTACAAGCCTATAGACTGGGGAAAAACCCCGAAGATGAGCGGGATGCACCGGCTGCAAATGCTTACTATTGTCAAACGAACCGGTGTGCTTGACGCATCCCTAATTATTACAGCAATTTGTTTATTGCTGTGTAATTTGTTTATAGATACGGGCTATTTCGATCTTCCAAAAGGTGTGATTTTGCCTTCGCCCCCATTTTAACGCCCTTAGAAACTTACAATGCGATCCATGCGCACAGTTTCATGATTGGATTCATTTGCAGCGCAAGCTCAATTAATACACACTAACATGCTGCAGTAATAATGCTGTAAAAGGAACGCCTACAGCCTGGAAAGTAAACTAGCGTTATCAAAAGAATAGCGTCATCAGGAATATAGCCTCATCAAGAGAAAAACAAAGTTATTTTAATGCAAAGGTCATTGTTAAGGATATCACTATTTTAGTATAATGTTCGCCGGCTACGAGCAACTTATAGATTTTGTACGTCGGGGATTGATCCAACGCAAATTAACTGTGCGTTTTCACAATTTCCCTATGTAATTGTTTTCGCTAGCAGTGTCGTTTTTATTGCGCAGGAGTTTACGCTTGTATACCTATGCAAAAAAAACGAAAGCCCTTCTACTTGCAATTAAATATGGGATCAGTGTGCTTTCGAGCCTTTGATTTCGATCATTTAATGTTTTTCGCCGTTGATTTTCATTAACTTTAAGGCTGAAAATTAAACGTATGCACTCTTCATCGATCGCGATTGCCTGTTACTGGTTTAAATTACTATTGGACTAGTTTAAATTGTTTCAAATATTTTCCTCAGAGTAGCAGCAGAATAACAACTTATGGAAAAATTATTTCAGTGAGTAATAAGTGTTAATAAACGGGTCAATCTTTTCTTGCATACTTGTACAGGTTTACGGTACACTGGGCTTTACAGTACTCTTATGAGTTATGCTAAACTTCTCACAATTATTGTCAGTAGAATGGCGAATCGCATGCACAGTATTATGTGTACGTACAATACACAAAACATCATGATAGCTTACGTAGTGTATGCATCCATATTCCGTACACGTTGAAAAATGCTTAGAACTACATCGGTATGTACATTAAGATTAGCTCAAGGCTTGTTAAAATATTAAAATAATAATTACTGCTGTGGTACATAAAGTTCACGTAGGCTATACCGGCCTCTTCGGTAAAGCAGCAGTCGCATCTATGTAAACTTGTTGTAAACATTCACCTTGCCACAAACCTGCATAAAGCCGGCTGCATCCATCGATGCGTCGCTAAACAGTTTACACTCCACAAATGCCGAACATCAAACAACAACAACAAATGCCGATTAAAGATTCTTAACACTACGCGTATACGCATTCTGTTCGGGTCTTTGTTCCAGCAAAAAATGATTTTCCTGCATCAGCCATGAAACTAATCCAGATCTGCAAGCATCATTCCACGGCATTACTTCTAGTCACTTCTTTGCTTCTTTTTACCGTTTACGAATTATCGGTGGTGCGGTACAATAATTTGATTAACACCATTTTTCCTAAAGAAAAAAATTTATTGGCGTCCTTACTAGCCAAAAGCGATGCAAATCCGACAGAACCAGCGCCGGTGATTTTATTCTGGACGGAATATTTCAGTGAAATTCACCAATTCCAGTCATTATCGCAAGGCGCTGCGAGCGTTGGAAGCCTGTCCGATGTCCGCTGCGAACTGACATCCGAACGGAATCGGCTGAATTCCAGCGCAGCGGTTCTGATTCACATACGGGATCTCAATAACGAAGAAGGCGGAGCGAACTATGAGTTTCCTTCTTTCCGTTCACCGGAGCAGTATTATGTGTTTTATCTGCTGGAATCGCCGATGCATACGCAGTACGATCTCACAGTGTTCGATGATGGGTATTTCAACCTGACCTTCACTTATCGGATGGATTCCGATATTTTTGATCCATATTATTTTATTGATTATCACCCGGTGTTGTGGCGGAGTGAGGAGGATTTCCTCCAGGTTTGGCGGAAGAAATCGCAGGACATTGCGTATTACGAGTCGTACTGCAATGCGCCCAGCGGGCGGCGCTCAGTTGTTAACATGCTGGCGCGATATGTGCGTGTAGATATTTATGGTGAATGTGGATTTTTGAAGTGTCCGAAGAATGAAGAGGAAAAATGCAATGCGATGTTATCGACTTATAAATTTTACTTGGCCTTCGAAAACAGGTATACGATTTCTTGAAAATTGTTATAAAAAATTAAAAAATCTTGATAAGCCTTAGCAATGATTAACGCGTAATACACAATAAAATTTTCCAAGATTTTGTTGGTAAAATCGTAATTTCATTTAATCGTGGTGGTGCGCATACGGCATACCTACTCGATCTGTCTACCATATTTACGTTTTATCTGAAATACCTAGTTTTATAGCTGATCCAATTATACTAATATGGCTTAAAAGTATTCTGTGTGTTGTCTCATCATTAATCGCAGCATTACAACTATGTATACTGTAAACACAATAAAATTAATATCATATCATATCTTTGTGTTTTTATTAAATTTTGATTAAAAACACAATATACTCTGTACATCTGTAGTACAATTATCATTTTAATTTTTTATGGGTATAAACTGTAATTTCTTCGTCCCTAAAGTTAATTTCCACCGTTTCTCAGTATCTGCAAAGACTACGTCACCGAGAAAATCCACCGAGCCCTCAACCACGGTACCATCCCGGTGGTGTTTGGTGGCGCTACATACAGTGAAATATTCCCGCCAAATTCTTTCATCAACGCACTGGACTTCCCCTCGATCGCCGCTCTCGCCGACTACTTACATCAAGTCGCCACTGACCAGAAGTTATATGCATCATATTTACAGTGGCGCTACGATCCACAATGGCTACGGCTGCATGACCGCTTCTACCCGGCCCGCTCCGGCTGGTGTGCACTGTGCCGGCGGATGCAGAAAAAACACCGGACGCGGAAGATCATGTACAATCTCAGCGTGTGGTGGGAGAAGGATGCCCGGTGTCTGAGTGTCGATGCTGATTACTGGGACGGAGGCGGCCCGGAGCCGCTGCAGACGGATGGCCAATTAAACGCGCCAGTTTTTTAATGACTAATACTGTATCTGTGATTTTACATTGCATCGTTAAACTGCGATACCGGTATTAGGTTTTCTTTCATTTTGTGTTAATTTTGATCATGACGTGTTTTTTTTATTACTCAGTTTATGCAGTACCGGCAAAAAATTAACATTTTCGCTTTGCGGAATAATTTCACTTTTGGAGTGGCAAAAAAATGGTACGGCTAATTGATAATAAACTAATTAATTAGGATTTTTTTAATTTTGTATAAATACAAGTTTTCGAAGTACGTCGTTGTTTTGCACCAAAATGACGCAATTTCAGCAATAATTCCATTAAGAAGGTCAGTCATGATACCTTTCCCATGCACTTGTAAGTTCATGTGCTCGTTATCGCTTTAGCGACCGTCACGTTTTTCGGCTTAAAAATGTGGAAATCGTGCAATTTTTCCGCTGTGCAAGCAGAATTGAAAACATAAGGTTTATTATTTCTGGCAGTTTTGGAAGCGGTAAGTGTGGTGGAATCATTTCATTTTAGGACATAACACTGCAGAAAATAACGTTATACAGTGTAGAAAGTTGCGGATTTGCATTGGACTTCGGTTCCGGATTGATCGATTTGGCAAACGGACAGCGCCATGAAGGTCATAATAATTTCAGTTTTCGTATGTATCTTTGTATCTCGAAGTGTACTGTCCGCTCCTGCTGCGCCATCGATTGCCAATCCACCACATCCAGCTGAAGCCCCAATTTCAGGTTGGCAATTACAAATTACACTGCGAAATGAAAATATAAATAAATATCATGAATATAAATCCGAAAATCATAGATATCCTAAATTTCGTAGTAAATTCTTTCGCCTGCAGTGAGCTACAAGTTGGCTATGCAGGTTCGGTCAATGCTTATTTCCTTATGTAATTAATAGTTATGCATGCTTAAAATAGTGTTTCTAAAAAGTTTATGAGGTATGTCTTAATTGATTAGCCTCAGTTACTTATAACTTATAAGTTATAAGTAAAACGACGGCACTGTGCTGCTCTTGTTCAGAATTTCATTCAAAGGAACATTTAAGCAGTTTGTTAAATTATTGCCATTTTATTTGCATATTAATAATTGTGTGTCTTGGTTAATATTTGCGGCCCAAAAGTCCCAGGTAAAAACGCTTTTAACCGTTACATTTATTGCAGAGTCAACACTGACGAGAGCGGGAATAAACACAAGAACACTCTCAGCTTCTCAAGTCAGTATGCTCATCAAAATTCTGCAAGCTTTACAGAAGCCGACCACCACGACCGCGGCGCCGACGGAACCACCGGCTGATGGTGGGAGCGATAATCCACCGCCACCGCCCGGTGCCACGACAGTCAATCCTTTGGTGGCAATTTTTCAGCGTAGGTTCTTCGAGTTCATTTTATTTTTATTTCTGCTTAAATGATGAACTACAGAAACTTCGGAAATGCTTTTCTCCGACGTTTGTAATTCTTTAATTGAAGATACTCTGTAGAAGTAATTTATTCGAGATGTAGAATCATCCCTATCGCAGATAATACCCGCGGCGTGCAGTTTATTTAGCTATTTTTGTAGTATTGTTGGGCAAAGGCACCGGTAGTAGCACGACTGGTGGTGGCGCGGGAGCCCCTTCTTAACGAGGATACGGACTTGCAGACTACCCAACATAAATCTGGACGATCGACCATATAATATCGGCTATATGTAATAATCAATTAGTAACCTTTTCCAGTGCTTACTACGGTTTAACTGGTTAATCGTTGCTACAACTGTAGCCGCTACTAACGTTGGTATATAGTGATGGCTAATTTAGGCTATAATTATGTGTATGTATCTGCACAACTAATTTTTCGTTATGCCACCGACAGAATGTCCGGTCAGTCGAGTGTTTTTTGGTTTCTTATTCATGTGTGCTTGTACGCATACACCGTAGAATTGGCATAAACTGATTCATCAATGTACGTGCTTAAATTAAAGCCTAAAATTTACCTCCTTCATACTCAAACTAATATTTCAGTACAAACTGAAGGAAAATACAGGAATAAGACGATAAGAATGATTAATTACCCAATGGACACACTAAACACCGTAATTAAAGGTACTCGCCATAATCACGCATTAGATACATTCATCTTGGGTGCAATATGAATAAAGGCTTTTAAAAAAACTCTATTGTTTTAACAAGTTTCACCGGTCCTATCCTTCCCCGCAGCGATATTATATTACGTAAGAATCTAAAATTCCCTAATTACTCCGGTGCAGGGGTGGGTTTGGGTGTCGGTTTCTGGGTATTCTTGACGGCACTGAAAAAGCGATCAATCGGTGGCGGGCCTTTTTGTGAAGCAGGAAACTTGCCACCTACAATTAAACACAGTTTGAACCACACTAATTGTATTGTTGGCAATGCCATTCACAGTTTCAGCATTTTTGATTTACAGTATAACAGAATTCTTAAATAAAGCAAAGTAACTTAAAATGATTTAATATGATTTACATGTATATGAATACTGGCAAAAGCCCGCCATAACTTAAAACAAACAAAATAATACAAAATAAGTAAATAACGTATTACAAAATAATGACCGATCACTACGATCGGTTTTCTACGATAAATTTCATGCATTTGTACACACATATAGCAGTGATATTCCTTGAAACAAAAAAATTCTTACCTACACACATAAAGTAATGATATTCCTTGTAAACAAAAAAATTCTTACCTGATTTGCCTCGTGATCCTTTTACTTTAGTATTCTTTTTAGCTTCTTGTCGCAACCGTTCCCGCTCTTTGGCAGCCTCCTTTCTTGCCGCTAGTACTTCTGCCCGGGCGCGCAGTCGTTCCGCTCTGGTTTTCTTGTGGAACTTCCTCGCAGGCGTCGATGACGAAACTGGTACTGTTGCTGTTGTTGGGGTGGTTTCCGCTCCTGTTGTTTCTCCCGCAGCAAAGGTCAGCGCTGCTAAGGCAGCGGCCAGGACAACATACAGAAACACGCGTGTCCAGTGCATTTTGGCATGCGCTAATTTACGAAGTAAACGTGTTGCATACGAAAATTGAAAATTCTGATGGATGTTTCACCTGTATGTTTTGCACAATATTCATGTGCGAGTTTGGTTGATCATGTAGTTCGATCGAATCCGTAGGTGCGATCGTTTCCGATCAGTTTTTTCTGAAGACGCGCGATCAAGAAATGATAACAGTAAATTAAATTAGCGTACATTGCGGTGCTTAGTTTTTGCACCCGGCATGTTATCGCATGCAGGCCTCCTGTAGTTCTAATTGGAAAACTATGTAAGGAAAAAATTTTTGACCACTGTGATTTTACAAGTGTATGTGGGAATAAGCAAGTGCTGTTGCCCTTTGCGGTAAGAATATTCATTTGATTGGCAACAATATATACGCTGTCTTCTGCTACATATAAGTACTCGTATACATATTTTTTTGCTGCGTCTAAGCGAAAATTATCGTAAGCTCTAAATATAACTGCAATGATGCAAAACCAGTATTTACTGTATGTTGTGTTTTATTATTCAAAACGATTTAACAGAAAGTTGCCTTGGAGAAAACCTTAAATAATATCGTCATAACCTTTGACCTTTCGCCTTCTATACCGGTATATATACCAAGAATATAGTGCACATGACATATTATTTTGTATCGCATTTCATAGTACACACCATATCTGGAGTATCTGTATCGCCACAAGAAACGCCGTAATTTCCAAAAATAGTATTGCGGCTGCATGTGTAATAAACAGGTAGTGCCAGAAAAAAGGCGGCTATCTCCCGTATCGGCGCCCAGTCTCTAAGTATATTGTACAAATAATTTTGAAGTACTGATCGTAGATTTTATGATTACGCATTATGCAGTGCCATTAACCTGTTTTGAGTGACATGCAGATTGTTAACAGTTAATTCATAATGTAGCGCACGGGCAGGTACGTAATATATATAAAGAATCTTAATTTTTCCGGATGACAGCGACTGCGAATATTTATCAGTTATCAAAAACTTGGAACCTTTTCGATCGATGATATTCTGATTTATTAGCATTATTGGTAGCTCAAAATGGCACTGAATAAATTCCTTTTAATAGCAGTGGTAACACTGGCCGTGGTAGTAATTTTAGCGGAAGCCAAAGGACGTGGGAAAGGCAACGCCGGAACACGCGGGAACGGACCGAGTGGGGAGGCCAAGATCCACAACCGGCAGCATGGCAGCCGCAAGGACGCCAAGGATGCTGCACGTCGAGGCGGTGATCGGTCACCGGAGCATCATTCCGCTCACGGTCCCGGACAGCGCGACCATTTTCATTCCGTCGACCGTAACAAGAACATTATTAAAGACGGAGTTCACCATAACTATGGAGAGAAAAAGGGTTAACTGTGCACACGATAATGCATTTGATATTGGTTAATGCCATTAATGTGCAAAACTGCACATGCTTTTTACGTAATTTACCGATGTCCAGTTTTCTCGTGGAAAAGTTTTGACCGGATTATAGTGCCAGGTTGTGGAAAGTTACTACAAAGGTTGTGGAAAGTTACTACTGTATGTAAAAACACCACTTCCATACTGTTTTTTTAAATATTGCATAATTACCTACACAATTGTGGAAATTTTCGATCTGATTATCCAAATTAAACGATGTGACTGCGACAATGTACCACATGCATTATTCCGGAGTCGGGATAACGAAGTCCTGTAGCACCTACCTTTAACCCAATCGTTAACGAGTCAGTCGAGTCTTCTACAGACAACTACGAAGTATGTTAAGTTGTTAACATTTCTCCACACCGGCTTACGGTGCATAACCCTACGGAAACATAAAAACATTCATTCGGCCTCATCCTAATAGTGCTGTATGTTTTATTATGTATTTAATAAGCTTATGCGGCGCTATGCCTAAAAAGTTCACGCAAAAATCAACGCAAAGTTAAGAATTCCTGAAGATTTACATCTAGCAGTGGGCGGCATGGAGCACCGCACGCGTGTTTCAGTTACGTTGGTAGTACTTGGTACTTTACATACAAGCCACAACTCACATGTTTTACTTTTATGAGTAATGAGTTTTATGATTTTTATCTTTTATGATTGTGACAGATTGTCGGTTATTTAATTTGCACTTTACGGAACTTCAGCCATATTTCATATTTGAATCTTTAATTACAGTTTCCATTCTTCTTGATTGGAATAATATCGCAATGTGTTTCCGAAACACAGCATCAGAGATTCGTGTGCGGATACTGTAATTGCAATTCGCAAGTACAGAAGGATCGTGAAATTCAAATTGTGACTGCATCACTTGTGGGTTGTGGCCGCACTCGACGCACTGACAATCGCAGGATGCCTGCTGCAGCCAAGAAGCGCGGAGGTTTCCATCGACGCCGCGGGGGTGGCCGTGGGGGAGCCGCCCGTTCCGGCAGCGCCTCCAAGGATCCCCCGTACAAGGGGCCCAAAGCGCCCGTGAAACGCGTGCAGCCCATCAGGCACGTGCACCCCCTGGCCCCCCAGCGCAAACGTAAACAGGGCCTCATGTGTCCGCATGTCAACATGGCGCTGCTGGATCACGGCGAAGCCAACTATCGGGAAATCGTCGATCTCTTTGTCATTCCGTCCAGTAAATGCCTGCTGCCGTGGGTAAGTACTGTATGTCATTCTAAAAAATCGGATTTGCAATTTTGGGGGGTAACGTGTGCGCCTCCGCGCTCGCTATTTCGCTTTTTGAAGTTATTTATTGTAAATAAAATTCAGGATGTCTGAAGAAACTGCTATCAATAGGTTTTTAACCAATACAAAATTTTTGTTAAAAAATTTGTATTTTTACGTTTCTATTTTACTCTAGTTTCGTGAATTTCCAAGTGCAGTAAATGATAGAAGAATATCCCTGGGACATTGAAACGCCATTATTCTACGCTTAGCCGTTGAAGTAGAATTTTGTGCTGCAGTATTCAAGTTGTCGACAATCAGGTGTTGTCGTGAAAATTGAAATTCTTGTAAACACTGCTCGTAAATTAAAACTGCTTTATCGTATACAGATACTTCATTTATGGCTAGATACATGCAAGTTTGCACCTGCGATTTTTATTTTATTTTACTGTTGACGTTTTCCGCTGTTTTGCAAGTGTTTGTTTCTGCGTTTTTGACAGGATCCCAAACAGTCGCGACTGCGTTTCCGGTGTGAATCTCCACTGTGTCAAGGAGGCTTTCAGTTTGCTTGTTGTCACTGTAAAAAAAAATTTTGTCGTGATCACATCAACGATCATGCTGCGGACAGCAACCATGGCTGCGGTATGCATTTTAAATTTTAATTAATTTCGATGGCGAGATTCATTCCATTCAGCCTTCGACAAGTGAAGAATAGCGGATTTTACGTTTAGCAATTGACGCACAGTTTGGATATCTGGCCTGCTTCCTCTGCAATGAAACCCTGGTGCAGATGGAGAAATGCGCCAAGATTTGGCGAGACCATCGACTAAAGGCCGTTTATGAAACAGGTGGGCTTTTATCCATTTTTTTCCAATTATCTTTAGCAAGTCCAGTGAGTTTAAACGCTGGTTAGTTCATTGAGCTTTGGAAAATTTTATCATGTCTTCTTTTCTCCCTAGCGTTGCGTTATGGCTGGCTGCAAAATGTGACGCAGTTGACGACGTTTATGCCGGATGAATTGCGCGATGCCTGCGAAAATCGTCAAGCCTTGATCGGTAAATCGTTTAGGAGTTTTCCATGAGATGAAAACGTTGTGTTCTCTAAAGTTTTGATTTTTGAAAGCAAATTTATACGGACTTTTTCCTTGGTGTTTCTGAAAACTTTGAATTGATCAGTTTCTTTGCATTTATTTGAATTTCGCTGAAATTTCCACACTGGCTAAATGCGAATAGTATTGCTGCTAGTAAAATAGAAACAATATTTTTCACTGTTTCAAAAGCAAATAGCAGTAGCGCGAATAAGAATGCGTTATCAAGGAGAATAATTCTATACAACAATTAAATAGAATGTACAACAATACAAATATGTGCACAAATTTTCTGTTTCTATAGGTGTTCATGGCATCGTCAACTTGTCGAATACCTGCTGCTTAAATGTGATACTGCAAGCGTTTTGTCATACGCCCTTGTTTCGAGACTTCTGTTTGGCCCGCTTACATCGCTGTAATCCGAATATGTTGGGATTTAATCAGGAATGTGTCATGTGTGCTTTCACCTCCATGATCTATGATGTAAGCACTAGCATATTATAACGTTGTCATTTCTTAAAATTTTTTAACTCTCTTCTCGATTTTGAAATTCACTTTTTCCTTTTTGAAATTCACATTTTGGGATGATAGATGGCCTTGCATGATTGTGAAAATATGGATGGCATTGTAGTGCAATCACTGCAATGGATGAATAGTACGATATTTCTCTGCCAACGGAAGTTTAAAAACTGATAAGTTTACGCAAAAGCTTCTTGAGATGTTCGTGGATTTTTTTCCACCATAATTATTAGCAACAGAAGTAATGGTATTTATATTTTGTGAACAAAAGTTTTTTGCTCCTGGAACTTCGAAAAGGATACTAAAGGATACACCATCATCGAACCTTGCTGGCTGACGGTTTGCTGTTATTAAACAAATGTCATGCGTGGTTTGCAGTTATACATTTTGCCGGCCGGTCAGTGTTACGCTCCGCAGTTGATCTTTCAAGCCGTACAGAATAGCCTGGTGAACCATGGATCGGAGCTGGGCGAGCAGGAAGATCCGGCGGAAATCATTAATCTCTTACTGAACGATATGCACCTCCAGTCGGAACACGGTGAGCAGAAAGAATATAAAACTTTGAATGAACTGATACTTCATTATTTTAACACTTACATTTTTAGCGGATTAGTTTTAATAAACTGATAAAAGTAGTAAATAACAAAATTAATAGTTTTTTTTAGAAAAAAGGGAATCCTCGAATTACATGTTTCTTTGTTGCGATATGATCTAGCTGTAATTTTACCTCCTATTCCAAGTATTAAAATCTGGAATGAGATAATATAAAATAAAAAAAAATAAAAAGAAATAAAAGATAAATAAGATAACATAAAAAATCTCAAAGATGTCAGAATCTGGCCTTGAAAGTTTATGCTTTTAGATGGACGAAAGATTAGCCCTTCGTTGGGCGAGCAGCTCCATCTAGCAGGACGGGAAATGGCTTCGATGTGTGTAGCGCAGTGCATCTATTGCCCATGTATCGTTTGTGATTTATTCTCCGGCGTGGAAGAATATACAACTACTTGCCTACAGTGCAAGTAAGAAACATACCGTTTTTCTTTGGATAATATTTTGTATCGATATTTGTGTGTTGATAAACTTTTCTTCGCATAGGCAAGATCGTTTTCAAGGCAACAGTTTCAAATTGCTGATGTTGCCGATTCGTGAGGATAAGCCAGTGGAAGCCGGACAGCCGGCCGACCGATCGCTGGAAGACTGCCTCAAAATGTAATGGCAATATTATTTCTTTATTAGTCTCTGTCGGGGTTTAATTATGATCGGGTGTTGTTTTGCTGAGCGTGACACTGTATGCAGGTATACGGATGCGCAGCTGACTTCCGAAGTGAAGAATGAGTGCTGTATCGACGTCAAAGGGGCTTATCGCACCAATAAATTCCGTCATCTTCCGGTGGTTCTCATCATCCAGTTAAAGGTACCCGCCCTTTTTTCTTTGTACACTGCTGAAATGAATTTCAACCAGCTTGATGTTCTGGTGAACAGTTCACCCATTTTTGAATATTAATGCGCTTCGACTGCAATGTAAGACTGGGGATCTTCTTACAGTGGAGATTAATCGTAGAATGAGGGCTGGCAGATCCTCGAGGAGCAATTACAAGGCTAATAACATAGTCAGATTGTCAACGTTTGATTCCGTGTACTGTAATTGTTTCGATTTTTAACCGTTGGTTCTGCGTGTCTTGAAAGTACGTATTTGACTCGACCGAATTGTTTTTAATTTTGAATTTGGTGTTGATCATTTCTGTGCGTAATATAGTTTCCCGTTCTGTTAAAAATGTTCGAGTTTGCCTTGTAGCGCGCTGTGGCGAAGAATGTGACGAAGACCAGAATTGGCGATGGAGATTTGAAGAAGAACAAAGAACACATCCAGTTCCCATTGTGTCTGGACATGTCACCCTATATGGCCGAACAGCACAGCGGCTCAACAAAGTAAGCTTGATAATGATAACGTTACGGAAATCATTTTTTTTATGTGCCGAAGATTTTCGAAATTTATGACAAATAACACTGTGCACACAAATACAATTATCCACGCTCAGATCTTGCTGAGACCGAAACGAAGACGCATAAGTACAGAACTGCTAGCGGGTGCTGAAGTGAGCGTAGAGCAAGGGTTTTGTAATATGGTTCCGAGCTTTCGAGCATTATCCACCGTATTAAATGATCACGTTGTACTTTGTCAACAGTTCTGAACAGACAGAAATTTTTTGTTTTGTAGATACGTTCTGTATGGAGTTGTGGTACATAAAGGTGTGAAACTCTCCAGTGGGCATTACGTGTGCTACATTAAGCACATGAGTGGACGCTGGCTATGCATGGATGACCGCGCTGTGTTCTGCTGTTCAGAGTCGCAAGTGTTATCACTTCAGGCGTAAGTAACGAAGAAATTCTTTCTTTTTATTATAGCGAAAACATTGTTGTCGCCAGGTTAATTTGCAGCAAGTAATTATGCGTGAGAATTAAAACTTTTTATAATATTATGAATAAATATATATCAGAATAATTATAGAAACAGTATATCAGATTACGATTAGAATTAAAATTACAGGTGGAAATAAAGTTTTTATAAAACTCAGAGTAATGTTTTATTCTTTGCAGGTACATGTTGTTTTATGTGCTGGAAACGGTGGAATTCACCGTGGCGTCGGCCAGCAATATCGGGACCTCGGTCCCCATCCCGCCGCCCATCCCCTCGACCGCATCGGTGCCGGATTCGCTGGATTCCCTGTCCAACGATGAACTGATTGAATTGGCTATGCCACCGCCGTTAAAAGTCGATGAAGCCTACATTGGGCAATTCGATTATGACACCATTCACCCGTTCACACTCGATCATACGTATGGGAAACTGGACGAACTGTTTGGCGTCCCGCTAAACGAAAAGAAAAATGATTATGACGATGAAGAGGATGAGCTAGCGGCGTTACTGTATGGAAACCTGTAAAGTTTGCGCGTCTTGGTTTTACCAAGTTTCTGTTAAATGATGTGATCTGATTGGTTGTTTTAGTTTTTTAGCTTACTTTGGGTTATTAATTTTTGCGTTTTAATACTTGATTAACGTTATTATTTTGTTCATATCTCGCACTCGTTTGGCATACGTCAGCAACGAAAGATATTTTTCCCATACACTTACCCTTACATTTATTCTTACCTGTGCTGTTAGTAAAACGGCAAGTTGCTGTATTACAGTTGGTCCAATAGTGAATTGCAGGTAACTTACAGAGTATTATGCAGTGCGTAATACGCACGCGCGATTACCTGGTATTAAAATTAATAATCAGTAATACGTGTACGTCGTCGCTTCCTGGTTTGACTGCCGGCAGGTACAAAGATCTTGTGGTCAACGCCATATGAAGTTTTATGTAAACTGATTTGTGAGGACATAATTTTTACGTAAAATATCAACAATTCATTTGCGCAGTACTGTATAATAATGTAAGATCAAGATGGTACCCGATGCGTACAGCAATTTCCGACTAATTAAAATCTTAAGCTGTCGCAAACTAACGTTTTGAAAACAAACGAAATGCCCCAATAAGAGCTGAGTTTTTTAAATCAGCAAGTTAAAAAATTGCGATTTCGTTTTCCTCAACGGCCATGCCGTTCAACGTAGATCACTTCGCACGTGCTGACGTGCTGCAGAGCCATTCGTACAAAGGTGCATATATCAGCCGCTACCAGTGCTGGCGCTAATAAGCCCGGCTGTATATAGGCACGCTTGTTACGGTGCCACGGCAGAGCCGTGGTACCGTACAAGTGTGCATATATCAGCCGCTACCAGTGCTGGCGCTAATAAGCCCGGCTGTATATAGGCACGCTTGTTACGGTGCCACGGCAGAGCCGTGGTACCGTACAAAGTGCATATATCAGCCGCTACCAGTGCTGGCGCTAATGGGCCCGGCTGTAGGCACGCTTGCGGTTGCGGCAGGCAAGGCAGTACAAATGCATGCTATATCAGCCGCTACCAGTGCTGGCGCTAATAAGCCCGGCTGTATATAGGCACGCTTGTTGCGGTGCCACGGCAGAACCGTGGTACCGTACAATCGCATATATCAGCCGCTACCAGTGCTGGCGCTAATAAGCCCGGCTGTATATAGGCGCGCTTGTTGCGGTTGCCGCAGCGGAGACCGTGGTGCGTAAAGTCGCATCAGCCGCTACCAGTGCTGGCGCTAATAAACCCGGCTGTAGGTACGCCGCTTGTTGCGGTTACGGCAGTGGTGCCGTGTTCTGTTGTGCCACACATTGGAATGATGATTGCGCGAACCTGAAGTCAATGCGTATATCGGCCGTACCAGTTGCGCGGCTAATGCGGCCGGCTGTATATAGGCGCTTGTTACGGTGCCACGGCAGGAGCCGTGGTTGCCGACAAGAGATATATCAGCCACGCTACCAGTCTGGCGCTAATGGTGGCTGTATATGGGCGCGCTTGTTGCGGTGCCGCGGCAGACCGTGGGCTATATGACGCAACAATGCCGATTATACGGCGGGCCATTGGTGCCGTTATAGTGCGCATATATCAGCCGCTACCAGTGCTGGCGCTAATAAGCCCGGCTGTATAGGCGCAGCGCGTTGCGGTGCCACGGCAGGCCGTGGTGCCGTCTGAATATATATCAACCGCTACCAGTGCTGGCGCTAATAAGCCCGGCTGTATATAGGCACGCTTGTTACGGTGTGCAGCAGGCCGTGGTACCGTACTGATGTGCATATATCAGCCGCTACCAGTGCTGGCGCTAATAAGCCCGGCTGTATATAGGCACGCTTGTTGCGGTGCCACGGCAGAGCCGTGGTACCGTGGCATATATCAGCCGCTACCGGTCTTTGGCGCTAATAAGCCCGGCTGTATATAGGCACGCTTGTTGCGGTTGCACGGCAGGCCGTGGTGCCGTACAAATATTAAACCGCTACCAGTCTGGCGCTAATAAGCCCGGCTGTATATAGGCACGCTTGTTGCGGTGCCACGGCGAGCCGTGGTACCGTAAATCGCATATCAGCACTACAATGCTGGCGCTAATAGGCCCGGCTGTATATAGGCACGCTTGTTGCGGTGCCACGGCAGAGCCGTGGTACCGTACAAGTGTGCATATATCAACCGCTACCAGCTTGGCGCTAATAGGCCCGGCTGTATATAGGCACGCTTGTTGCGGTGCCACGGCAGAGCCGTGGTACCGTACAAGTGTGCATATATCAACCGCTACCAGTGCTGGCGCTAATAAGCCCGGCTGTATATAGGCACGCTTGTTGCGGTGCCACGGCAGAGCCGTGGTACCGTACAAGTGCATATATCAACCGCTACCAGTGCTGGCGCTAATAAGCCCGGCTGTATATAGGCACGCTTGTTGCGGTGCCGGCAGGCCGTGGTACCGTACAAGTCGCATATATCGCCGCTACCAATCTTTGGCGCTAATAGGCCCGGCTGTATATAGGCACGCTTGTTGCGGTGTACGGCAGAGCCGTGGTACCGTACAAGTGTGCATATATCAACCGCTACCAATGCTGGCGCTAATAGGCCCGGCTGTATATAGGCACGCTTGTTGCGGTGCCACGGAACCGTGGTGCCGTAAGTCGATATATCAGCCGCTACCAATGCTGGCGCTAATAAACCCGGCTGTATAGGCACGCTTGTTGCGGTGTACGGCAGAGCCGTGGTGCCGACGCAAAGTCGTTTATATCAGCCGCTACCATCTGGCGCTAATAAAGCCGGCTGTATGGGCGCTTGTTGCGGTTGCCACGGCGGGAGCCGTGGTGCCGACCAAGTGCATATATCAGCCGCTACCAATGCTGGCGCTAATAAGCCCGGCTGTATATAGGCACGCTTGTTGCGGTGCCACGGCAGAGCCGTGGTACCGCCTGAAGTGTGCATATATCAGCCGCTACCAGTGCTGGCGCTAAGCCCGGCTGTATATGGGCGCGCTTGTTGCGGTTGCACGGCAGAGCCGTGGTACCGTACAAGTGTGCATATATCAACCGCTACCAATGCTGGCGCTAATAAGCCCGGCTGTATATAGGCACGCTTGTTGCGGTTGCCACGGCGGGGCCGTGGTGCCGTACAGGCCGTGTTCGCAAATAAAGTCGATATATATCAGCCGCTACCAGCTGGCGCTAATAAGCCCGGCTGTATATGGGGCACGCTTGTTGCGGTGCGGCGGAGCCGTGGTACCGTACAAGTGTATATATCAACCGCTACCAATGCTGGCGCTAATAAGCCCGGCTGTATATAGGCACGCTTGTTGCGGTGCCACGGCAGAGCCGTGGTACCGTACAAGCGTGCATATCAGCCGCTACCAGTGCTGGCGCTAATAAGCCCGGCTGTATATAGGCACGCTTGTTGCGGTGCCGCGGCAGAGCCGTGGTACCGTACAAGTGCATATATCAACCGCTACCAGTGCTGGCGCTAATAAGCCCGGCTGTATAGGCACGCTTGTTGCGGTGCCGCGGCAGAGCCGTGGTACCGTACAAGTGCATATATCAGCCGCTACCAGTGCTGGCGCTAATAAGCCCGGCTGTATATAGGCACGCTTGTTGCGGTGCCACGGCAGGCCGTGGTACCGTACAAATCGCACATATATCAGCCGCTACCAATGCTGGCGCTAATGGGCCCGGCTGTATATAGGCACGCTTGTTGCGGTGCCACGGCAGAGCCGTGGTACCGTACAAGTGTGCATATATCAACCGCTACCAGTGCTGGCGCTAATAAGCCCGGCTGTATATAGGCACGCTTGTTGCGGTGCCACGGCAGGCCGTGGTGCCGCCTGAAGTGCATATATCAGCCGCTACCAGTGCTGGCGCTAATGGGCCCGGCTGTATATAGGCACGCTTGTTGCGGTGCCACGGCAGAGCCGTGGTACCGTACAAGTGTGCATATATCAACCGCTACCAGTGCTGGCGCTAATAAGCCCGGCTGTATATAGGCGCAACATTGCGGTGCCACGGCAGAGCCGTGGTACCGTACAAAGTGCATATATCAGCCGCTACCAGTGCTGGCGCTAATAAGCCCGGCTGTATATAGGCACGCTTGTTGCGGTGCCACGGCAGAGCCGTGGTACCGTACAAGTGTGCATATATCAGCCGCTACCAGTGCTGGCGCTAATAGCCCGGCTGTATGGGCGCGCTTGTTGCGGTTGCGGAGCCGTGGTGCCGTACAAAAAGTGATATATATCAGCCGCTACCAGTGCTGGCGCTAATAAGCCCGGCTGTATATAGGCACGCTTGTTGCGGTGCCACGCGGCGGAGCGTGGTACCGTGCAAAGTGCGCATATCAGCCGCTACCAATCTTGGCGCTAATAAGCCCGGCTGTATATAGGCACGCTTGTTGCGGTGCCACGGCAGAGCCGTGGTGCCGCATGTTTTCTTTGTCGATGTACGGCAGGCCGCGCTACCAGTCTGGCGCGGCTGTATATAGGCACGCTTGTTGCGGTTGCCACGGCAGGCCGTGGTACCGTACAAGTCGTATATCAGCCGCTACCAGTGCTGGCGCTAATAAGCCCGGCTGTATGGGCGCTTGTTGCGGTTGCCACGGCGGAATACGTGGTGCCGTATGCGGTGCCACGGCAGGTGCGTGGTGCCGTACCAAGTCAATACTGCCAATCTTTGGCTAATAAGCCCGGCTGTATATAGGCACGCTTGTTGCGGTGCCACGGCAGAGCCGTGGTACCGTGTGCAAAATGTGCATATATCAACCGCTACCAGTGCTGGCGCTAATAAGCCCGGCTGTATAGGCACGCTTGTTGCGGTGCCACGGCAGAGCCGTGGTACCGTACAAGTGTGCATATATCAACCGCTACCAGTGCTGGCGCTAATAAACCCGGCTGTATGAGCGCAGCTTGTTGCGGTGCCACGGCAGAGCCGTGGTACCGTACAAGTGTGCATATATCAGCCGCTACCAGTGCTGGCGCTAATAAGCCCGGCTGTATATAGGCACGCTTGTTGCGGTGCCACGGCAGGCCGTGGTACCGTACAAGAATCGCATATATCAGCCGCTACCAGTGCTGGCGCTAATAAGCCCGGCTGTATATGGGCGCTTTGTTGCGGTTGCACGGCGGAGCCGTGGTACCGCCGCATATATCAGCCGCTACCAGTGCTGGCGCTAATAAGCCCGGCTGTATATAGGCACGCTTGTTGCGGTGCCACGGCAGAGCCGTGGTACCGTACAAGTGTATATATCAGCCGCTACCAGTGCTGGCGCTAATAAGCCCGGCTGTATATAGGCACGCTTGTTGCGGTGCCACGGCAGAGCCGTGGTACCGTACAAGTGTGCATATATCAGCCGCTACCAGTGCTGGCGCTAATAAGCCCGGCTGTATATAGGCACGCTTGTTACGGTACCACGGCAGAGCCGTGGTACCGTCCCGCGGAGTGGTAGTATGGTAGCGGCTGATATTAGGAGAAATGCAGCACGTTACGTGCTGCACAGCCTCTATGGTAATTTCTCGTAGTGCCGTCAGAAGTGCAGCACGGCACGTGCTGACAGTGCTTGCACGTCTCACGACTCAGCCGCGCTATGCAGGCGACTACGAGTAGTACGAATAATTTTCTATTGTATACTTATACTTTTCTTAAAAGTTGTACTACATGAATTTTTTGACGTGATTTTATTCACTTGTCAGTCAATTTTATTTATTTATGAATTATTATTTATTAGACATTTATTTTGTTTATTCTGCATGAACGTTTTTGCGGTTAGTTTATCAGTCTATTCAGTAAATTTTATCCATCCTACAGTCATAACTTCATTTACTGTATTCTACACCAATTGATTTTATTTATACTTTGCTGTATTATTATGTCAATATTGTGTCTTAGTTCATACGTAGGTCTTCACAGTTAGTCTTGCAAGTTGCAGTGCGCCAGTGAACGCCGGAAAAATTGCGGCCTTTTAATCCTAACAGCCTGATAAACAGCGCAATAAAACAAGAAACCGGCGTTTTATTTAAAATTTTTCCTAACGAATTTCCCTGGATTATCTCGACAGACTCGACAATTCTAACCACACATTCTTCTTCCATATTTACACCATAAATTAATCGATAATAAATAAAAATAAACCGTCACAATAAATACTTCAAAACGAACTAATTAATTCAAATTAACTGAATAATCAATTTAAATTAATTGTCGCAACATCGGCGGACCATGCATCCATCACAAAATTCATGAGTAGGCTAACAAAAATTGTAAGAATTGTCATTGAATTTAACCGGCCTGGAACTGGCAGACATTACCCGCATCCGTATCCTCAGTCTCGGCGGCGTGCAGGTTGGCCTCGTGGCCGGCCAGGTGCTGCCGGGTCGGCCATCTTTTTGGTCGGAAAGGGCTGCCGGCAGAAAACGCACGGCAGCGGCTCAGCTAAATCGTCTTGACCACTTTCACCTGCTCCTTGTCCACCACGATCTGGCCGTCCGCCTCCAAAACAGCGTTCCAGCTCCATGCAGAGCGCGCTGTGGGCTGAATGATCGGTAGTCCACCGCCGACCGCCGGCACCACCGTGCCTACAAAAAATATAAACCATGCAAAAAAATTTTACGAATAAAATAAATAATATTTTTGGATTTTAAATGAGGCATCTGGCAGAAAGGATTTTTATGAATTTTTAATCTGGCAAAAGCTACGAACAGAAAATCATTCTGGGGGAGAACCAAACAAAACAACGAAAAAGTTAACGCGAGAAATTAAATACTCAATCACTTTAGTATTTTTAAGTCATATTAGAAAAATTAATTTGGAATCGTAATCGATTATATCAACGAGAAAGCAAAACTGAAAACTTAAACGCCAAACAGCCTGATGATTATTATTTATTTAGGATCATAATTATTAAACTGTAAAATAGACAAAATGATAATAACACGTCCGCGAATGTAACACAATTATAATTTTTACAGAAACACAAGATAAAATATATTTTGAAAATGGGTGCCCATAATAAACAGGGTACGAAAGCCTATATAAACATGAGTGGGAAAGCGGAATTGCGTATTATACTAGTATAATAAAGGAGCCAACAAGTACGAATGAAAAATTTAGAAATTATCATAAGAAAATAACTAGAAAAAAATATTTAAAAAATAACTAATTATTTTTTTAAATAATTAGAAAATAAATAATTAGGCAAGCGAAGAACAAGCTAAGAGAAACTGCCACACAATGACAATGCTATATGCAAAAACCATATTACACGAAAAAGCATTACAAAAATTAAATTCAATAATTATATTTTTATAAACAGATAAAAATACCAGAATTAATAGGCAAACGGAAAACAAGCGCAGAAAAACTCATTCTCAATTCTCAAAAAACTCATATTCGACTCGTCGAGCAGCGCACTAACCTGGCCACCAAAAATATCCACAGTAATAATATGCATATGCAGGCGAATAAACGTGGGAATCGTATGGCACCCCAGCACCACCGGATAATGCGTTTTCGGTCTGATCTGCTCATCCGCAAAGCACTGCGCCCGCTGGATCATATGCCGCAACAACGCACATGCTCCGCCGTCCAAACCTGGACGGTGTCGATGGGCTCCAGGGGCAACACAAGATAATGGTGGTGGGACTTGGGGATGTTGTCATCGAGATACAGTTGGCGCGCAGGGTCCTGCGCGGACTGCAGGAGCTCCAGAAGCCAGCGCTGCTTGGGGATAGCTCCCAGAGGGTCTCCAGAGGGGGGCCGGTGACGCACCGTCCCGGGCCGGCGTCATAGGCGGAGAAGGAGGCGGGGGGCAGGCTGATCACTCATGATGGAGGTGATCACGGAGGTCTCCGTCTCTGACGCGGGGGAATTCCGAGGCGGGACGGCACTGGCATGATAACGTCGGAGAGAAACGCACAACCCCGCCACAGAGAGGAGCAAGATCACCGGGAGGATGTTGCGCGGCGGGGAGCGGCACGTTAGAGCGGGATTTCCTGCGCAAGAATTAGCAGGAGAAGGAACGACGTATTTGGGGGAAACGACGTTGCAGCGTGAAGCTTCATCTATAAATTTTTAAAACCAACAGCGATGCTGTATTGCAAGGCTACCGGAGTGCTACAAAAATTGTCGTACTGTACAAAAACCTGTGCAGCTTGAGTCTGGGAGCATTACAGATTTATATGGAAACTGGAAAACCGGCTAGAATTTAAAAAAGAACACGGGAACGGAAGGGATTCAAAACATAACAATGTGACAACATTCTTGAAATCTTCTATTTAGAATCCAGATTGACTAGGTAGAGTCAGGAAAGCTTTTCTACTGTGCAGAATAAGTATGTGCGGCCCTGCAGTGGTTACCCAGTACGCGCACCCATACTGGGCAACACAGCAGGTTCGGAATTTCACGAACGTGTTTAATTTCATCTCATCCGCCGCATTATAGCTAAAAAAATTTAGGAAAAAATTCAAATATGGAAAATGAAAATTTGCAAGTATAACGTTTTGAAACAAGCGAAATATTCAGATCATATCAAATCATGGTATAAAATCTCGGAGACTGGCGAAATGTTTTCGTTTTATAGCACAATCGTTACTGATATTAGGATAGGATATCTCCGATATCACGGGTTTAAGGATGGTCAGCATTCGCACATTCGCACATTGGTATACAAGGGTCAGTTGCTCTGGGTAAGCCTTACGCGACGCGTAAGCGGCAGTCGGGTAAAAAAACATGACGTCACGGCCGTAAGCAGGTAAAATTCTGGGATGGGTTTTCAGCTTACTCGTCCGTGTAACCGTTGCGCTTCGAGATCGAAGGGCAACCGTTACCCTAACTACGAGTAACTCGTAACTCTTCTGCACAGACCAACAAAATTTTTGTTTGTTTGAACATGCCTGTTTATTTTGTTCGTGCCTCCTTAATGTAATAAACATCGTGCCATTATTTATTACATATGTATTAAACCTTTTAACATGCTCGAAATCTTTAGACATTATTCATCCGTGCTGGGCTTGTATAGGACATTATATTGTATATAACAACCTTTATTGAGTTCTGTTTGCTGTTATGCGACAAAAACCTCTATTACAAATTAGGGGAAAAGGCACGCGTAACCTATTCTTTTTTGAAAAGTTTTGTAAACAAAACTTGTGCAACGGAAACTGCAATAAGGTAAAAGACCGCTTGCTCTCCTCTACTTTACATATGAATCTTTTTCTTGGTATAATTATCATATAAAGTCCTACACGCTTGCATGTATGTTTGGTAAATGATGTAATTTATATAATTATAATGGGTACTTTTAAAGTACCTATACGGCTCTATTTTAAAATTAAACAAGAAGGTTTAGAGTTTGAATGCAATATCTCCACTGCAGTTTCGTCGGTTTGATCAGTGTATTTAACTATTAAATGCAATGCCAAGTCCAACAAAGCCAATGATTATTCAGCTTGCGAAGCGATTTCCCGTTATCGACATTATCTCCTGATTGATAAGTAGATCACAAATCAACAGATAAAATTTATATAATCCACCAGAAACAGGGTGTAAATTAAATAGAAGACGGCAACTGCAAGTTTATCATAATATTTTAGCTTTGTGGCTCTAAGCGAATTCGGTTGAGCTATTAAATTAATCCGTTTGCATCGCCGTTTAAGGAGCCATCATGAACGCGCAATTAACGCCGCTATGTCAACATTCGGTTAAACCCGTGAAGAAGCCGCCATCTAATACTTGCAGTGCTTGTTTCATATCTCTGACGTCATATGATTTCATTATGATTACTGCATGATGTCACCTTTGACTTTCGATTACGGACTGTACAGGGATAATTAACTAGCCGATACAGTACTTAATAAAACCGGATAAGCCGGTTTTAATCGATAGTAGTTGGTCGATTCGTCAGGTTTCCTGTGGCCGGTAATTACATCCGAGCAGCATTTCCCGCGCGTCATTTATGGTTAGCAGTTAAACAGCAGTGACTATGTTGTTAGCAATATATCCTGCTATGAATAAACACGACGAATCACGATAGACCTTGTACTGCACATTTGTACTAAAAGTAAACCGCGATGTATCTGCAGATAAGACTGTTCGTGTTTGAACAGGAAACAGTACTCGTAGCTTTCAAGTTCCAAGCAGCTTTATCATAGTTCTCGTAATGTCGTGTAAAACACTGAATTCGATTGAGCGAAATTCCGGTAATCTAGCAAGTATACAAAACGCGGAAGCGGTCCCGACCCGAAGTAGCCAAATCTGTGACTGACTCTATCACGGAAAAATGACTTTCGCCAGTCCCTATGCCGACAAACCTAACACAGACAAGAAATATGATTCCGGGAGTACCGAAGATGTTCGATTCGCGGCTTGCTGCATACAAGGCTGGAGAAGTACCATGGAAGATGCCCATGCGGCCGTTCCTCATCTGGGCTTAGCCGTGAAGTGTTCGTTTTATGCTATTTTCGATGGACATGAAGGTGACACCGTCAGTAACTACTGCGCGACGCATATGATAGAATCCATTATGAAAACTGACGAATTCTCTCAACTTAAGAGTGCCGAATCATTATCCTACAAAAGCAGTGGCGGTTTAGTTGAGAATGGACTGATTAAAGCGTTTTTACATGTAAGTTGAAAACAGCCCGAAACATCGAGTACTATGACGCTTATGCGACGGTGGGTTGGGAGAACGGCCAGAGGACAGCCAGTGACCAAGTTCAACGCAAACGGAAAAGTGAAGGACCAAGTTAGGCCAACCTTTTGGGCTGGAATCCGCTGCAAAATTCCGTAATGACTAGCGAACTATATCAATCATCGACTGTAACCGACCAAATGAATTCGAACGACCTGCATAACGTGCGGGCTCCCAAACACGTCCACCTTAAATTTTGTCCACTAATGTCCAATGTATTCGAGGCAGCCATTGAAGTAAAAATACTGGCAAGCCGGATACTTTCGTCAGCATACCAATACGTAATGTATAATACAGCCGGACAATTTGATCGGCATACGAATTACAGAAGGACGAAGTGTCCGTCTGTGATTCGTTGCTCGTACATACCGAACGGCTTTTCCACAGTTTATTACAGTAACTTCTCTAAGTTCTATTGCCTGCATCAAATACACAAAAAAATTGGCGGGCAAAATTTTCGGTGGTCGGTCTTTGGGCACGCGAGCGCTTTGGTCAGCTGACTACCGAAACGTCCGCTGGTCGGTTGCAGTCGTCTGCGATTTCGTTGGCTGACATTTTCTCGTTTGTACTTTCCTCGTGTGCAAGACTTGACTCTCTTTTTACACTTTACTCGTTATTTTAATTTCTACACACTGAAGATCAAAACGGACGCTTTTAGTATGTATACTTCACGAGACAGTGTTTTTATTCTGTAGCTTGATGAAGAACTGCGACAAATTGCGTCCATTAAAGCGGGCACGGACCGTGCCGGATCCACGGCAGTCTGTGCCTTGGTGACACCCGACACGATCTACCTGGCGAACTGCGGTGACAGTCGTGGCATTCTCGTCGCCGCTGGCGCCATCAAACTGGCCACCTCGGACCATAAGCCAGTTCACGCCACGGAACGACAGCGAATCGAGAAAGCCGGTGGCTCCGTTATGTTCCAGCGTGTCAACGGCTCCCTGGCCGTCTCACGAGCGTTGGGGGATTTTGAATACAAGAACAACACGGAGCTGGCCGCGCCTGAACAGCTGGTCAGTCCGCAGCCGGACATCACGCACTGGTCACGAAGTCCGGAGGACGAGTTTATCGTGCTGGCCTGTGACGGGGTGTGGGATGTTATGAGCAATGAGGAGATGTGTCAGTTTATTCGACGACAGATGACAACAACGGATGATTTGCAGAGGATATGTGAGACACTCGTTGATACGTGTCTTCATCGGGTAGGCGTGACACATGTATCCGCTATTACTGTAACTCTTATCAGGTCATTTCCACAAACTCCGCTCCTTCCATTGATTTGAAAACCTCGTATCTAAGACGTACCCAACAAGTTCAAATTGTCATGCCACTGATATCATAAGGTGTTCTTAGCATTCCTGACTAATGCCGATAAGATCTGTTAGAATACTGATGAAATCTCTTTGCTGAACAGTGAACATGTATTGTTAATACGAGCATTACGAGGTAATTTCGAGTACTTATTACTTATAGATTGTATTTTCAGTAATATACAGCGCATGACAAAGATACGTACCCAGTAGAAATTGGACGGTCATCCGCGGTCTCGACTCATCTACTTATTTTTGTCGTGCACTGTACCTAATGGCCAGTCCTGCTGGCTAAGTGACCGCTGACGAATAATACACTTACCCATTAAGACCAATTCGGTTAACGTTGATTAAATTTTGTAATTCACTCCAAAGGCAGTATAAGACTCAGTACGTTCTGATAAGTCCCCCGTGGGGCGCTGAAATGTGCGTGACGGTTTTTTTCGGCGGGGCTGTAAATATCAGATACCGTTAGGTACTTCTACATGAACGAACAGAACATGTATCAGAATGGATATACTCTGCATGTTAGCGAATGCGACGGCAGCTGTTGCCCTGCCGAAAACCATTGCGCAGATTTGCGCTCGTCTTTTATAGCAGCACGGGAACTTCCAAATGTTTTCGTTATTAATTTGGCTATGCACACTTTCACTGAAGTTATTCTTGTGAAATGAGACTTCCTAACGCTGTTGTGAACAGATTTTGGAATATTTGTAATGTGCCGATTGTTTATTTTGAAGGGATCCCGGGATAATATTAGCGTGGTGCTGATTGCCTTGCCTGGTGCTCCAAAGGTCACCGAGGAATCTAAAGTGGCGCAGTCCGAAACGACGACAGCCAAGAATATAGATAATGTCAGCGTTGAGGCTGTTGATACAAAGTATGCTGATAAGTTGTGCCGCATTTCTTTCGATTTGCGAAAGGTGTGACGAACTGGGCATACTTTGCAGGAAACAAATAACGGAAGACGTTCAACGCCTGGGATTACTGTAAAGGAAGCATTGCCCCACATTAACAGATCCGTATACATGCGTATACCTAATAGTTCTTACAAAACATGGTCGTTCTGATACTTACAACTCAAACTGGTACCATTGAAAATGGTTTGCAAAACATTAAACAACGGTTCAACATATTGCAATATGTTGTAACTGTAATCAAGTGGTGTGTGTGTACAAGCCGGTCCGGAGTTAGAGCACGATAGAGAACAGCGAACAATGTAAATTAATGAGTTGCGCCAACTGTAGTGCAGTGGCTATCGACTAAGCGCTAACATCGCGCTTATTATGCGTTAGCTGTTCTTTATCGTGCTCTAACTCCGGACGGGCTTGTACAAGTAGAAGTGCATAAAAACGTATGTACTTTGCGCAGCAAGTTGGATGCCGGAGTGATATTTTTCTTTAAAAAACGCGGCCTGTACTGCGTCTTCGTTTCCCTATTTCAAAGAATTTCCAGTAAGTATTTAGAGGCTCGCATGCCTGTTGTACGGGTTACAACAAAATTTACAGCTGCGCGTTATTTATACTAAATAACCTTGGGAGGTGGGAGGGTAGGCGATCGCGCTGGGGTCCATGCATAAAACCAATAAGCCACATAATGTTACCTCAAAGCTGTTACTCGAAATACATGGACTTTTAATGTGTTACAATTGTACTGCGTCTGCATGCACTAAGCAATCTACTGTATTATTTTATTACAATTGTTAACTGCTATATCTGTACGTGCTGCATATAAAGTTTTTCCTTCGTATCTCACACTTAACCTTGCTAATTTCATTTACTAATGTAACCAGACAAAATGTTCATGTTACCCTAAGGTCCGTTTCTTTATCGTTAATTGTGTTACTAACAAAAATACGAGGTATTAAACAGTGGTGTCCTGTGAAGCATCAGTAATTTACTTGTAAATTGTGTGCTGGTGATGCCACGAAAAATGTTACTGCACTTAATCGTATGCCCGCAGAACAGACTGTTACTGTAAAATACTGCTGATATCGCTGGTGTAAATGCTGCAGCTTGGTACGAGTAATTTTATGTAAGCGTCCATATTGTTATTGCATGGTTTGCAGACGCCAAACCTGCGGGCCACGAATGCCAAACCTGCGGGCCATTCGACCGTAATTTCTTGGACCATTCACGTTCACATCACAATGGGATTAATCACCAGTGCTTGCATCATCACAAAATTCAATTGTCACAATTAACAAAATTTATCAGGATTCTAAGAGACAATAAGTGTGTGCTCACAAGTGTTGGCTATGCGCCGGAAGTACAAATCGATTAAATTGGGAACACAAAATCTGAAATAAAAAAATTCCCTAAACGTTTTATCTGAATAATCCAAAATTGAAGTTGGTGGCCTTCGTCGGCTGTTGTAGAGCTTGGATGGGTTGGCAGTATCCCAGTTTATTGGGGAATTTGGTACACTGAGTGGACGGCCGGCACACGTGACCCGGGAAAAGAACTTCACACGCCGAATCAACATCACACGCCTAGCAAAGTGCACAAGCATGAAATTCAAAAAGCGGCAACAATTAGCGCTGTTGAATTTATGTATTAAACCGGCACATGACAACGTATATCGTAGTATAATACTATATGTAATATCGTGACGACAACATATGACAGATTCTGATAAAATGATAAAATGGGAATAGAGGACATTATTTGGCGACATTGCGATTACGAATATACGGTTTGGCGGAATAGAGGACATTATTTGGCGACATTGCGATTACGAATATATTGCGAAAGGGAAGGTCAGTTGCTAATATACTCTTATTATAACAGATTAATACAGTAACATATAGTAAGAAGGTAAAAACTTTGTATGCAATCTCATAAAGCTTTACACGGACGTTATACGTTATAATGATGTCTACTTACCCAGGTCATTCCCACGGAAAAACTCATGTCCACCCAGCAGACGCATCTTCCCTTAAAACATGTGGTGCCGGCATCCGAACAATCGGCCAGACCCGAACAGACTTCATCCTTACTAGCCGCTGAAAGTAGTATTAATAAACTCTGTAGTGTGTTACACCAAAAAACTGCTGCAAATTATTACTGTATTAGACATTATTTTAATCGAGAATTAAATGAAGGGATAAACCGTAATACACTGATACACACAAGCGTTTATACAGGTAAAAGCAAACGTTTTTATATATGGAGTTTTTGTAGTCTTACCAATAATATTATACAACGTAGAAAAAAATATATAACCGCTTTCTTACCATAAGCAATTCCGAGGTAGATTGTTACAACGGCAAGTTTTCCCACAAGTGAGGCCATATCGATGGAATCTTACTGGAGTGAACCCGTAAAACACGATACCGGCACTGTTCGACAAACCGTTCCGCGGTAGAATTCTTCTTAATTTGTGCCCAGAGAACATCGAAACAGTCATCACTGATTTCTTTTATATATACGTGAACCATCTTGGAAATCTTGTCAGTGAGTGGTTATTTAATTCCGTATGATCATGCCAACACTGACATTGATGCTGCGATTGCACAATGTCCCATACACCGTGCGGCTATTGTTAAATTTGTTGTCAACAAAATTGCATACTTGTACTGCGGCATTAAAGGTGCTGGTGCGGTATGTGTTTCCGGCGTAACAAACATGCAGCCACATCCGGATCCAGCGGCATGGCACGTCAGTCCGTACAGACACGACTTAATTACGAAAGACCGGCAACACAACCAAAAACAGCCATAAACATTTTTAACCGGACTCGCTTTGCTCGTCGTACCTGGTATACGCGCTAAAATGCAACCGCGCGTCAGCAGAAAAAGTCGTGACGTGGATCACGTAACTGCACATGTTTTACATAACAAAAAATTTGCAAATTTGCAACAATCATATGCATGATGGAGGTATGATGGAAATATGAATAATAATGACGAGAAAACAGATTAAAGGGGATTTTGCATAGCTGAGGCATGTACTTGTCATAATAACTCCCAAGAATAAAAGCGTAGTGCTGCCGGCAAAAGCATAACTAGATGTTACGTTCCCTGAAGTACAGTGATGGGTGGCAGTGCAAGAACTAAAAACACACTACCGTAGTCAAAACGGACTGCATTTGACAAGTGACGTCCTTACAGATCCTGTTTTGCACAAGTGTCGGCATGTTTCCGTTCACCTGACGAACATAAAAAAATGTTTCGTCCGCGTATACATATAACTGATATCAATGTTATAAATGAAAGTAATGTGCCGGCACGCCCTTGTTTGTGCGTATTATACCAAGCTTCTAACTGCACGTATGATGTAGCTAGCAAGGTTAGTAATTTATGTACTGCAGCTGAGTTTGTTTAAAAACGAGAATATCCATATTTTGCGCAACGGGAATCGAATGAATTATAATAATAATAATCATAATAATTTGAGTAACTAATTCTTATCAAGTGAGAGAGTTGCATTATGTTGTGCCAGCTGGTGAATATGCATGCTTGTGAGTGTCATTAAATACTTAAATATTTATATGCGATCATACAAAACTGCAGAATAATCACTTGAAAAACTACCTGCCATTAACTGAAATATTTTGTTGCAAATATCTTAATTCCTGTCTTAACCAGACGGGAAGTCTGGAACTATGATAAATTAAACGAACCTGTTTACAATGTGATTGATTTTGATTTTATTGCCGGTGTCCCCACAACAACGACGGACCTGCTGCACTAAAACTGCATTTATAGGTCGCTTTTAGGTCCGATTAGCAGTCCGTGACCTTTCGGTGTTCCCACGATGTATTAGTGTCACAAGGTATTATGCATGCTGCATGTATAGCAAACTGACGATATATTAGTTTGCGAAATAATAGCTTAACCCTAGGCCTTGTGGTCTGTATTTACACTTTTTTAATTATCTTCTCTAATTTGTTACAATTGTTAATACAGGCATTATACAGGGGTACGGCAAATCATTACGAATCGATAGAATTTGTAGTGCGGCGGCTCCCATTATATCCAAAGATGAGAAGTACGAATTACTCGTAATACATGGGGATAGCCGATAGAGTGTGCATAAATATGCCTCTTGAAATGTTTAACAAACGATTTCATGAGATGGTTTCTCTCCTTTTTACGCCTGTTGAACATAACTGTTATAATACTGCATAGCACTTGTTTTTATTAAATGTATTCAAAAATGTTGTATATTGTTAGTAGGATCCTCTCCCATTACGTTTGGAAAATTAATATCGAAATATTTCGTACAGATTCATATAGTATAGTTCAGATTCTCAAACTTCCAGTTGCAAACTTACAATAAATTTTACTAAATCGTCGACGTCAAGGAAAATTTGCCTATATAATTACAAATTAAAATTTGAATGCATTCAAAATTTTAATGATTTTTGTGATCTTTAAGAAGGGCGTAAGTGTCACCCGCCCAGAGACGCAACTGGAAAGTAGCCACACATCAGTTGTCCTCGCTGCTTTCTTAGCTTTGCTGAAGCAGTGCTTTTTTTGGCTTTTCTTTTCCGCTTTGCAACAGCAAATTGCTAGTTGTCATTAGTTTTTGATTACGACTGATTAATTTGTTTTTGTCTTCATCATCATTTTAGCCGTTTCGACCATTTCCATCGTGTCGACCGCGCGCTAGTTCGCTGGCCATTCGCTTCCTCACCAGCTGATGATCAGCATGGCGTGCAGCTGCAGGAGTCCCTTCTCAGCTGAGCACCCTGATAATTTACGTGTTCTGGAGTTGTACTCCGGGATTGGTGGGATGCACTTCGCATTAAACGGTACTCCTGCTAGCGCACCATATTTCTTTCGTACAAAAACTCCTCCCTTGGTGTTTGTAGGGGCCCTGGAGCGTCTGCAGACCGATGGTGGGGCTCCGAGAACCGTCGGGAATGAAAGTGCGAACATCAAAGTGCGAGCTGTGGATATCAGTCCAGCCGCTGCCCGTGTCTATGCCCGTAATTTCCCTAAAACCCCCGTCCAACCGATGGATATCCGGGTAAAGATGAACTGAGGATTCTGCTCTCTGATGCTTATTCCGGACAGCGATTTATTTTCGAATAAGGAACACTTTCGTATCTTTAGAGTTTAGATTTGATACGGTTGATAATTCTTTGTTGGTTTCAGGTTTCTGAAATATACTTTAAACATATTCTTAAAAATAAAACATCAATAATTTTTTTCCAATTTACTCACTAAACTCTATACAGAAAAATCCGTAAGTTTTAATTTATTGTAAAGTAAATACTGGAAGATTTGTTTATCTGGTGTCTAGGCACTCCGGACGGAGGATTTCGAAAATTTATGGATGCTAACCATGAGTCCGCCCTGCCAGCCGTTCTCTAGGTGAGAAAACACAGCGCAGTCAGTCTTACAGTTAGCAAAATATTATTTGTGATAATTAAATTTTACAGTATGTTTTCGGTAAAAGTTTGGTTCGATTCAGTAGGTATTCAGTACAATACTTTTTTCCTTTGTGTTTATTTCCGAAGCATTTTCTAAAACTATCTGTCAAAATCTTGAACGTTCAAGATGGTTTTTCTGATTTAAGTTTGCTGAAGATTTAAGAATAATAATTTGTGCAAAACCATATAACCGCTTTATCAGGGCAAAGTAAGCGATATAACCGATAAGTTGACTCGAAATTTTGAAGAAACCGTAGTGACAACGTAGTACGGTGGCATTTTGAAAATATAGGAATATCAGTTTGTTGGATGGTTATCACTATTATAAATTTCGCAGTGATTTCGTGATGGTGACAGAGGTTTCGTGGCTTGGTTAATGGTTTTATTTTTCTTAAGTAAAGTCTCAGTTTAAGTCTTTTTGTGATTTATAAGCGCCCGCTATGTTGCGAAACAGGGAGGCCGGATGGTTGCTCTCTGAACATATTTTAAAATAATATTGATGTATGGCGAATTCTGGACTTTACCAGATGGAGTCTCCTAGCATTTGTTTTCAGAAATGGCAAATTTTTAGACGTGGATGATGACCGATGTGAATCGTTTCTGTTTGTTCTGGATCAGTTATCGCGGTAAACATTTCCCGCTACATATGGTGTTCATATTTGTCCATAAGTGATGAACGGTATTCCTACAAAAATCCATTTTTTTAGGGTTAATAGGCCTCCTTCGTTTGTTGTGATGGAAAATGTTAAAGGTTTTGAAATTTCCACGGCGCATACCCAACTGGTCCAAGTTTTAACATCGCGGAATTATCACATAAAGGTATGTAGGTTTACTCTTTTGAGACTCGAAATTTTAATATCAAATACTCCTCTTAAGTTCTCCTCTTTGGTCGTTCATGTGTTTTTGCCTGAATCAGAAAATTCATAAAGCTCTGATTTTTAATAAGTTTTTGTTTTATTATTATCTTTCATGTAAGATTGTGAAGGGCTTGTTTTTCTTTTTCTCTAGGAATTTTTATTGAATCCAGTAGATTTCGGTTTTCCGAATTCCCGACTTCGTTATTATCTCACTGCAGCCCATTGTTCATCGCCTGATACATGCGATAATATGTCAGGATGCCGTACCGCGGTTCCCACGTCCCAGGAACGATTGGAACAGAGTATTGAGGAATGAACCCATACCGGCAGTCCAACGCAGATTCCTTGGACAGTTACTTTTCCTCCCGGCTCGATGAACAGACGCTTTGTGAAGTGGAACGTTCCTGTTTAATACCGATCGCCACACTCGCGCAGCATATTGCGGTTATGGATATTAAACATCCTCAAAGCACAACGACGAACTGTTTTACAGCAGGGTAAGAAATTTATCAGTAACTTGATTGCATTCGCACCGTGATGCAGATTTTTTGGGGGTTGTTGTTTTGGAAGTTCTCAGTAGGTTCTATTGTTTTTTACTATAATTTTTTTTATAGATATGTACCGTATAAACACGAGTAAATCTGAAAGATAGGTTTTGTGAAATCCGGAAGACTGTCTTTTCGCAAAACTGTCGACACCAAAACGGTTTTATTTTCGGGAAATTACTGATGTCCTTCTCGAAGCGAGGTGGCATAAACTCAGCAGAATTAATATGTGTAATCTAGAGTCTGAAGTGGTTTTCTGAAAAAAATTATGAGTTTGTAGTGAACAAGCAGAACAAGTTTCTTTTCTAATTCTTGAACATAGCGGCATTTCATAGCATCTAGAAATGTCGAGCCTGTTCGAGCCACCATACTACGTCTTTCAGCTAGACTGCTGCAGAATGAATTCTAATTTACTTTGTTCCCAGTTACGGCCGCTATTTGAAGGGTACCGGCTCGGTATTCTGCCCGTTCCCAAAAGAAAAAGTAAGCTCATTCTGCTAGTACTCTGCAGTAGTGCCTTTGTTTATCGTTTGGTCTAACACTGCATTTCTTCGTAACGCTATGAGGGCAGTATGTGATCGATTTTATTCTGTCATAGTTTGATGATCTGATGCGAAATGTCATCGATTCCTGCGCGGATGAGCTGAAAAAACTGGCCTTGACGGATATGAAATTGAGATTCTTTAGTCCCGCTGAAATTGCCTGTCTTATGGGATTTCCGAAGGGATTCGGTAAGGATTTTGTGGGTTTTGTCATTTTTCATTGTCAAATAGATTGGTTTTTGTTGTTTTGTGTAAATACTGTCAGCATCAGTCAATTGTCGTTTTTGCGCATTGACAGGAGTTTTGCTTGTCTAATGCTTCGTCATGTTGCCGATTACATAAGTTATTGCTTAAGGTTTGGTAATAATTATGGATTATGATAAATCGTGGACAATTTGGTTGTGCGAATTGTAATATACTTTTTAATGAATTTGCGTAGCATTAAAACCTTTGAAGCTCGGTTTAAATTTTATTAGCAACGGTTCACCATTCATTCACTTCCGTTTTGCTTTGTGCGGCCTGATAAAATCAAATTTTCATTACAGCTTGTTTGATTAAAAATGAAATAATTTTATTTCTTAACGGCTGTTTTTTAGCAAATACTCCTATGAATTAATCCTCGTTGAGCAAACTGCGTAGAGGAAGAGGTTTGGGCTGCTTGTCACTGTACTACGAAATTCGTTGATACTTGTTACTGTCTGTTATTTCTCCACGTTGCTTCATTTAAAACTTAAACTTCACAGCTGTACATGAGCGATTGATTTAATATTTTTAGTAATTCCGGAAGATTTGTCGAACCGTCAGGCATGGAAATTACTGGGGAACAGTTTGAATGTGCACATCGTGTCTCTCCTCATGTATTTGCTGTTGACCAGTGAATAACGTCAGTGAAATTTGTTTGATTTGCCCTTGTTTTTACAAGCTCCTGTGGTACATTTGGGTTGTTGTTAGTTTAAGATATTTAGACTTCTTTGATGATTTTTATTGGCATAATAATTCTGTGTTTTACTTGCACAGTTGCACTAACTACATTGAAGTGACTAAGAAAAACTCGTGGATGCGCTTCCAGTTGCCTATTGGTTGTTTTAGAATTGTTTGTTACTGTGCAGTACTGAAATTTCTTTAAACTGTTATCCACGGACATTTTGGTTTTGAACTGTTAATGTGTGAACGTTTAATAAAACAATTTCTGTAACAGCGTTATCGCCTTTTTGAATGATTAACCGAAACTTTAGAATTTACGCTGAAGTTTTGTTTGATTTGTTTTATGTTTTGAAAGGTGCCGATCTATTATAAATTTAAAAAAATATTATTTTAAAAAAGAATTTGCTTTGCTCCATAGTCCCCGCCACAACGGCCCATAATAATCCAGATTATTCCACATTTTTCGGTATATTTATTGAAATTTTAAATTATGAAAGTTATGTCCATAAAAGTGCACTATGAGACCATGTTGTTGCAGCCTGCAGATACAACGCAGTTGTAGTATTAGCATAGTGGCAAACACGAAAATACGTCTTCTTCAGTTTTGAACACAAGAAGCATAAACGATGAAAATTTACAATTTTTTTTATTTGTTTTTGAAAAAGCTGTACATGATCCAAAATCGATTTCTTGCTTCTACACTCTACAGCACCGCTGCAACGGTGTTTATTTTTTATCTACAGTAGTTTTGCGAATTTACAACATTATTACCTATTTATGTTTTTTGGAAGTGAAACTCAAAACAGCGCCGATCTTAAACAACAGCAGAAAGTGGTGTAGTGCTCCGTTGAATTAAGTCAGTTCAAACTTAAGGGTCGCTTCAGGAGTTTGAGCAAACAGGATTACTTGACCTTTGATGATATTATTTGTGCTGTGCGTATATATCGCGCATCACATTCCACGGTAATTGTAGACACACTTTAAACACGATAGCCATCATTTGGCGCTGTACAAGACGGGTAATCGTAGCCGTAGAAAAGCGATTATACACACACTGGATATAGTGTTCCGTTTAAATGCCTGCTGCCGGTCAGCCTAAAGGGGAGAAAAATATGATACGATCCGTACCATTTCTGCTACTGTGTGAAATCAGCTTCCGATCGTACGCACTGTGTGCATCATGGCTGTGAAATTACAGCGGCGTGTCAACAAACTGTCAGCATCTTTGATTAAATCTATCTCTCGTATACAAGTAACCGAGACGGAATTTTGCACCAAAAATTTATTACGCCGGTGGAACGCTGGAAGCGATGTGTGTGTGATTTTGGGATGCTGATAAACGCCCATTCGATTAGTACATGCTTCGTCGAAAATTATTTGAAAGCGGAAAATGCAGAACCACACAAAACTGCGGTAGTAAATCTGGCCGAAACTTTTTGTCGTAGAGTTAAACGTAAGTTCGTCAGAATAAACTGGCCGCATAAAAAAGCGGATTACCTAAATCAGTATTACCCTTTGTACCTACTAAGGCTTGGTTAAAATAAAAATTTCTTGCAATTGCTATTGCCCACTTTATCGAACAGAAGAGTACCGTTGAGCGTAGTGCAGTGGCGCTCTTGCACTGTTTTCGGGTTTCAAGACAGTTTAATCATTCATATTCAGAACTCGAATAAGTGCAATTCTTTTTCGATAGCTAGTTGTATTTTGCAGAGCATACATTTGTGCGAGGTGACTTGATCTGGCCTGTCAGTTGGTTCACAGTTTTTTAATTTTTTGGAATCAGTTCTATGGAATATTATGGAGTTCGGAAGCACAGTCGACACTGTTTCCATAAACTTATAACGTAAGTCATGTAACAAAGCCGTTTAAGGTCATCGTGGAATTGATCCGAGATTTTTTGCTAACAATAATAATATCTTTAACGGCACACTAACCCAGTTTGCACAGTTAAGAATTGACTAAATGGACGCAGCATGGGAAGTGGCGGATAATTTTCCCGCTATTTACCGTGTACATAAACGACAACTGAATAGACTCTCCGCTCCGCCCCTCGACCACCACCGTACTGGTCAATACAGCAGGCAACCCATTTCCTAATCAATTCGGCAGGGGCAATATGTACATTTATCCAATGCGGAAAATCAAAATGTAAAAATAACACGCTTCCACAGTTCCTCTACGTCCGCGAATAACTCCCCTACATGGCCACTTAATCCGCTATGATTGCACTGCATACACAGAATTATAAAAGTAGTGTGTATTTCCGGCCACAAGTGTCCCAATCGGCAATCAGCCGGCAAATCCGCTGGTGTTGTATTCGGGGTATCGTGTGCGTGTTCCTAATCCGTGGCGGAGAGGATGTTGTTAAATACACACACATACACAGCTGTTTAACGGATTGCCACTTCTCAGCTGTTGCGCGTGAGCTTTAGCCGGGACTGGACTGATCGCCAGGAAACGTGCGTGTATATTTGGCTGCTAATTTTGTGTAAACGATAACGCTTTTAGGAAGATCGGTTTTCGGCCGGGTGGTTTTTGTATAGATAATCGTGATTGTTTTCAGTGACTTTGTGATAATCGGTAAGAACGTTATCCGCTCGATTATAACGACTTTATGTATTTCATTAAATTATGATTGTTATATAATAAAAAACGGTTTTATGTGGATTGCTTACTGTAGATGCTATTCAAATCCATTACCGGCTGTGCTTGCACCACAACATCAAGTCAAAAGTCGACGTAGTGCACTGGCTTTGCTTAGTCCTCTCTCTGACCTGCCGAAAGCAGAGCTATTTACCAAACCAGCAGACCTGAACATATTTGAAAAACCTTGTTTAAATTTTTTCCCCAGCAGATCTAAGAATAAATTTAGGAAACTTTCCGTTTAAATTTTTTTCAGTTCTATGAGAAAATCTTAAATGATATAATTTCTATAAAATTTAAATATTTTGTAGTCGTTCCAAAAAGTGGCAAAAGTCGAGGTTATAATACCAGAAAATCGCGAATTTTTACGTAAGCTTAAAAGTCTTACGTAAAGATTAAGCTTACGTAAAAATTTTGAGCCTTGTTTAGTGGAAAATTGGGGCCTTTATTTCCAACAGGTGACTAACTCTGACGATGCGGAACATTTTTCCCACCCCACCAACTATTTTCCATAATCTACGGCACTGCTCTATGCTTATAATATTGTACGCCGAGCGGACTGTACTCGACACCACTGCTGCCATCTGATCCGGGTCGATGTCGATTGTCCATCAATACATTTTTCGTTATTGTTATAAACGCTCTTGTAAGCCATCTCGGTTTACCCGGCTGCAGTGCAGATACAATTAGGTATATCGCCGGTCTGCAGTCCATCATCGCCGTCGTTGTAAAAGGATTTCATTATGTGGCGAGCATAATTGCTAGGAATATTTATATCACCCGTTCCGCCCATTTTAATTTATCCGTCTCCACTGACCAGTGACCAATATCGCCGGCAGGGGCAGTGATTCATTTGACACTGATTGCAGCGTTATATTGATGGTGGTGTCGGTGGATGGATTGATATTGCCAATTTCCCGGGCATTATTCAGCAGACAATCGCGGAATATTGCGCTCTTCCGGTCGTTATTAATTTTCATTATTATGCCGAAGTAAATAATACGTACTCTTTTACGCGATGGTGATTTTTTTGTGCGGTGCAGATTTCTAGAAAAAATAATTTTGCAGTTTTACGCAGATTGCGTTTCCCGTGACGTGTGCTGTTATATCTAGCTAACAGTGAAGAAGTTTCCTGTGAACGATCTGTGCCACTGTACTACGACCGCGTTGAACTATATCTGCAGCAACATGGTCTCATAATGCGCTTATACGAGCTGATAAACTTTTATAGTTTACAATCGCTAATAAATATGCCGAAAAATGTGGAATAATCTGGAGTATTATGGGTTGCGGTGGGGACTATGGAGCATGATATTGGGATGGGCGTGCGCTTATGTGGATGAATGGAGCCCCTGTAATGTGCAGGAAGCGCGCGTCAGCACGGAACGACCTGTTGCCCTCTCGGGGCGTTGGGTGTCGCGCCGGTAAGTGGTCCCAAAAATTTGTTTGAATTTTATTAATATTCAAGAATTGCCATTTTTTGCACGAGATGTGTTACACTGAAAATGCGGATCCGGTTCTTTTGAAATTCATATTTTAAAAAGTTCTGAAAAAATCAGTTGTTTTCTAATTTTGTATTAATCCTTTGGTCTTAAAATACAAAGCCACCCCTGCTTTGTTTATTATTGTATGTTTGTGTCTAGTTTTATAGTTTATTTTTTATTTTTCATGTGTTTGTTTTTCTTATCCATTATAACTTTTTTAATGTGATTTTCGGATTATTTTGTCACAGTACTAGTGATGCTTTACGTAAGTGCTGTGTATTTGTCTTCCGCACTCCTCTTTCTTTATGATCAGTGTGTGATCTTTCGCGGCTGGGTGCACTTGACAGGGCGCTTTATCAGTGAATTATGGTAATGAGATGAAGTGAAGAGTGGATCCATGCCGGCGGCGGAAATATTCGCCGGCATGGATGAGTGCATGTTAGTTTAGATAACCAGTTGATGTTTGTTTGAGCTTCGGCTACCGGTGTTGTTACGCTCTCCCCAACAGTGCCTCTGCACACCTTTGGTCCTCATTGCGCTGCAGCTGTAGCTTTTTCTGGTTTGTTGCTACAAAGTAGAAAAAGGTTTTCCTAGGTTGAAAAAACTCGTTGACTTTTAAAACATTGTTTTCTGAACATCGTTAACTGTATATATTTTGCATACGAAATGTTCATACATTTTCAGTTCATACGAATATTGGGGAAGAGCTAGCCCTATCTCTACAAGTGAAACAGCTATATTCTGTATATAAAGGCGACACCAGCCTACATTAGAGTTTGATAATATTAAATTTTTAGACATTCATTTTGGGTTTTTTTGAGAAGATAGAGCTATTTGTACTTACTTAGTTTCGAAAATAATATATCTGCGGGATTTATTTGAGTTCTGTACGAGCAAAAGGACAAAAAGATACTGAATCTAGTTTTCCAAAAAAAATTTAATTAGATTATCAGAGTAGGCATCCAGAATGTTTTCTAATAGCCTCCCATAGTGAGGCGGAAAAGTTTAGAAATAATAGAGTGGATTTTACAAACAGTGTCACTCGGTACACCATCCGTACATAAACACGTGTAATTATTGCGTGCAACGATAATTCATTGCTTTCTTTGACGTATTTTCGAGTTGGACAGAATTTAAATAGTATTAACATAAATTGGAATTTTTCCTTGCTTATTATTTTTCATTATTATTAGTAACAGTTTTGGAATAATATGATTAACATCTAAGTTTGGAATTTTTGGAAGTGGGGAAATACTAGCATGGAATTTTTCTGAACATAAGAATAAAAAGTTTTCAGTTGAGTTTTCAAAAAATGATTAAAGTCGTATTACGGTATAAGTACCGGCTGTGCAAATGCGCATTGCCATGGGTAACGATTTATCCTTTAGGTTTTTCTTTTGAAGTGGTTTGCACCCGTGAAAGTCAACGCACTTGTAATGTTAATAGCCAGCTAATGCGATAATGCGGCGCTGACATATTCATAACTGTTGCAGGAATCGATTGGCTAGTCTACTGTAAACTATACAAAAATATTTAATATGTACAGCAAACTTGCGTGCACTTGATTTTCCAACTGGTCAAGTTGCCCGTTCGCCTTGATGAAATAACCTGCTCTTGGCCGCACTGCTTGAAAGCGCTACGATATGTATCTGTATAACAATAACTTTTATATACCTCGACGCTTTTTTAACATTAATAAAAATATCACTTAATTGTATTTTAAAAAGTTTATTTTATGGTTTATGTCATACAGACAGGTACGAATTTCCGTAGACTGGAAAACTGTTATTTAACTCCGCCCGATAGTGTTTTAATAAGAAATTAATTGTGGGAATTTTCGTAGTACTGTGGCTGTCAGGCAGACATATACTGTTACTGGTGCCGTCACACCGTGACATCGAAAAAATGCACCAGAAGTTAAAAAATAAACAGAAAACATTTTTTCCGCTCTTCAACTTCGATACATTTTTTCCCGAACTGATAGCTGCAACTTCGGGCTAATAATTATCCTACGTTTAAAAAAGGGAATTTTCAAGTTGGATGGGATCAGATTTCGGGAATCTTTATATTCACTTACATACATATATTTCTGCTAAGAGTTACTCATACAAAACTTATATCTGTACACTGGTTTTAAAAAAGTTACAAAGCAGCTGATTAATCCTCTCGCACAGTGAGTACCATTTAACTGCAAATTTGCAATACGCTCTTGCGAGCGCTCATTTAATTTAATTAATTAACGTGTATCGCAGGTGTGAGCTGCGTGCCGGTCCCCACTACCTCCTGCGTGCCTACGAATTCGGCTTCAATACCTCATTTTTTCTACACCAGTTCTACTACGCTGACAACTGCGTCACGCCCCTCCATTCCCTGACCATCCGCGGTCAGCTGAACGAGATGAAGAAGTCCTGGCTGCTGCCCGGCGCCATCGACATGGACTACACCCTGACCCAGGTCACCGTCATGCCCTACAGCGCCGAGCATGCCGAACGCCTGCAGGCGGCGGTCCTGCACGTCTGTCCCCTGGCGCGCTTTTCCGCCCAGCCCTGGACGGCGTACGAAGCCTACGAGGTCCTGCATTTTGACGCCCATCCCACCCCGCCGCCCACCAGCCACCCGGACGGGGCGGGGGTCACGCGGATCGACGTGGAGTTTGACTGTCTGGAGGCGTTGAATTTTACCTTGGATGAACTGCAGTTGGTGCGGCTGCAGCGACGCCGGTGGGTGACGGTGGGCGGGGCCAGTGTGAGTCGCAAGGAGCTGCTGACCGGGGAGAGTGTGCGGGGTGTGGCGGGCGTCGGGGTGGATCCGGCGGGGATGGATGGACAGCGGCCGGTTAGTTATTTGCCGGATTTCTTGGTTAAAGTGGAGGATGAACATGAGGTACTGTACAGTAATAACTGCAAAGTGGTCCGATATTTCAGTAAATATGTTAATATTAGAAAAGCCTAGTTCTTTGGTTTTGTATTAGGAAACCGTTATAGGCAGCCCCTAAAAGGCTAAAACCTCCGTTTATTATAGGCACCCCTTTTCGCACCCTGTTTATTATAGGCACCCATTTTTGATTAATATCGTACATATTACTACATGACCCGAGTCACCCGAGATGTTCAAGCTCTGGTAGCCTTCCCTTAAGTAAAATAGTAAAATGTTTTACGAATGCGTGCACTATAGAGAAAACGAAAAACACGGCTCTGGAGCTCGTATAACCTGCGAAACCAAGGCCCAGCTCGCATCAGGCTTGCAGCCAGCATCCGCGGTCGCGTCCTATGAATACTAGATAGGAGACGAAATCGACCATAACCATCCACTGACAGAAGGTTGGAAAACGTTAGCGGGAAATCGCCGCCCTAGCCATGTTCAGTCACAGAAGGTAGCATAAATGCAGAAATCCTTCCTGCCAGGGCAATTCAGCGACAGATTGCTAAAGAGACCGGTAAGGGTGTCACAGCCCAAGTTATACAAAACCCGCAATAAGGCGAAAACAGTTGACCGTGGTGAACGTACGGAAGAGGGAATCGTTACATGTTAAAGATCTGAACGCTTTCGTGAATGTGGAGCTGCCTCACACCGGAACACTAACGTGGTCCGGTGTCGCCGCATGTCGAACTGCAGCTTCCCTGGCTGTACGGTGGCGAACAGAAGCCGGTCACTGTAGCATTCCAACTGTCGAGCTTCTGCTGCCGGGGTCAAATCAGTGCGTCGCGATGGCTTTTTCCTATATTGCTGTAATGATCTGCGCAATATCGCCCGCGAACATTTGTATTCACAAAAGCCGCGGCTCAAAAGTCTTACAAGCTGAGAAAATCACAAAGTGATAACGGCTTGGAAGGAAGCCAATGAATGACTGACCAACGCGAAAGATGACCTTGTGGTCACAGTAGAAGGGGCGATACTAATTCGCTTTAAGCTGGCTGATTTGCCGAATCGTTTTTATTATGGTTACGGCTTCTTAAATTTCTTATTTCTTTTCTGAATTTTCCTTAAGTGCTTTACATGATTTTCATAAGTAATTTATAACGAATTAATATTTTGTTATTTCTGCCGATATCTCTGGTGATAATTATTATATCGTCGCAGCGGTACGCTGCTGTTTACACCGCCACTTACGTTATGTATCACATACGCGTGTAGGTGAAGCAATACGTTAAAATTGACAATTACAGTTAATTTGGATGTTATCGTAGTGTAACGGTTCAGTAATAGCGGGTGTCATTCCAAGGCATGCGATATGAATTTACTCGTGTAATAACAATATTAATTTAAAAATCTGTTTGAATTTTTTTCCGTTCAAAAATAAAACTACCCGCATGTGATGGTATTTGTAATTTTGGAATTAAATCCGAAGGAAAAAATGGCTGTAATATCATAGTACTGTATGTACCGGCAAATTTGTTTTAACGGTCGAGACACATCCTTCTGCAGTTAATATCAATTTCCGGATCTTTAACTGGCTGACAGAAGTACACTGAGAACGCACAGAAGTAATCAGAATTTATGTGTAAAACAAAATTAATAATTGGTAAAACAGAATTTTTTTAAGAAAAATAAGAACAAGTAGAATTAGTACAGATAGAATTTAAGGAATTCAAAGTCCTTAAATTCGGAATGCTAATTGATGCATTTTCCAGTTTGCCGACTGCCCGGTGTGCGCCGCCGTTGACTCCACCATCAGCCCCTCCTCCCCACCCATTCTCAACGCCTCCACCCACCCGCCGCCCTACCCCCTCTCGGACCTCTCTGGGAAGTTCACCAGTCTGGCGGAATGCGAATCCCGTCCTTCCGGCTCCTTCATCCGCCGCACCCTGACCCTCCAACCAGCCACCCAGGAGTGGCAGGGAGAATACCAGCACTTTACCGAACCCGACTGCCAGCAGCGCTCCTTCACAATCCTCGGCTACGGGACGTTTAATTTACAGGAACCCTACCCACTGCTGCCCATCGCCCAGAAGATCGATTTCCTGGTGATCAATGCCACGGTGACCCCGCATCTGGATTTCGTTCTGCAGCAGCTGTCGGCATCCAATCAGACGGAGTGCGGGATCGGACCGTGGCTACTGAACCGGCCGAAGGATATCACGCCTACCCAGGGGTGCAAGTTACTCGGATTGACCATTCCCAATGCGGATTTCAATATTGTGCGGGTGGAACGTGATGTGCGGAATAATACGCTGCTGTTTCTGGGACAGGATTATCAAGATCCCCCGGTGGAGGTACGAACTCCTTGTTCTACTGCTTTTTTGTGGACTTCTGAGTTCGATCGTCGTATTTCAATAAAATTGAACAGAAACGCTGCGAACACTTTTTTTGTGGTTTGGATTCATTTTTCTAGTTTTTCCGTAACTTCACATTTTAATTCATAATTGCAGCGTGTCGATTAACGCTTTTTTTTTCAAAATTTGCCACCTACGGGATATGTTTTATGGTTCAGCTGCTTTCGATATTTTTATTACTTCACAAGCAATAACTGATTGCTGGGTTATCGGCAGTACATGCTTCCATGAAATGTTGTTAATGTGGCACTTAATTGTTAACCAAAATTTATTCGGTTTTCAGATGTTTAATGTTTCACAGTACGGATGTTTTTTGTGCCCATGTGCATTTTGGCAACAAAACAATTTAAAATTTTATAGTAATAAAAACTTCAAAAATTGTTAGCTACTCGTACATAATTCTGAATTTTAAAGTGTCGATAACAACTGAACTGCAGCTTGTTTGATTTAACTTTATCTCATGCGTCCGATAGCGGTGTGGCCGTTGTACTACGATCAGCATGTATGGTATACTGCACTACGCATCCATTGCTGTATATGTTTACCGTTCTGTTTAGCACAAAGTAGGAAATCATAATACAAAATTTTTGTTATGTCAATTTGTTAAAAATCTGTCTGTGTACTTAATAAGATTAACTTCTTTAAGCCCCAAAACTTACGTTTTGAAATGTGTATCCCCTATGTAGAGGCACTTCCGCCCGTATGAATTCTATGAAACCAATTTCGAAAACGATGACATTTTTCATTATTGTTTTCCGTCGCTGTAAAGTTGGGTGTAAACTAGGGCAAAAGCCAACTTTTCATGTACTGTAGATTGCTAAAGCTAAAAGCCTAAAATTGCATGCACCAAAAATACTGAACTGTAAATCACGAAACATAACTACGTACATACGTTGTTAATATTGTCGAAAACGCCCGGTACATCGTGCCCCGTATCGCTGCACGTTAAAATTTAATAGTTTCTAGTTTCTACAATATTAAAATTAATCAAATTAATTTTTTCTTTATCGACAAATAGTTCTTCAGCGTTTTTCAAAGTTAGTATTTGGTAAACAGATTGTTGACTTTTGCTTTATTTTTACATAACTCTTTTAATTATTTGCAGGTATCCGTGAGCCGGCCCACCTCCTTCCAACCGCCACTGATTCAGTGCCAACGTGACCGGGATCCGGCATCCCCCTCCTCCGCCGCCACCTCTCGCACCCCGGCCGTCCGCAAGGTCACCGCCACGACACCGGCCCCCACCTCACGGCAGCGGACCGCCACGCGCCGGCAGCGTCTTAACGGGGCTAACAGACGGATCCGGAGTGCCGCGGCTGTTGTTAGTGTCGCGATCGTAATAGTGTGCCAGTTGTCACGCATGGTGATGTGAAGAGAAAAGAATTACGGTGCTGGTCATAAATCCGCGAATGTTGCGCGGATCATGAGTATACAGTGTATGCGTCTACGGTATAGAGTGAACGGAGGTCAGTGTGTCAAATCACAGCCAGAGAGTAAAGCTCAATAAACAACGATATAATATCAGCGCGTTTTTTTATTGGACTGTTATTGCTGTTTATGAGTGTGCCGACTAGTCAGTGCTTCCTATTACAAAATGGCAAAAAAGCACACCATTGAAAAAAAACAGATTCAGACTTTTATTGATCTATTTACGCTGCAATAATATTAATTAAGTGCCGTGATAATGGGAATTTATATTGTCTTGCTAAAAATCGATCCAGCCGATTATTCACAAGCATCACAAACGCACGCACGCTATTAAAGGTAGTTATTAATTTAGTGCGACATATATATATGCCGTTTAATTGCGGTAGACGGACACCGAGCGTAGCGAGCGGGCGTTCTCCTCGTTGCTGTGTTGTCCGCCGCGGACGAGGCTCACTTGTGATCCGGAGCGGATGGTGCCTTCGGAGCGGGGATTCTCGCCAACATCCGACGTCTCCGTATCCGCCGAGTGGTCACTATTGCGGGAACGCACGGTAAACGAGCGCAGCGAGCGCGGATTCTCCCCGTTGTTGGTGGTCGCTTTGCCGAGGCTGTTGTTGGAGCGGACACTGTACGAGCGTAGCGAGCGTTCCACATCGTCAAACTCCACCGGCTCCAGACGCAGCGGGGCGTTGTGGAGAGACTGCACGGTGAACGAGCGCAGCGAGCGGGTCTTCTCCTCGTCGGCGTTGTCCTCCGGCTGTTGGGCACCGTGTTGCGAGCGTACCGTGAACGAGCGCAGCGAGCGGGTGGCCTCATCGGCTGTCGCATCGCGGCCGTTTAAGATGTCCACACTGTGCGGGCGCAGTGGGACAGCGATCGAGCGCAGCGAGCGGGCCTTCTCCGTGTCGTCGGCGTTCTCCTCGCGCAGGGCTTCCGGGAGGACAATCGGCAGGAACATGTTGTCGGTCGGTGGAATGTGGTGCATAGCGTTCAGACTCTGCGTGGAATGGCGGACATGGGGATTGGTTTGGATACCCAGTCCCGGTAAGGTCATGGCGGAGGCCTTCATGTTAGGATCACGGGAGACACGGGGGAGGTATCCGTATGTCGATCCCACGTTGGAGGTTGCGTAACTATGAATATTGGGCAGTGATCCGCGGAGGATCGAAGTCGGTCCGCTCAACGGGAGACTGGCCGATCCCGTTTCCATCTTTGACCTCGTCAACTGGTCCGTTGAATTATATATGTTAATGGTCGAATCTTCTACAATCTTTGTCTCCTTCTGTTTGCGCTTGGCGCACGCCGCACAGCACAAGAACACGCAGATAATGGATAAGATCAAAATGATCAGTAATAAAATTCCCAAACCGATGCCGAAACCGGTCCGGGTCAAGCAAATGTAGTCGGTGTTCTTGACCATGGTCGCTAAGACATCGAACGACCGATTCTGATTCCCGACGAGCACCTCCGTGATATCGTTGTCGGACAGGACCCGGATTCCGCGTTCCAGAACGACTTCGGTCGGTTCGCGTTCCTTTAGGAAGACCGTCTTCCCGATCAAGGGGTTATCCATCCCGGCGAGGTCAGAACGCGGCGGCGGAAGTGTTCCGGAGGGATGGGTGTCCACCGGGACCACATTGGCCGGTTTGAAGGGAATGATATCGATAACGTCATCATCAGGGTCCGTCACGTTCGCCGTGGTGTTCTGCTCAACATCACGTTTGACACGAGGCACCATACTGTCGACCTTGGCCACCGGGGCTGGTTTCGGAGCCCCCGGTTTGGCGCCGGCTTTATCCTTCTCGCAACTGATTCCACAGTCGCCTTTACACATAGCCACGTTACAGATGATATTCACATCCAGGGAATCCGGGAATTTGAACGATTTGAGCATGGCGTAGGCGATGCGCGACGCTCCCGACTGCCCGACCCGGTCGGTGATGGTGAAGGGGGTCATCAGTTTCTTCTGGACGACACAGCCGTTCTCGTCCGTCAACTGGATCTGTTGATGCTTTTTGGCGTCGTTGGCCACACAGTCGCGAATGACCACATCCAGACCCTTCTCGATCTTGGATTTTATGTAGACGACGATGGTCATGTCCGAGCCCAGCCGGACGACACCGTTGGTCACCGGGGTGCCCTGGAAGGGATCCTTGCCCATGCGCAGATCCATCCACACACTAACGGCGTCGGCACTGTAGTCCATGGTGTTCTCGGCCAGGGAGCCGACGCGGAAGCCGCGCGAGGAGATGATCTTGTCGAAACGGTCCGACCAGGCGCAGCGAATCCGGCGGGCCACGTCGCTAGCGTCTTGGAACAGCGGATCATTCTACAATCGAAAAAATATATTAATGGTTCGTCCGTCGTACAGTCGTACTTATAACCGTGCCCTTTAATAAACAGAATAAAAACATTTATACAGAAAATTTAATAAAAATATCATTGTACGTTATGTCGACCTTTAACGCCGCACGAATGTAATGCGCTAATAACGCAGATTTGAAATTCAACACAAACCTCTGTAAACGCTGAATACATATACAGTAAGTACTGTATAATAATGTAAAAAAGCAGATAAATCTTATATCCAGCACAAGGTACATTACCAAAAGAGCTATTGAGCGGATGGTCAAACACTGTGTACATTACTGATAATATCGTACCTGAATTAATTGATAATTGACCGACTTTAGGGTTCGATTAATTTCGAGAGTAAATGGAATTAATATTAGAGAAGCAGTAAACCAAAAATAACAACGAACGTTTACATGTGTACATACTGTCAAAGTTATGGTAATGTTCTTTGTGGCGATTGAAAATAATTATACGATATGCAAAGGTTTGTTTATTGTTTCGGCGAACCACATGTTCAATGATAAGCAGACAACCGTGCCGGCGACTGTTAACCTTAGGAAAAAAACCCGCGCAACTGCGGCGCGATACTGTGCGGAGGTGTACGCTAAAATGATTCTTTTTCTCTCTTTCTTACCTGGATGATGAGCGTGGCTTCGGTGATGCTGGCATTGGTCTCCGCATGATTGTCCAACGATCCACACCTATGGTGGTACAATAAAACCAGCTGAAGCATGCGACGAGAATTATTAATCACGTTTTTAAATCACGTTTTTGAATACGCACACTTTACGATCGGCAGACAGCCCACGCGATATTGCGTTGGCCATTAAACCCGTTATGCTGATTGAGTATAAGGTTTAATGACTCGTTTGAAATTTTTCAGCAATTACTTACAAATGTACAAGAGAAACAGATGTTCATCAGAAGAATTATTTAGCAATATTTTCCATGATTTAAATAATAATTTATTTAAAAAAATTTTTAAATATATTTCAAACTATAATTTACGGGCTGTTTGAATACAAAGCATGAAGGACAGCGGCCGAAACTACGGTATATGCCCATAATCTACGACTTTGGCTGCAATCAAGTATCGTTTAATACAAGTATTGGTCGCGCTAGCGCGCGACCGTTACTTGTATTAACTTACGCTTCCGTGGGAACGGTGAAATTGTAGCTCTTGGCTGGGTAATCCTCCTTAGCAAAGGCACAGGTAGCATCCGCAAAGTGACCCTTAGTATAAATAATCCCCTGGAAATCCCGGTCGAAATCCAGACTGACTTTGATAAACTGTGGATTAAAGCATTCCGCCTGGATATTCAACAGTTTCGGTACGGAATCGCCACCGAACAGCGCATTACTACTACCATCGGTATCGGCAACGGCTTGGCGCTTCTGGTGTTTGGGTTTAAGGAGAGCGAAATCGGGGATCTCCACAGAGTTGGGTGATATGAGATTGGGCAGCGGTTTATCTGGAAAGGTCAAGACACCCACCGCCGTTGCTGATGGCGCGGCGGTTGTCGCGTCTCGGCTGCGACATAGTACCGACTAAAAAAGCAAAAATTTTCGGACGTTACGGAGAGATAGTGCGTTTTTGGCTACGCTTTTCGATCATTACGGTTTCAGTTTATAAATAATAATTATTTTGTACAAAACATAGGCTCACTATTTTATCAAAACATTTCTGGTCATCAGTACATAAGCAGTATTCTCTATATTAAAACTGTAAAAGCTGCAGTTGGTAAAAGCGCTAACTCCCAATTTGGGTTGCTGTATTAATGAGAAAAATCTCCTAAATTTAGATACTTGTTTTAGGATAAAATGTGTTTTACAGTATTAGGAGGATACATAAACAGCGCGAAATACATAATCGGAAAACGGCGGAAATAAAAATAAATTATTTTCCAAACAAAGCCGTTTCCTAATTTAAATTTTAATTTTCTGTTAGCAGAAACTCAACAGATCAGCAAAATCCAGCTTTTTCATCTCCTTACCTGAAATGAGCTAATCCATATACACAGTACAAGGGAAAGTAGTGCAGTAGCCATTGCCGTGAAAAGTGGGCCTTTCACTAGCGCCGGCGGAATATGTAGAGCGCAGTGCTCACGACGGCGTCGTAATCAGCGGTGCAATACAATAATGAAACACAGTCAAATAAACTGCGACGAAAAATATTTCACATGCTTATTGATTATAATATATTCAGCTCACACACAAACACACAACCGATCGGGGCTAGACGGATTCATACAACAGCTTCATTTTCACTTGTTCGTACGAAAGATATTTGCGCCACTTGCACGGACAAAAGAATGATTAAGCCCCGGTAACCGGCGGGCGTGGCCGAGAAACATTATGGCTGACCATAATTCACGGCATGCTTGCACCGCACGGCGGAAAAATCAGACTGACCAATAAACGGTGTTAACAGCTGCCTCCGCGGATTGTCTTGATTAGGAAGATTTATGGAAAATATTTGGTTCTGAACTTCTGATCAGTCACAGACTGCTGAATGTCAGTTTTATATAAATGTATCAATAGCTGTCCAAAAATAATTGCCGCTAAGTAAAAAATGTCTGATTTGTCTTTTTTTTAAGTAAAGCAAAAACTTAGAGAAATCAAAGTTCCAGAAGTAGTTAAATCTTCCAAAGCTCGGAATAACACACATAATTCTTATTATTTTTCAGAGCTTCACATGCACTCGAGTTCGGGATTTTGAGCCACTGTTCTACGTTCGCTTGTTAAGAGCGACTTTCTGCCGTCCTACAACTAACCGTGATAGGCTCAAGACAACGGAATCGAAATTTAAAACAACGAAAATTTGCTAAAACACATTTAAGGGTTAAATTTCCTGTGACATGTATCACAAAAAATGAAGCAGCTTAGTTTTGGTCTCTAATCATTTATACTTGTTTTAGCGCTGTCTCGAAAGCAAAATTAGCAGCTTGCGTACTATAACGCTGAGTTTTGAAAACTACTCGTATGGTTGTTCTGTACACGCCTCTTGTCCTGTACTGAGGCGATAAAAGTTTTTGCCACAAAGCTTTCCTTTATTACAAAAGTACCCATCGGTGGATTCTTGTGTTAATTGTTGCGTAGTCAGTTAACGTATATGACTGCATATCAATACTGGCACGGTATGCCTAGGGAAGGACTCGATTCCTTCAAACAGATGTAAATCGTAATCGGAAAAAATTATGACATGTGCATGTGCTTATAGCCCTCGCAATAAAGTACTAATGGACAAAACGAAACTGAAAGCAACGATAAAAAATTGATCACTTAATAGTGCAAAGGTCAAGTGATTAAACTGCCACGCGCAGCGGCGAATGGGACTTAATTGTGCTTCGATACTGATTAGCCGGCGCGGAAAACTGACCATTAGCACAACGGACTGACCAAAAGAAGCACGAGAGATGGCCAATAAACGGGCACTCCAGCGGCAGCCAACAGCATCTTCACTTTTTCTATGCCGCCATGATTTTCTCACAACACGCTATACAGGCGCATGCAGTCGATATCGAGAAGAATTCTTGACCCAGAAATTATTGAGGAAAAACATATGTAGGCAATAATTATCGATCGGCTGCAGACGGCAATCCGGCGTATATGTGCCGCATTAATAGTGGCCGGTGGTTATGTAACGGTAGAAAGGAGAAAAAAGAAGCCACTTCATTTTAGCAGTGATCGTGTGAAAAAGTGGACTATGTCATGTTGCAGAGATGCTTCTTGTACCCACGAGTACTTGCGTACAAATAATGTGCATTTTGTTACGCATTCTACCTTTAAATTTTCTACCTATCATTCAGAGAAATAAACAAGCGTTTCCCGCTCTTTCGGATACCACGAAATCAGTCCTATTTAGGGATTTTTTTTAAAATCTTTATTTCCGCCGTTATAATTTAATATTTATTACAATATGCTTTCACACTGTTGTATTATTGATAAACTGTTAATAAACGCGGACGCTAACAATACTCACACGTTAAAATTACATAATATGGTTTTTCTGTCGTTTGCGGTAATATATAAGGATTAAGGATTTAATGGCAGGAATAAAAAAAAGCAGAAACAAATCTGGTATGGTTGAAAGTTTTCGGTTATTCTTGATTAAGGCAATTGCACACTAGACGAAATTTCACTGACATCGGTTGATGCCCATTACCTACGAGCACTGCAGCTCACTCGCTGTATAAACTTGCAAAATTTTCGATTTATGTATCTTAATTTATGGTGCATAATTTGTCTATTCCACTACCTGTCTGACTGGCCCAGACTGGGACTGTTGCCTTTTAATCCATTTCACAGCTTTCAGCTTATGGTAGATTTTGTAACATCCATGACAACAAAAATATAACTCTGACTGCACGGAACAACAACCATTAAAATAAATTCTAAAAAACAGCTACTCGTACTACTGAAGTGCTGAAGTCTGTTAGCGACTTAGCGTGTACTTTATGCAGAGCTATGACATCAGTATTACATGGTTCACAACCTGATTTTAATTATTTGAAAACTTGCAACAGAAGTTGTTTGCTTTCATAAAAATTATCCGGATTGTGCATTTATAATTTCAGAGACTATAATGAAACTTTGAAAAAATTAAATTGCTTAATTAATTTTGAAACTGTCATAATTTGGCGACCATCTGTCCATCTGTTTTGATAATACCCGTTCAAGCGCGAAGCCTTCCACGGCACCAAAATGTATTAAGAATTTTTTAAGTTTCACCAACGCTGTTTTAAACTTGCATACATATATGAAGCGTATAAATGCAAGTAGACGACCTGCGTGACTTCCTCCCCGTCCAACAGTACACCGATCTGGACGAGCAGCTGCGTTATTTAGGCCTGAAGATCCGCATTATTGAGGGTGACGGGAACTGCTTTTTCCGCGCCATGAGTGACCAGCTGACCGGAAACTGCGACACGCACGGCGTCTACCGCAAGGACACCGCCCACTATATGCTGGCGCATCGGGAGCTGTTTAAGGATTTTATCCTGCATGAGGATTATGAGGAGTATGTGCACGGACTGGGGCAGGATGCTATCTATGTGGATAACGACTCGGTGCTGGCCTTTGCCCGCATGATGCGCCTGAATGTGATTGTCCACCAACTGAACCAGATTCCGCTGTTGATTGCCGGGACCACCGCCCCGGATGCACGGGAGTGTCATATAACGTACATACCGCAGCATTACAATAGGCAGGTACAAGTACACGCACGACCCATGTTATGAATAATAATAATTTTTTATGTACTGTATCTGCATGCTTGCACTGTATAGCGCTGTCCTTTTTTTCCAATCCCCTCGATTACATTTGATCATATAAACAATATTTATGCACATTATGTATTTTATAAGCAGACGTCATTTTATCCCACCAGAAGTTGTCCATATGTGGTACTAATATATAATGTGTTGTTTTGACTTGATAATTATGTAATAAAGTATGTTGGTCAGTACAATAAAAAAATGATAGCACTTATGGCAGTATTCTTTTAATTTCTATTTGTCAGAAAATTTGTGTATGGTCACATTTAGGCATTTTGATATTGATGCCGACTCCGGCCTGTCACTGTGCTACGATTGATACTACAGATTTGAAGGCCTCATAACCAGATCGAAGTGGTTTTTGTCGCAAGCTTCTTGACAAATACAGCACATATGTGTTGATCAAAAAGTGGATGTACAGAGTAAATTGTAAATCTTCCGGAGCGTAAAACCAATTATTGCATTGTAATGACGTGGTTCCCAAACCAGGTATAAACTGAAGATATGTATGCTTGCATGTAACGAGGAAATTTTTCCCTTAATTCCGCATAATACATAATAACCTGCTGTTTTTCGAATACAAAGTACTGGTATTAATTTTACAGTATTACACCTGTGACCTTGTTGTAGTGTGCGGTGGTCCGATGAAGAGGACAACGCCGAAGTATCCGCCGATGTTACCTGCCGGGCCATCCGCCGCCTTGTGCAGATCCACGCCCGCGAACAACGGCGTCGGCAATCGCAGAGCACTTCCGACGAAAGCGGATCCGGCAGTGAACGCGGTCAGTCGCAAACGCGTAACAACACTGAAAAATACTTGCATATTAATGAGAAATCAACAGAAGAAGCGGTACGGAATCTGGCGACGGACAAGGGTGTCACCTATCAGAAAATGCTAAAGGTCATGGAGACCGTCGACTGGGATCCGGTGGCGGCCGAGAAGGCGCTCGACGCCCAGCGTAGCCGGAGAAAATCCCGGAATAGTGCTAAAGGCCGTTCGAAAAATGTCCCGCGATGAAAAAAATGGATGGTCCAGTTTATTTCAGAATTTCTAATTCCACCATCGACCATGCATGGTAATTTTGCGCGTACTCATTGTGCTCGTGAGTCGTGCCTGATACGTTAATTTTGAACCATTACCTTTTGTTATGGACAACGATTTTGTTGTCAATATTGCCAAAGCATCTCAACACCAAAAATGTCACGACAGCATTTTGCAATGGATATTTATTTCTTTTGATCCGCTAAATGGGGAATGCCGTGACTTTCGTTGACATTTCATCATTTTTTTCGTACAGCATGCACTGTAATTATGATAGACCGTAAATATGTACGTACATTTGTTTAGTACCTTTATTAAAAATGTTGTTTTTGTTTCTTTACTGATATGCAACAGTTATGAATTTTTATTGTAAAAATAAAAGTCATTAATAATCTCGATAGCTGTTGTCAGCCTAAGCTGGCCTCTTGATGATTGTGAGTTCCTAATTAAATTTCAACGACTGCAAAAGACAATCCCAAACATCCCAACCGACTAGAAACAATTCATTGTAATTTGCATAAACACCATCGATTTGAGTCATCTTCTCACAATATTCCTCGTCATCACAACAACAAAAAATTCAACGACAAAAACAAAATCTACCGGACTTTCTCTTGGCACCTTTAATAACCACATCAACTCGGGACATGTTAACAGCAACTTTTCACAACTAATCCAACGCTTTAGTAACCAGTCAGGGCCAGACTTGTTTCGTCGCACAGACCGTTGTCCCTAATGCCGGTTCCCGGTCTTCCCGTTGTCCACGTCCTCGTCGATGCGCTCCAGCAGACTGCCGCGCGGCGTATGCAGCGGGGGCTTGGAGATGGAGAAGGCGTAGATGTTGAGGAAACTGGCCATCTGGTGCACCACGGAGAACCCGTAATGGATCTGCGCCACGGTCACCAGCACGGTCAGGGCGTACACGGTGGTCAGCTCGTGTTCGACCATTACCGACAGTCCCATAACACCTACGTAAAGACATCAGGCGTTACTCGCATGACCAGCTTATTCAACCCTCTACCGAAACCTCCAGTAAAATTTGTTAAACCAACTAAATAATCTCTGTTGAACCAACACAAACCAAATCACCAATTTAGGACGTTGCATTCCATACAAATCTTTGAATTCAGATTACTGATATCGAAACCTTCAACATAATAAAACATTCACGACCAACAGCTATGGCCAAAACGGTAAACCCTTTACCAACGGAATAAACACAGCACACAGCTCGCAAAAGTAAAAAAAACCAGATTTACCAGGACCTCGGCCGTCCTGCAAAGCTCACTGCTCTTACATGTAGATCTGTACCGAATTTAATTTTCCTAATTCATACAAAGTAACCGTTTTTAAAGATTTTTAAAAACTAAAGTCGTATTTAATGCGATTTTTCCTCAAATTTTCGTTTAAGTTTAACACATTAGTGTTTCAATCTTTCGGATATACCATCACACTACAATATCTGACAACTACGACGCGCATGCTATCTGCACCCTGTGGAAGGGAAAAGTTAATGTTGGAATAACACGAAATAATCCGAAAATCATATGAAATACAAATCGAAATAACGTGATATAATAATAATAATAATAACATGAAATAATCACACGCACACATCTTATTATCATCAGAGAGATCAGCAAATTGTTGAATTAATGCTACGAGTACCTGTAAATGCCAAAATCACCGGCACCAGCAGCCAATGGAACCAGCGGGCTTTGGTCAGGCTCATCTGCGTGATAATCAGCGCACAGGTAATATTGGAGCACACCGTTCCCGTCATCCACGAAAACGCCCGCAGATCCGTAAACAGAATCCGATTCGGTGACAGCACTCCCCACAATAACGTCACCACCAGCAGGATCGTGATGGGCGACAACGGTCGCATGGCTTCCACAAAACTGTTATGCTTCAGTGTCTTATTGGCGTACGCGCGGTACATATTGCGCAGTGTCGTCGGGATGGTCAAGAACACCGCGCCCGCGTACAGGGATAATTCAAAGCCCACTCCCGGACTGATGCCCAACACGGGCAGCTTCATATGCCACACCCCCTGGCCCCAGATCCCGGTGATGATGTAGACGATCAGGCCGACCACTTGGCTGAAATCGTAGCCCCATGGTAGATATAGGATGCCTGCGGAAGAGGAAAGCGAGAATGTCATTAGTTTGTTACAGCAATGTTGGCTACATTGCGGGGTTTATTTTTATCCTGGCCCGTGCGAACCAACTATACCCGGACTGGCTGGAAATAGCACTGCCGATGGAAATGGCTCGCAACGAGGAATGCTGCCAATTTTCCTGGAGTATGCGGCGTTAAGGGTAATTACGACTGATGTTGCCGCGGAAAACAAAGAAACGAAGCCGCATATGGATTTTCACATTATCAAAATATAAAATTTAATTAGACTAAACTAAAAATTTTATACAAATATTTACTCTATTATATCATCATTATTTATATCTGACGAAAGCAACTGACGAATTTGATGAAGTGATACGCTGCCAACACTCTACGTTTGTAACACGTTTAAAGTATACTGTACATCACGGTTCACGATATTATTTAGCCAGCACTGGGACAGGTTTTCGTCAATAAGTGAAACAATGATGAATTGCACGCAGACAGAAAGCAACAATACTTTTACAACAAGAATATTCCATAATGTACATAAATACTTGCAAGTCTTAAATTTGAATGTTAAGTAGTTAACACAATTTACGGCAGCAATTAGACATTATTCTTTTAATCAAAAAAGTAAAAAGTCTGCCGAATCAACACAAATTTTCGGGTGCAGTTGTTTCGTTTTCAGTTTTTGGGTTTGATCAACTCCAGTTTCGCGACCTGCAGATACTTCATAATATTTCATATACTACTTAGATTCTTATGCACAAGGCTGCATTATTAAGTAATTTATGCCACTGTTTGAGAAAAAAATTCAATAAAACACTTTCTAAAATTCAATTTCTAACACGATCAACATAAATAAAAAATTTTTAAAAATCTCCGAATGAAAATTTTTAATGTCTTTCGAAAACTAAAAAATCAATGGCTAATGCCCCTGCCCCCTGGTACGTTCCAAGCGATTCAACAAAGACACATCTGCCCAGTGGCACATTATCCACAGCCTGAAGTCCTAAACGAACTTTAATCAAACAAATCAAAGTCGCTACATATTGTACAATTATAATTCTCCATGGATAACAATACAACCGCGCAAAAGCTTATTCAGCAAACGGCCAGTCAACTTTATCGGCCATCTTCTCCATAACGCCGTGCAATAACATGAGCAGAAATTGTATCAACTGCAGCTCACCGAACTAAAGCAAATTATACGGTAGTAATTAACAATCTGTTCGGTCAATGCGTAATACAACGTAAAGTTTGCAAGAAAATTTATAGAGTGCGCAAAAAAAGTAGACAAATTGGCGAATAACGATGTATCATCATTCAGAAAATTTTACGTACAGCAAAATTATTACTACAATTCACATCATATATAAAGATTGCCGAGTTATTCGAACTGTATAAAGACACCTTGTCGCATGACGACGAACCACTACACTACGACACTACACGCCTGAACTAACAACAGCAATACATCTTATATTAATGGTATTAATGGCTCTTATTAAAACACTGTTTCCAAACGCTTAACAATTACTCAAACAATCACAACGTGAAAAAATGTCAGTTTTGCGGCACGAAAAAAGCCTGTGGGATTACAGGATTAATGAGCGATCAAAAAGATCTATAGCACATCAAATAGTCGCGATCAACCGAAAGATCAGGCAGGTATTTCGCAAATTACAAATTAACGCAATTTTGTTTCAACGCAATTTTGTTACAACATTTTGTTACAACTTTGTGAAATCTAAAATTCCCTGTTAACAACTTCATTCCCCCAGATTGTTCCGGCATTACGCTACTCAGTTTACTACGTACGTACTTAGTATTAACTCTGCTCACCCGTATTGTACTTTTCCCAATGTGACAGCGAGAACAGCACCAGCATCAGCCACAACGCCACGAACATGCGCACCGTCGGAATCCCGTACTCCGGCTCCCGTCCAAACACCGAATACAGACACAGACAGTGCAGCGTCGTCACCCACGAATCCAGCCCGTGATCAAACAGCTCCCCCAACGGGGAACTGGACTCGGTGCGGCGCGCATGCTTCCCATCCAGCCCGTCCAACGTGTGCGCCCAGAAATGATTAAACGCCACAAACCACCACACCCACCGCGGGATAAAGTGGGCGGGATTCCCCGCCGCCGTTAGATCATAGTCGTAGTAGGAGAGGACGGCAAAGTTCAGGACAATCAAGAGGAACCCCGAGAGGGTGAGGGTGTTGGGGGCGATGGAGCGGGGAACGTAGGGGACGAGGGCGTTCCAGAAGGGATGCATGACGTAGTTCGACAGGGGGGAAGTATCGACTGCGGAGTATTTGTAGCGCTTGAAGCCCCGCAGCTCCTCCGGGAGGAGATACGTGCTCCATGCTCCCGGGGCGGGCATTCTACTGCGCTCCTGTAAAAGGCGGGGTGGACTCAGAAAGTGCTCGCGCAGATGCATTCTTATGTTAATTTATTTTAAAAAAAATTTCTACGGTTAAGTGATTATATAAAAAAGTTAAGATTAAAAATGCACAAAATCAGGCGAAAAGGGAAGAGCAGGGAACCGGAGCGGAGACCCTTTGGGGGTTCTCGCGGTCGGGCATACTGAATTTTGCACGTGGATGGAGATAATTAATGGTTAATCAATAATAAAAAAAGCGGTTAGAGCGTACAGGGATGTGAAGATGAGGATCCAAGGGGGAATGGGACGGGTCCGATTCGATTAGCAGAACAGATTGCTGGTTATTATCAGCCTGCACGTCGTCGTCGTTGTGGGGATCAATAAGGGGAACTGTATCAAGTGGACGGGAATTACTATCAGTTAAACTCTCGGGACGATCCATTCAGTGTACTGGCCGTACAATGTTGACAATAATGCCAGGGCATCCTGCCATCCTGGGAAAACGCCAAACGGGCAGAAGGGACAGATGGATACGATCACGGCCGACTCAGTGAAGTGAGCAAACTGACTGATCAGCTGCGCATACTGGGAAAGGCAAACAACATGTTCGATACTTTTTCGATGAGTCACCGTCTGACAGTCACGCCGCACGTTGTGCCAGAAAGGCGGGACCGGAAATGCGACTGCTGCCTGACTGCCATTAATTTTTCTGTTGGAAAAAACATCTACGCTTGTGATATCTACATTTTTATAAATTTTTTCCCAGAAGGTTACAGGCTTTGCCGGCATTCATTCTGCTTGATTTCAAGTAGATCTAGAATGTTTATACGAAATTTGGCTTTGTATTGGCCATGGAGCTAGACTCGAAAGGCACTTTAAATGCGTTCTGTACGATACAGAGCCGGAAGTTCTGTAAAAGTGAATTTACCAATCGTGCACCGCTGAATCTTACAGAGCGTTACAGAGCAGCGAGACCACTAACTCAAAATATGTGCCCGTACTGTTAATTCGAATTAAATTTAATTTTATTTTTTCACCATGTGTCGGTGATTTCAGATAGTCACGCTCTGTCTTGCTTTTTGACACTTCTTTTTTATCACGTACGGTTTTCATTCCCCTTTTGCAAGATTTTTTACAAAAGTGCTCGAATATGAGTTCTCGAAAAAAACTCCTCTGCGACTTGCAAACCCTTTGTGAGCTGGAGATTGTTGAAAAAGCGCTCGATGAGTCTTCGAGCAGCAGTAGCGACGACTCATCTGAGAGTTCCAGTGAATCGTCGGAGAGTGAAACCGATGAGATTCTTGAATTCACTGCCTTTTTATCCAGTAAACGATTTCTTATGGACCGAACCGTTGTACCGAAGAGGCATGACTGGATGGAAAAACTGGGAGTCGCCAGTGATACTACGTACCGAGCTGAAGTCCGGGTTACGAGAAGGATTTAAAAGAATTTACGATCTTATTTGCGGACACCGTGTTTTCAAAACGAATCAACAAATATCCAGCGGCCAGTAGATTTTCAGTTGGCGATTGCTTTATATCGATTTGGCCATTATGGAAATGGAGCTTCGTTTAATCATATGTCTTTTAATATGGGACTGTCTTGTGGCGCCATTGAGCTATATACCACGCATGTCATAACGGCTCTTTTATCTCTGATGCCACAGTTTGTCCAGTGGCCCGATAGAAACGAAAAGCGAAAAATCAAGCGAAGGTTTTTCAGGAATATGGCTTCGAAAATTGTGTGGGATTAGTAGATGGGACGCTGGTGGTTTGGATTCATGTCCGTCAATGAAGGAGCAGACTATTTTAGCCGTAAAACTGCTACGGGCTGTCTGCCATGGTGGTGTCGGATGACAAAAGCGGATACTCCACGCATTCACAGGATTTCCAGGAGCGCGCATGATTGTCGAGTGTACAAGCACTCATCACTCGCGCAGCGACCAGAGAAGTTTTGAACCCGAAGAATATCTTCGCTGACAGTGGATACCAGCCTGACGTTCACGTCGTCCCTGCCTACAAAGCTCCTGAGAGTAACTTGAAGAAAACAGCCTGTTCAACTTTCTCCTAGCGCAAGCACGGGTCGGAAATGAACACTGCATTGGCATACTCAAGGGCGTTTTCAAAGCCTCCGGGGCTGCGGGTGATAATAAAACAGCAGATGACCATAAAAAAGCTGTTTTTGGTTCCTGGCGTGCTGTGTGCTGCATAATATTCTCCACGATATGGGCGACGCATATGATGAAACATGGACGGAGGACGAAAATGTTGCTGAAACTGTAGTGCCATCCCGACAAGAAACTTTACGGAAAATCGTGTGGGTCGCCAAAAAACGCGAGAAGGTGAAGCGGCTGCTGCTAATCAACAAATCGTAGCCGTATTTCAGCGTGAACTTTGCGGACAGTTTTACAGATGATATATGGAGGTGAGTAATTGCCAGAACTAGTTTCATAAAGTACTTTTTTATGTCTGAATAGATATCGTATTTTTAATTTAAAAATTCCGTGAATTTTAAAATTTACATTGTATTTTAGTTGGTAATAAATTGTTTGGCCATCGCCCAAAAACACTGTAATTTTTTAAATCTTCAATATTGTATGCATTTTGCTGCTGTCGTGTCACGCATTTCTTAGACTACTGCGCTCTGCTTGACTCTTGCTTGCTGATTTTTCCTCAGAATTTCATCCGCCTGCGCCCCGTGCATCCTGTTACATTCATTCATACTATGTGGAAATTTGTTGGTTTGGTTCGGCGTCTGGCGTTAACTGGGATTATTTTCGGATCGACTGTCCGCTCAATTTTGCAGATGATTCATGTCGTATATACTGCTGCATCTAGTTTGCACTGAAACGCAGCATCGGACGCACCAAATCCAGGCGACGCTCTTCCTGATCGCCGTCATCGGGTTTATCGCGCTGAGTATCTACCTGACGATTCTGTATTATGACTCCTTGCCGCGTATCCAGCGTTTTCGCTCACCGGGATGGACGGAGTGCACCGTCCTTATCGCTCTGCCTGAGGCCCAGAATTCTCTGCCCGATACGCGCTGGATGAGGATCCTCGAGAAGATGGGATTGTACTCGGCCTTCGTGACGGATAAGCATCCACCGCAGCTTACGATGAGGTTATTGCCATCGTAGAGCTGACGGAGAATCGATTTTTGGACGATGTCGAGTGCCAGTGTATGTTTGGCGGGGATAAAGGACTGTTGAAAGCGGAGATTCGCGTCCATAACGAAACCCGTCGCGATAGGCATGGGGTAAGAAGTTTCTACTCAAATTTTTAACACATTGAAATTAAGGTTTATTTGCGTATTTTCAAATACTTAACATTTTACTTTTTATCCGTAATTGACGAAAAACGTTTGATAAAATCGGCTGATTTGACGTATTTTGCCCCAAATCCCAAACAACAACTAATTTTTCCGCTGAAATAATCAATATTTCTGCACTTTAGTCTTTAGATAGCAGTGATACGAGAGTGATATTTTTATAATCAATAACAATTATTGCGTTTCTATCGTGGAATGCCGTTATCCAGCAGTGGTACAACGAAGTAAAAGATTTTTACGTTTTGTGGCCCCAGCACCTGGTATTTGTTCTGGTATTTAATTTTAAGTTTGTGCTTGTTTCGTGATACTTATTAGCTAGACTCGAAAGGCACTTTAAATGCGTTCTGTACGATACAGAGCCGGAAGTTCTGTAATTTTTCGATCACACCCCCCTACCTCTGATTGGACGGCCGAGTTAAAGTGTTCTGTATCTAAAAGGAACTCTCCTGCTCCGTTACGATACAGAACTCGCATTTTTCACCACAAGTCAAAAAAATAATTTGTCAAAAGAATTTGTTGTGAATTTTTCATGTGCCAACTGTACGCAGAAAACTTGAGTTTTGAGTTTACCTTTGAGTTTTGATTTTAATTGAGTTTAGTTTAACTTTGAGTTTTGAGATACGCTATTAGATTAGTGCAGAATGAGCACGCTTCCAGTCATCAGGGCAAAAGGAGTAACGGTTATCAGCAATAATAATGCGACAGAATGTGATGGCACCCAGGAGAAACCCAAGCGAAAACGAAGACCCCGCTTTAGTTGGAAGAAAGAATGCGCAGACTTGTTAATCGCATGGCTTACGGAGCCTGGCAATTACGACAGGTGGAAGTCCACTGCTGTGCCTACTGGTCCGGGAAAGACTAAACGTGTGACTGGAGATAGTAAAAGACAAATCGCAGCGGAAATTGCAACCCTTCTTCGAGAAAAAGGCTTCGAGCAGTGCGATGGCCAGATTGTCCAGAACAAGATCGATCTGATCGAATCCTCCTACAAAAAGGCACGTTCATGTTTGAAAGGGACGGGATTTGGCGTTGATGACAGCGATATAGCGAAAGGCATAAAAACGGTGGAAGGTAAGAAAATAATTTCTTTCCTGCGTATTCTTTTTTACATATAATAATGCTCAAATTGCTTGAAAAAACAAACGCCTAGATTCCATCTGATTCATACATTTTTTGCAGATTTGTACATAATTTATGTGGTTTATTATTTATGGAAATATTTTGGTGTATGTGTATATTTTACTTATCTATATTTATGCGAATACTTACGTCTTGCAGAAAAGGTTCTGTATCTCTGCTCTTATTTTTATCAACTGGACCCCATTTTTGCTGATCGGCCGTCGATGGTGCCTGCTTTTTTGGCGGGAACTGATGACGCGGATGCCGAGGTTGAAAGTGTGTTGGATGTGCATATGGAACAAATAGAAGAACCAGGTCTAATGTCAACTGATGAGCCGCGGGGAGTACCAGGTACATTCCACAAACATAACATGAATATTACTGAAACAGTATATATTTTGTGCATTATGCAGCCGAATAAAACTACTTGTTTCACTATTCTTAGCAAAACGATACTTTATTTACAGATGCCAGCAGTTGCGATTTATTGAACGACGCTGATTTTGAGCAATCGGATTATGTGGAAAATTCGGAAGCTGTTAAATCTTTAGCAGGTCAGTCGATAAAAAAGATAATATAATGCTAAAAATCAGTACAGCTAAAATTTTAGAGAAGTAAATCGTCATGACATGCTTATTAAGCGCAGCTTAGCCCATAAAATACTTAAACAGTTTTCAAATATTTTAGTGAATGCGGCGGACACTGGAAAGAAAGTGGACAGTGGCGCGCGTCTGGCTCCGTCATTGCTGAAGTCGGTGGTTTTGAACAAAACGCTTGGTGGCCGTCCTCGCGCTCCTCCTTCACCATCGGTCGTTGAATCTTACTTGGCGCACAAAAAAGAAATGTTTGACCAGAAAATGAAGCTCTCGGCACGCAAGCAGGACCATCTAGAAAATGTTGCGCGAATGGCACATGAAGCGAAAATGGCTGAGCTGGAAGTGAGAAAACTGGAAGCCGAAGCGAAAAAAGAAGCTGCAATTTCCCAAAGATCCAACTATGTGGGCTTGCCGTAAGTATGTCAGTTTTTTCGATTCTGCGACCGCGATCCTGAAAAAGGTGTACAGTTGTCCATTTGTCAGAACTTGACCGTTTTAATAGTGCGTCTCTTCAGAATTTTCAAGCTTAATTGATCTGTTTATTTTTGTTACGTATCGGTAGTTGGCACCGTGGACAACCGCTTTCACACATACACGCAACTGGGTTGTGAACCTCTTTCCCAGTTTTGCTAATTTAGCAACCACTGAGCGTTTCTGTTTCTCATATGTTGATTTTCTAAACGAACGTTGTGTTACTGGAAAAATTATTTTTCTAGAATAGTTGTTCGGATTGTACTGAATTAAAGGCAGTTTGCTGCTAACTTAGCATTTTTCTGCCTAGCAAAGGATTATCGGTCTTTTTCGGGCGTTCATTGTAAGTCTAGATCCGCACAAAAACAGTTTCATCACAGAAGGAGAAAAATTAAGATTACTCTGTCGACACATTCCGCCATCAGGGAATGGATATACCATCAAAAAGTAACAACAATCGCAAACAACAATCAAAAATTTATACAGTTCTGCAAAGAAAGTAAAGAAAGCATGTAAAACACGCACAAACAGTCATCAATAAATTCTCCAACGGAAACTCAAATATTCACCTTCTAACGTGTAATCCCACAAATATCCCGTCCTCTCAGTGCAGTCGTTGGCTGCGGCTGTTTGTCCATAATACCAGATTTCTTCATAATCCGTTAAATTGATACCAAAAATTTTCCAGTTAAAAAACCAACTTTCCCTAGCGCATAATATTAGTCCAGAGTTTTCTGCAGGTCCGAATGCGGGTTGTCCACATAGAAAATGAACTTCTCGATCCCGATCAGCTGGTAATTCTCGATAAACTCGATCAGCCGGCTGACGGAGACATTGCCATACAACACCGGACCACACACGGCCATGGACAAATTCCGTGGCCATTCGTCGCGTAGCGGATGCACGGGGAGAGCAACAGTATCACAGGCGGAGCGGGAACGGCACTGAACGCCGACGGAAGTAGTGTTCTCGTCGGGAGGAAAATCACAGATAAATCGCACGTCACCGTACTGTGTCTGCAATTTAAAACAGCTAATAATTTCACTATAAACCAAACCCACACAAAAACCTTGCCTGCGCTCACTGCCATAAAACAAAACACCGAAATAGTCAACAGTAACACACGTAGTTCATTTCTGTCTGCTTCGAAAATACAGCAACAACGCGCTGTTTTATAAAGTAATTTTTAAAAAAAAGCAATAAACGCAATAATTGTTATTGATTATAAAAATATCACTCTCGTATCACTGCTATCTAAAGACTAAAGTGCAGAAATATTGATTATTTCAGCGGAAAAATTAGTTGTTGTTTGGGATTTGGGGCAAAATACGTCAAATCAGCCGATTTTATCAAACGTTTTTCGTCAATTACGGATAAAAAGTAAAATGTTAAGTATTTGAAAATACGCAAATAAACCTTAATTTCAATGTGTTAAAAATTTGAGTAGAAACTTCTTACCCCATGCCTATCGCGACGGGTTTCGTTATGGACGCGAATCTCCGCTTTCAACAGTCCTTTATCCCCGCCAAACATACACTGGCACTCGACATCGTCCAAAAATCGATTCTCCGTCAGCTCTACGATGGCAATAACCTCATCGTAAGCTGCGGTGGATGCTTATCCGTCACGAAGGCCGAGTACAATCCCATCTTCTCGAGGATCCTCATCCAGCGCGTATCGGGCAGAGAATTCTGGGCCTCAGGCAGAGCGATAAGGACGGTGCACTCCGTCCATCCCGGTGAGCGAAAACGCTGGATACGCGGCAAGGAGTCATAATACAGAATCGTCAGGTAGATACTCAGCGCGATAAACCCGATGACGGCGATCAGGAAGAGCGTCGCCTGGATTTGGGTGCGTCCGATGCTGCGTTTCAGTGCAAACTAGATGCAGCAGTATATACGACATGAATCATCTGCAAAATTGAGCGGACAGTCGATCCGAAAATAATCCCAGTTAACGCCAGACGCCGAACCAAACCAACAAATTTCCACATAGTATGAATGAATGTAACAGGATGCACGGGGCGCAGGCGGATGAAATTCTGAGGAAAAATCAGCAAGCAAGAGTCAAGCAGAGCGCAGTAGTCTAAGAAATGCGTGACACGACAGCAGCAAAATGCATACAATATTGAAGATTTAAAAAATTACAGTGTTTTTGGGCGATGGCCAAACAATTTATTACCAACTAAAATACAATGTAAATTTTAAAATTCACGGAATTTTTAAATTAAAAATACGATATCTATTCAGACATAAAAAAGTACTTTATGAAACTAGTTCTGGCAATTACTCACCTCCATATATCATCTGTAAAACTGTCCGCAAAGTTCACGCTGAAATACGGCTACGATTTGTTGATTAGCAGCAGCCGCTTCACCTTCTCGCGTTTTTGGCGACCCACACGATTTTCCGTAAAAGTTTCTTGTCGGGATGGCACTACAGTTTCAGCAACATTTTCGTCCTCCGTCCATGTTTCATCATATGCGTCGCCCATATCGTGGAGAATATTATGCAGCACACAGCACGCCAGGAACCAAAAAACAGCTTTTTTATGGTCATCTGCTGTTTTTATCATCACCCGCAGCCCCCGGAGGCTTTGAAAACGCCCCTTGAGTATGCCAATGCAGTGTTCATTTCCGACCCGTGCTTGCGCTAGGAGAAAGTTGAACAGGCTGTTTTCTTCGAAGTTACTCTCAGGAGCTTTGTAGGCAGGGACGACGTGAACGTCAGGCTGGTATCCACTGTCAGCGAGAAGATATTCTTCGGGTTCAAAAAACTTCTCTGGTCGCTGCGCGAGTGATGAGTGCTTGTACACTCGACAATCATGCGCGCTCCCTGGAAATCCTGTGAATGCGTGGAGTATCCGCTTTTTGTCATCCGACACCACCATGGCAGACAGCCCGTAGCAGTTTTTACGGCTAAAATAGTCTGCTCCCTTCATTGACGGACATGAATCCAAAACCACCAGCGTCCCATCTACTAATCCCACACAATTTTCGAAGCCATATTCCTGAAAAAACCTTCGCTTGATTTTTCGCTTTTCGTTTCTATCGGGCCACTGGACAAACTGTGGCATCAGAGATAAAAGAGCCGTTATGACATGCGTGGTATATAGCTCAATGGCGCCACAAGACAGTCCCATATTAAAAGACATATGATTAAACGAAGCTCCATTTCCATAATGGCCAAATCGATATAAAGCAATCGCCAACTGAAAATCTACTGGCCGCTGGATATTTGTTGATTCGTTTTGAAAAACACGGTGTCCGCAAATAAGATCGTAAATTCTTTTAAATCCTTCTCGTGTAACCCGGACTTCAGCTCGGTACGTAGTATCACTGGCGACTCCCAGTTTTTCCATCCAGTCATGCCTCTTCGGTACAACGGTTCGGTCCATAAGAAATCGTTTACTGGATAAAAAGGCAGTGAATTCAAGAATCTCATCGGTTTCACTCTCCGACGATTCACTGGAACTCTCAGATGAGTCGTCGCTACTGCTGCTCGAAGACTCATCGAGCGCTTTTTCAACAATCTCCAGCTCACAAAGGGTTTGCAAGTCGCAGAGGAGTTTTTTTCGAGAACTCATATTCGAGCACTTTTGTAAAAATCTTGCAAAAGGGAATGAAAACCGTACGTGATAAAAAAGAAGTGTCAAAAAGCAAGACAGAGCGTGACTATCTGAAATCACCGACACATGGTGAAAAATAAAATTAAATTTAATTCGAATTAACAGTACGGGCACATATTTTGAGTTAGTGGTCTCGCTGCTCTGTAACGCTCTGTAAGATTCAGCGGTGCACGATTGGTAAATTCACTTTTACAGAACTTCCGGCTCTGTATCGTACAGAACGCATTTAAAGTGCCTTTCGAGTCTAGCTAATAAGTATCACGAAACAAGCACAAACTTAAAATTAAATACCAGAACAAATACCAGGTGCTGGGGCCACAAAACGTAAAAATCTTTTACTTCGTTGTACCACTGCTGGATAACGGCATTCCACGATAGAAAACTGTTGCCACTGTTGTTGTAAGCGATGTTTTGACCACACTTACTACCACCTTGTAGTTAAAAAGTTGTTGTTTCAATCTCTTGAGCGTCAATAAAACAAAAACAGAATGATTAGTAAGTAGTATATCGTACAAGGTATATATTGGCGAAGAAATTTACGATTAGATACGAGTACAAAACTACGCTACTAGTATATATACATGGTTTGCCAAGCTTCTACGGTTGTGCGTGTGCTGCATCCTGTGCGTATTTAGTGAAACAGTGAATACTGTAATACTGTATTTAGATATTTAGTGAAACGTTAGCTTCTTATCGACAGTCGTGAAGCGATCGTGTGCTCGTTGCCGTTGCAGTATGAAGACAAAAGGAGTGAATAAATAAAACCATAACAAAACTTTCTGAGCTGGTCCGGACAAAAAGTAAGGGAACACTCCTCTGAGTCCTCTCGTACTCCTAGAGCAACGGCAATGGTCTGCTTGACTGCAAGCAACATTTCCGAGCATAATCATCCATTAATGTGTATTCGTACTGAAAGCGAATGCAGCCTTCTGTTATACAAACACTTACATAGGTACTCGTATGCCAGGTAGAAGTACAACACAGCAGAAGAGGCCATAATTATGGAAAGGTCATCATCATAGAAGACGATATGGTGAACAAGAATCAAAGTTTTATTTGTCGGTAATTTTTATTCCTTGTTTATATTCAACAGTTTGCAACTCTGCTATATGCATTTCGGTTTGCTTACCAGGAATTTGCTTCGGCCCAGGTCCGTTACCTTAGGACTTGTATTGGCCCAATACTGGGCATTACTGGCTGCACACGCATCGCAGTCGGGCTTGAACATACGTACATGGGGAAGAAGCATTCTTCGATACGGTGGTATCGCATATTGCCGTGCATTTTCTAGATTCGAAAGGCGTTGTAAAGGCTGGGCAGGGATTTGGTGGCGTGGTTGTTGACATCGTCGTGGTGGTGGATGTTGCCGTTGTTGACGTTGTCGTTATCGTTCTTGTAGTAATGGTAGTTGTAAACTTGTAGTGGTCCTCGTTGTTGGCGCAGTGGTACTGGTTGCCGTATACGTATATAGTATACATCGGCTCGATTGTCATACGTGCTTGTGGAGGGATTGCAAATGCATTTGAAATTCGGACAAATGGACAAGGGATCCTTGCAGTGCTTCCCGTTGCCGGCACAGGGACATCTCGGCGCTGCTTGTGACGTGGCGCCATTGCAACTGCGAATAAAAGCCAACAAACTCTGTACAGCGGACGCCATACTTGTGGCCCCATCTGACAATGTTGATGAAGAGAAAGATGTAGATCCAAAGGAGCGTAATGGGAATCCATGATCGCTCCACAATATCATGATCACTAATATAACACTAAAACAACACTAATATATCACTAATACAACTGAGATCGCAGTTAAGCACGCCACGAAATCGAAGTTCCACAGTCTGGTCTTGGACACCGGAAGAATCATTCTACATTTTAAACGATACCGTGTTTCATTAGACTACTACTAACCTGAGAGTAGTGCGACTACGTACTTGCTACTGTTCCACTTTTGCCAAGTCATTAGCAATGTTGCATTTAAATCGCAGCTGAGAAAGCATAAAAGGTCAGCCGTAGAAAGACATAAACGATATACACTTGAGCAGTCCGACCTTTGGGGTAGTACATGCATTTGCTTTCGGCTAGCTAGCATTAAATTTATATTACTATTAATGGTAAGTAATAACACACTCGATTGATCAAGACAGCAGCGAGATATTTCTTTTGGTGCTAAAACAAAGCACGATGCGGGCTCTTCTTGTTCCATTTAGAATTCTTTGCTGCTGTAGATCTAGCTCGCTGTAATTAGCCAGACAGTCGGGGCCGGTTCCTTGTACTCAACGTAAGAAACTGTCACCTCTGCCTGTGGCCCTGTAGGTGCCTCACGTATCGCGAAGCTATTCTACTCTTCTGACTGGCAAGTGGCAGAAGATCCAGAATATCACTAAACTGACGGAAATAATGCAAGTATCGTACAGTATCAATTATAACCGGAAGCTACATATACTCGTAGAACTATCTAAGTCTGCTGTCTACACGCCGCATCATGTTACGCGCATACATTCGAAGATAGGTAAGTCAACCCGGTGAGCGAAACAACGGTGACCCGCCATTTCGTCGACCGACACAAAAAGGCGAACAGCCACGATGCCGACCTGTCACGGATGCCGACCCGTCGAGCAAGCGTATTGCTAGTCCTTCTCAATCTTAGACGTCTTGGGTTTCCTTAGGTTTCTTGTATTTATTGTGTTTCTTAGATTCTTAGCTGCCGGCCAGAAGGCTACGGCTCATACGTGATGCCTGCCGGCCAAAAGGATGATTCAAAGAGCACATTTTCCCAGCACCGCTGGACGCCGCTGGTGGAAATGGAAAGTTGCGCTAGTGCAACTACGAAGTAGAAGGCGAGTTAGGCGACGTATTGAAATAAAAAACAATGAGTATTAAATTCATTTAATTTACCAAATAACAATGTCTATTTTACATCGAACTCGAGGATAATAAAATTAATTCAAGAATCACAACTGAAGAATTCACCATCAATTAAATAAAATACAGAGTAAATACAGGGTAATAATAAATACAGATTAACATTATTACTCTGTATTTAATAAATTACTTCATAAATACAGAGTAATAATATACAGTAATCGTGTAATCAATGATAAATCAGATGATTATCATTTATCACCGTTTATGGCAGTTCAAGGGCCGCAGCGGCGCAGTCAAGCGCTTTCCCTGTTCATTTAACGCCGGTCATCGGCTTATCAAGCTGCGAACTGGCCAGGCCCAATAAAGTGCCAAGTGAGTGAGTGGTCTGTGGTAACTGTATGTCTGTATCTTCATTTTTTGTCAGCCCAACTGATTGTTGTCCTTCCACTTTTACTTTCACGTAATCCCGACTGATTCAGACGGACGGGTTAAATTCTATCGTATCAGCTTGTTTTATCACTGATTATTTATATTTTATAAGCATCCTGCACGTCCATAGAGCGGTCCTGTTGAGGGAAGTTTTAAGTATTTCCTCCAAATTCTATCGTCAACGGATAATTGCATTTATTATCAGGAACGCGTAAGTTCCTGCAGCGTTACACTTGTAGCTGATATTTAGAAATTGGTCGGAGTCGAATAGTGTCTATCTCTGTTTGCACTGTGCATGCTGGGCCATTGCTAGCAATTCGCGGAATCGTTTTGTGCATTCTGGAAAATTCATAGCTGTGATTATGAAAAGACAGGACGGAATTTGGGTTGCAGGTAGAATGCAGTTCCGCTTCTTCCCTGTTGCATGCTGTTCCTGTCTTGCAATGGCGTCGCTGATGGGATTTTCCGTGGGATCGCTCTGGACCGATCAGGGATTTGATAGCTGTAAGAAATCTTCCTTTAGTGCACAGTACTATTATTGTATCGCAGTTTGTAGAAATTATGTACAGGGATTTTTCTGTGCTTTACAAGTTTTTAAGGACTGATGGTTTTCGGTGCATGCAAATCGAAGTTGCATGTGGCGCTGTTCTAAAATTATTGTAGTGTAAGTATCTTTATTAGAATTTGGAAAATCAAATGTTTAATTCAAATTTCCGATAAATTTTTAAATATAAAATTCATAAGTTAATTCAGTATAGATTCCTCATTGTTGATTTTAAAAAGAAAATGTTGATTTTATGTTTTAATTTCCTTTCGGAAGGAATCACCCTGCTTCAGTTGATCCAGCATTGAACGCGTTACGTGATCGGCGTAAATAATAATTATGTCACGCTGATATACTATAAATTTCACGGAATTGATCCTGGTAAAATGTTTTTATTCCAAACGTTTCCGCAGATTATGCAAGTCTTTTGTCACACAATGATTGAGCTGTTCGTTATCTGATTGCATCTAGCGCCGATGACAATGGAGGCGTTCGCACTGTCTCGAGCCTTGTTGCAGCTGGACGACTGGGAGTGGTCTGTGGACAGCTACAATCGCAGCGATCGCGTGTCCTTTTCACTGTGGGATCTGCCTTCCTTTGATTCATTAGGTGTGTTGCAAAGTTATTCCCCAAACGACAAACTTAATATACTACCGTACTGCTCGTACGGATTTTTATGCCTGACCCGATGAATTTCTGTTTCTTAAATATGCGATGCTTAATTTTATTGTCGTTAAATGTTTTGAATTTCATAATGTGCCACAGAATCATGTTTTCTTGTTGCAGAACTTTCCATGCCGACAGAGAAAAGATGCCCGTCAAGCCAGCATGCGAAGTCCTTCTCAAGACAACATACTGTGGCTTTTTATCCCGTTATCTTTGACGGTAAGAATAAAGAAAATAAGTTAAACGAACGGTGTTTATCGTAGTGCAGTGCCACAGTATCCGTTCCACGTTGTATGGCTGTGTCCGCGCTGTGTACAAAAAAGACTTCCTTGGTGATACAGTTGATCATTGCACTAAAATATTCTAACAATTTTTTGTATTTTTACAGATATGTTTTCCATTGATAAGCGCGGGAACACGCTCCATTACGTCGATGGTATGTGATAGCATTTTCATGAGTATTTAGGTTTTTTAAGCATGGCTTACTAATTTAATTTACCTTAAAATTATGCTACTACGCTAAATAAATTTCTGTTCGTACGTGATAACATTGTCATGAGTATTTGGGTTCTCTAAGCATGGCTTGCTAATTAATTCACTTTAAAATTCTGCTACTACGCTAAATACGAGTAAATTTTTATTTCTAGATAAATCATCGGTCGCCCGCAGTGCCTATGACATTTTCCCTTCCCTTCGCCGTCTATCGTCCACCGTGGTCCGATCGATGAAGTACGCCTTACCTTTTGGAATCAGCATCGTGACCTCGTCCTAGGCGCACGACGCAAACGGGAACCAGTCGTTTCTTTCTTTTCGTTGATCTGTGATTTACCCATGGCCGCTTTGTTTATTCGCTACCCAAGCATGCTTTGCCTAGATTTTGTTTTTGGAAATTCCTGTAGATAGTACTTTTTAAGTTTCAATCTTTTTAAAAGTTTTCATTGATCACTTTTTCATCGCATATGAGACGCACTGTGCAAATGCAGTTGGATCTCGGTTGAATTATACTGCAGTGTTTTAAACCGCGGAGCCTTTCCTGTTCTGGGCTTAAAGTTTTACCAAAGAGAAACCTTGTGCTCATTAAAATAAATGAACATTTGCCGTTTACAGATATTGTACAGCATAAAAACGCTTATTTATTCGGCGGGATTATAGATGCGGTAATCCGATATGATCCCATATTATGATTTTATGGGATTATCGGATTTTTTTCCTACCGCTAAATAGGGATGTTTATTGATCGCCCCAGGACAGCCGGTTTGCGTGCATCCTCCCTACCGCCTCCACTATGTCAACCGGAAGCAGATCAACAGAATTTCCCGGTTAAACACACCGGTCGGTACATTGAGCAATTATCGGTGGGAACAGTTGGTATTTGTCTAATAGCATCACTTGTGCACGTTTGCGTGTCTCCCGTATTCCCACGGCTCTATCTTTGTACCGCAAACAGAAAATGTAATTTTGCGCGCGGTGCCGGGGAAGTCAGCTGCATATGCTCCGTGTCGTTGCGGAATTCAGACGCATCCGCATCTCGATTGCAGTCGGTGTCAGCTTTGGAGGAAAATTTTTTTAAAATTTTTCTTTTGGTTTTGATTAGAAAAATCGCCAAAAATGCCGGTTGTGGGAACAGGCCGCGCCAGTGCCAGCTCGGTGTCGATGGGCAACACCCTGACCCGGGAGTTTCTTTTGCTTATGCAGGACAGTACGTCGAATCGGCGAAAGCGTTTCTTTAAATTGCTGGTGGTGTTAGCGGTGCCCATGGCGGTTTTAGTGCTGCAGGTACGTTGACTCCTTGAAAGTTATAATATTGACTCTAATTTACACATTATATTGTATTAATCATATACGTATTAACTAAATTGTAACGCTTTGTTTTAGTTTTGATTTTCTTACATCACGGTGTTTTGTTTATTTTTGTTTTACATTGTAATAGTAGTTTTTTTCAACTTATGGCGTGCGCAAGAGCTTCTGTCGAACTGGTACAAAAGATACAACATGTTCCATGTTATACGAGTACTCGTATAAATATAAATTCACACGTACTAATACTAAAGTATATATTAAATAATTTCTAACTGCACTGTTTTATCTGGCATAGCGGATTTTGAAGAGCTGTTGTAAAAGTACAAAAATTGTAATTATGTTCGATCGGCGTACCACTGTATCTTATTTTTGATTCCAAAAAATAGCAAACTTATTTACACATCGAATTTAAAACTTAAGTACGAAAATTCATCAAAAAAATTGCCGAAGTATTACGATCTCAGTACAGTAGAACATTTGTGGCGCTTCAATATTTCTAACTTATGAGAAGTGAAGAAATCGTAATTGCCACTAGACTACCTCGGTACGCTGACAGTGCTAGGGTTTTGCATCGCGCATTTTTAAATTTATTATTACGAGTGTTTGCAATTGTTTTGTAGTGTTCGGTGGTTATCATAAAAGCGCTACATTCTAAATCGGAAGCAACGCGTACCACGGAAACCATCACGACAACCATACAAACGGCCACGATTGTTACCAGACTGCAACGGGAGAGAGGAATGACCAGGTGCGTGTCGATCGGATCCCGTCAGCGGTAGAAAAATTAAATAATTTAGTTTACATGGACTTTATATATGCCGTATTTGTTGTATTCCATATCTGTCTTAAATCCAAAACAAACTAAGAATAACTTACACCAATTAGAGCACTGAGCGCAAGAATGTACAGACTATCTCGTACATTTTACTTTTATGTGTTTTAATGCAGAATATTTTTGCAGTTTGTTTCTCAGCTCGCACAGGTATGCATCAGATACATAATGAATGCCGTTTTTCGGAGTAAAGTATTGTATAAGCTTAAGTTTCTGATAGCCCCGAAGCCTGGAAGAATGTGGTGAATTTTCGAAAATCATCGGACGCCGGGATTGCTGCGGTGGAACATTGGCCCGGTAACGTCAACGATGGACCGGCGCTCGCCACAAGGGATGCGTTCCGGTGCGGTCATCTTTACTAAAAAATAAATATAGATACTATAACATCAACAAAACTATAAAATTCATAAAAAATGATATTGCCTTAAGCACAGAGCAGTCGAACCCCAGAAACAAAGCATGAACACCAACTCTAGATAAATACCGTGCTCTAACCGATATAATTTTATGTTGCGGCAGTAAGTACTTGTCTTATATACCGTATGAGCAATTAATGAACATACGTTAACGTTAGTTGAATTGTTGTTGATGAGATGGATGTATGATGCAGCGGTTCTTTTTCTCGGTTACAGAGACACTCTAGTGGAGCACCGGATACCGCAAACATCCAACCATACCTCCATAGAAGAAGTGTTTTGGTATACGAAGTTAATAACCGGGGCTTTGAAGCTGATGAATCGTGATATCCGACTGAGCGGCGATGTCGGAGGACAGCTATGGACATATCTATTTGCCTACGAATCCTTTGTCAATGCCAAAGAGTGTTGGGGTAAAGTGCTTCGAGAAAGCAAATATTGACTGGATTAAAACGTTAATTTAATTACCACCGGAAATAACTAAAATATTTACCACTTATTCCATTCGAAAGACCTTCCAAAAATAAAATAATTAGGGTATGCCGTAAAAATTACGATATAACAGTATTTATCAAAATCCTTTAGATTGTTGTCCTTTTTATAAACCACGCATGAAAAAAACCTTCGAATTTTGTAGGAATTCAGCGCGCTCTGGGTAGCGCATATTATGGGCGCGGCTATCATGTACCAGACGAGAAAAAATTATTTTACGGTACTTCCGCGTGTCTATCATTGTCTTCCATAGATGATCCATACAAACCCATTAAGCGGGTCGATTTTCTGTTAATTAGAAGTGTACCTGAAAGCACAGACCTTTCTCAGTCTGTGCTTCGATCATTCGCAACGCAGTCGCGCACTCTATGATTCCCTGGTGGCCGATAAAACATACCTCCTCGATTACATCAATGCGGTGAGGAAAACCGTCCTGGAAGTGCCCAACGTCACCGCTGATGCGCAAACCGGGCTGGTAAATATCGAATATTTAGTTTTGCTGTCTTACCGTCGAACATCTATCGACGGCAAGATAGCAAAACTAAATATGCTTAATATTGGTTTTGACTATGGAATTTTTTAAGTCTTCAAATACTTAAAGGAGGCTTTCCGTGATTTTTAGCATAATATATTAATCTACACTTGATAGTAAACACGTATTAAAAAATTATTTAGCAAAGTTTTTACAACTACGTACTTATATTCGACACGGCTCCATGTCTTAGTATTCAAACTGCTGTCCTTTAATTGTAGAACTGGTTCGGGAATATGACAACCTATATTGATTTAACAAGCGGAATCGAAACGGATTTGACCAACACCATTCAAGATCAGCTGGCCGCGCAGGTATGTGAACATTGTTCGGTTTTGTCAGTGAACAATTTATTTCCGCTGCCGTGTGGGCACACTGGCGGGAATACTTTTTCCATAAACTTTACTACCTTTTTGGACAAATTTATTCGAATCTATTGCGGGACAAGTGAGATAGCTTTGGTAGTTTATTAAAGCATTAGTTGAGATTTATAAGTTAGCATTATAATAATTGTTATAGCCATGAACCATGCACTGAGTGTGCATAGCAAAAGAAATAGTCGTAAGCTACATATACAGGGTATAAAGTTAATAGGACAAATCGATTCCCTCTTACATTTGGCAAAAAATTTATTAAGTTTAATCAAACTAGGCTGGTTATGAAATTGATTATATGGCATACATCGATTAACATGCAGAGTGCACACTCAGTATTAAACTGTGTCAGGGGTAAGCTATGTGGACCATTGCACTACGAAACCACGATAACGCAATGACATTGTTTACAACTTGTACGTAAAAAAGTGCTTGTAACGGTTTACACAGTAACATTAGCCTCTAGCTAATTCTTTTTAGGAGCTTTTGGGTTCTATCAAAGTTTGTAACGGATATTTTCACAATTATGACAGTCAAGGTTTAAAGGTCTGTTTTAATTAGAGCCATTTCTCCTTATATTCAGGTAGCGACTGCACAAGGAGAACTGTCCGAAGCGCTGACCTTTCTGATTATCGTCTCCATCGTGTGTCCGCCGCTTTGTGTCTGGTATTTCCTATCGGTCAGTCGCATTAACCGCACCATCGGCAAGTCGGCCAAAGCGCTAGCAAACCAGACCACGGAACTATCGGCCGAAAAGCGAAAAGGAGAAAAATTGCTGCACAGAATGTTGCCGCCTACCATAGCCGTACGTATTTGGGCAGCTCCGACATGCAGACGTCCATTATGGTTTCGGTAACTGGACTAACCGTTACACTTTAGGATGCTCTAAAACGTGGGGAAAACGTATCGGCGGAACATTTCGACAGTACCACGGTACGTTATAATTACAAATATGAAAAGCATTTGCAGATCATCTAAGCATTTTATTCGCAAAAGAGACATATTTTCTGGGTAAACAAATATACCCAGAAAATATTTGTTTACCCAGAAAATATGTCTGTATTTATTTGTTTGTTTACCCAGAAAATATTTATTTGTTTACCCAGAAAATCTCCTCGCGCAGTACACCGCTGCAGGTGGTGGAACTACTCAACGGCCTATACACCAAATTCGACTCGGAGCTGGACTCGCATGATGTCTACAAAGTGGAGACCATTGGGGATGCGTACATGGTGCGTGCGTGCGTTAACCGTGCGCCGTGGTAACTACAGCAGCAGCAATTTTCAGCCCATTTTACAAATTCTAGACCGCTCTTATCTAAACCCTGCACAAGTTAATAAGCGGTTCGTAGTGTAATGGCCGCACTACACAGGAGCGAAGAAAGTTTTAGTGGTTAATCGGGTATAACGCTTTAAACACACATATTGAGCTTCGAAAGTGTATCTTTTTTAACGATGTGAAATTCCGCAAGGTGGGCTTGTATATGCGAACATACATTAGTAATAGGTTTTTGCATCAGGTGGTCAGCGGACTGCCGCAACGGAACGGCAATGCCCATGGCAACGAGATCGCCACGCTGTCACTGGAACTACTTAAGATTGTGTACGATTTTAAGATCCCTCATTTGCCGACAGATCGCCTGAAGCTGCGCATTGGACTCCATACAGGTCTGGAGCATCTGACCGTCTGACCGCTCAGTTTCTGACTTTATTGACCTGATATTGATGACCTTTGCTGTTTTGGAAAGATAGGTCCCGTTCTGGCCGGTGTGGTTGGTAAGAAAATGCCGCGCTATTGCCTATTTGGACCAACGGTTGCGGATGCCGCAACGATGGAACAAAGTGGATTACGTATGTTGTTCTATCATCTTTGCTCAACAAATTAATGGTTGTAATGTGATTTTCTTTCCCGCAGCTTTGCGTGTGCATATAAGCCAGACGTGCAAGAATCTCCTGGATAAACTTGGGGGCTTTGAGTGCGTAAAGCGCGCGCGGGTAAGGGTTGAGAAACCGCATGGACTTGAAAAGCAAAAGGATTTTTTTATTAAGTTATCCTGTAGATATTGGGAAACCTAAGCGCGAGTTAATGCAGTTTTTGTAGCGATGTGTACACTGCAATAGGCGCTGCAGGAAAGTGATGTATTCATGTTGCACAGGAATCCGCGGATAACTTGGAGACCACGTACTGGTTGCTTGCTAAAGACGGCTACAAATTTCGCGCAGATGCTCCGGAACTGTTGTAGTTACAGATGGCGACCGGTATTGATATCAGTTTGTCCATTTAACGCTTGCCAGGTTATGCGTAAATGTGTTGTACGAGTACCACTTAATTTATTTCATTTAAGTCGTTCCAGAAACTATAAAAGCATGCTTCCAGAAAGTTTACGCTTGTGGCTGTATTGGTACATGTATTTACAAAATTGGAGTTGTTGAAAGTTAATACTATGTCACTCATCAATGGTGCAATTTGCCGTCTTTCTGTTTCTGTCGAATTTGGCATTTGTTGTCGGAAATGATCATGCACAAATCCAAGGATGTCGCTAACGATGATTGGCAAAATTGGTATAAAGTTTCTGCGTTGTGAATGCAGAAAAGCACTTTGTACGCCTCGTGACCGAAATGAAGATCGATACTGCAGAACGTTAAACTGAAAATGACAGGGAAACGTAAAATGTACATGCTGCTTAAATAAATAAACTACGGGTCCTATTTATTATGATTATACAAAGTAGTTTTAAGTTCGGATTGGCTGGCGTTCGAAGTAGCACGGCATCCGTAATACGATGCCGACAGGCATAACAGCATTCTCACATAAGTGTATCGATTGTCTCTCGTTACGAATGCTAACCAATCCAGCGGAAAACGTTTTTCGGCATTGAGCATCAATACATTTCCAGTTCATGATCACTGCCTGGCAAACACACCTTTTTACTGTCAATATGTCGAATAAAAGTATCACCCGTATAAACCGATCAAACAGTTGCCTTGTCAAATTGGTAATTGCTGTTAGGATTAAAGGTCACTTTTTCCCGCTCGATGAACAGCGTGCCAATCCATCTACTTGCAACTGCAGCGCCGCAAGTCCCTGATAATCGTGATCAGGTAAATATTGGCTAATTTCTCGCCGGTTCAATAAGATGTGCAGGCTCGTAACGGGAAACATGCCGGCTGCTACCACTTTAATCCCGTTAGACAAGCGCGCGCCACAGTATCATTTGGGACTGAACCCGGCACGTATAACCCGGCGTTCCATATAGCGCAGCCGGTGGGCACGTGAGATAGTCGTCGTTAAAATGCTCTTTCCACGGCGCTAGAGAGCTATTTGTTGGTATTGTCCCGGTGTGAGGAAAGGCTTATCCAGGGCGGTATAATATAATGAAGAGAAATTAGCGGCGATATATATGGCCTCATCTAAGCCTAGTGTGCAATTTAGCAGTGCGCCGCCAGAGATTATCCGCTCCCGACATGATCTGCGCAGACGCGGCGGTAATATGGAGGGAAAAGGAAATTCCGTGGGGCCGGCGGCGGCGCACGGGGAGAACTATGATGGGTTATCTGCGGAGAATCGTACCGTGCGGAGGAAGCGGCTGGTGAAGCTGCTGATTATCTTTGCCATACCCGTGATCGCGGTTTTTACGCAGGTTAGTGCCGACTATGCTAGCCGAATACATCGCGAAGGTATATCAGTTTTGGGTTCGACGGCATAATTATACTGTTCGAATTCACCATCGGGTACTAACAACAGCACCTGTTTTAAAAGGGTAGCCACTGTACAGATAGGAATTTGGCTACTGTTTTTCGGTAAAACGTCAAACCAATCAATTTTTACAGATGTTTAAAATAAGATGCTTTTATTTAAACATAAAGGCGACTTATTTACACGGTATTATGCGGCACTTTAATCAATGTGATATTTGCATATTAATTGTGTTACTTAATAATTGTGCAATTTCTTATTGAGCAAAGTCTTGTTAGCAGAGGCTGATGAGCTTTGTGACTACCGGCGCATACATGTGCTACGCAAATACAGTAAATACAAAGGTGATTTCTTCGTCGTTTGACTATCATAATTATCAATTACACGTATTCGCTATATTAATTTTACGAGTGCAAGGTAGCCCCAATGTGGAGTAATGTGACGCATGCACGCAGATACTTAATCACGATATTACACTATTTGATTACATTTGATTTTGTAGCTTTTAATATGTGGTACTCGGAAAAGAACACCGAAATATTCGTATATAGGTACTAATATCTCATCGTCAGTAACTCTATCTGCTCACCGCCATTAGTTACCAGTACAACGTAACTTCAGTTAATTAATATCCTGTCAATTAAACCAACCATAATTTGTTGTTGGCGTGACGGTCTGTCCTTTTGGTAGCCGACGGTCTGTCCTTTTGGTAACCTTATATTTATATATAAAAGCCTGCAACCTCTTGTTCTGGAGTGCACGTAAATTACATTCGAAAAGTTTTATAGTGATGTGCGTTTAGTACTTAGTTCCTTGAAATTGTTGAAAAATGTTTTCATTCGCAACATTCCACATTTAGTGCGGTATTTTCCTGGATCGGATGCTGAGTGTAAACGAACTGGCCGTTAAAACTAACGCCACAATCCATTTTCTCCTGGGAATGGAGCTGGTAATCAACTGTGTGCAACACCAACGCGAAATATCCAGGTACGTGTGTAAAAGGCGATTGTCTATGCTCAACCTGTCAGAGTTGTCAAATAATTCATCAACAAAAATTTTAACATTCCCATTTGACATTACAGTTTACTAGCCTTAAACCACAGGTACGAACCGCTGTTTTGTATTCTGTTAACGGTAGAGTGTACAATATACAACGATGAGTGTCAACGTTAATATTTACTGCAATTACAGCTGCGCTAGCCCATCCCTGAAACAAATTTTACCTTTACCGACGGCGGAAAATTCTCCCGTAATTAATCTGACAGCTTGCTTGCAAATATTGGACGTAGAGCCTTACTGGAAATTTCCCACCGGCACCAATTATCACATGCTGAATACCTCGTACCGCGATGTCCTCATCTGGTACACAGACGAAATTCTTGGCCAACTATTCCGGTTAATTGATCGTAGAGTGCACTTGCACAACGATAACAACGGGACCATGTGGGACTACGTTGTGGCTTATGAATTGTTTATGCGAGTGCGTGATAACCTCGGTACGATGCCCATATTTCCTATCCTACTGACCGTGACTTACCGTGAACCCCATGGCATGGGCACGCACATTGGTTCTATAATTTCAAACAAAATTAATGGATAACATTACTTGTAATAATGTCTAGGCACTAAGCACTATATTCTTGTTGATTAATAATTAATTAGCTTTTGTAAAGCGTTGCTGCATTGTTTCCCGCGCATAAATTTCTGAGCAACATAAGCTATATTTTGCACGTGTTGTTTTACTAGAATCATGCATTATATGCATATCAAAATTTCTCAAAGATGGCTTAGAATTAATCTGCTTTTCGGCAAAATCTTTTAATTTAAATTGTTAGTTTTACTTGTGAAATTTGTTTTATGTAACCTCTTATTTTTTATTGCAGTTAAAGCAGCAGTAGTTTAACTTCACCGGTAAATTTTTCTTTTTATCCTTTTTCTCTCCATTTGTGCACTTTACCGAGAAAGCTAGGGTGTCTATTTCCGCTTTCCTTTTTGCAGAAATCCAAAGGACCCTCTCTACTGCATTTCTTATTACCGGCTCCGCAAGACAATCCGATTTGAAATGGTTTATAGGTGCGTCAGATGCCTAAAATTGTACAGCCGTTCAGAGCGCTGAAACTCTATATTTCCATGAATATAAGGAATATCATTTCAGTAGTGAATGACTACCATCCACCGCGCAAAATACTGCATGACCTTCTTTAATTACCACGGCAGTACTACGTGACCTTTATTTAGTGGCTTTGTTGTTTCAGAGAACGGATCGATCTGTGAAATTTTATTAAACATTTCCGAACACTACCTGAACGCCTCCCGATTGTATCCGCAGCTGTTTCTCCGCTTCCGGGAGGCGCATCACCGATGGCACAACGCCAAACAGAACCTGCTGGACGAAAATAAAAACCGGCTTAATGGTTCGGGCGGGGGTGGTTTGACAGCGGAAGCGGAATTCTTTCGAGCCGTGGTACTCGAGGTAGGACAACAGCTGCGTCAGTATCTTCGCTGAGTATGGATAATCTTCACTAGCAGAAGGAAAGTTTAATGCCGTCCACAATTACAAAGCTCAAATTACGACACAAAGCTGTCACATGGCAATCTGCTTTAAAATTTTTAAAATGCAAGAAACTATATATTACGCAGATATACATTTATCTCTTTAGAATGAACAGGCTTTTTTATGTGCTTAAATGCATCTGATATCAGAATTCTTGATTAAAAGCAGTTATGAATTTGCAGTTACAAACCTCGGTTGAAGATTTTCTATCAACCACCACAGTTTTGCAACACAGTATTGGAGATGAATTGAAAGGGCTCTCCAGTCTGCAGGTACCGTGTATACTGTATTATTAACAAGTCCACAGTTAAGAATAGTGGCAAAATTAATTTTTTTGTTCATAAGAACGCTAACAGAAAAACGTATATATAAAAAATTGAATATTAGATAAGAAATTTCACAGCGTATATATAAGAAAATTAACTATGCGCCCCAAAAGGTTAAACATAGCACTCGCACATGTACCGTATATAGTGCATTTATTTAATAAAAAACATCCAAATTTGGCGATTGCGGCTGCGTATTTTATCGTAATATATTAGTCTTATACAGGAACTGATTCATTGAATTTATGGATTTATTGCCGTGTAGCGCCACCAAGCCGACGTGGATAGACTGTTCGGTATCGGACTGCTGATCTTCAGCGCCATCGTGTGCCCTTTATTGGCCATCTGGTACCTGCATTCTGTCAATGACCTGTCGATCCTCATTGAAACCTATGCATCCAGCATGACGCAGAAGGCGGCGGAACTGACGTTCGAACAAAGGAAAACCGAACATCTTCTGTATCAGATGCTGCCGCCCACTGTGGCCGATGCTCTTAAGCACAACGTTGCCGTGCCGACGGAAGTCTTCGAGAACGTCACAGTTTTCTTCTCTGTTGTGGCGAATTTCGAGTCGTTCACGAACATATGCGATCCATTACAGGTTTGTCCTTTTTTATAGCAGAACTTAGTCAATTGTGTAAACAAATGTATCAGCCGATAAAAAATTTTAAATGTGCATAAAAATAATTGTTCGCCTAGAGATTATGAAGCATTTACCGTTAAGCAAAAAAACTACTACGACCATAATCAAAGAAAGATACAGTTGCTAAATACTGTTTGACGGATTTAGTATTGACGGTTTAGTATTATTTACTGCGCATCTACTGTAACAATGTAAGTAGGCCTGACTGCATAAGTATATAAATTAAATTTTTTTATGTTGTTCACTGTCACGATTACTATAATCATGAGCTAAGCAACTGGCCGCAGGTCGTGGATTTCCTTAATACACTGTATTTGATGATGGACACGGAGATTGATCGGTTTGACGTGTACAAGGTAGAAACAATTGGTAATGCATACCTTCGCATCTGATTTTGCGTCGCATTACATACACACATGTTTGTCTCGTGATCTATCGAATTTGACATCGATTTTGCTCCTTTTTGCAGGTGACGAGTACATGGTACGTATAACTGCACTCACACGGCAGTTTTTTCACTACAAGTAATACCAAGAGGACGTCTCGGAAAAGTTGGTTAACTTTTGAAACAACGAAATGCAGGTGGCCAGTGGTCTGCCGGCGCGCAACGGAGACAAACATGCGTCGGAAGTAGCCGATCTGTCGCTGAGGGTTATGGAAGCCGTTGAGCAGTTGCTGTTGCCGGATAACGACGCGGATATTAAAAAGATATCTCTGCGCATCGGCTTGCATAGCGGTACGCCGCGCCACATTAGTAGAAGAAACCAAAATCGTTAATATTTATCTGTATTTATTGCTTATATACACATTTTTACATATATATACTTTTTTACATTTTTACTTATATACACAAAGTATGTATTTTAATATTACTAGATATTAAATATTGAAAACTTACTGCTACATGATTGCAGGAAACTACCGCATACTAATATCATGTGCTGCATGTAATTTGCGAAAGGATAATCCCTATGCAGTAATCCTGACTATTTATTTTATCTATTATGCATAATTTTTCCTAAGTAATTTAAAAATGGGACGAAACGAAACGAAACTGGAATGTATAAGCTTAATTAAACAATACCATCATGCTTAGGATTGTTACTGTTAGCGCAGCTGCACTTTGCTGATTGAACATCGTGGAATTTGCGATTGCGCACTGGAATTCGTTATTTCTGAATTGCTTGTTTATTATTTATGTTTAATCAGTATGTTGGCTAATTATTCTGCAGGCACATGTGTGGCGGGAGTCGTCGGATTAAAAATGCCACGCTACTGTTTGTTTGGCGACACCGTCAATACCGCCTCCAGAATGGAGTCTAATGGGAAAGGTCAGCCGCTTCTGCGCACATGCTGGCGTCTGCTTTATTAAATCCTAATATAGCATTGTGCTTATTTTAATATTGTATCTCCTATTCGCACCCGATTTTGCATTGATTGGGAGATAATTACACCTTTATACGAAAATTGCAGATGGCCAAATACATTTGTCGGTAGCTACAAAAGAGTGCCTAGATGTCTTTGACGCCTACGTGCTTTTGCGGCGCGGAACAATCTCGGTTAAGGTGAGACGACATTGACGAACAAATTTTCGGTGTATAATTTTTACGTGATATTAATTAATATCTGCGGATAAAAAATCAGCAGAAGTTTTTCTGTAATAATATGACAACTTCATATTTGATTTTAATTATGTGTTGAATTTTTATCCGATAGTCATTTGTTAAGATTTTAGCAGAACATCTGTTTCTGTTACATGGAATGGAGTATAGAATAATTAAAACATTAACGGATTATATAACAAAAATTAATTAATATATATAAGTAAAATACGGGTTTCGATCTCGCAGTTTTAATTGCATGTAATAATATCTTCAGTAATGTTCAAATAAATACACTGAAATTTCACAGGGTAAAGGATCGATGGAGACATTTTGGTTATTGGGCAAGAAAGGAATGAATTTCACCATAATCCCGCCGGATCCCGATTGATTACAAAACTATCAAGCCTACAGGGAATGTGATATATCTATGCAATCAAACTCCAAACTTGTTCTGTGATAATACGTTTTCACTTTCGCTCGGGTTAGCTGTTATTGTCAAACCTGATCTTGGCAAAGTAAATGGAAGTCTTTTATGAAAATAATTAAAATGTATAAATGCAATAATATTGTGGGTTTATGAAAAACCGGAATAAACATAATCATGTCGTTTGGTGGATTTTCCTGGTAATCCTGCTAATGGTGTTCTTTAGTGACTATGGTTTCCCGTAACAAGCGCGAGAAGGGCGTTTTTGTAGTCACCGGAAGTTTCGCTCTAGAAAACCACGCAAGTAATTAGGCAAGTGAATAAATACTTAAATAAGCAGCAACTGTTTTGGAATACGTCTTAGATTTAAAATGTAATAGTGTCACCTCTATTCCAAATACCTAATTTATGTATATAAGCGGAGTATTTATGGTAAAATACCTCGATTAATTTTTCCAATGTCTTTCCATATTTTTTGGCATACGCGTCTTTAATTGTGCCGAGGTCTTTTTCTGAGCGGGAAATAATTATCCGGCTGAGTTTGTTCTCGTTGGTTCCTATTTTCTTCGTGGCTGCGTTGATTTCGTCCGCGAAGTAGCTCTCGTCACCATCAGCCAAATCAACTGAAATGCAAAAACCACATAAGGAAGATCTCGTTCCAGCGATGATGGGAAGCGAAGCGTGGTGCTATATAAAAAAAGAATAAGTAATAAAGTGTACCCATGGTCAACAGCGCTTTAGCGGCACCACTATCGATTTTGCCGGATTTCTCCCATGTTTTTATGGGCACCGTAATTGGATGCTTGGCGATACGTTCGAATTCGCGGAAAACTTGTCGTAAATGGGAGTAGGGTCGGCGCGAAAGGATTTCCACATAATGATTGATACGGTCCAGTCGCTCGGGCTGAGCGGAATATAATTGGTACGCGTCGAAATGGGGCTCAGTTTTCGTTGGACGCCGATCGCACTATAAAATTAATTGCAAACTTTGCAGCAATAGATAACGTAAAAAATTAATAAACAATTTTTTAACGATTTAGAACTAAGCACGATAGAATTATCCTCTGGCTAGCTAGGATTTAAAGGTCGCCTTTTATACTATAATTTAAAAAATCTTTAATAATAAACAGCTAATTCAAATGCTACAATCATTATACATCACGCTAGCGCTGATGGTCACTAATTAAAATGTTTATTTTTAATAAAAGTTATAAGTACATTATGCAGATTGACATAATTTAAAAAATTACAACGAATTTTATAGTTACGTCACAAGATAATTATAATATTATAACTGCTGCGCTTGTAAACTGGCGTTGCAAAGCGCCAAGTGTACAAGTACCGGCACTTTGTACGTACAGTGTATCCAGTTTATACAGGCTCCGGCAAGTAAGTACTTACAATTAGAAGTGCCAAAAGAAAGTCACGATAGACACCGGAAGTGCGCTCTGAGACCATCTGGCGAATTGGATATGCTGTGGTTTCGATATTATTAACTGCAGACGAAACAATCGCGTGTCACATACAGACTGTACACTTTATTATAACTAACATGCGATTCAGGCATACAAAAACCACGAGTAACATCGCTTTTCTTATCAGTAAAAACACTGTATATACCTAGCCGATAATAATATTCCATCTCCAGAAGATCCGCGTTATCATGGTTGAAAATGACGTCGTTAATGGCATCCTCGTCCAGCTTTTTGCCCTGCATATCAAATGCTTTCTAATTACTGGTCTCAACAAGTTGAGATTTTTTTGCATACTTATTTATATTAGTGTTATTACACGAAATTACAATTTTAGTAAAATTTATTAACTAACAGAATTTCTCACCACTTTCTTACAAAATTCGAAATAATTGTATTATATGATTACCAGCTTACATGTTTACCTTAAAAGCGGTGTTGAGGCGTTGTACGTCGTTGTTGACCGCGGACTGGAATAGCTGGACCAACAGTTCTTTGAAATCTCCAGATGTTTCGGATTTCAAAACGTCGACCAGGTTCTGGAAAAATAAAAAAGCTAGTCACAAATACTCGTACAAGTATTATTTTGCACTGCCTTTCGTTTTTGTGTGTGTTTATTTGATATATATGCCAAAATTTGGCAATTGTGCATACCAATTTTCTTTCTTCATTAACAGTTTTCTTTCTTCATTAACAATACAGATACTCTGTACATAAGAAGTGACAAAGAATAAAACGGGTATAACGACCATTACAAAATCACTATAATAAATTAGAAAATGGCTCATATACAATAGAAATATGCGTAATAAAGCTGTGGCATTAATAATAATGTAAAAATACGTCAAATAATATAGTATAAATAATTTTGTTTAAACAAAACACTTAATTTGTTTAATAAATGTTACTGTCACTGATTATTGCAAATTGCACGTGAATGAAGCCAACGTACCTTTGCGTACAATTCACGGTACACTTGCGCGATTTCCTGTCGCTGTTTCCACGTTCGCCGGCACAGAATGTTAATTATGGTCTTCTCATCCGTACCTAGTGAATAAAAAACTTATGAAGTACCTACTTAATGTATAAAAAACTTATGAAAGATTCGTCACATAATACAATTTGAGCATAGCCTGCATAGCCATAAAATAATTATATGCAAATATGTAGCCAGCTTGTGCCTGTTATTTTGAATTGTTTAATATTAAAACCAATAAAGAGCCATTGTTAAAATAATATTTCGCTAACATATATGTGTGTAAAAGCGCAGTATATGCAGTACATATTCGGTATTTTACGAGCGTTTTCACTGCCTTAAAAAACTTTTGATAAATTGCTGACAACTCTAAGGTTACTGAACGCTGAACATACCGACGCCTTTACACGCCTTCTGGATGGCTTCCGCATCGCCACGGGGATTAAAGTTGGGATGGGGTACAACGGTGGGGCGGTTCAGATTTTCCATATTCGATAACGTATTTAAATTTCACACAAAAATTACTTCTTTAAAAATTCTTATAAGCAATCCGGAAACAGATATTCGAATAAATCCCCAACAGTCGCCCCCGATCATAAAGCTTATGAAAATCGTGATCCCCGTGATTGAATATTGCCACTGTGTAAAGGCGTGTGATGACAGCGAGCAAGAAGTCTAGCAACACTACTATACAGCCGACGATGTTCCTTTTACTTAATTGTAAACCGTCAAGTTTTCCGATCGATGGCTGCCGGCGCGATCGAGCGAGCTGGAAGTGTGCCCAACACAACACAGAGTGCCAATTGTGTTGTACATACTCCTATACAGTATTCCGTATACTTTTTCGAGTACGTATACATGTACGAGTTCCGCACATATATATATTTTTGATGAATTCCGACCATTTGCTGTTGCAGTGAATAAATGCCTATCAACCCGGCCACTGTGAACTTGAACCCTGGTGGGTGTATTGACGCATGGCATTGATTGCTGATGATATTCGTTACTGTGTGTCTGTGTGCATATTAAAAAGCGGGAGAACGTAAAACATATGAAACATGTGTTGGCCTGCTGTTTTGTCAGGGACTAGGAATTTTATGATTGTATTGTTTGCACATGACAAAAGCCCGACGAGGGAGATTATGGTGATTATTGTGGCGTATCGCTATCGGAAACGGACATGCTGACTGTTTCGAATTATTCACGGCACATTCTGATTATGGTTGCGTAACAAAGTCATATATACCATCCACTTAATAGCTGTAGCATTCCAGCATATAAGCAGAATTTATAAGCATAATCTCGAACGGATAAACGTATTTTTGTCGAAGCCATTTTTCTATAAAGGATGATCTCTTAGATTACATGTATATATCCTATTTTCTAAAATATTTTTTTATTTATGTTTGCAGAATAGTTTTAAAGACGCAGTTCCTTCTACTTTGGATGTGGCCGACTGACGATAAGAAAATCATTTTTAATTTTAATCTACTCACATTATTTTTATTTATTTGACTCACACTCACATTATTCCGAAATGTCATTAAGATTTTAATTTGCGTTTTTATACTTATTTGTGTATCCGTATTTGGAATTTTACTAAAGAGACAATTTTTTATAGCGGAATGCCGAAAAGAGGTTTAATTTTTGCCAGCAGAACAGCAGTTCGGCATTGCACGTACACAATAAACCAAGCGCGGCAAAATAATAAAAGATTGCGCAATCCCAATTGCAATTATGGTAAAATAAATGCAAATGCATTTCTTGTGAATTTTCCCGCGCATTTGCGGCACGAAGGGAATGATTGTAGCGCGATTGCATTACTGTTTGCGGAAGTCTTTGGGGATTTTGATGGCGTTTCCGCGCGCAAGTGCCAGTAGCGCTTTTTTATAGTCTCCAGATGTTTCAGCCTGTAACCCAAAATTCACAAAATAAGTTCGTAAAAAATATTTTTCCTAGTATTTACTGTATGTATGGGTTATTGTTGTTGAATCTTGTATTATAAAAGATTTTACCTCGATCAGTTTTTCCAGGGATTGCTTGTGAAGCCGTTGATATTCGTCGGCAATGCGACCCAGATCCACTTCGGAACGGGAGACGATGACGAAATTCAGCTTCTTCTCGTTGGTTCCCAATCCTTTGGTGGCTCCCACAAGTTGATCGCAGAAAAATTCCGCTTTATTTTTAATCACTTTGACTGCAAACAAAGGCCACAAAAATCATTTTTCAATAATCTGCGACACCAATAGTAAATTATTTTTTATACATAATGCCGGAAATTGATCTTAATAATATATTCTCCAAATATGCATATACAGGGTCCATTTTTGCGTCAAGCAAGCAGAAGATACGAGTACAGATCGTATCTTGTATGTGATGCTGTGTATTTTCTAAAGATCAGTTAAAAAAATCTGGTCACTTAAATAAGTAAAGACCTGGTCACTTCCGGTTCTGCAATTAAAGAAAATTAAACTCCCTTAAATGTTGAATAAAACTATTTTTTTGCTCTCGCATTTTTCATTTCAAAAAATATTACAAATTTTTGTGTAAGCAAATACTACATAATTCCTTTGTGCGGTTGGAAAACCGAATAACGCGATCAAGTACTCAGTATTCGCCATAAGCTACCCACTGTACTACGCTTATCACTATACGAGCATAAGAGTATGCAAATACGAGCACCAAACTTTGAAGTAGTTGTCCAATATAAAGTGCATGAGCTTGATTCTTTGCAATTTGAACCACATACTTAGCGCCAAAAATCCTTTCTCGTCATCTCCCTTCATCTCGTCAATGACGGCCTGCTCGATGGTCATCTTGGCCACCATCTGGAAACGCTGGAAAACCTTGCGCAGATGCACGAAGCTGCGCGTGGCGAAAATGCCGACATATGTGCCCATGTTGGTGCCGGGTCGCTTGGGACCGGATTCGAACAGCGCCCGCGCGTCGGCCAGCACATCGTAGCCGCGTTCAGCGTGCTCTTGATCCCGGCCACCCTAGATTGTTAATTAAAACGTAATGTTACATATATAACATTTGTGTAACTGGTGTTGAAAACCAAAATAACATACGATGTAAATGCAACTCGCATACAAATGTTACTCGGACAATGTGACTCACAAAATACTCGTACATAAAACAAAATTTGTGCGCGAGGGAAGGGAATACCATAAAAAAATTCAGATAAGTCCCTGGTACGAGGAAGCAATTTGCGCTTGGATAAGAAAACATCGGTCTAGACTAAGAAACCTTTTCCCCTATAATGCAGCATTTATTGGTTAAAACTAACTGTTTACCGATAGACAGGCGACCAGCAGCTGTTCGTATGCTCCATTTGTAACCTTTCGCACATCCTCAACTGCATCGGTGTTAAATTCTGAAAAAATACAGTCTGTATACTTCCGATTTGCATAGATGCAATTTGATTAAAACTGAAGGTACTCTGTATTTAAGAATAGGAGAGTGTTTAATAAAGGAACTTACTGGAGCGATAGACTTCTTGGATTTGATGCAGCTGTTCGTTGGTGCGCGTAAAGGCAATGGTGTTCAGCAGGGTGTGGTCTTTACCCTGAAGAAAACTTATTTGCGCTTCCGACTCAATAATTTATTCAGGTTTATTTTCAAATTTTTGAATTATGAAGAATCTGATGTGATAAGACTAAGCAAAACACTTTCTACAGGCAATAAGGTTGACGTGCAACCGCCATAAGTGGAATACTTGCAACAATATGCAAGAAACAATGGACATCTGCATCACCGGTCGGTTGCTCGTGCTGTTCAGTTATATGCTGCTTATATCGGTGTAAGAATTCCCGCACAAACAATGCATTTACCTTGACCGCATCGTGCAACATAATGGCATCGTTTAGAGCCGGTGACTGCATCAGCGTAACGATCACATCTTCGAAATCGCCGGATGTCTCCGATTTCAACACCGAAATCAGTTCCTGCAAGCAATAGAAATGTTTTGCCATAACAAATTGGCGTTTTTTACTACTGCAACCATTACCCATATTGGCGTTTTATTATTACAAACTTAATTAAATTTTATAATGCGGCATTGCTGTTTTTGACAAAACATGCGGTTCAGGATTGAAGTAATGTCGTTCACTGTACCTTTCGAAATCGCTGTTCATAAGCTTGAGCAATCGCTTGTCTTTGTTTGAAGGTGCGATTGCATAAAATGTCGATCACCGCTTGCTCATCGCAACCTACAAAATTAACACGGTTCTGAAGCTATCACAGCAGTCAAGCGCACTAAAATCAAAGCACAAAATTGCACAATCCTACAACATTAATGCATAGGTAGTATACACCCATTATACAGTATACAAAAATATCATGCGTACTTCGGGTTTTATTGCTTGTTCAACGCGGTCACAACAATCAAAGGCATTTTTAACACTCGCACTCCCACGGGGTACGCTACGTGAATTATACTACGCGGTTTGAAAATTTTGCAGTTACTTTTGCGAAGATTGATAGTGAAAATACTTTGCAGTATTAAATATGTCAAAATACTATTAAAGGCGAATATCCGTTCTTCCATCTTATACAAGACTAATTCCCACAATAACGCCAATAAATGCGAAATGCGGATAATCATTTACCTTTTCCTTTAACGGCTTTCTCAATGTCTTCCGCATCCTGCACGTGGTTGAAATGCTGATGCGGATACACAGTGGGCCAGTCGGCTGATTCCATTTCCGGTTAAGGTTTTTTATATAATGATTAATGCGAGCAGGATACCAGCCAGCCGATGCACAGTACGCGCACGACGAAGATAATCTTCAGGTGTTAGGAGAAGAACACGACCAGCTGCTGCTGCACAACTGAACGCCCCATCGAATGTCAAGTACAACTATAAAATTTTCCAACCTCGGCAGTCTGGCTGGTAAAGTCAACACAATGACATAAACCGTCATTACGCTCGCAGGCAATTTTTCCGCGGCACCTGTATAGAAAACTCGTCCAGACAACACTTCGCCGGCACTGGAAATATGCGCGCTGGAGATGTTATGTATGTACTCGTACATTATTCCGAGTACCGTGATTTTATTTGAAGGGGTGTGGTACGTGTGAATGTATTCATGTATTTAATGGGTATTTCAATGTGTCGAACATGTCTTGCCGGTAGGTTTTTAACAGGCACTTATAACGGTAGAAATTTACAAAAAAATGCGGCAGACTGTAAAATCGAACGCATATACGAAAGAATATGTTTTGTTTCAGTTGAAGTACGGATTATAGATTTGTCGATTAACGGGGATGCCGCAGCTGAATCGAGACGTCTTTGAAAATTAATGTAAATTATTAATTCCAGTATTAAATTACCAGAATGGACAGGTCTAAAACTTTATGACCAGCATGTGGTAATACGTAGGTAGTATTCAAACTGCACGATATGATTATATAGCAAATGATGCGTATTAAATCCGTGGCTAAGATTGTATGGTTGTGATGAAAAAAAACCCAGCATTCTTATCAAAAATTATTTTTTCATGATCAAGAAAGATAACTTCGCGATGCTCACTTAGCGCACAGTACTCAGCAAAATTAATATCGGTATAACCATAAGCCTTTTGGTGCATCTGCATGTAGTTGCCAACGTACAGGGCCAGCTAATGCCACTAACCTACGATTTCCATAGTATACTGTAAATAACAGAAACTCATCCTGCAACGGATTCAGCTTATCAGGAGGATTGTTGAACTACAATTTATAATTATGACATAAAATGCATCGCAGAGGCTTTTAATACCGGACTGCTGATCAAAAGGAAAAAAATCAAACATTTCCGTGAGAAAATAGCAAAGAACGTTATTTTTAAAATATTGACTGATCATGAACAGTACTTAAGTTTAATTTTTACCGATTCCATGCCGCTAGACTACGATATCTATGTTACGTATGGAAACATGTTCCACAACCAGCTGTGTTTCAAGTGTTTCGCAAAATTAATAGAATAATCCAAATAAATGCACATAATTTTAGTACGTCGTTTGTTTCAGGAATGGCACAGCTTTCTGTGAATTGTTGGAGGTCAAATGGGAAATGGAAACTCATGGGAAATGCTTTGGAATCTTGATGGCGTTACCGCGAGCCAAAGCCAGCAATGCTTTCTTGTAGTTTCCAGATGTTTCGGACTATTCAAAAACATCTTGCGCTAATCAGTCAGTAATTTTATAATTTTATACTAAATCAGTTAAGTATTTAACGACGTTGCGGTACTAATTCAACTTACATTGTTAGCAACGGAAATGTAGGTATATGGTGCACATACATACCTCGATTAACTTTTCCAGTGATTGCTTATGCAGACGCTGATATTCATCGGCAATGCGTCCCAGATCAATCTCAGAGCGGGACACGATGACGAAATTCAGTTTCTTCTCGTCCGTACCCAGTCCTTTCGTAGCCGCCACCAGCTGGTCGCTGAAAAACTCCGCCCTTTTCCTTGCCGCCTTGACTACAATTATAAATTGCACTTGATGTTTTCCGGATAAGCAAAAATATTACGTTTTAGCACAAATGCAATTTTAATGACTACGACTCGTTTCTGTTGCACATAATTTATCTAAAATTCTCAACATGTACCCCCGTTTGGATTCACTAATGATGTGCCACTTCTCTACATTTTCACTCCGAATACCAGGTTACCTTCGGTTGTATCATGACAGATGTAATACAACTTAATACCAAAAACATAGTACATACTGAATGCTAAAAACCCTTTTTCATCGTCGCCTTTCATTGCATCGGTAACATGTTGCTCGATGGACTTTTTGGCGATAATTTGGAAACGATGGAAGACCTTGCGCAGATGCGTAAAGCTGCGCGTTGCGAAGATGCCGGTATAGGTGGGCGAGTCTACTTTGGATCCGAACAGAGCCCGTGCGTCGTCCAACACGCTCTGGTCACCGCGAGACGCACTTTCCCGATCGCGTTCTTGCTGTTGCATACAAAAAATATTTGTAAATTAAGTTCAAAGGATGCACGATTTTTCTGTAACCTTCTCTTACCATAAAGCAGTTTCTCAATAACTGTTCGTATAGTTGACCTTTCGTAACCTTTTTCAGCTCCTCCAAAGGGTCCTTGTTGAATTCTGCATCAAGTAGATTATTAAAGTTTCGTCAGAAAATTTCAAGAAAGCGTTAATTCGTACTGGAACCATAGACTTCCAACAGTTCGCGTATTTGACTGTGGTTGCGCGTGAAGGCGATCATGTTCAGCAAGCCATGGTCTTTATTCTGTAAACCGATTTCCGCATCTTTTAGGTGACAGATATATTAGACACAGATATAATGAAAGTAATAGTGTAATTGTGTGATTTTATTGGCATATAAAATAGCTATATTCGTTAATTTCTGTTTTTTAACTACGAAATTCTTTCAATTGTCGTTAGGTATTACGGTATGCACCCAAATATCGGTACGTCCGATTTAAGACCAGCCACTGGAATTGATTCAGCCTCACCTTGAACGCATCACGCAGCATAATGGCATCGTTTAGAGCCGGTGACTGCATCAGTGTCACAATCACGTCCTCGAAATCGCCGGATGTTTCCGATTTCAAAACACTAATAAGATCCTAAAGAACGAGCAGAAAGATTTAACGATATAGTAATGCTACGTGTATAATAACCCGGTGATGACTGAATTTGCCTAGTCTGTGCAATAAAATTTTGTGAAATACGTGTGTGGGCATTCAGTTCTGTTAATATTACATAAGTTCTATTGTATGAACTTTCGTAACACAACAACACAAGTTTTAAAATGTTGCCGTACCTTGCGGAAGCGCTGTTCATACGCCTGAGCTATTGCTTGTCGCTGATTAAATGTACGGTTGCAAAGAATGTTAATCACCGCTTGTTCGTCGCAACCTAAAAACGACGCGGGCATGTACAATTTGCGCTTTTTTTATTTGCTGCATAATATTGTTTTGAATAAAGATGCTGTGTACGTCGCCAACTAATACATCTAATTTCTGTACCCTTCGATTCGGAAGACGGTTTAGCTCAACCGCGATACAGGATAGATTAACTCAAATAAATTATTTTATAATAATATGTAAATAGCATATAGCATTTAAATTTTACAGTTTGGCGTAGGCTGTTTTGGGCACAAATAAATTTCAATGCAATCAAGCTTTCACAACAGCAGCGTATCAGAAAACTTGCAGATATCGGTTGATGTAAAAATATTTTCATGAAATTGCTAACCTATGTGATGAAAACGAAAGATTTGCTTGATTAAATTAAAGCAAAATATGGCACCAGCTACTGTTCTCGTAGGCCCTTTTAAGTTTTCACAGAGTTATGTAAAAATTCGTAGTGTAGTGGCCGGCAAAAGGTACGATCACCTTCTTCGGCGCAGTAAAGACGACGTGATGACCGAAAATTCAACCTACGCTCATGATAGTATTGATTTGATAACACGGCTTAATAAAAACTATTTTTATGAAAAATTTGATACTTCCTGCAATTTAAATTATTTATTAGTCTTAAAAGGAAAACCCGTATATGTATCGTACGTACGCACGCAGCAGAACACAAACAATCGAAGCTGAGCCGAATATGAATGCTGTAATTACTACCAAGCGTAGAAAACGCCGATGCAGTTTGCGCAACTCGCAATTTTATGAAAGTTTATGCGTTTTAACATTAACTGTATGAGAGCGATTTCTTTAAAAATAACTTTTTACCTCGTCCCTTAACCGCCTTCTCTATGTCATCCGCATCCTGGAAGTGGTTGAAATGCTGATGCGGATAGACAGTGGGCCAGTCGGTGATATTGTCCATTTCCGGTCAAAAACGGCTTTTTCAGATTGTTTCTAATTGCGCAAAGGTTACAAATCCTTTGTAGTACACAAAAGGCCCAGGGTGAATTTTTAATTTATTGACGGCAGAACGCCCCAGCTCGCTGCGTGAACAAACCGCATGAAAAATGTTGAACACACTGTAAAACTTCTCAACGGAACGGAAATGTCAATACATCGGTATATCGATCTTCACGTTGCGCTTGCAGGGAGTTCTTCTTCGCACCTGCCAAAACCTGTTTTCCAACAAACCACTGTGCAATATACTTTTGCAATTTTTACCGGTGCGCTTGTTGTGCAATTTGTTTAGGGGAGGTGTGGTATGTGTGAAAAGTATTTATGGGTGAACTATATGGCGAATAGTTCGTAACACCAGCGCCAGACTCTTGTAAAGTGGCACCTGGTTGCTTTGATGCTGCTCGACATTTCATCAGCTCATTATATTTGTATAGCGATTTATTGTAAATGCACCCATGAACAACAAAGCTTGATTGGTGAGTGAATGAACCGATTCTCGCCGGAAAAAGAAGAATGATGGTGCCTGTAAAACTGAGAAGGTAGATTTGAACTAAAATTTTGATTTTAAATCATAGTTATGTATATTTGACTGTAATGGTTTTCAGGTTTTTGTACCATAACACCCGTAAGTTGGAAATCGTAGTGTAGTGGTCGGCAGCTCGTCCAACCAATAATTTGCTTGTTATACCTATTGTCAGTCGTATAGAAATTGCATTTAGTAGAAGTATAGACAGTTGTTCGATACAGATGTGTCGAAGTTTACTAATTTTTTCACACTTATGTGACTGATTAGCCAAAAATATTTCCAAGCCATTGATGGCTTAGAAACGTAATTAATTAAGTTATATACTGTAGGCCATTTAATTTATCGATGCTTTGGTTTTAGAAATTACTCTGCCAACTTACTCAATTGATACTGTTGTGGTCGATTTTTCCTACATTAAAAAACAGTTTGCACTTAAAAAAATAAGAATGTACACAAAGAAATCTTGTTTGAAGGAAAAACGTACTTGCAAAGCTGCATAGATTTTATTAAGATCACTTCATTAGACTCAACGTCAAACTGTATGTTTTGAAATACTCATAAATATGCCGAATATAAAGCTGCTCACACTAACGTAGTGTTCCCTAGTTCAGTGTAATAACATAATATTAATTACCGTATACTATTAAAACAAATTAATTAGCAGTTATGTGTCATCCGAGCATGGTCCCATGGGGCACAATAATACCGACAATTATCAGAGGTAGCATGCAGCAAAAGCGCGCAGTGTGCCAAAATGTACGTTTTTGTATGCAGGTGATTAGAAGTTTAATCAGGCTCCATTTGTCAGTAATATCAGGAGTGATCCGGTCCTTGATGCTTTGTCAGCAGCGCCACGAGGAGACGTTTGTGATCACCGGATGTTTCCCGCTGTTCAATAAAATTTACGTTTAAATGCTATTAAAAAATCTTAATAAACACAATTTTGACTTTATTTCCAACCGCTAAAACCGCGTAACACGCCGATATGAACGCGCTGCGGGATCCCTACGTATTCGAAATTGTTAACTGACTGTACGAGTACAGTGTGTAGTACACTTACGCTCGACAATCAATCAGCACATACAAAATTCAAATTTTCCCGCTGAAAGTTCAAGCGTTCCTTAATATATTAAGATTAAGGTATTTTTAATTTTTTTAAGTAATAAAATTGCACAAAATTAACAAGATTTTAAGAATTCGGACAATAATACAGTATTTTGTTTTGCTTCGATTAAATGGTTTGGCTGTTACAGACTTCCCGTTTGATTAAGGGAAAGCTTGTGTACGAGTTATGGATGTTAATGACGTAGGAATACGTGAAGACGTACCTTTATGACAACTTCCAAAGAACTGCGGTAATTTTGCTGAAATTCTTGATTCACACGTTCTAGAAGATGATTATCCGCCAGATACACTATGGTTCTGGATAATGCCCGGTTGTTTGATTTGACAAAGGCATTGTGCAGCTGGTCCGCATAGAACCGGTAAGGATTTCTTATGTAATTTACTGCAACCAAATACAATCCGTAACGTCGCGGAAACGTGTTTCCTGCAGTATTTATTTCTTATTTCTACCATTTCCAGCTTATTCTAATTTATTTGTAAAATTGTATTAAGTCTGCAAATTTTCTCGATATAAAACACAGCACATGCCTCAAGTATATCTATATACGAATAAAATAAACATAAAAATAAGTAAATACAAACAAACATGGTGCGAATTCTTTTTTTACAGATTCGAGTACAGAGTACATCTCGGAATTAGGAATATTATATCACTCACTGCACATTAGACTTACCCAGCGTTAAAAATGCCTTCTGTTCGTTTGGATCATCGAATTCAAATTTGATTGATTCCTCTATCGTCATTCCGTCGGCAATTTGAGGGAAAATGTCGAATACTTGATGCAAATGCGGAATACTGCGATTGGTTAGGATTTCGATGTATTTTCTCGTATTGGCGTAGGCATGCTTAGGACCGCACTCGTACAGAGTCTGTGCATCGAACAGCGGATCATCCGACAAAATGTTGTCGGTTTCGCGGGCTTTCTGTAATTCAAAATTTTTTTTTAAATAATTCAAAGGCGCTGATGGTTTATTGCGGTTGCTTGTTTACTTTAACATAAAAGTTAAATTTGAATATTGTTATATTTGCTAATTTTGCGTTTTAAATTGTTGCAGTTCTTTGACCTCAGCAACTGTGTAAGCCGGTGCATATATTAATACCCGGGCCTCAATTACTAACCATCAAAATGCAATATAAAAGCTCCCGGTGATGGCCACGGGGCTTCAGCTCCGACGCAATATCGTCTTTCAATAATCGATTCTGTTCTAAAAAGCAAATAAATCATTGTACACGTTATACAATCCATGTTGACCCATGTCGTTAGTAGCGTACTTCGGCTGTAAGTAATTTCCGTTCCGAATACGAGGTTCTCGTATTTACTTCCGATGATAATACCATTTACCAAATCCATGTCTTTCTTCTTTCCCTATAGATTTAAAAAAACATAACAACAGATTACATCCAGTAGGCCAACGTTTACTTTTCTCCTATAATTGAAAAAGACCAAAAAATCAGGAAAAGTTACGTAGTATACACTATACAGTAAAGAGTGGCTCATTTTGTAATACTTTTGTGACCACTTCTATGCTTGTATTACTGTAGTTTGTGACAAATCGTTGTTTACAACGTAATAACAAAACTCTTTAAAAACTTTTCAAAAAATCAGCGATTTGATAGATAAATAAATCTGCACAAGAAAAGGATTTGCTTTTGCATGTGGTTCACAAAGAACTGACGATCACAAATACAGTAACTGATGAATGTTATAGTCTTATATATAAAACTAAAATACTTTTGTTTATGCGTTACATTTCGGTAAAAATATTTTTAATTTGGCGCAAAAAATAGGCAAGTACCTTTAACGCTTCGTGTAACACGAAAGCATCTGTATCACTGGAGTCTTGCATTAAAAATTCCAAAATCTCTTTAAAATCACCGGATGTTTCCGAGCGGAGGACATCTAATAACGGCTGCAAAAGAGCCCAATTTCATTATCGTACCCCGGAGTGTGCGTGCCACAGCTGATGCGCACGCGGCAGCCGGCGACTCGTATATTGATCAGATTGTTCATTCATTGTGCCAGCGCATGTAGTGGTCAGTTGTTTCCGGTTGTTAGCCACTTGCACGGGGGACGGGCTAATCAACGCCGGGCCGCGGCTATTTACCGCCTCATGATTCTCCAAATGTGGCCAGTAAATTATCGATCGCCGTGTTTAACAGCCAGCATTTTGGGGAAATTAGAATTTCTACTGCTGCACGAGATATATACACGGCAGCAATCAATAGACCATCAATCATGCCAGCAAAGTGCCTGGTTGTATACAGACGACAAGGCGCGCTTCGTCAATATGGTGTAGATGTATTAACAGAAAATGGAGTACGTGTTAGTAAATTGTGTACCTTGTTATACTGGCGTCGGTAGGCGCGCTGTAATTCCGCACGTTCCTCCACTCTCAGCCGGGATAATGCGTCAATGATGGTCTTCTCATCGGTACCTAGTCATTACCGACACCAAACTTAAAGCGCACCCGATGCGGTACATTGGCGTTTTCTCACTGGGAAGAAACGCTCAAACCGGCAATTACGTAATGCACTATTCATGGGCAACTAGCGCGACGCATCATATGTGATTAAAGTTTAATGCAGACGCTTTCGCTCTACTTAATTATACTGCTGCATGTACGCCGGTAATTGCAAGCCTTGTAAGTACACATAGAAGGAGCGCAGATTTACATTAGTGTCTGCTTAGTTTAATAAACTTCAAAAAATAAACAATCCCCGTTTTCTATAATAACAAGAATGGAAAATAAAATAATAATTTAACCTGCACATGTCCAATTAATTGCCAATTTAATGTAATAAATTTGATATTTAGTTTCGGATAAGGTTTAAAATAACAAACACGAAAATTCCGGAAACTTCAGAAGTAAGAAATATTGTAGCGCTAACAAGACTGCAGCGCACTGCTGAACAACATGTGTAAATTAGCAGCATTAAAAAATCCCACCTAATCCTTTGACCGCCTTATGTATCCGTTCGGCTTCCCGTTCATAGTCAGCGGACGACAGCATGTTGTCACCATTAACCGCCTCATGGTTAATTAATCCGTTCTTCATCATCGGAAGCGCAGATTCCTCCGTGCGCTGTATATAGATTTTGTACCGATATGAATTAACAATCACTTGTTACACAGCGTCTTTAAAATTCCGCGACGGCGCACATCTGACATTGTAAGCGCCCTTTAACCGTCTCACAGACCAAACAAGACGTCGGAAAAAAACAACACCGAGCGCTGAGTAATTTGCTGCTACTGGGGTGATGAGGAAACAGGTTTGTTACTCACACGATCAGCGTAGGTGGCTCATTCGAGGGGCGCAGTATATGACAGCGCATATATATACAGATACACATAATATGTACATATATATATGTGCAACCTGCACACTAAACGTCTCCGGCAAAATCCCGCCTAGAGAATTTAATCAATAATACAGCGCAGTGATGGGCAAGTTGGCAACTGTCAGTTCACGTGCCGTACCGTCGTCTCTGATTAGTCAAATGAGATCTTGTATGGTTATGTGCCAGGGAGACGCGGAGAATGGGATAAGGATCAATAGGGATGCTGGTGCAGTGCACCGCGGCCAATTTTACAATGATGAGGAATTTCTTTGCCAGCCGGATCCTGTCAGTATTGCGGCGAGGCTGGCTCACTGCGGCAGCGGCGGCCATTTGGGTTGTGTGTGCGGGGGTTTTAGATTTTGGAAATGTAAACAGCGGGCCCAAAATCTAAACAAACGCCACTGAAAATAGACCGCACACATACACACTGTGTATGTATACGCTCGCCCTGTTGTGTGTCAATATCGATTACTAAGCGCGGCTTCGAGTGGCCGCTTGGCACTTTTTTCATTCGGATGAAATGGAGCCACTTGAACAATACAAACGACGCAAGAGGCGATTTCGCGGTAGTAATACTTTTTTATTACTGTTTGGTTTGTTACTGGACTCACCAGATAACCAAAAATTACAGAAATTTACTGACACATTAAGAAAACTAAAATTGCGGGATTTTTTCATAATAAAAGGACGCTTGTCTTATCCAATTGCCAACCCGAGCCTAAAAGAATTACAGAGTTTTTCATGTGCGCCATATTACGTAGCTTAATAGGACATTATTGTGACCTTTTGTACGCCGCTTGAACTGAAGAGCGCACCCTTGAACAATGGCGATAAGCAAACATATTACTTTTTTCATTACTTTTTAAGGCGACCGGCTTTTGATGTGGATATAATCGAAGGGACTGCAAGTGAAACGGAAGAAATCCAACATGACGTGTCACGCTCGAAACTATTCAACTATGCGCCATCAAATTTCGGGAGCGGACATTGTCAGCTTTTTACGCAATCGAATACAGCATCGGTTGCATAAGCCATAATTCACCATTATTGTCGATTGGTGACCTACAGATACATTATAGTGTAAACATTATTTATTATTATCAAAGGATGCTTTTACAGTTAGATACCTAATACATAATAGTTACTCGGCTTTTCAACAGTTCACATAAAATATGAGAATATTTTTATTCATCATCTTGTGCGAAGTACCAAAAATCAACAAATCAAACTGCAAAATTTGTCCCCGTTTCATCGCTCACTAAAGGTGGCGAGAGACCTTTGTGCGTAGTCTTGATCTGCCGTAAATCTGATGCTACTTTTTGGTGATCCAAAGAAGTCTCCTGCAGCTGTACTTGTATGTCAGAATATACGCAAAGAAAAAATCCTACTAGGTTAAAAGCTCGGTAATTTTTACGTATCCGGTAGCGAAAACAATTGATGAATAACGGTTACCTAATGATTTTCATAGTTGCACCTCTGGAAATGTAATGAGAAATCCTCATACAGTACACACTATCGACTTGACTTGAAAGCAGGGAAGATGGTGTTAGTGTGTTGTACGAGTATATACAGCACATGTATTCGTATATTTCGCAGGCATTTCCAAAAGGGTTTATAGCCCTACAATCGGCAAATTAAAGCAGTGAATTGTGACAAAAATAGCTGAATTGTAGAAATTCTGAGATCTGAATTAGTGGTAGCGACAGAGGCTAGCAGCGCATGTATTAGTTATGGAATCTGCGACATAAATGCGTACTATTCCAGATTACATAAAGTATTGATCGAATAATCTCGATTGTCTTTATATTGCTATCCTACTCCTACCAGCATTGATCGGACGAGGAAGTGGACCAGTGGAGACTTGCACAGTGCAGTTTCGTTTATGCAAAATTAATCTGCGTATTGCAGGGAGCCAGCCAGATACCAGCATGCACAATCTGCCGTTTGCGTCCTTACTCGGTGTTATGTGCTTTGCTGTCATCAATGGCGTTCTCTTGCCAAATCACGGTAAGAACCTGCGTTTTTGTTTCGCTAACTTTATGGTAAGACGCGTACTTCAAGTATCTGAGGTGGTCTAGACAGCTTGCGTATTGCAGATGCCAGCAAAGCTGACAGGATTTCAGACTTCGAACCAACAGAGCATACGTTCCGCCTGGCGAACTATTATCAAGACGGTATGGTTTTACAATGCGGAGAGCCCCCCGCTTGGATCTGGGGATATGGACAACCAGGAGAGGGTGTTGACATTGTGATGGATGTGGATATAATTTCGACACGTGTTAACGGTACATTGTTATAATTTTCTTTTCACGACATTGTCGAAGTGGCATGGTTTTATGATGTTTGTGACATTATTAGAACACGGGATCTGGGCAGCCGATCTGTGGTTAATGCCGTGCTATAATGAAACTTTCGATCTCGAAATTTCGCAGTATATTCGAAAGACGAAGAAGGTGACGACCATCTATCTGCGAAATGTGCGATTTGGAGAAGTGTGGCTGTGCAGTGGTCAGAGTAATATGGCGTTTCCCGTTGACCAGGGACGTCACCGTGAGTATTACAAAATTTCTACTAAAAACACGTGGTGCTTTAGTGCTTTAACATCCACAACAAACGGGCTAAACCCTCGACCATTACAATGCAACTGTTGTAGTAATAAACCAGTAAAAAAACAGTCTGCAGTCATATTCCTCTAAATGGGAAGTCAAGTGAAAGCACAGTATAATTTCTCAGTACTCTCCGAAGTTCAGGACTAGTTCCTTAATAGGTTACCAGCTCAGGTGTTTTTCAGCTATAGTGGTTTGGTTTTATACTTACGTTTGGTAAATTGGTGTCAACATTTGAAGTTTCTTGTAACTTAGATGTTTAACGGCACGAATGAACTGGAAGCTTCAACTCGGCTCGATCTCTTCAAAGTAATGAGAATCCTCCCTTCGGAATCGCCACACCCGCTAAAAGAACCCACAATTATGCTCAACTGGACGAGGGCTAATCCACAGGTCCTGCGGGAATTTTCGGCAGTCTGCTGGGCAACAGTGCGCCGTATCTACGAAGATCTGCGGAATCGATTTAGTACGTTCCTCGCTCCTTGTAAATGGGTGTTCCGTGGTAACCTTTACATTACCAGCATGCTTTTAATTCACAGATGATTCTGTCCCCATGGGACTGGTCGGAGCGTACTACGATGGTACACCAATCCGTGCCTGGTCTCCACCTCAGGTATTCAGCAAGTGCCGTTCCACCACCAGCACAACGAACAGCAGCGAAAATCAGTTTAAGGGCCCGGAAAAAGACTCCGTACTGTGGAATGCGATGCTTGCGCCTTTGAAGTTTATGACCTTTAAAGCCATACTGTGGTACCAAGGGGAATCGGATGCCGCTCTACATCCGGATGCTTATGCCTGCATGTTTGAGAACTTTATTTCCACATGGAGAGAATCGCTTACGTACTGGAGTAAAACGACGCCCTTTGGATTTGTGCAGATCGGCTGCCAAAATAACGAGTCAATACCGGATGGAACGGCGTTAGTCCGCTGGCATCAAACGGCCGATTACGGTTACGTTCCGCAGAAGAAGTTGTTACGAACTTTCATGGCCGTGGCTATGGACCTCCCGGACCCACATTCGCCCTATGGATCGTAAGTGGAATTTAGGACAATATTGTCGTTCCGCCACATATTACTGCTAAAATGCAAGCTGCGGAAACACTCGATTCTCTGATTATTATGTACAAAGCCTGCGCGTGTAAAAACCAGTGCGACCATATGGTGCAAAACCGATTTTCGGAAAGAAGACTAGGGTAAACGAAATCGGGATTTACCGTGCAACAATGTGCACGATCGATCAGTTTTATCACTGATGCTTAGTCACATGGTCTACTGGTCTAGCTATTTCACGAAAATATAACGTTTTTGTATGTATAGTGTTATATGCCTTGTACAGAATTCATCCGAGGTACAAAGAGGAGATTGCGCAGCGTCTGTACACCGGAATTATGTCCGTTGTGTACTACGTGCACAAACCCTTTCAAGGTCCCTTTCCGCGACGTATTCAGCTGGTGGATCGGCATGTTTTCATTCAGTACGACCAAAGCATTAACTTCATATGGAATAGCACGGACACATTTGAAGTAGGTTTTATTAGTCTCTGAAATTTGCATCGCATTTAAAAGGTCAATTTTTGGAGGTGTGCTGTGAAGTGGATATAACGGGTTCCGACAGCTGGAAACGTTGCAGAGGGTGGCACGCAGTCACCAGCGAATTTACCACAGGAGGTGATGAAGTCAAGCTCAAAACAGGTCCGTGCAGGGATAGGGCACGCTTTGTCCGGTATGCGTGGAAGTTGACGCCCTGCGCATATAAGAACTGTCGGGTCTATGCCACCGATGATCTGGGTGATGAGCGAGGGCTACCAGGCCCACCATTCGTTTTACCAACGAACTGGATATCTGAGCAGTAGCGGACGTTTTTTTCAACAGTGCTTGCAATGTGAGTCTTTGGCAGCATAAAAAATTATCACACAGAAGCGTTTTGTATCTCATTTTATGCTATTGAAGTTTCGGATGATTGTGCAATTAGCAAGCGAGACATCAGCCAATTTCTATAATTATACTATGCTATTTTATGCTATTCTGTTTCGGATGATTGTGCAATTAGCAAACGAGACGTCAACGAACTTCTATAACTAAAACACGGCCGTTTATTTTATGTAACAATAATTAAGAAACTTAAGATTTGTAAATGGTGTTGGCCCATGTTTAGAAACACAGCGAGCGCTTGTTACCAGTAAATGTACCGTGAAAAAAAATGTACACGGCGTTCTGAATGTTTTCCCGGGGCAGACAAAGCGGGATGTGCAGAACCTGGATGCATTGGAGACTTGATGGTGCCGTCCCATGCATCACTACAAACTCACCGGGAATTCTCCTTCGAATCCAGTATGTCTAACTTAGACTTGAAGCCCACCAGCCAAAATGTCGACATGCTGCCCTTTCCCTTGCAAATGCAGTGAAAAATTTTGAAAATCGTTGTGTATTTTGCCGTGAAGAAGATTTCTGTCTCACTTTGACAAAAATTTCTCCTCGTGGTTTAAATAACAAATCAGATGTAGCCGGAACAAGTGCAACAGAAGCTGAACTGGCTTGAATCTTATCTCCTACGAATAAATTTCACGTCGGTATAGAATTCACCAATTGTTAGCTTTCCTAATCCCGCTTGTATTCGTGACGGAATGTATGTAGAACCTTTCAAACATGAACGTTAACGACCTGCACCTTCAGAAGTTGACTCCATCCGGCTAGCCGTGTTAATTGTATCACCGAATCTGCAGTTAAGCAATGATTATGACATTATGTTGATTATCATGTTTTTTTTTCGACGGTTCGGAAATTCACACTACGCTATAGTCAACTGCAAAACAGCCGACAGCTTACAGACAGTATCGTGGCAAACGGTCTCCCACAACGCCGGTTACGATCGGTCCTGCAGAATATCGAAAATAGCTGGTCGATTTTATCACCAAACATTAGTTATTGCAGTTGCATCGAAGTTAAAGAAGCTGCGACATGTGTTTTTGCAAAGGTCGACATCAGTGGAGTCACTTACAAATGTTACTGACTAACCGGTGTGAAATCCTGTAATAAATTTCAGCTGTACTTCGTTGGATCGTATGTTGACCTTTTGAGCCGCATTCCAACGTTAGCGCACACGATGCTATTTCCGTCACATGTTTCCTTCCGTTGCGCTTTGGTAGACAACTGGCAATCTGCAACACACCAAGACTATCAATTGTTTAGGAAAAAATAAACCATGAGCGGTCAAGTGCTTAAAAATGGTAGAGTGATTTTAAGTACCAAATAAACATCGTTCGTCGTTTCCACTTTGTACACATCAAACATGGAGATTTCATTGTCGATCGTCAAATACAGCGAATGCATAATGGCAGTCAGATGTATCGGTGAGCATTTGGAAGCAATGTTCGCAAAATCTTCGATGGCATTGAATAAGATTGTCACCGATTCAAACTGTTCTGGCTGTACGAGTTGTCCAGCTATCAAACTTAATGCCACAGATCTACAAAAAAACTGATTTCAAAAACACACATATATTCCGGTTTTGATTAATGTGACAAACTTGGGGAGTATTTCAAATAAGAGTTTCTGAATTTTTCCTTTCTCTGTCAGCAGTTCCACAGTACGTTCGGCTATCATCTGCTCTAGTTCATCCGCATAACATTGCAGACGTTTAAGAAGGTCATCCACCATCGTACAGCCAGCTTTTCCGCGGATTCGCCGGAAGAGTTTGTCTACATCGGCCATGGTGGGCCGATCCGCTGGATCTTCTTTCCAACACAGTTGCGCCAAGTTGCGCATTCCCCCGGCTTTCACTTCGTCAAATGAGATTTTCTCCAAATTTGGTCGCTTCAGTGGCCCCTTTCCTTCTTTCACTTTCTCTATAATTTCTGTGGTAAAATTATTAGCGCAACTTAAAACCATTTTAAAAAGAAGCGAAATTGAATAATATTTTATAAAGATTACAGCTGCTGCATCTACCATGTACCACATCTTAAAAAATATTATGTTTTTGATATAGGTACCCAAGCTTCCCTAACTCCTGCGTTATATCAATTAATTAATTCTCATTAATTAGCACACAGAAAGCCGAAAACTTTGGTCTCTATAAGTTAAGCAGAAAGCACAAACTTCTACTATTCTGATTTTTATACAAGTACAGTATATTCATAAATATTTGAGTGGTTTAGTTACTATAGACTTACCAGCATATTTATTGCAGTCCGAGGAAATTTTGTAAGGATCGCTCAGTAAACAGAATTCGCTCAGTATAATAGAAAAGGCGTAGATATCTGCCGTTTGCTTTGCACTAGTAGAAGGAGATCCAGGTATTCGCAACAGTTCGGGCGCTGTCCAGATTTTCTCTTCCGCTGACAAATGGCTTTCAACATTTAAATCTTGCAGTGCATAGTCGGTTATTTTGACCATAAAGCGCGTTAACGAGGTACTTGGAACTACGCAACCGTCCATGACAGTGAATCCATGAACGATGAATAAAATTTAGTCCCTGTAATGAAGCCAAAAGAGGCAGGCAAAAATAAAAATCACAGAACGACTTATTATGGCTATCATAAACAAGATAATTTTTTGCACAGTTAGTGCTAAATTCGGTACAGTAGTGGTTTCCAGAGCACTCTTTACTGTATTTGTTGTAGCCGTACAATACTTCACCTCGATAAGGTCACCCAGCATAGACAGTCGGAACGATGTCTCCAGCATAAACGAATCGCCACTGCGGGTCAGCTGATGAACTGATCCTTTTGGACAAAATTCGCACAAAACGATTCCGCGGTCTTCTTTCACCAAAATGCCACAAACTTTGACCAGCTTATCGGACTTAGTTGTTCGAAGCTAAAGAATATTTGCTGTACATTGTTTTATACCGTCGTATTAAACAAAGAAAATAATTATCGGTTACTGCTAATATAAAGTCTTACGCACTTGTGCAATCAAATGTTCGAGTTTTATGAAAAGATTTGGACTATGTATGCAAATAATGTACGATGTAATATGCGCATGTCGGCAAGAATAAGCCTTACGTGTTTTAATTCTACAAGCGTTCGATCGGAAATTTTCACAGGCGAAAAAGGATGGACTGTTACGCGAGTCGACTGTATCATAGCTGGTTCGCCGGTTCGCTCTTGATCCTGGAGAGAAACGGGACAATTAGTGGCCAAATTGCATAAGGTCATGCTCAGTGCTTGGAAACTTGCATCCTTGGTTTTTGTAGCAGTTCTAACTCTAAACGTGATAATGTAGAAAATGTACGGTATCACCCTTTGGTTAAATAAAATTTAAAAGGGATATGTTTACTGTAAACGGGCATTATACTGTAGTTTGGGCAGTTTTACCTGAAACTGCTCAGGTGCGATCTTCCACCATTTAGCATCAGCCTCGGCAGCTGTTTTGCTCCTCATGAATCTGCAATAGCCACACTTCTTATCGTCTAGAACTTGCAAGAAAAATGCTGAAAGTACAAAGCAAACGATGAAAAAATAACAAGAAACAATACGAAGCTTAGCAAAACAATTTGAAGACGGCGAACGAAAGGAAAAAATTCCACGATAAAATTCAATGCATGTGTACGTACATTATGGTTCCAGTTGTAGCGGAAACGAGAAGTATTACACCAACAGCGGCCGATCCAGCAGCAATAAACACGGTTGGACTTTCTGAAATTTGCGAAGAAAACACTGTGAAGCTGCAGTAAGTTATAACTGTGCGTCTAGTGTGAGTAGAGTACCGCTGGTCCGGTAAAATATTCCTGAAATTGTTACAAGGTGCGATACCAGATTTCAAATAACACAACGTACTAGCAGGGTCGCATTTAGGGTTGCTTCCGGTGAATCCACAGAATGGTTCATTTGGAGGTGGTTTATCCAAATACGGCCACTCAATGTCAGCCACAATTTTTGCTACTTGAGCCGTCTCAGGGAAGTCGACCACTTTCTGTCCAGTAAAACAGAAGAACGTGATTCTTAACAATAACATTTATACTTTTCATGACATATTCATACACATAATCAATTTATTATATACTCTGTACTCAAGAGTGCGAAATTGCCTGATTTTCGGTATTTTAGGCATATTCTTATCTAGCTGTATACAAAAATAGCTGTATAGAAAATCACATAGTTATGCTGTTGATTTAATTACCACAAAAATGCCGGTATTGTAGCGAAAATTGTATAGCTCGTAATGGCCACCAAGATTATTGTGCGCGTCGAGGGTGATTTCACCACGTATCCCATGAAACGTCCGATTAGTGAAGCGATTGGCCACCTTCCTTCCATCGAAAATATCTTCCCCAGCCGCAAGCGTTTCGTTAACCACTTGACCATAAGACAAAATGGCGTCATAAAACCCAATAGCATGGATGTTAACCTGGAATTTGCATTCATATTATGGTAGACGTTTATCGCTTCAATCGATATTGCATAATCGAAAGAAAGATTACATGTGCACACGATTATATTTATTATCATTATTTTCCGGATTTGGTTGTCAGAATAATATATAATTTTGGAAAGCCTTGATAATTATACCTCGTCATATGGCGGAATGGATTGGTTGTAATCGCGTATAGCCATTTCTTGTACCGTACGATCGAATTTTCGAAATTGCGGTGAAGATGGTATGCGTTGCTTAACCAGAAACAAACTGTGATACGCCTCTCGTGCATCCTACAATCAAAATCGTTTTTTGCTCGTATGCCATTTTGCTCCAGTAAGAGAAACGGAACGCTTAATCCAGAAATACAATTATAATACGCATAGGCTCTGGATCCAGTGACGCAAGAGGTTTAATTTATTTACTAACCATCGTGCCGATCAACAAACACAACAATCAACTAGAATCTGATTACATACATCGTCACTTTCTAATCCCATATCCCATCTAGGCGTGTCAAAGTAATTCTTCGTTTTGAAATATGCACCGGCAATAAATATGAACACGTCTTCCTTTAATGCGCTTTTAATGTGTTGCAGCAGCACGCATTTCAGTTTGACATGACTGCAAAAGCAGCTTTTTACAAGATACTAATAATTTATTTATTATGACCATGATGATAAAATGCTGCACATTTTATGACATACGAGTAATTCAAAGCACTCCCAGCAAAGTATCAGGTGCCGTTAAACGTAAAAGTCCCATGTACTGCATGTACAGATACATCTCTACAAACTTATTTCAAAGATTTGTATAACAAGAATTTAACATGGATCATCAGCATGAACTTACATGATCTCTCTTTGTGTATCCCAAGGAATGCGCAGCTAGCTGCAGGTAAAATTTGTTTACCGATAACAACGAAATGCTACTGTGAAAAGTTAAGGATGACACAGTGGTTCTGTGGCTTTTGTTAATGTTCTCAGATTTCTTACCATCAACATTCGGACAACTTTAATATTTCCCATAATAATGATAACTGCAACATAAACCAACACGAATCATCGTTGCGCTGAGTCAGGGCAGGTACTGGCTGATTTATCACGTTTCGCATACTTCGTGACCTTTGATGGGCCTCCCGAATAACACGCACGATATCTGCGTACATGTCGTTCTTGTTCTTAGTCAGGAACACCGGTCGTGCTTTCAATCGGAGATCCGTCTTCTTGGCAAGATACTCGCTCATGGTGTACATGGCCCGCCACACTGGGTCCTCCACGTCATAAATCCCCGTGACATCGGTCCAGTTGAAAAGTTTAATTACTTGGTAGAAAAATGTGCCGGCTCGAACGTGGGTAAAGGAAAAGCCTATGATGTTCGGATAGCGCACGCGGTTAGCCAGAAAAGTGGCGATACTTGACCCTTCCAGAAGCAGAAGATTCCAATCTGCAACATAACTTTAGCTATCAAAATGGGCAAGCGATAAAAAGTGCTAATGCAGACACACTAGTCCACTAACTCCATAGCTAAATTTGAACATCAGAAAGACATCCAGTCTGCCGCAGAGGTGGTTGACTGGATTTACTGTATTACGTTCAAGTGGAACTTATTCTCTGCAGAACGTTGAGAAAATGTGTTTAAAATTATTATGGCACAAGGAAAGAAATATTAACGTAACGCCAGAAGGCTATAATTGTTGGTTTATGGAATCGTAAAGAACATTGAGAGCCAAATAAAGAATAGGCATAACGGTATAAATTAGTCATGTTTTTTGAAGGGAAACTGAAAGACAGAAGACGCCGGCGGAGTCTTATATCAGCGCAAAGTGCAAAGCAGGATCTGGTATCGTGCCGGATTGAAGAAAAATTCGAACGATTGATGATGGACATATATTTTTATTTTGTAGGTGTTGAAACACTGGGAGTGTTCGAGCCAGCTGTATACGCACTGGTACAAAGTACTTTCCCTAAAAGTCATCTCATAGGGGTCCCCTTAAAAGAACCAACGCGGTTATTTAGGTTAAAGAGGATAAAAATTGCTGCCGTTCCACTGTTTACTCTTCGGAACACGGAGAAAAAATTACAAAATGCAATACCTGCCGCAAAATAGTACTGCGGAAATCAAGAAATAAATCAATCTTTAGGTCCAGTAGTAATACCGTACAGTATATTCAATGGTTCAGGAAAAAACGGACGATATCATAATATCCACAAAAATTTAGACTACAGATAACATTTGCTTGGACGGCACGCCAAAGGCAAGGTAACTTAATTAAAGTGAGCCACAGGAAAACGAGGTGAAACCGGTGTGATCGTTCCGCGCCGCTGCACTACAATACTCACTCTGCTACCAGCATTAATCGAAGAGTAAAAGGATTCTGTTTTGAGACACTCTGCAGTACTGGATTTTGGATATGGGGGTTCTTCCAATGTTCTAAATTGTAATAATGATGTAGTATCACCGGGCCTGAATTCATGCACAGCATTGTAATGAACATGGTAATTCTGCAACTACAGTACCTAAGAATGTACAGATTTCTGCAGTATTTTGCGGCAAGTATTGTACTGCATTTTGCAAATACAATAAAATAATGCGTTAGGAGTCAAACCAGTTGTCTTTTGGGGATAAATGGGCATGGCAGCGTTTTCGTAAAAACGCCGGGTTCTTTGCATGGCACGTGAAAGGGGATCAGGATAACAATGGTGATTGTGTCGAACTGAAGTTCAATAATGCGAATCAGTAATGCGTTGACTACGAATAGCTTCCGAAAACTTTTTATAAAAATTTTGGTCTATAAGGAATCAGATTATCAGACAAGGCATAAAAAATCGGTACCCAACTACCCATTTACTAAGGGCTGGATAATTTAACTGGAGGCGCGAAGTACTGCAGTAAGTAGTAACATATCGTGCGGAATAACTGGGTTGCCGACTTATACATTGTTTACATCGACAATCTACGGTTTCAGAGTTTTGAAGAAATTCACTTTACGAAAATGCTGCAATTTACTGCAGGCTGAAAACACTGCGAAGATTTCGAGGTCAAATTTTATAGAACATTACTTTGCAGTAGATCCGCCACGATTCCAATGGCAAAGGTGCAGACAGGCCCAAACACCGCCGCCACGGGGTGGGTTCCATTAGCCGAGCGGTAATACAATTCAGCCACGTAGCTCAAAACCGTCTCTTCGATTCTGTCGCAATCCCGTTCCCACCACTCTTGTACCAGATGTGTCTTTACACTGCAGCCACTGAGCCACGCAGTGTCGTATTCTGCACCATTTGCCAAGCAAGGCTGATGGCCGGGCCCACAATGTGCTGGTCAGCAAAAACAGGCGCTCGATAGGGCGTAATGCCGAGTAAGGTCATGTTACAGGAGAAAACCTCCACAACATAAAACATAAAAAGGAAACCCTTGATTAAGGTCATTCTGATGGAAAATGTGTCGTGCGATACAAAACGGGTGATATCGTAGCGAGAGAACGAAACCTCTTGGAGTTCCTTAAACACGCAAGAAGGCCGTCGACTCGTTAGTGATGCTGAACAACCCAGGTTCTCTAAATTATTCGGTGACAATTGAAACACTGGTGGATCTTACGCGATAAGGTTATGAATTACTAACAAATGACGGGTGACAATAAGACAGGACTACGCTCCGCAGACTTGGACAGCAGGAAAGAATTACGGGAACAAGCTTGATTATTAATAAGAGCAAAGCAGTTCGGGAGTTATGGTCATACTCCCAGTCTCAAAGGCAAAGGGCTTTTCAGTCGCGGCTTTTACCCGTTCAACAAGCACAGATTCATATTCAGGTTCTATGTTCCCTGTTGCCGCTAAGTAAAACAGTCTATTGATTCTACGTAGCTTGATGTAAACGTAGCTACGCTGTTGTGTACGTACCCCCTCGTTCGAAACACATTTTTAGGAAATTAAACGATCGCCTCAGCAGGTGAATGATCATAACGCAGCTGCTTTTTTATTAACTGAAAAGCCGTCCCACTCCCCATCCCTTTCCATTAAACCGTAGCGTATTATTGCAAGTACTGATGAAGGTTTATTACAGTTAGAGTGGGTGTACGCTTATCTGATTACTGCCCTACGTTATTCTGTCGGCTGTTTGATTATTGAAAATGGTCATGGCTCATTACTATTTCAGTTGTGCTCTCATTGTTTTGATTGATTGATTGATTTAATTTCGAGTAGCCAAGCCCGTAAACGGGCACTCTCATCCTATTTTTGCGTTGCTTTCCTTTTTTAACCTTGCTTCCTATTTTTGATGGGAGATGCTGTAGGCAATGTTGCATGTACCACCACAAAAATGGTCATTGAACTCGAACGAGCGAATCCTCGTACGTGGGATTTGGTGCACAACAATTAAGGAAAATAATTTACAACATCAGAATATTATGTACAAATAGCGGCGTTTTGTTCTTACCATTATTAAATATGAATTTGATAAGAATTGCATCTCCAATGACGCATAAAAATAAAATTAAGGTCAAGAATTACAATAATTATTAACTTTTACAAGTAAAGGCACAACTACGGCTCAAAGAATTTTGAGGTAAGCAATATAGTGACGAGTGCGACTCATGAACCACGAATTTGTTGAGTGATGTGCATACCAACCGAAAATGTGGTAATACAGATTTGACTTGGAGGCGGACTCACAAGACGCTGCACAAGCTATGACAAGTACACTTATTAGGATCCCATCGAATCCCTCTATTAAAACGGCGTGCAGCTGAGAAAACCGCAAACATGTACGAAATGTAGATGGGCTTGGTGGATAGTTTTATCAGAAGCGTATCTGCAGACGGCGTCATGAAATTATCTTCTTAGCCTTTAGATCCCGTTACCTCAAAGGGTCATACGCAGCAACTCTGCATATCTTTGCCCTTTGGAGCACCGGTAGATTACTGGTTGGCGCCAGAGAAATCCACATAGGTTTTACTTTCTCGTATGCAGCTTTGCTTTAATTGTACCATATGGCTGTTGCCTCCCACCAACCGGCAACCGCTGTTACAACAGCTATCGTCCTCATTATTGCGATTTCGAACTCCAGAAACTATATTTCCTCGCGTTTTCTAGCACACGTCTATGAACTAGAAGACGCAGTCGCGTAAATGTTGAGTAAAGATAATTGCGCAAGCGTCAACAAAATTATTAAATTCAGTGGAAGTACTAAAACATGGTGTACTCGTACTGCTATGTTGTTTAATTAGCTTTAGTGGAATATTACTTATCTGCTACACATAAATAATTACACTTTTTTTTTGCATTCTTTTGATTCATAACAAGCATTCACCACGTTTGGGATTTTGGAACTCTTGATGAGGTCGACGAATTCGGTGCTAATTGTTTTCTTATCGACAGGGACGCTATATCCTTTGATGAGGTAATACATCTCTTCCTTATCACGGGACAGAAGTTTGATTGTTAGGCTTTCGGTGCGGTAGCGTGTTCCTAATTCAGTAATTTACACATATATCATGGTACAGAGTAGTTAAGTCAAAAAGCCAAAATTCAGTCCGTACCGAAATTTTTGCTGAAAAGATCAAGTAAAGCGGACCGTGTAGCTTTCTCTTGACTGCTGCCATCGGCTGGAATAGTCTGCACAATTACTCGTGCGCCCGCCACCAGCTTTGCAAGCCCACCTACAAGGACAAAATTATTGTAAAATGTGATTAGGCAGAACACTTTCTTCCGCTATCAAGTTCTGCGAATAATAATGAATGCAACTACACCGTGTCCAAAATAGATCGCGGAAGGTTGCAATCGCCGTCAAAAAATATGATGTTGCAAAAATAGTTGCCGCAGCTGTTAGCGGGTACAGTAAATTACGACTACATTATACGTACGTACTCGTACTATGATTGCACATACGTTTAGTCGCATCGTCCTCTTGTTTCTTGAGTCGTTGCTCTTCTGCCTCTTTAGCATTCTTCTTGGCAGCCTGTTCAGACGTTTCAGCAGCAGCCTTTTTTGCATTTGTTCCACATTGTTCTTTAGGAATCTGGTATGCCCGCCATTGGTAAGTTAATCTAACAAGGAAAAATGATTTTCCATATCTTTTGGCACTTCAAAAGTACGTATTACTTGGCATTCGCTGGATTTTTGAATTTCTGGTCACAAGGAAACGGCTTCGACCATTTGGCAGCGTTTAGGTTAGACGCCACGTCCTTAGCTTCGGCAGATGTTTTGCAATCGAAATACTGCATGTCCTTGTTACTGGTAAAGTAGCCTTGATGGTAAGCTTTCTTCAAATAAATTCAGATAACACAATCGGCAAACCAATAAACTTTCCAGAGAGTAGCCATCTGCAACCGCCATTTACCACTTACCACTGCCATGTTTATTTGCTGCAACACGACTACAGTAAATATCAGATTTTCAGGTTGAATTTCTCGTGAAAACTTTTTTGTCATTCGGATACTGTACTTTGAATTTTCCGTTGCAGGTATCTTGGGAGAAAGTACGGTTAATCGATGCCTGGTCTACGCATTGCTCGAAATAAACGGGCCACCACTCCACTGAATTTAGATCGGCTGTTGTTGGTGTGAAGCATTCCTCGGAGCTTTTAGGGCACACACTAAAAAAACCGCGACTCTTAAATTGTGAATGAATTTTATAATGTAAGACTTGTTGCTTCCGCATTTGTCTTACCTGGTGTTCATTGCACGCTTTAGCTGGACATCGCATGGTGGTTGATTGGCCTGACACATATTAGCTTTGCATTTTGTAGCACCGTCGGCGAGAACACTGGCTTTGTTGGCGAAGTCTAATATTCGAATGTCCACTCTTATCTCATCAGCTGCTGCCTGCAAAACGGGATTATTGCAGTTCAGGCACTGCAGCTAGCTGGCTCATCAGCAAATAAAAGCTTTGTAAAATCTCAATTCGCAATTTCTAGATCGACACGGAACTCGTGTCTTTTACGTACCCGAAATAAAAGGGCGGCGGATAGGGTAAGTAAAGCGAATGGATAAATTGTCGAAAGATCTAGAAGCATTTTATTCAACTTTGCTCGTATAGTATTATGTTTCAAATCACAACATCAAATTCTCTTTCTTTTTAGTACGCGCTGGGCTTAGCATCAGTGCACAACGGGACTATGTTAACACTTAATTCGTCAAGTGTTGAAAAAAAATTTTCTGCAATTAAGATTTATTGAGAAAGGCATGTGTCGCCTTCAGGTTAGATACTGTCACCGTACAGATACGTGTTACTCGTTTTGCCTGGTCGGACGATTTTCCTTTAACTGCAGATGTACTAGAAGATTGCCAGTTGTAAATACGAGTATATCATACAGCATTAAAGAATGTCTTGCAAAAAATTTATCTCTTTCTTTTTATTGATGCGACCGATCCCGGCGCTGCAGGCCATAAATCATACATGGGCAGACAGAAAACATAATACAATTTATTTTATAGTGATAATTGCACGTGACTTATCTAGAATAAAGTCACTTTATGTGCCTACTACTAGGCTACTAGTGATGCTGCCTACCAAACTGGCTAATCAATGATCATTCTATAGTACAGACTGTACAGTACTGTACTTAGAAACTTCACCATGATTTAACGGCTTACGAATCTCACCAGTATCACGGTCAGTTCGATGTGCGCTGAAGTGTTTAAAGATAAGCGTTTGCGAAGGTTGATAATTATGTACTCGTATACTTGTACATGAAATTAGCATGTTCTGTTCCATTCCGTTTACTTAAAGGTTATGCGGAACAGATTTGTACTTTTTGCAGTCTGTAGCACGTGGTGGATTTCTTGTTTTGTTCTACAGTCTCACACTTTTGAGTGAATAAGGAGCCAGCAAATTCAGAAGCAATTCTTCAAAAAAAAGCATTGTTAGGTTTGCTTGTTTTTTAACATTTTTTAGCCATTTTTAGATCAACTGCACTTCAAATCCGCTTCTCTAGCGGTGGTTATCCCAATAAAATGCACTACTTATATGTGTATATAGTCTATACTTATATATGCAAGAAACTACGAAAATTAAAAGTGGGTGCAACCGCGTATAGTTCAAATGTACCGCAAACCTTCCTAAGTAAGCATTACCTTTTCTCATTTCTCTTAAGTAGAAACTATTGCCATTTTACCACATCTTTGAGGGAATTAATGACTGAATACAACGGATTACACCGTGGTGAATATTTAATTTATTTCGTTTTGCAGTCTTTCGATTCAAAGCAAGCGTCCACTACGTTTGGAATTTTAGAGCGTTTGATGAGGTTGACGAATTCGTTGCTGATTGTTTTTTCGTCAACGGGGACGCTGTATCCAACGATAAAATAATATTTTCTTTCCCTATCGTGGGACGCAAGCTGGATTGTTACGTTTTCGGTGCGATAACGTTTACCTGAAACAATCAATATGTGATACCACAAGCACGCAAAGCTAAGATCACAAGACTGTACCGAAATTCTTGCTGAAAAGGTCAAGTAGAGCGGAGCGTGTTATCTTTTCTTGATCGTTGCTGTCTGCAGGAACGGTCCTTACAATTACGTGTAAGGACACCAATAACTTTGCCAGACCACCTTTAACAAGAAAATTCATTGTAAGAAGTATATTAACTAAACTACCGCTTTACGTTTTTCGGATAAGTCAACGAGTAGTAATTCAAATGTAATGATAGTTTTTGCATAGTGCACTTCCTGTTAATCTCTATATTTATAAATAATTTAATTGCTAGTAATGTTTCTGGATAACTGCCGCACCTTTATCTCATAAATCATTCACAGCGGTTTTATCTATATTTATTAAAACCACCTGTTGCGAATGTGTTGAAAACAAGGTGCGATAGCTGGTTAGTGAAAGGTGCGATAGTTGTCAAAACATCACCAGGCGTTGTTTCAGCTGTTAACGTAACAAAAATGTAATGTATCTTACGCTTTTTTGCTTCTTCGTCCTGTTGTTTAATTTTTTGCTGTTCCGCCTCTTTGGCAGCCTTTTTAGCAGCCGCTGCAGCAGCCTCTTTAGCTTCTTGAGCGGCCTCTTCCGCTTTTTCTGCAACGGCCTTTCTTGCGTCCGCTCCGCATTGTTCTTTGGGAACGTGGTATGCTCGCCACTGATAGGTCAACCTGATAATATTTCAAGCCAAGAATTGTCAGGAATACGGTTGGCGCTTTCAACAGTATCTTACTTGGCATTCGCTGGATTTTTAAACTTTTGGTCGCACGACATGACCTTCGACCATTTAGCAGCGTTTTGATTAGCTGCCACATCGGCAGCGTTACCGGAAGTATAACAATCGAAATACTGTATATCCGGAGCAGGATTGACATAGTATTGTGCGTGATAGGCATGCTTCAACCAGACAACAGTATCAAATTTTTTTTGCATACCGCGAAAAAGGTAGCCAGTTGTAAACCGCTTCTTCACTTACCACTGGCAAATTTATTTTCTGCAGTAAGATAACAGAGTCACATTTTGGCTAAATCTGAAAGAAATGCCTAAAAGAAATATCATTTTCTTGCGTACTTTGAATTTTTCGTTGCAAGTATCCTGGGTGAAAGTGTGGTTAAGCGTTCCCGGGTCCACGCATTGATAATAGTAAAAAGATTCGTAGTTTACTGATTTTGGATCGGCGGTTGTCGATGTGAAACATTTTTCTGAATCTTGGGGGCACACGCTAAGCAAATTGTGGCTCTTGAACTCGTTAACAATTTCAGAAGTAAGGTTTTTTATGCGGCTGACTCACCTTTTGTTCATTGCGCGCTCAATTCTGACATCGCACGGTGGTTGATCGGCCTCACACCGATTAGGTTTGCATTTTGTAACACCGTCAGCTAATACACGGGCTTTGTTGGAGAAGTCTAATACTCGAATTTCTACTCTTATATCGTCTGCCGCTGCCTACGAAATCATTTCATCATTTTACATCCAATCCCCAAATATTACAAATTGGGGATGCATCGAGAAGCGAAAAAAAAATCATAACGTAATTCAGTTCTTGCCTCTTACTTACCAGAAAAAAAAGGGTGCAGGATAGTGTAAGCAAAGAAAGTAGGAAGCTCGGGAGATGCATTTTATTCAGAATTAATATCGGCAATCCTAAAATGAATTTATTTGTGTCCGTACCACTAGTTAGTGCGCAGACGGCTGATTTTCAATACAATAATTTGGCAGCTATAATTACATATACTCAGTTGCTGTCCATTATGTTTTATTAAGCAGGACTTACGTCGCCTAAAGGGCGTTGATGTGTCTAGCTTTTCCAAACAAGTCCCAATACTGTCATACCGCTAAAATGTCACAGAAAAGTCTCGAAAAAAATTTTTTTAAAGAAGCGGCCAACCTCGGCGCTGCAGGTCATAAAAGTGGTCAAGAACGACAGAAAATAATTTATTGCGATAGCAGCAAATGGCACTCCTAGAACATTATACAAGCGTACCACATTTAGTGGTACTGACATTAGCTTTACCAGACAAACCTAAACGGCAGACAAACCTTAACAGTGTGGATTCTAATAAACAATAATGATTAATGCGTTCTGTGGCAATTTACTCCGTATGCATAAGCGCCATCATTCTTGGCAGTTGCGGTTCCTGACTAAGCTGCAAAGGCGGCGGCTGCAGTAATGTCGGCAAAAGCCGTTCACAAGAAAGTAAGAGAGACTGTTTTTTTCCGTCAGCTATTAACGAAGCTTCTAGCCCGGCACACAGTATTTATTAATTATAATATACGTATTATTCGAGCAAAAGTACTCTGTACTACGTATAAGGGATCATCATTTGCTGAAAATTCGCAAAACTTTTCGCTTCTCGCAAAATTACTAACGTTTTGTATGTATTGCAGAGCATACTGCTGACGTGTGTGTCTGTGCGAGGGTATGAACTCGTATATTGGGTTTGCATGCGAAATAATATCTGGTAAGGTCTTCCGAATGTTGTGCGCTCCATGTCCGGCGGCATATTATAATTATTTGCCCTATCGTCATAATCAAAAAATTATTCGATAGACGAGTGTAACGAACGAATTTAAAGTACTAAGAACTTGATCAGACACGTAATCTAAATACGGTCGGACTCAACAGCAGTATTCTCACAATTTGTTTGCCCAGAAATATGAAAAAAGCATGTCTACTGTATCCGAAATACGTCTAATACAGTCTGAAGATGCTGTCATATCGTATTAGCCCAAAGCGGATTTTTTCCTAACATAGACAATTCCTTGCCGGTTACTTTCAAGTTTCAAGTTGCCGGTTACTTTCAAGTTTCAAGTTTCAGGTCTGGAAATGCACATGGAATATTAGAACGTATGCAGCTAAGGAACTGCATGCAATTCAAAGTACGAGGGATTGTTAAATTAGTATCTTTCATTTAAATTTCAAGCATCGCAGCACATTGCATGAGCTCGAGTTTTTAGATTAGGAAAGGGGCCTCTTTTGGTTCGGCTCCACATTGCTCTTTGGGAATTTTGTACGCTCGCCACTGATACGACAATCTACAATGCAACGTTTCGCAATTATTATAATTTAATTGGAGGAGTAGCAACAACACCAAGGCTCACTTTGCATTCTCCGGTTTGTTATACTTTTGAGCACACTGTTTGGTCTGCGACCATTTGGCAGCACGTTTGTTTGAAGCCACATCAGCGGCGTTGCCGGAAGTCAGACAGTCAAAAATCTGCATATCCTTGTCTTCGGCCGAATTAAACTTCTCTTGATGGATTACTTTCTGTGGAAGAGTACATAAGCATACGGTATTAAATAATTAGGGCATATAGTATCATGTACATCTAACGTAGTTGTTCCTTGTTATGAAGATAAGGACATAAATTTCGTATTCACTGTATACTTAAATAAAACTCGTACTGTACGTTACCTACCAGCTGCAATTTCGTTTCCTGCAAATAAAAACCCAAGGACGGTTAAGCGGTTGAATGAACGATATGTAAATACGTATGCACTACGTACGTATGTACATGAGTACACTTTCTATGTACCTGAAATTTTTTGTTACAGTTATCCAAAGATAGAGTGCGATTAACAAGCGCTTGATCCGAGCAACCTTTGTAAAAAACAAACCGCCATTCCATAAATTTTGGATCGGTAATCGGGGAACTAAAGCATTGGTCGGAGGATTCGGGGCACAGTCTAAAATGACAGTATATAAGTTAGCGTCTGTACAACACTGTGCAGTTAGCACTATAAGTAAACAGTCAGTAGACTTTTCGGTAAATACATATTGATTTAACTATTTAACAAGACGTCCGCAAAGCTGTAAGGAGTATATCTGATTACTGCTGCATTACGTACCTATATCGTAGGTACTGGGTTACGGTAATTATGAGCTCTGCCACAAGTGGTGGTTTGTCGCAAAATTACTGCTAAACAATGGAAGCGTTAAGAAGCAAGTACGTGCAGTTTATATTGTGCAGTTTATTGTTAATACTGTACTCGTACCTTTTGTCCACTGCGCGGGATAACCGAATGTTGCATGTTGGTTCCCCTTTTGTGCAGAACGACTTGACTGGGCATTTTGAAGTTCCGTCGGTTAGAGCGCGGGCCTTGTTAGTGAAGTCTAGCAATTGGAATTCAACTCGAATATCATCAGCTGCTCCCTGTCATATGCAGATTGTGAGCTGGATATTCTGAAGGCTTTCGTAAACACTAGTAAGAACATACTGTTCTGCTGTAGGTGAGTTTAAACGTATTAGCGCCTGACAAAAAATCATATATCGACATCCAGAGTGTTTTTGGGCAGATACCGGTACCAACTAATCAGTAGGTAATAAATAGCTAACTACCAAACATACGATCGGGTTCCCACCATAGACGTACCAGAGTTAGAAGGGCACCAATGACAAAAAGATTTAAATCCCATTGGAAGAGCATGTTGCCGTTATGAGGGTGGTGTAATAAGTACAATTTCTTCGCTTCTATACTGACCAAACTTAAACTCACGATTTTTTTGGAGTGAATACTTTGGATGGATGCCGGCTTTTATTTAAACGCTTTCCGGTTTTCTACTGCCAGATGATGGCTCATTCAGTCACTATCACATTAATTAATTTCTTTTTTTCTGATATTTCTGTCTTGCGTCGGAAATACTTCTGTCTCGCGTCGGAACCAGTTTGTTAAAGTTTAACTGCATTGCATTAGGGGTGTGTTAGCGCTCCAGCCTGAAGGCAACTGTAAAACCTTAAGAATGCCACTAAATACAACAACGCCATATTTTTAGCTGAAATGCAGCAGTATGATAAACATTTTTTATTTGAATAGCTTATACTTTATAGAAAAAGGACTAACTGAATTCGTGTGTTTTGCGATAAAAGTGCCCGAAAGGAGCATGGGACTCATCTTCTACCAAACGTTTTATTATTTGTAATCAAAGCACGGAGCAAAATACGTTACTACAAAGTGTAAATTGTACAGTACAGCCACTTAATAATTAACGTTTTTGCAAAAAAGTTTATTGGAAACTGGTCTAATACAACACAATCCGGAAGGTATAAAATATAAGCCCAAAGAAGATCCCATGACATAATAATGTACAGATATGCAGAGCATTCCTTGGCGGTTATCTTCAGTAAATATGTTTATCAGATCTAAAGGCTGAAAACGTAAGAAGAACAGGAGGAGCAGTGCTACATTTTCACTTGGTCTTTGCTTTATTTCATTTTTTTTAGTATGCACTTGCAGAGTCTCTAGGTTTACGTTTTATCGCTTTTGGTGCCATTGACCGGCACCAGTGCCATGTTTTACTCCCTGACGAGCTGTCCCGTTATATGCAATATGCTTGCAGGTACTCGTCTGTATTTAAGGTAATTGAGATCATCAGTTCAAGTTAATGCACACGAATCCAGTGATCGCAAAAAGCATTTCGTTTTTACTATTCTGATTATACTTTAGACATTAATTTATTTGCATGGATTTCGGGGCTTCCTTTATCGCTGCTCGTGCTTTGTTTTTTCGGCACGAATGTAAATTGGCATGTCTGTTTACAACATATATTTCGACACTTCCACGTGTGTACTCACAAAATACAAAGTTTTCTGCCTATTCGGAAAACGGGTAAATGACATAATTCGTGTAACGCGAAAAAGCGCCGGATGAATCGAGAATCGTGTATCTGCTATCCCAAGCATCAGGCAAAATGCTGATTAGTGCGGGTAACGTAAGTTGTTAGCCATGGTAAACGTTTATTTGGTCACCTGGGATATAGTTATACTGTGATGTGATGATATAGTGCTTTTACTTTATATGGTAAAGCTATATTTTAGTGCAATAATTATGGATGTTGTAGGAAATGCGAAGATCCAGCAGGAATCGTGGTGTACCTCTCATGTTATTAGTTTTACTGACATCTTGAAGTTACTGAAGAGACAGGCGCTCGGTGAACGTGAAGAGTCACGCATCATACAAGAGGAAGACGTTAGGTCTGCACTTTGCATGCTACTTATTAGGATAAATGTAGCAAGTTGTTAGGAGTTAATAAAAATTACGCCTACATTAATCATGATCACCTGTCATGAAATTTGAATTAAAACTAGAAAGCGAGTTGGTTGGGTAGCTATACCATAACGCAATTTATCCGAGAACACCAAGTTTCCAGTACCACGGAACAACTAGGACAACGGAAAAGTTTTTAGCATGGCTAACGCAACACCGATATCGCACGTTTCTCCGGATTTCTAGCGCCAACATGTGCCCAGTTCGGGAAATTATACCGAGGTGCAGTATCTGAGCGCTATCACGGTGTAGGATTTGTCTACTTAGCGTTGCTGGACTCTGCACTATTGGAAACACATTTATACTGACCCTGCGGATGATGGATAGACATTTATCGATCATCGACGAGTTACTACATAATGACCATTGCTTTTGCAGATTTATGCTTTCTGTACGTACAAATACTCAAATGCCCGAATTAATCGTAATTAATTACTGTCATATAGATATACAAGAGTCATCTTCGGCTTCGCCTCAGATACTCTTGTGGTCTACAGTCAATTCTTTGAAAAATAATTCTTGATCATTTATTTTTGAAGCTGTATGATGAAGCGTTGTATGATTAAGCGCTGTTCATAGCTTCAGTTAGCTTGCTCTAATCAGGAAACAGCATTATATAGCTTAATATCTGATCGATTCATTTTATGTGAAACAAAATAGTTAATAGCACGACTGATAATCGGAGAGCGGTCAGCGTGCTAAGTTTCTAATAATTCGGCTTCGCTACTTTTTAATAACTGGTACGTGGAAACCAATTTTGATCGAGGACAATAATATCCTTTGTTCAGTAATCAGTAGGTTTGGTCAGTAGATGCAGTAGTGCGAATTTTTTTAGTTTTTGATAATTTTTTTTATTTTTGATTCAGTCGGGAGCAAGGAGTGTGCAGTGATAACGAACAACAGAGATCACGTTGTCCTAGTCACCGAACATTAGTAACAGCAATAACGGGTCCTGTAATTTGCGTTTACGCAGCAGCTCTGGTTAGTGATACCTAAACACTGGTATGACTTGCGGGTTGGTTTTTTCTGAATTTCGATTGTTTCCGGATAACTGTTTCCAAAAAAATTTTTGACAGAGATTTCAAGCATCTAATGGTGTTTGCATTTACACGGGATGTCGTTCTACCCGGTGCTAGCTAGTTAACATTTTTTGTTTATTGGCAATAGCCACCAACAAAATAAAAACTAGCCCTCGCGGTCACACTGTTTGTGGTAAGGGGTGGTAAGGCCGGCGGTAAATTGGGGATTTCGGACCATGGCGACCGTTCGCTTTCTTAAGTAGGGGTTTGGTCGGTGGATAGACATGCCAGCTTTTGCGCAGTTCTGTTCGTTTGACAGCTGGAGCATTAGCGTTGTGCTGGACAATGATAACGGTTCTGCTCTTATCTGGACTAAGCCACTAACACTAAAATAATATTCCTTCCCTGAAACTTGAGCTTCCGTTCACTATACAGGCCTGATCGACGGTCAGTATGTTTCCTGTAACTCAGTACGTCTGGTTAGTGGATAGTGTAACCTTTGTGTGGTTCTGTTCATTCGGCAGCTCAAGAACTTTATTAGCATCGAACAGTGGGTACTGGGCAAGGGTTCCGTTGGGTTCCGTTCTCATATGCCGGTCTGGTTAGTGAGTTTTTCATTGCATAGGAAAACTCACGGTCAGTAAACTTTCGCTTGCAAACTATGGTTAGACACTGCCTGTTTTCTCACTACCACCGAGTGGACGAAGTGCGATTTCGCCTTCTACCTAATATGTAAAGGAACTACCTCTGTATGCAGGTAAATAGGAATACGTTCGCAAACTTTCGCTTTCGCACCCTCAAACACTTTTTTCGTTTCATAGCTTTCATAATGATCACCCTATGGCCAAATGGTTTGTACTTTATACATCTGTGTGAAAATTGTTTATGAGATACAGGAAGAATAAAATTTTAAAATGTTTATTCACGTGGCAAATGCATTGAGGTGGCATTCAAAAGCATCATTATGAATCCCATTATTCTTATCCCAAATTTGCATGTAAACGCGCGAGTATACCGTAGTATGAGTATTATGATTGTTTTACACCGAACCAGACAACGTCTTTGGTATTTAAGTTATTTTTAAATTTTCTGTTTATTGTAGATCTAAGCTTTTTGTAATGTATAAGAACAATGTATAAGAACGCGGAAAAGCTAAAACGTTCCAGTGCAAACGCGCTTTCCGGTTCCGAAAACCAAAAGAAAATTTCTTCGCTTTAGAGCGTTTTGTTGAAACGCGAAAAAGCTGAAAATTTTTTCGAAGTTTATTTGAAAAAAATACAGTTTTTCCGTCAGGCCTGCACACTGTTGCAGGACCTATATATACACTATAATAAAAACAGAAAGTGAGACTTTCTGTATAAGAGTGTAGACGGCTTGTTTCTTGCACGGTCTATGGGGAAATCTGTAACCAAAATGTTACACCCCTGTGATTGGCACAAGTTAGGGGTGTGGTTTACGGTATGCCAGTTAATACGGGCATACTGCATAGTCAGCATAGCTGTCGCTAGAATGTGGTTGGGCTATTAGCCTAATAATTATAGAAGTACTCCATGTGGTTTGTATCCAGTTCCCGTTTATCCCGATTATTTCCCTTTCCCATCCAGGCCTGACGGAGCTATTTCCGTAGGAAATGTCACTTTAGTGTTTTTTATTACACTACATACTCTGCATTTGAATATTAGCTGCTCCACGCAACAGTGTTTTATGTAAAAGCTCTTTCAAGGTCACCTTGAACTGATGCCTGTACCGGTACCGGCATCCGAGCGATGGTCTAGGGCAGATATTTGAAAGCAAAATGCATGTGGGACCCTTTTGGGACATGCTGAGTTTAATGGTGAAATCGGTTTTTTAATTTACTTAGCGGTTTTTTCTAGCCAAGTTCCACGGGGCGGCCGATCATAATATAGATCTATATATATATATATATATATATATATATATATATATATATATATATATATATATATATATATATATATATATATATATATATATATATATATATATATATATATATATATATATATATATATATATATATATATATATATATATATTTCCTTGATTGATATTTCCTTGATATAAGGACCTTTTCGTTACCACGGACGCGGTTTATCGCCATAAATTAATGGTTAAAACCGATAGATAGTTAAACTGCCAGTATTGTGCGAATAATTGACATCTGAAACTGATTTGCAAACAGGTGGTTTGGCTTCCCAAATATACTTTGGAACATGAGCGCTCGGCTAAAACTACCATACTACATTGCCAGAAATAGGCAAGTGTTTTATATGACCAGAGCGCCGGTGCTCTGGGCGCAGGAAATGTCCGCGACGATGTCGGACTGGTAAGGATCGAAATAAAACAAGTCATATGAGTAACTGCAATTATTTTTGGAAAATTTAGGGGCCCCAGAATTCAGCATGCACAAATTTTATCTTATCACTTCTCATTCTATATTCGGTTCTTTAATGATGAATTAAAATATTGATTTGTCAGTGCACAACAAATTAACAAGGCGTCCTATCCTAGGTCTTTTAAAAGCATATCCGTGACTTAAACTTATTATATGACAACACTTTAAATCGTTGTTAACTGTTTGAAGGTAACTGTTTAAAGGTCATCGTTTACAATCTCTATGTTTTCACCTTGTTTATTGGTTGGGTGAGCTTACATTATTAACCCTCTGCCGTGACACCTGTAATCTCCTTAAAACTTGGTCCTCTGTAGGCTCCTGTTAATCTTTTCCTTGGAACGCTTATTGATTATTTACGATCCGTTCAGATTCCGCACTCTTAAACGTCCCTTCGTAGCCCGCATAATTATTTTAACACTAACGTTCTTAACCGCCGCGTTTACCGTCTTCAACTTTGTTAACAATTTTATTGTCTGGCGAGATGATCTATGGAAAGCGCTGCCAAGACGCCCTTTATGGCTGATCCAATGGGAATCCATACAACTGAAAGCCGAGGTCATTTATCGCCTTGTCACGTTCTTCATCCTGATCATTCTGAACATTTCGCTCATTATCTTTTTACACCATTACGAGTCGACGCGCTCACTGGCCACTCAGCGCCGGCATTCCCAGCGGAAAGAGCGTCGCAGTAACATCGTCCTCCTCAGCTGTGTGGCGTTATTCATCCTCTGCCGTACACCTAATGTAGTGCACAATTATTTAATTATTGCTGATGATAATCACGCGTTTGACTTCACACCGTCCGCCCGCTACTTCGCCGCGGCAGTTGTCAATGGGATCCAGTATGTAAATTATTCACTGAAGTTTTACGTTTATCTCATTACGGATCGAAAGTTTCGCAATGAATTTATACGGTTGTGCGGCACCATATGCGCACCGCTACGAAGGCATTGCATCTGTAAAAGGACAGATGGGACTGCAAGACTGGGATCACTGCTGCTGTGCAGTGTCAAGAGGAACTACACGGTGAAAACGAGCGGTGATTCTATTGAAATGAGCGATCAGGCGCTGGGATCACAGCTATCCCAGCAGTACTCACAGGCAGACAGATAGCTCCCTACAAAAGCCAGCTTGCGTATTATTTTATGTTCTCGGCGCTATCCCTCGCATTTTGCGGTATTGTCATAATTATCTCAATGTACAATAAATACAGCACTTACTGTACCTAAGTACAGTCTGCACTTTATTGCGTGGCTGAATAAGGATTTGATTCTTAAGTATGTAATGTACGAGTATTCATGGTCAGTGTAACAGACTTATAACAGTGTGCTACAGATTGTCCTGTCCTCATGCAACTCTGTACTTCATGCTTGTCCGATAACGTTTCATTCCTGTGGCCACTTTATTAGAAATTTTAATCAAATTAAACGTTTGAAATTAATAAGTCTCGCTGGTTCGCAAGGTCGCGGTGTGAAATTGGTCGCAAGGTCGCGGTACTTGTTATAGCCCTTATGATCACTCACTACTTCAAGTATCCTTAGTCTCACCACGCGTCGGATTGCAAACGCTCTGCAAAATAGCCACTCACTTTTGGGGTACCTATGTCGAAATGTCCGTCTGCCTCACTCTGCCAGCGTTCAACATTCGCAGCGATAGGAACAACGCACTAATGCATCACTATAGCCACTGGAAGAAGTTCTTGCACGGTTACGCCCTGCCGGACATATGCAGCAAACGCGTAGAATGCGCGTGGCAGTCTTTATGGCATTTTTCGTAAACCAGACTCTGTCATACGACACCGTGGATCGACTACAATTTTACGCTACCAACTTTTTATTACTTATATAAAAATTTACACAGATTATTCTTTTTAGTTAATCAGAGAGGCCATAAAAAGAGTTTGTTTGTTCTGGTTGGTGTTCTCGACTTCTCGTTGCAGCAGAATGACGGAACAGGGGGTGTGTTCGTACGGCTTCCTCCGCAATATCATCTGACTTGTGAGCAGAACACGATCTGGGCCATTCGCCCCCGAAGGTCTGCTGACTCATTTAAATTAGTTTTTCATCTTCTTGTTTCAGGTTTTTTCGAATTAGTGATGAGTAATTTTATTTTAATCCCTTGCCCATCTAAGAAAACCACGAAAATGATTTGCAAGTAAGTAAAACACTCAGTCGATGCCCCAAGGCACACATTCTAGCGTTGCTGTATCTGTAATACACTACGTATTAGAGAGCAAAAGTCATAAAATTTGTAGTAATTCACTAATCCGAAACAGCGAATGCATGAATTCCTTGGAATAGCACAATACCTATTACTAACGAGCTTTGTTTGAGCTTCATCAAACTGAACGGAACAGTAAAGGAACAAAAACTGTAGTGCCTTAATAAAACCACGGTTAAACTTCAAGTGCGCGGCGTGAAAATGATTTCGTAAGGCTTTGGGGTTCGTAAGAAACTGACAGAAAAATTATTCGGATCCGGCTCATTGCCCGGCACAGCGGAGACACTGAAGCGCTGCATGATGTTGGTGAAGAACAGATAGGTTTCCATCTTGGCCAGAGATTCCCCGGGACACGAGCGTTTCCCTGTTAAGAAACGCTGTCAATCTTTAAGACAATAACTTCTTTACATTACGCAAACTAACCGATGCCGAACGGAGCGAAGCCTTTGGGAATGAACACACTGCCGTCCTTGTCCAGAAAGTGCTCCGGATGGAAATCCTTCGGATGTGACCAGTACCGCGGATCACGATGCATGGCGTACGTGTTCAGTACCAGGAGACTGCGCGCCGGGATTTCATAGCCGTTAATCTTCATCTCGTCGATGTTGGTGTGCGGTACGCCCATAGGTGCCACAGAGCCCAGGCGCTGCACTTCCAGCGTGACCGCATCACAGTAATGTAAAGATGCTAAAAAGAACGCACACATTTCATGTTTTCATTGAGTGACCTTTTACAGTAACTTTAGTATACGCATAATTAATCGACAAAGAAGGTGACCTTTTTACTCACGTCGATCTTCCATGCGAATAGGTCTATCCCGTCCGATCTTGTTGTCAATCTCTTCGTGGACCTTTTTCTGAACTTCCGGATATTTAACCATGTAAATGAAGGCCCACAAAATTGTCGAATTGGTGGTGCTTGTACCGGCGGCAAAAAGATTCAGCAGTGAAACGGTCAGTTGTTCCTCTGCAAAACGCATTAAAGGTCAAACTCTGTTTTGTCGTTATTACAAAAATTATATTTTGTACCCGTAAAAGTCGAATCCGATTTGGCTTTCTCCTGATTCTGCACGATAAAAAAATTATCGATATAATCCCCCTTCTCCTCAATCTTTGACTGGAAATCCGGACGCGATTTATGGCTTTCGATCAGGCACTTGACGAACCGCTGGATCTCGCCCACATTCCCGAAGAATTCATTCCAGGTATCGTGGATTTTCCCAAAGGGTACATACCGCAAAAACGGCAGGAACTGGATGGGCGCAATGACGTTCAAGATGCGCAGGTTCTCCTCGAAGAGATTGGATAGATGGAGGAATTTTTCATCGGTATGCTCGAATCGTCGGCCAAAAACCAGGGCGCAGATGGCGTTGGAGATGGCCAGGGTCAGATGTCTGTGGGGGTCAAACGGTTGGTTGGCATGATCACGGAAGATTTGGCACACATTGCCAATGTTCTCCAGGATGTCGTCTTCGAACCAGGTTTTCCCCATGCCCAAATCACGAAGGGTGGACAGGGCAAAGCGGCGATGCTCGCGCCACAGTTCCCCTTCACTGGCGGCCAGACCTGTAAAACACTTGGTGAACGAATTGTTTGTCTAACAGTAAGATAACAGCGCGATAACCGTCAGACTGCAGACAGGGCAAAAGATAATATTTCTGTCAGCATCGATACAAATGAATATACAGATAAAATGCAAGATAACTTATAAGTACGGTTTAAGAATCTAAGAATATCTAAGAATGATCTAAAAATATTGTCGATTTCACTTTTCAGCCTAATAAGCAAATTTGTTGTCTGGGGAGTAAACTCAAATAAGCGCTGCGCTAAAGTTAATCTTTCTGCACTGCTAATAAATTTTTTCTCAGAAAAGCCGGAAAAATTATTGCGATATTCTACGTTTTTCAAAAATAAACTAAACACATCGTTTACTGCATTTTATTAGTAATAAATTGTTTTTCAATTTATTCGAGCAGCTGTTGACACTGATAAATTTGCCATACTGATAATAATCGCTTCGAAGACGAGCTGATTTACCTTTGCCTTTTAAGATGGTATTCAAAATGAAGTACTGGTCGCGTCCGGCAGTATTTTCATCGTTAAACACCGTCTTTGCCGTATCCGCATCGGTGATCATCACCATATCCCGGATGCCCAGCTGCACCGACATCACTCCGCCATATTCCTTCGACCATTTCGCCAGCTGTTCCGGCGGATTAGAGCCAAGATTCAGCAAGTTGCCGAGTACGGGGAGACCTAGATTTAGCATACATACCGTCAGGTGACTTGCGTTTCTTAAGCATTTATTTCGTACTGCGACGCCCGCGCACAAAATCCTTAATTCCAGAATATTTCCACTATATTTAACATTATGCATATTCTTACCAGTGGGTCCAGGAGGCAATTTGGGGTTGCGACGGCGGAGAAAAACAGCTGCCAACAATGCTGCAACGATGCCGCTTAAAAACAGCCACAGCGGTATCATCATGGAATGTGCATGGAAAGAGATCAGAAGTTAAAGCAGTACACAACGTTTTTGGCAACGTTTCTTTCTAAAAGAAACCAGAACTTGCTTTAGAACTGCGAAAAATAAGATAGGTTGCAATGTGCTGATAGTTCAAATGAAAGCTGAATTGATGGACGTGTGCGTTTGCCGAAGCGGTCATATTTATACAGACATACAGTATATCTCTTTACGTAATCAGTTTTTCGAATCAGCATGGTAATTGTCCGTAATACTGCGATAACACCTGGACCATGTGTTGTTGTAAGAAAGCTTAAGAGCGTATGCACCGTACATGCATACCAGTACACTACAAACTTTTCAGGCTATGCTGTGTAAGTACATACGGCATAAAGCAGAAACTACAATAGAAAGTCAGTGCAATAGCATGTCGTCGGTTGTGAACTTGTGATGTACTTGTACACACTTAACCGGCGAGCAGTACTTTCCATTTTTACGGCTAATTACGTGCTGTACGTTCCCGCCAAATATGATTTCACCGGTCAGTATCAGCTGTTATTTTTATGACACAGCAGTTTAGATCAGGTTTGTAGATGTGTACTATGTACTCAGCATTAGTATACTTTGATGCCATCATGCGGTATAATACAACGAAAAAATTACCGGGGCAATAACAAAAAATGGTCATGACTGCAATAATAAATGCGCATGTACAGTATATGTATGGTATTCTACATGGACTACATAATATATGCAGGCACTAGGATAATAGGCCCGATAACTTACTGTAGTACAGTGTGTACACTATTTAATATTCATTACTGTAATACAACAACCGGATTATGCTTTCCGTTCCCATTCGAGCTCAAGTGAGTCAAATTCATTTGTGCCAAAACTCATTGACGAGCCGTTATATTCAAAAGATAAATTTATACGGCCCCCGAGTAGATGCCGCTCAAAAGCTCGAATTTAAAGTCTACATGTACGTATGTTCTCAAAGTAGCCGATGGTGAACAGAGGCGATTCAGCACGCCGGTTCTTCGGTGCTGCTTGTTGAATGGGGAAGCGGCAATTTCGCATATGGATTCTCATTGATCAGGACACTGAGATAATCAGATGTATCCGTACCATTACTGGCAGTGTCCTCCACTTGTAACAGTTGATCGAGGAGATTCTGCTGTAACAAATTAAACTGTTGATAAGGCAAATCCATACTAAGGTAGATTTGCGCTGAATCGTCTCCGATCAGCGAAGTCAAATCTTTTTCCAGCTGAGCAAACTCAGGTCTTTGATTCGGTGATGTTGTCCAAGAACTAAGCATTAAACTGTAACTGCAAGAAATTACAAAGCGACTTTTGAAACTCAATATGAGTATTTGGTATTTACTCAGCTTTGCAGTAACTTACATCGACGCCGGACATAGTGATGGGCGTTCTAACCGCATGCCGGTACACAATGATGTCAAAAATTCCAGAAGGTTTGAAGTGTTAAAACTGCTGCCGGTGTAAGGCGTTTCTCCCAAACTGAAGATTTCCCACATCAACACGCCAAATGACCATACATCCGACTTCTGATTGAATACTCGCTTCATCATCGATTCCGGTGGCATCCACCGCACAGGCAATGCTACCTAACCGTCAGAACACAGATTGAAAGTTTCAGATTTTTATACTTTACTCATTAAAACTAGAAAAATTTATCTAAATCAGCATACCATCTTTTCAATCAATTTTTTAGCCCGTTTAAACATGCTTTTTCGTAAGTTCTTTTGAAAAACTAATACATTTCCCTCCTGGCCATGGAGGGCTAACGAAAAATAGTGACGCTGAATCGCCAACCGACACGAGTTGATAAACTACGGTATTTCATAAAGCTAGTTGTAATTACATCAGTCTGAACCAGAACATATTCTGGCATTTGTTTGGCCAAACCGAAGTCGGCAATTTTAACCACATGGTCCTGGCAAACAAGGACATTGCGAGCTGCCAAATCCCGATGGATAATGGAGCGACTGTTGAGGTAATTCATGCCGCGGCTAATCTGGAAGGCAAAATTCAGCAGATCACTGGTGGACATTATGCGCCCGTCAAATGACGTGTTCTCAATCTGCAAAGACTGTTGAACGCGATCAACTTGTTGTTGCCTCAGCCGGAGTTCTGCGTCATTAACGGTCAGCATTTTTCCTTCGGAAGAGATCTGGTTGTAGAAGTATATGCCACGATGAAAATTCAAGTAATTTAGCAGCGAACCGTGTTCACAGTACTCCAAGAGTAAAAGAATTTCACCTATACAGTAAAACACGGTGTATACAGTACGCGCAAAGTGATTGTGATTTACATCACAAAAGATTAATTGGTTAACAACATTTTAGGTGAATAATGTCATAAACTAAATTACAACTGAATGTAATAAGGTAATGCACTAGAATAGAATAGAAAGATGTTTTAGTCTGTTTTGTGTTTTAGTAGAATAGAAATCAAAGAGGTACGGGGCAGAAAACGCCATTTGCTAATGTATTATGACCTTTTACAACGGTTCCCAGTAGATTGATGATGTTTAAGTGGCGACCAGCTTTTGTCATAATTTTCATTTCTTGGATCAGCTGATTCCGTTGAAGTTGATTCATTTGATTTTTCCCACTCTTTATGGCCACAGTAGTTGGAAGCGGATGACCTTTGAGACCTTTAGCAGTTCCCTTTCGGACTATCCCGTATTCACCTTGGCCCAAGGTTTCGCCTTTAGAAAATCAGAAGTTAACCAAATGGGCGTCACTTGGAGGAAATTAAGATACTATAAGCCCGTCTAAAAAATTCGAAGAAAACTTTAACAGAGAAATCTGATTTCCCTGTTAAAGTTTCTATCGATTTTTAGGTTAAGTCATAGTTTTTTGGATTCCTCAAAAATTGAAAAACAACATTGACTTGATTCGTTTACGATGTCACTCCAGCGAAGTTACGAACTACTCCGATGGGTACTTAAGACTCGAGGGAGGGAACTCTGCGCAGTTTTATTTGGCAGAATGTTGTCTCACAATATTGGCTGTTATCCATTATAACACAGCGCTGTAGCTAATGCGCACTAATCCATTTTCTACAAGGCTAGGTGCTGCACGCTTAAAGTGCTCACCTCATTTGGAGATGGATTTATACCATGTGTAAAGTGTCGACAAAGATAAACCAAGAAACCTGTACACGAAAACCTACCGATTTCCAGATTGGCCAGTGGAATTTCCAGGGTGCCAATATATTTCCGCAACGCTGTTGTTGTTTCTGCGTAAATATCGTTGCTCCGAAGGTTAGTATCACTGGAACTAAGATCTTGTAGGCTTATGACAGTATCGACACTGCGTACAAAAGGTCGGCGCTGCGTTTTCCGCTTGTAATACAGGTATACGAACACGCTGACGAGAATGAGAAGCGTTATAGCCGAAACCGTTGACACAACTATGACAGTTACTTGTGGACCCTGACTTTGTGCAGTGTCACTGGAAGCGTTTGGACTTGCAGTTACGGATAATGGGGTCGTTTTCACCAGTAAGCTTGTTTCGTGCAGTGACTGCAGCGTGCTAGCAGCGCTGTTTCCAGGTATCCATTTCCAAGGATCAACATTTCCCTGCCTTACTATGACATAATCGACAAGCAGTTCTACCGGAAAGATTGTACTGTCGTCAACTTCCTGCATAACGGATGTCCCCATGTTAATCTGCATTTTGTTGACTGGAATAACTGTAGTATTGGTAGTCCAAGAGATAACCTCGTCGTCAAGGATCCACACTATTGCTGTTTTGGTCCATATTAGTTTGTAGACATGATAATCCAGTGTCATGTCCACTTCTCTGGAAAAAGTTAGATGAATTATTTTGACTAGCTCAATAGAAGACTGCAATCTGCACAAAGCAAAATTTTGGACGATAGCTGCACTGATGTTGATATGCGTGGACCTAGTACTAAAATAAAATTTATAACACAAACTCTTGACCTTTATACAAACAAGAATCGTTTCATCGTTTCTTCGGTAAATTACGTAGTACTGGTGATTCGCGCATTCTTGTGTGCGAACAATGGAGGTTGATGATCATGGATTTGATCGAACAGGGTCGACTAAATAAAACTACCACTTTTAAAATCAAGGTGTACTTTTAAGAAATTGAAATTGTGGGCAATTTAGCGTACTAGTTGGTAGCATACAAGCAGAGAAAGTGGATGGATTAGGTAGCAGAAAGGAAGAGACTGGTCGAACGTTTCGGGATCGAGGTGATTCATACTGTTGTTGTACTTACTATATTATATAGGTGTTACAGACTCATATCGGTATGCTTCCACACTCACAGGTTTACACTGATTAAAATGATTAAAGTTTAAACACCGAAAAACACCCATAATCATTATTGTTAACCAAGATCTATGGCGTGCACTCAAAGTACCCAAAACAGCTGTTGCCTTTCCTCTGACCACAGGCTTCATACAATGCGGCATGCGCCACACTTACCTCCAGTGCCACTCCTCAAACTGTTGGTCATCTCTCTCCTTACACGTGTAAGTATAGAACCCCGTAGGAGTATCTCCTCGAGCATTTAAAGCACTAATCGAGGATGAAAAGTCGTTGTGACATTTATCGCTCAACGGACCGCAGTGGAATTTAGTTAAGTACAGCCCAAAGAAAATACCATTCCCTTTCAGAGATTTAGCTTTCCATTCAACCTCACCAAAGGTGAAGCTGAAAAGTCCCATTGAATTCACTGATCCAGAAGTATAATTAGCTGATTCAGAGTTCGATTGACTCGCTTCTTTTCCAGCAATCAGCCGTAAGGTACCGTTGTTCATAATGACGTTGCCCGGTAATAAATAACCGTAAGTTTTATTGCCAATCAGGATGCCGCTAATCGGACGCCATTTAGAACTGTCCAGTGTTTCGCCATCGAAGTCATCTCGGAAAACTGCATCCGTTGCTCGAACGCGACGATGCTTGGCCAGCACTTTGGCGGTTGGATTAATGTTTTCTTGCCGCACTGTCACACAATCAATAAGGAAATTGGTTGATAGCGATGTGTCGTTGCTTCCTTCCATGCAGAAATCCGTCACGATCACACCCTTATACATTGCGCCTAGAGGTATTTTTTCTGAATCGTATAGCGAGTACACAGGTTCCCCGTTAACCAACCAGGCCAACGTTGTCCTAGTCCAGAGCAGTTTGTTGGGGAAACGGCATTCCAATAGTATATCCGCGTAGCTAAAAAAAATCGATACATGACCTTTAGCACCATTTAGCAGCTTCCACCTGTGTGAATTTTCAGACAGATTTAGGGTTGATTTTCTTTGTACAAACTTGTGCGCATTCATCATTTAAGCTCAATACAAAGAATAAAAAGCCTAACAGGGATGAATACGTAAACATATTATGTTGAAATCCACTGATCGCATATACTGTATTATTTTATCTGCATATATACCCAGTTAACTTAAATTAGCTGATGACTGAAATGCTAAAATCGAAATATAAAAATGTGCATTATTGTCAGACATCACAACGAGCTAATACTTTAAGCAAGAGCTCAAAAGTTCACTACACAGTAAAATAGAAACTGAAAATGAGTTGAAGAATCTCGCTCATACCGCTTAACGATTTCACTGGCATTAGTTGCTCCACATAACCGGAAAAGTACGGATAATCTGATGATGTTTAGGCTTTCTCCGCTCGCATTGATGACACCCACAGCGTATGACCCGTGGTCCAAATCCAGAGCGTCCAATGTGGACCGGCATGTTGTATTAGACAACCACAACACCAGAGACAGGCATTGTCCGCTGGAAACCGTAGTTTGCCATTTAACTTTGCCGTACCCAAGGTGAAACTTGTTTTTGGAATTCAACAACAAAAAAGAACTATTTTGTTTCGAAAAACGTTTTCCAGGCTGATTGATAGCCAAACTAAGCGAACCGTTCTCAACTGTGACTATCCACTGCGACGCAGATTGGTTAAAATCGAGTTCTGTTTTTAGGTGTGCTAACGGTAAGCATTTAGAAGCAGATGTGTTATGCGCGCTACGGCTAAGCACATCGCAAAACGTTTCTTGCAGCACCCACGTGGGACTGACAAAAACTGAAAATATGGCCCAGTGAATGAATAAAATGGCGAGCGAGCCTGATAAAAGACGAATTACGCTTCTGTCCGAGGATTGATCATTCATGTTGGAGAGAGTACAGTACCCGTGCTCGGTACAGTGGGGCGTCTAGGGGGTTGCGGTATATCAGGTGGCAACACCGAGGCTCCGATGAAGGAAACGTTAGTGATTCGAAGCTTCGTTGCGTACATCCACAACACAATTAAATGCAAAACCCGCTACCTACTTCCTTACTAGAGAACAGTTGCGGCGTGTCGTCTTCAAGGCTTAATCATTGGTTAGACCACCAGCATGGAAAAGTCGCTGCATCGGCATAATAAAACACGCTTATGAAGACCGCGCCGACGCATACTCTAAAGTACCCAGCCGAGAACAATGGACGGAAGTAGTGATCAGTAACGTACTGCCAAATCATACCAAAGTTTAATAGTGATTTTGTAAACAAAAATTTAATGCTGCAAACGTATGTATCAACACATCAATGATAGCAAAGCGCTTATGGCAGGCACACTAAATCCTTAAATTAAATTACAGACCGTGTCTGTACCTGCGAGGCTGCGACTGCAATGGGCAAACTGGCACCTTAACGGATTTTCGGTAAATTGTCCGCGCTTCTCCCGAGGCCATTGCTGCAGCCGGTTTTAGTCAAAAAGGTGTTAAGCAGCAATCTGACACCTAATAACTGCAAGATATACACCTACTGTGTGAAATTGCAATAGTCTGGCTGATTTCCAGGAAAATGCCACTCAGTTCATTTGGGTAATGGGCATATTCTGGTGCTATCTGGCGCGGCCTTGCAATATTGAATATATTTAAATGTTTTCGCACTGTATTGCTTCACCGGCGCAAGCACTTCATAATTAAAACTAGACCATTCATACTTATTTTCAGCGATTTTCAAGTAATTCAGTGAACGACAGCTACCGGATGAGCAGTAACCGACTTTGCATTTGTAGTTTTATGACTTCTATCTGGTTTGTATAAGATTTCAAGATAAGGAGAATGACCATTTCCAGTAATATTAAAATTATGGTAGAACACGGAATCATTCATATAAATCCTTCAAAATTACAATCATATTGTATGCAACTACGGTACACCGTTTGATTTACACGCCGATTTCCTTTTGCATTTTACACCCTTTTATAAAGGACAGATACTGAGTAAGTACTATGTTTGTGGCCAGTTTGTATAAGTTCATGACCAGGAACGGCCGCAGCTTTGGGCGACTCTACCAATTGATTTGCCATGGTTTGGCAGTTTAGCTGACAATTGTGAGTGTAAACAAACTGCCATCTTCTGCTAGTGCTTTCGAAAGCAGAAAGGTATGGAACGTGGAATACGGTAAATAATTGGTTATGTGAAATATGGCCACGCTTCGAACGTTTACTATAGCACCACACCGATAGTCGTTTGTGATTCAACATGCTAAGAGAAAGAGACATATATTTGCCAGTCAAGCAAATAATATTATATTTTCCAACTCTTGGCTCATCAGAATGGCAGAGACTGCACCCTAAGTACCTATTGCGCGGGGTCTACTTGTTATGCGGACATATTTTGTGATGGCTAAACTGTTTCATGCGTGTATCTGCAGCAGTACTTATTCTAAAGCAGCGTATCTGCATTCAGTTAATATCTATACACCCGTGCGGGTACTAACATGCATACACCTGAGATGCACATGACATCCTCGTCGTCATGCTTGCATTGTACCGTGCAAACAGAATCATAGGATAGGATGAACTATAGATAATAAACTGGAAACATTTCCTCTGGCATCCCAGACATATGTAATTGTGCTGATCCTGTATTATTTACCTGGATATATTTTATTTATCATGTTCAAACACTGACCTTGCTCCCGCAATGTTTGATTAGGCTTGAGGCAGAAACAATGATACAGTACGTACATAGTCATACAGGTATTTGCAATTGTACAAAAATTATCGTATGTGGATATGCTGCAGTGGTGCACTATGTAGCTTGTGCGCATTCATATGATGCGCGTTTGTAATTACCAGCAGGCAGCAGCCCATGATCACCTAACCGGTAAGCCTATTAATTAAACTGTAATCCCGAACGTACATGGATGTCTCGGCAAAAGAGTAATCCCAATAAGGTTCTTGCAGACAGACGTGCCATTATTACCAATCTTGGCATTGCCGTATCGAGAGATTAAGAGGACTACATTCGCCGCCAATTGCATATTTTTCTCACTCTAATTAATATTCTAATAGTCTGAGAACGATCACACATTCCGATTTATCTTGAGAAAATGCCGGCTATGGGAGCGGTTAAAACCGCGCGAGGCAGCTCCTTATCCATGGGCGGAAATACGCTGACACGAGAATTCCTACTGATTATGCAGGATAGCAGTTCTAATCGACGGAAACGGTTTTTCCAGTTGCTGCTCGTTTTGGCTGTGCCTATGGTCGTACTCATTGTGCAAGTAAGCAGCAATTTGTAATTTGTTGTTTCTAAAAATACCGTTGTCTGAAAAGAACATGCCTGTCAGTAAATATTGTTTTGATATTGGAAGTTTATAATTTTTCTTACAAATCTCATTTATTTTTCTGCTTCTACGCATTTATTTTCTGCTTTTACGCAAACATGGAATGGAATAATGTTCTAAAAAATCTATAATATTAGTAGAAGCTTCATGTTATTACATAGTGTACGCTGGTGATAACCGCAGCAGTGCGAAGGAAATCGGAAGCCACACAAACTGCGGCAACCATAACTACCACTGTCCAAATGGCCCAAATTATCACCTGCCTGCAGCGCGAAAGGGGAATGACTAGGTATCGAGATCTGTCGTTCTGCTTCCGCTTACTGCCTAATTTACTTGGAAGTTCCCTTTTGCAAATTATATTTATATCGATTTTTTCAATCTATAGCCTGTTCCTGAGCTCGAAGAGGTGAGACTTGGAATCGTTCCCGCGTCGATGATTAATGTGAGATATAATATTAATTACTGCTTCTTGTTTGTAGTCCAGAAACTTGGAATAATCTTGTTACCTTGCGAAAATCATCCGACGCGGCCGTTGGTGCACTCGAAAACTGGCCGGGAAATCCCAACGACGGACCGATATTTGCCACGATTACGGCATTCAGGCCAGTAGCATATATATACAATTTTTACGCGAAATCTGAACCATGATTTTCTGCTGTACAGAAGACCACCACATGGGGCATATCTTTGACCGTAATTTGTCTGAATTAGACCTTGAGGTGATTTTTATTAAAAATCGAATTGTCTCTGAAACAGGCTGTACGTGAACGAGAGCAGGGTCACACAGACATCCCGGACCACATCGTTTCAGGCGGTGACATGGTTTATTAATACCATTGCGGGAATAATTCAATTGATGAATCGCAATATACGGCTTAGCGGTGACACCGGCGGCGTGATGTGGAAATATCTCTTTGCGTACGAATCGTTCGTAAACGCCAAGGAAAATTTTGGTAAGTTAAACTGTAATCAACGTCTTTCAAAATATGGTAACTTTATTCAATTACTTGCATCTGCTTACACCTCAAAATGCTCGAATACAAATCGCAAAATAAGAATTAATTTTTGAGCGGATCCATTCTGAAGTCACGACTACGAACGGTGGAAATATGCTGAAAAAATGATGTAACTTCTACGTGTGTTTGCTTTAAGGTATTCAGCGTGCGGTTGGAACTGCTTTCTTTGGTCGTGGCTACCATGAACCGACTGAAAAGAAATTATTCTATGGTGAATATTTTCTTGGCAATATACACTGTACAGTTCACTGCGTAGAATTAGACTGATTTGGCATTCTATTTCCGAGAAGAAAGCTATATGAAATCCAAGACTATCCTGGATTTATGTTTTGATCATTCCCCACGCAGCCAGATTCTGTACGACAATCTCTTAGCCGGTAACAAGGAGCTGCTGGCATTTGTCGATGCCGCCCGGAAACGCATTATGGATGTGCCGGCAATACCAGCTGACACTCAAGCCGGACTGGTACAGATCTATTCATTATAACATATTATAGCAGTCCATTTCGGAGCTTTTCATTGATTAGGCGAACCCATTTCCAGTAATGACCGAATATGCGGTTGTCAATAAAAGACAAATATATCTGTAAAACATAGAAATTTCTACAAAGTATTCAAAGTATCCGAAAAACCAAAGGCAAATATCCTGTAAAATATTATTGTTTCTTACGGTCATGAGTGACCTTTTAAAATGCACTGAAAGCAGAGCATTTTGATCTGCTCAGTAGTGCTTTTGTTTTTTCTTCTATGTCTACATTTTTTTAGGCTTGGTTTGGAAATATGACTGCTTTCATTGATGTGATAAGTGCCATCGAAACCGATTTGACAACTGTCGTTCAAGAGCAACTTTCTACACAAGTACGTTTGTATAAAGAAATACAACCTGACCATGAACTACGATCTTATTGTGGATATGAAATGCAGGAATATGATTAAGGTAATTTATTGCAGGTCCGAACAGCACAGGCTGAAATGACGGAAGCCATTATTTTCTTGGTTATTGTTGCCGTTGTATGTCCACCTTTATGCTTGTGGTACTTTGTTTCGGTTAGCCAAATCAACCGCACCATCGGCAAATCTGCCCGCGCCCTGGCCAAACAAACCACGGAAATTTCTACTGAAAAACGGAAAGGCGAGAAACTTCTACACCGACTATTACCGCCTAGCATTGCTGTAAGTGTAAGGGAAGGCGACAGCGTAAGTGGGTTTTTTTAAAGGCCTGTACCGTACTTTTATCTACAAAACCTCTTGAGTATACTTTTAAATAACGTTTTACGCAACAATATGCCTTATCATATAGAGATTTTACATACTGTACATGTAGTTGGAAATTTGTACAGGAAGCACTAAAGCGAGGAGACCCAGTGACCGCCGAACATTTCGAAACTACAACGGTACATCAATGATTCAACAGTTTACTGTACGCGAAGCATATTTTACCGTACAGTTGTCTCTACAGATATACTTTTCCGATATTGTGGGCTTTACCAGCATCTCGTCGCGCAGTACGCCGCTGCAAGTTGTTGAACTGCTGAATAAACTGTATACCGAATTTGATTCCGAACTGGACGCTCATGATGTGTACAAGGTGGAAACCATTGGTGATGCGTACATGGTAAGAGTGCACACATAACACCGTGCTAATTGACAGCAATTGATAGTTACGAACGTCGGGACGCATGCTTCCATGCGGAACATGAGGAAATTATTTTTGTTCTGAACTTATGTTACATAAGAAGTTGCAGGTGGTCAGTGGTTTACCGCAGCGAAATGGCATTGCGCACGGCAGTGAAATCGCTATCCTCGCTCTCAGACTCCTTGAAATTGTATGCAATTTTCGCATTCCACATCTGCCGTCGGAACGACTAGCTGTTCGTATAGGTTTACATACAGGTACGATTCCGAATGATCGCGTTGTGGAGTCCTTACAGAGAGATTTATGAGGACTCGAAATTGACCTTTCCTTGTACCGCAAGACCGAATCTGTTTATGTAACTGTAATCAGCAATTGCACAACCCTTATTATAAATTAAATGCCTCCTTATTGCCTAAAAGTCAAGTGTGATTAAGATTAAAGAGTTGAAATTTATCTGTAAGCTTGTGCATATTTTTACTGGAAGAGAAAACATTAACAAAAAATTGCAGAGTAAAAAGGACGTAAAATATCTGATAGCACAACGAATTTAAGATTTCAACAGTTATCAAATGATGTTTCTGACAAGCAGGTCCCGTTTTGGCCGGTGTAGTTGGTCGAAAAATGCCCCGTTATTGCCTATTCGGCACAACAGTTGTTGAAGCTGAACAAATGGAGCAAACTGGTTTGCGTAGGTGGCTTACCTTATTGTCTCCTGAGCTTTGACTTATCATACTGCATATTGTAACATAACTGCTGCATTTATAATTTACGAGCTACAATAAAAGTTTGGGTTTTCAGCGCTCCGAATCCACCTCAGTAAAGTCTGCAAAGTGTTACTGGATAAAATTGGAGGATTTGAGTGCGCGAAGCGTGCGGTAATAGTAATACATAATTTCACCGTAACTTTCAGGGCTTTTGCGTGGCTCTGATAACGTTTAAAAACGAATTGCTGCGAAAAGGCAGAGTTTGTAATGCACATTGCACATGCGTTGCAGGAATTTGATGCTGCACAGCCAACTTATTGGTTACTCGGCAAAGAAGGAGTTCAGTTCCAATCAGTAACACCAGCGTCCAGTCCCGATTACTGATAGAGCACTGAATGCGAGTCGCGTTCATTGCCAGCCTGACATGGCTATACCTCTTGTGCATAAAATCACTCTTAAATTAATTTGTAGTTGCATTATCATGAATGTGCTCTGTAAACGTATACTTAATCTGCAATCTCGTACGAGCTGTCCGAGTCCGCGTCGACCGGCGCCTTCTTCGCACGTCACGGAAGTGAACCGTTCACCGTACTGTCGATAGCGGGACAAGCATTTATTTCTTCACGGTACTTACTGTGATTAACCTTACAGTTTTACGTAGCAAATGCCTGGAATGTAGTGTACCAGCGCTTGCAGCTACATACTTTATTGTTATTTCAATTTGGGTGTATGTTATCGTGTTGGTGTTGTTGGTGCAGGCGTGTGCAGCTGCTGATGGCGGCTCGGTTGCATGCACGTGCCTCTGTGGACTGATAAACAGCATTAAACTATGTAGATCAGCCAATAATTAAGGGCGTAATGAGCAACTGAGCTTCCTGGCGCAGAAAGTGTAAATTCAAAATTGTGCCTACAGGATATAATTACTTACCGATAAAAATATAAACTGGAGAAGGCAACGCAAGAACAGTACAGTACTTATGTATATCTGTACCAGCATGTCATTGCAGCACTGCTGCTCGATGGCGGGAAGCCTGCTACATTAGCACGTCTTTGAAAACTATGAGAGCGAACACTGAACACAGCAGAGGACGGTCTGCTCAAAAGCATTTTAAAAACACGTTTCTTCTTCAGTACTCTGAGTTTCAAAAACCTACGTGCTTTTTCCATTGCAGACGCAGTTAATTTGCAAAATTGCAGATGCCAGATTTCGTCGTGATTCGTAATTCTTCCCCGCCGTAAGTTACATCGTGTTTTCTGTTAAAATGGATAGCTGAGAAACTGCACGAGCTGTGATCTTGAACAATCTTTCAGATTGCTTCTGAAGGACGGCTCCTTTATTTTTCCACTACGCTAGAGTCGGTTAAACACCATGAACGCAACATCTCTCTACCTTCGCCAGCTGTACTCAGGTTCGCGGGAGATAAACTACGGTAATACGGTGTTGGCGCAGCGCGACAATGGCCATTGGTGGCTGGGATACGTGCAAGACATTGAGGGTGATGATTTCTTTGTGGACTTCGACGCCAGCACCGTCCGCGCCCAATGGATCCATTCCAGCCATCTGTGGCCTCACCGCTTCTTGAAGAGCCATCAGGAGGACCTTTCGGTCCATGTGGCGCTGCGTGAGGAGAACGGCGGACCGATGGTGTTTCGACCGGGCACCCTGACGGTGGAGGTGTATGGCATGTTTTCTATGGTGCGTCTGGAGAATCCAGCCGGCTTCCGCATCGTGCATCGCTGTCGGATCATTGAACGTCTGCCGGTCAAAAACCGTAGTTTCTTCTCCGGTACCGACCGATTCCGGTACATCAAACATGTTATCCCTTTCGAGGAGGCACACTTGTTGCACAATGTAGATTTCCTGCCATCGTTCCTGACGAAAACGTGCCGAGTGAAATCCCGAAGAGGGGATCGGGTGTGTAAAGCTCCTTGTGAAGTGCAGATGGCCGTTGGGTTGGACTGTTCAACCTTCGAGTGCAAGTGTGGCAGGATCAGTCCCGTCGAGTTTGACATCGGTTGTCGGGCATTTGCATGCGCGTGGCAGGGGATACGGTGACGGCAATTTGTGCGGAAATCCAGGGTGGCATCGCTGGGCGATGGATATTCTGGGACGCCGAGGCACTCATGAAAAGTTGTCGCATGTATCTCCGGGCGCAATTGATTTGGGGTACATACAACAGTAGCGTTGGGGGTTGTGGAATGGGCGTTTTTCAAGGTAAGCGTAGAGATGTAATGGTTTCTTGTTTTTGTCAGCATGGGTACTTAAAATAGAATACTAAACTCGATTGCACTGATTAGGTAAGCCTATATCCCTGTCGAGAATTTGCGTTAACCCATCTAGAATACCAAGGAAATTGTGCTCGTAAAACGTAATATGGGGGGAATTCGATGTCGTTTTATACAAGTTTCCTCTAACTGCTCCAGTCATACGCCGGGAGTTTCGCGTCAATTAATGGGTGCGTGTAGCTTCTACTTATACAGGCGTGTGGTCATATTCCGGTCGATGGGAGAATACAAGTTATTTTTTGTACGAGAAACAAGAAAGTCATAATAGTGCATAGAAAGGCTCGCAGTTGTTCTGTGCTTCTCGATAGTTGCCGCAGTTCTCTGTTCTAATGCGGACCCTAGCCACGGCGGTTTCATTGATACGAGTACTAATGCATCCTGTCGATGCTGCTGCGCCTAATGGAGTGAAAAGGAAAGGACGACTGACTAACTGTGGTCTTATCCTTTTGTTGTATTTTCTCTATTGCGGGCCCCAGCGATTGTGGTTTCCCGTTACACTGATGCTTGAACAGCTAGTCGATTCTGTTGCGCGCAATAGAGTAAAGTAAGAAATAATGAGATGTAGTTGTGAGCGCATTATCAAACGAAGCTTTTGCAGATGAAGAAGAAACGACCATCAATAACCTTGTGCCACCGATCCTGGCGTGCATTCTACTGAGTCTAGATGTGAGCACCCAGTTCTGCACGAGCCGGTAGGTTGCACCCTTTGGGTCGGTGTAGCATTATCGTCATGACCTTCCCTTTTAACAACAATTAATTGTACGTCTTAATTTACATCAGAGTGTGCGCGTTATGGCGGCTCATTTTGCGCGAATACAATGCCAAGCGACACGTCGTCTTTGATGTCAGCCAAATCTGCGTCAAACGCCACTGGGAGAAGGCGCTGACCCCCGTTGGATTCGACTATCTCAGCATATACAAACTGGTGGCCACGCTGGATAGAAATATTACTTCGCAGACGCGGTCTGTGGCGCTGATCGACGAGGGACGGTATTATGATAACCCGAATGACTTTTTTCTCAAACTGATCTTGATCGACGACATCCTGACCGCGAAGGGCCTGAAACTGCCGCTGTTCATCGCCAAGAACGGGTATGATTGTGTGCACCGGTCATGCACTTCATTTCTGTATCTGCAGTGGAATGGCGCGGAGAACTACAGCTGCTGCACGGTAGAGTGGTTGATGCGTGTGTGCCAGCATCTGGTGCTGCTCAACTACACAGCGTCGGATCGGAAAGGCGATGAGTCGCATGTTAACATGTTCCGCACGGCTTTTGATTCACCGTGGCCCGAATTCGATGCAGAGATTGTGCGCTATAAATCCGATGCCCAGCTGAACGTGGTTATTCCCGTACTGCGCTTCCGGTCGACGGAAGCGGCCGCCGAACGCCGCCAACGCTTTTTAGCCACTGTGAACAAGCACTGTCCGGTCGTCTCTCAGCAGGTGTATGAAAAGGTAGCCGCGGCACACGCGCGCTGGGTGGAGACGTTGGTGTATCCGGATGAATGGAGCGACATTCGCCGATTTCTCCAGCTGTGAGTTTATACAGCCTTTAATTAATTCATCTACCGTAGTTGTGTGTTTTAGGAATTAAATTGTGTTATAGGTTCAGTGATCCTCCAGAGGCACAGCAATGGGAGGAAGTGGATTTGAAGGAACTGGACGTTGCTACGCTGAGTAGGTTGGCCCTGCATCTGCTGGACGGGTATTACAAAGACTGAAATGCTAAATGAGTGTGAGGGTATTGTCCATCGACGGTGACCTCGTATGTCGCGTTTCTTTGTGGTTTGGTTCAGCGTGTACAAATTGGTGGTCAGTGGTCACGCTGAATAGGAATATTACTCCACAAAGGGTCGCATTACTGATTACTTCGGTTCTACTATCTGCATTTGTCTGTACAGAAGTTAGTCTTTATTTACCGGTGCTTTACGTGATTCGAAACAGTTAGTCGAATAAAGCAAGCGCAAAGTTTGCCAGTGGGTTTTATTACATATTTCGTAATTTTTGCTGTTGCTATTGTGTGTAAAGCTTTTGCAAGATACAGTCTGTGGATTCCTGCATTTGTGAGCCAGAGTAGTGTCAGCTACTATATTTGGGATGCAAACGAAGCTGAGTACGTGAAAAATCTTTTTGTCTATTTTTTTCAAAAAACAGGTATCGTTGAGCCATCGATTTACAAAGTGACACAAAATCCGAATTGAATGCCATAATAGCTATTCGTACGACGCCCTTACCAGGCTCAAGAACCGGCATCAACGGCAAGCCAGGTGCAGTATGCAACAAAAATAAGAAAGGAAGCAAGTTAACCTCTGACTGCATACAAAGCGAAACTGTGATTTAAAAACCGGTAAACTGTTAATGAAAACATTACGAAACCAGAAATCACGTCAACTGGATAAAATCATAAATGCATTCATCGCACTCTGACTTCCAGTTCCGAAGCATCCATCGGTGGCTGCTAGAAGTCATATTAGTCAAAGCAGAAACATTCAGCTGCGGAGATCCATTATCATCGCATCCCACCGCGCGTTGACTACGTACAAGAAATTTTCATTTAACTCCAGTTTTCTTCAGAAACCGTCGCGTACAGTTCGTTGATAGTGCTAGACACAAAAGTGTTCCATGACTTGCTTACCTGGTTTATGAGCCTTCCAAGTCATTAAAAGAGTTTAACGTGCGGACGCTCGATACAATAATCAATAAGTAACACCAATCCGCCGATGTGCAATCCTTATCTGGCCGCTATAAAATCTCAACATAAACTATCGCTTGCTTAGATATAATGGGCGATCAAATGAGATTATGAGAGCAACTCCAATTCACTGTACTCGAACGGAAGTCGCGGCTGTTCTGGTAATCTTTAGCAGTTGACATTTAGAAGCATGGCAAGAAACCAGAATCCATTTGATGCAGACAGTAACCATGGTGAGCAGTCCGACACGGAGACGGACTATGTGGCCTTCTCACGCCAACTGGCCCGTTTCGGACGGAGTAAATCGGGATTCGCTGTGGAGTGCGAACGTGAAGACGTTGTCTATCCTCAGCGACAGTCCGTGCCGAATGTGCGGACTCAGCATGGGCATCCGGTACTGCAGCGCAATACCAGTCATAGTCGTAACGCATCCCGGGAATTCCAGTACACCGAACCGGCCAATGCCGGCAAGCGTGGCAGTGTACTGCAGCCTTTCTACAAGGTCTCATTATGGTAATACTTTTTGGGCGTAAAGCATGTCGAGCATCTTCAGCATTTCTTAATTGAAAAACTATCATTTATAGCTGGGACAAAATCAACGTTTTTGAGGTCAATCCGGAGCATCGACGACTGTTTTTCAGAAAATCCCTGAATGACCTTACCAATAGGAGACATATATTGAAGGACGTATCGGGTGTGGCCAGCGCGGGACATTTAATCGGCGTTCTTGGACCAAGTAAACTATGTCTACAATCTGACTAAATGAGGAGGCTACGGTCTATGTTAAAAAGCTAGCGAACAGCCTTTTTTGCCCGCTGAGGCTGGTTGATCAATGCAGCCTCTCTGTTGTGACTATAAACAGACCGAAGACAGCGGATTCCAGTGCTGCCAAAGAGCGCAAGCTGAATGCTGCCTTGCTGTATCGATCGACTCGGCAGATGTGTGTGTGAGTGGGTAAATCCGCTCGCATACACTTATCACACGTATGAGTGTGGCTGTCTGTGCGCGTACTATCTGTACAAACCGGTTTTCGCTGTCTTCGCTAAACGCTTACCCTAAACCCGTAGCTTCCTTTCTTGCTCGCATTGTATGTGCTTCACTAAAAGTTTTTTACTAATCTTTAAATCCTAATGCTGTTCGTTAAACAATATTCTTACTTTCATAGGTAAAAAAACCGTCTTTTATTATTACCTCTAGGCTCTAAGTACTGACTTCCGTTTTATATTTCACCTGTGCGATTTTTCCTTTTCGATACTGTCAATCGAAGGACAAAGCGTCAATTTTAAGATGTTTGAAGCCACTTCACTACGCTGTTTCATGGCTTCCATCTACCAGCTGAATGCACAAATTTACCGCGCATTCTGACTGTCAGCGAGTATCCGTAGAAGTACTTGCACTACGTACAATATGTGTACTCGTACCGTCGTACGTACCAATACTATAATATAATACGTTCAATATTTATTGAAACACTTAATTGAATTCCCACAATTTGCTACATATAAGAAATGTTACACGTGTTTGCAGAAGGATGCGGGAAAACAACGTTCATAGCTGCCTTAACAGGGTAATTAATTATCAAAACATTTTGCTGTTCTTATTCCAAACCGGCATCGATCCTAGGCAGCCAAGGCGAACCATCGATATCCGCGGAAAACTCTACATCAATAATCAACAAGTGGACGAGAACACCGAGCGTTATTCGTGTTTTATTCCCGCTAAAGATAACTTTATCGGCACCTTAACGGTGAAAGAGCATTTGGTGTTTCATACACTCCTGCGACTGGGCGAACAGTATTCAAGCGTGGAGAAAATGGCGCTTGTCAACGACATTATCAGTGAGCTGGATTTGAATAAGATCGCTTCGAAAGTTATCGGTGTACCCGGACGATTAAAGGGCCTGACGAATGCCGACAGGAAGCGGGTGTCGTTGGCAACAGCGGCCATTACCAGTCCGCCGGTGCTACTGTGCGATGAACCAACAGCCGGCATTCATGGTGCGTATACATTTTACCTTGTTAGAAACTTTACCAAAACACAAAATTTTGCCATCAATTTTTGAAAGGAATCATTTTGCCTGTTTTGACAGATTTTGCAATGGGTATTATAAACATCCTCAATATATACCATTCTTTAAACATATCTATATCTCTCGTAGATACTGGAACAAAAATGTTATTTTCAGTGTTAAACCAAATCCCCTTTTCTGTTCCGAAAAATTTAATCACGTTTTCCATATTATAATCGGATACCGATTGCAGGCGATGTGACTACATGGACAGAACAGCAGCCATTTAACTACGTTGGCTCACTAAGATTAACCTCCTGCGTAACCGGTCCTGTCATACTTACGTACTATAATTGATACGAGGACCTGTACATTTCTGTTACCTTACCTAGAATTTAGTATAATGATAAAAATGATTTTTTTGTTCCAGCAGCAACGAGAAAAACTTTTAAAGAATGGTAGTGAGGATGCATATTTCTCAGCAGTCAAATTAAGTTCGCAGTTCAAAAAACTAAGCAGTTTAAACAAGCGACTGAGCTCGAAATGCATAAAATTAAAGATCGTTGAAGTAAGGAAAAGGTACACTGATAAAATGTGGCTCTATTCCCTGAATCGATAGATGTATCCGTTGCGGAAGGCATTGTCGATCTACTCCACACCGCCGCGGAGAAAGGCAAAATCGTCCTGTGCAGCATAACTAATCCGACTTCGGAGATCATCTCCAAATTCCACCAGATCATTATCCTAGCCGAAGGCCACGTAGTCTTCTTCGGCAAAGCCCGGGAAGCGGCCAGTTTATTCACATCAGCTGGTTTCCCGTGCTCACCGCTGCAGAGCCCTACCGATACATACCTGCGGATGCTGTCGCGCCCCGTCAACGCTACCGATCAAGAGCAGGCCTTTAAGGTCAAGACGCTCGTGGAGCGCTATCAGAATTCGGAGGAGTGGTATGATATGCGATTTAAAGTGGAAAATATTGCCGCCAAAGCTACCGTCACTCCGCAGGTAAAGAAGATGGCGGGAATATATACGGCGGGAAAAATAACGCAGCTCCGGATGCTAATGGGGCGGGCTGTGTTGGAGTGGGTGCGGGACCCGATATTGTTAAGGATGTCAACAGCGGTGGTGGTTGCGCTTGGATTCTTGATGGGGATTTTCTTTATGCAGCAGGAAATGCACGGGCTTGGAATTCAGAATATCAACGGAGCTTTATGCTTATTAACCCTGTTTTATGTAAGTTTTAATCATGTTTTGAAATAAATTACTACTACTCAGTGCATTCATATGACTTTAAATCATTTGTCCAAACCTAAATACAAGATTTACTAAGAAAATGTATCGCTTGAAAGTTTAAGCCTGCTCCGAAAAACTAAAATTTAATGCACAATAATAAAATTTATTATTGCGCGATTAAATTTTAGTTTTTCAAAGTTTTTGTTTTTGATTTTAGTTTTAAATAGTACAGTTACAATATACGCCTCAAATTTAAGCGGTCAAGGTAAACATGTGCGAAAGAAGAGTGCGTAAATGCAACTTGGCATAAATACGACAATAAGTGGTCGTACACGATGTACTTTATACTCGTACCTTTCGACTGATGGTGCAGAAATCGATTTATATATATGAGGCAAGTGCAGCAAGTGTTAAACTAACATTATGTGTTAGCGAAAGGTCACTAAAATTTATGTGTTAAGAAAAAATTTATAGCGCAATAAAATACTTGCAGGATGAACTAGTAATGTACTCGTACGTATTCGGATTTTGAAAAAAAATCGACGTGAATTTTGTTTTTTAGGTGATGATTCCGGTTTATGGAATTTCCAAATGTCTAACGCAAAATTTAGCGGTAATACGACGAGAGATTGTCGGTGGTGTGTACGTGGCATGGATGTGGTTCGTGAGCGCCTGGCTAATTGACATTCTCCATAATCTCGCAATGTCCGGTTTATTATTAACAATTTGTTACTGGCTAATTGGATTACATCCGTCAGCAGTTGGTTTTTTCTTGGCTTGGTGCATTGCTTTTCTCACATGTCAAGTCAGCTTGGGAATAGCGCAATGTGCCGCGATTGCGAGTGGACGATTTAGTACCGCCATGCTGATCTGGGCGGCCTTTGTCGTATGCAACATTGCTATTGGCGGCTTCTTCCTCAATCCCAAATCCCTTCCTTGGTGGCTAAACGTTTTTCGGTGAGAAAGGTTATTTGGATACGAGTATATACTTAAATTTTAATCAAAAGTGCTTACAACACACCAAAGTTTTGGCAGAGTTGAGGAATCCATGTTCTTTCGGAAAGTTTTCGAAAAAGGTTTTGTCAGAAAATTATATGAGGTGTATCACAATAATCTTCTTGCAGTATGCATCGTTTTTCCATTACGCATTGAAAGCGTCATTAGTGAATCAGTGGCACGGCGTGGATCTGCCATCGTGCATGAACTGCACATTGCAAGCGGATATCTTCCGAACGGGTGACGATATTATCAACCATCTGGGATTTACCGGCGATAGTTTAGCCACAGATTGCGTCCAGTTGATCATGTTCGGTATCGCTTTACGCTCTGCTGCCTATCTCTTGCTACGTACAAATCTTCATGGGATTCGGAAAAAATTCCTTGCCTTCCCTGCTGCATCCCGCTTTTGCTGAAAATACAGATACACTTAATGCTTAACCAAAAAAACAATCTATTTTGTATCGTACATTTTGCGACAAATACAGTAACTGAAAAACGGTACTGATAATTATCAGATTTGATGGTCTTCTCTTTGAACAATATTTTCTTTAAAACAGAATCTGATGTTTTGATCTTGTTAAGCGTTAAGGCAGTATGGATTATATATGGAAGAGAAAGAGAAGCCACATGGATGATGTATTAGTGACCGTTCATTTCTGCCAGTCTGGACCGTTTGCAAACATGTCAGGGCGTAGTAAAGACGTGGCTTACGTGTACAACGATTAATTTTCTACCACGTTATTTGGTTTAATTAGTCGAAATCGGGTTCACATCGAGCACGGAAATGTACGGGTGAGATAGCTGTTTTTTTTGTGGTTCTTATTAACAAAACGGCTTTGGTGTGCTCATTAATAAAACATTATTAATAAAGCGGTAAGCCGCTGAAGGCATACGGACATCAAGACCTACTATACATCCGTCGTTTTCCTCAAGAACTGCCTGTTAAGCAGTACGCTAATGGCTAGTGTGACCTGCTATTTAAATCAGCTGCACACAGACAGGCATGTATGTATTATTTTAATTTATCGTTAATTTACATACACGCTTTATAGAAAAAAACTCGTATCATGGTACGTCAACGCATACATTAACGCAACAATAGCTGTAAAGCCTAGTTTTTAATTTTCGTATCAGAACACGTATGCGAATAAATGACTAGCATACGCAATTTTATTAAGATGCGATCACGCGAAAAAAATGCATGCATTCCGATCGACGGTATATCACTTTGAAGTTCATCCCGATCTGGTTTGTGAACCGTGAAAGTGATGTCGTTAGTTGCACACAAAAGATGCGGCTCGTTAAGCAACCGGCTTTCCGCATAAATCGAGCGCGAGATCTTCGGTTGCGTCCCGTCAGCGCGTACTTTAGCAGCTGATAATTTCACACACAGCAACCTTTAAAGAATGGCTTTTGCTTACTATCTTCTTGTTTTCAGATTAGAATCGATACTTTTTTAAGCAGTAAATAAATGTTTTTATTAAACAATACAAAAAATATTTTTGCCTTTCAGCAACGATTATACAATCATATATTTTTTTAAACTTATCATGGCGGTGCCGGTGAGGGCATAAAAAGTAAATTAAAGCGATTTACGTGATTACATATTATATATCTATACTTAAAGCGATTGTATAATGTGTGTAGTGTGCACTTCTAATGTTCCGTGCGCTTTATTTACTTTCGAACAGTTCTGTAATATCTGGACTTTTCGTTGAACGAATTTTCTGTCATTTGCCAAAAATTATGCATCGAATAATTCCCGGTTTACGAATTTGTGGCACGGTCACAACAAATCTCCGTATGTTCATGCATCACATGTAATTACATAACAAGGTTGACCTTCCCGTTTATGCTGCATATGTGCAAATACAACTGACCTTGTCTTAAGTAGCTGTAATCCAAGAATAACATTTGTTCTGGAGAATTTAATTCGAACTGCACAGTGGCGAACTTTACACACTGTCAGGCTACATCAATAGTTAGCAAAGATAAACACTTCCGTGCAAAGTCAATCCCGGCTAACATAATCAGGATTCGGAAGCGTGCGGCACAACCGGGCAGGCATCTACGCGCCTGTATCCGAAAATATTGGCCTAGACAAATAAACCATCACGCAATATAATTTTTTGCACAGCAGCTGATCTTGTTTGATTAAGTGTTTGTCGGAGTGTTACTATTGATTTATCCAGTGCTGTTTTTTGCAGCGCGCTATTATTTACCGTCTTTTCAAAGTGATGAATACATGCTGGACGTGTTAAACAAAAACGCATTTCCTACGTACATAAGCATAAAACGGCTCACCTGAAGAGGAAAAAATTTAACAATCGAATATTGCAAGAGCAGTTGATATGCAGCATGAAGTTTTTAGCGGTCGTTTTAACGGGCATTTTTTGCAATAAAAAAATTAATGCAAGCCATTTTAAAACGGTTTGTGGCCTGAAAAAGTAAGAAAGTAAGTTAATTTAGAAATAGACGCCTTGTTTTTGATCAGTTGCTAGTTAATAAAGCTCAAAGCGTGTTAAAAAAACCGACTCAAGATTTACGATAGAGTTTTTACGACAGGCGTTTATGTGCATTTCATGACTGTGATGACAGCCTCGCCACGATTTTCATTCTGATAATATATTATTTCCTACTTCATTCGCAGCAGCTGTTGTATTGTGATAAGCGAACGATTAGCAACCCATTCTGAATCCATCACAATTGAAACCGGTTCATCCAGCCGGCACATAGCGTGGACAATCGGCCTTGAATTAATCAGCACACACTTCATATCCGAACCAACAAGAGAAACCATATTGTATCAACAGAAGACGGGAATCAGTGCGCATCAACCGGAAAGCGCTCAACAATCCAGATCATACACAAATCCGGTACGGCGCGCAGTGCATCCATAATTCCATATATCCACTGACGACACACACGTATGCGTGCCGCCGCGGCTGTATTGATAACGGCTGAGACAAGAGACCAAACGATGAGGGGATGCCACGGAAACCCAAACATATTCCGCTCAAATTGCAGTCATACACTTGGCCGCAAAACGCGGTGCGTGTTTTTTTGCGGCGATCATTTCCAGCTTGAACTCATCAATCTGTACTTCTTGCGCGTGGCGCATTTCCAGCGTCTTGGTCGTCTTGGGTTTGTTTTTTTGCGGCCGGTGATTGTACAGCCGCGATATGCGATATCAGTGACGATGTGTTGGGCTATTTCCGGCAATCTTCATCATAATTGCTATGTTTAGCTGTGAAAATGTTTGGATGATTCGTGTTTGCTGTGAATCATTTTCTCCATGAATCGTAGACGCTGACAGAAATATTACTAAGATTTTATCCGTATTTTCCTTTGTTCTGTACCGCGCAGCAAATTGGCCAATCTGGACACTGCAATCGAAAACATCTAAATGCAATTAAAAAATTTTAGCATGTCTTTTTAAGAAGTTTTTACTTTGCTGTACGCTTGCCTTTTCTACAAAAGTGGATCACGATTAATTCGGTTTATGTACGAGTAAGTAGCCCTGCAAAACTGCAAAGCGCTGAGTTTTTTGCGAGCGTGAAATTTTCACGCGAACGGCTCACCATTGCGGTCGCTCTTAACATTCTGTGGCGAGCGCCAAGCTGTTGATTCGGCAATCGGCACACTGACAGTGCGCCCGCTCAGAATCCGGATTTCTTCCGGATATCCAATTAGTCCGCTGCAACCCGTATGACTCACGGATGTCGCAGCGCTTGCCCAACCAGGCTGTATTTAAATCATCAGCGTGTCGGTCGTGGCGGATAATTAGCCAAACGCCATTCTGCATGATCGTTGCACCGGGAGTTACATATATGCAGACGGCGCGTGTGCATGATCCTCCCAATCGGAACTAATGTGATTTGCTCTGATTAGCCGCAGATCTAATAATAATGGCCAAAAACGGCAAGAATCTCATGGCGGCCGTGGAGTACGATTCCTCGCGCGACAGCCCGCCGCATCTGATTGTCAACGACGACGAATTTCATGAGCAACCGAAATCCCGCAGTCGCAAGTGTCTGCGCATGTTCTTTAAATTTCTCCTGTCTCACGTGGGATTGACGGTGCTGGTGCTGGCGTACACCGTCGGCGGGGCGCTGGTCTTCATCTCCATCGAGGAGAATAAGTGGCTGCAGGCGCAGAATGCCAAAGTGGATGTCAATATCCCGGAGGAACCGGAGCCGTTGTATCCCGAACAGATGGCCTTTAATGCTAAATTCTGGAAGGCCAACTGGATGGATGATAAAGTACTGAGGTTTTGGAATCATACCCACCAGATTAATGATAGATACCCGGTATTAGCAAAACATCGTTCGTTCTATGTTGTGATTGTTGTTGTTGCAGTTTGGGCGTAAACGTATGCGAAGACTAATACCGCTTAAGAAAAATTTTCCAAACATTCAAGAGTTTCTGGCAAAGCAGTAATTTTATACAGTAGTTAACACGTTCTGGTAAAAATAAACTTCTGATGAGCATGTTCTGGTGAAAACAAACTTTTTATCTCTGCAATAATGTTAACAAAATTAACAAACGGAGTGTTACGTAACTTACAGCAAATGCATTTTTCCGGTGAATGCGAAATATTGTTTTATAAAGTCCATATTGTGTAATGTACATTTGTATTTCGTATAAATCTGCTCGGCTAGGCCCCTATAACTGTATAACGGTCATGCCGAATCGTAGTGGTGTGGCGCATTCTCCGGTAAACTTGAAAGTTAGAGAAGCGTTGCTCTTTTAATGTTCTTCTCCAAGTATTTGTACGAGTATAAATCGCTTTCTTTACTGAATATGCAACTTCCATAAATATTTTTTGCAATATATAAGAAATAAATTTTAGTAGATTACTTCTGATGGAAGGTAATATGTTTCTGAAATTAATAATTTTAATTTGATTTAATAAGTAAATGTCGGGAATTAACTAGAGAGTGGAGGAGCGCGTTCTACCGGTTTTCAATGGTTCGCTTTTAATTTTGAACTATTGCATCGAAGATTGTTTTCGTTTATTTTATTTTCATTTAGGGAACACTAACCGGTAAGACATAAGGTTTTTAATTTATGTTACTGCAGCTGCAGAAACTGAATACTTTGGGTGTTAATTTATGCCATTATAAATTTACCAGCATCCCTTTCTTTAACCAAAAGCTACTGCAAATGATTAATTTCACTCTGTTGACTTTTACTTTTCTGTTGTACAGAATTCAGGAATTATAGCCCCAATAAATAATCAATCAAACCCAAGTTACCCAAACTACTCGACTGGCTCTTGAGATGGCAGCATGCAACTGACCCTGTCCGAGTCCGACCATATGCTTTAATTTGACATGTTGTTTGATCCATTTGAATCTCTTTCAGGAAGACTGGCAACCGGGAAATTATGAGAACATTAAACTAATCGAAATCCAGCTGCAAGAACACATACTCAGAGAAATTGTGGCGATTGCAAAACGATATTACGTTAACCAAACCATGCGCATGATGCGACTGGAAAGCAATAAGGTGAATGCACCGAAATGGGACTTTCCAAATGCCTTCCTTTTGCCCTGAGCATCATAACGACAATAGGTAAGCTAAATAATTCTGTAATAATTTTCTCAACCAGGGACAGTATTAAAAAAAATCTAAATAATTTTACTTTACATGCGGCTTGAGATAACGATGTCGCTGTGAATTGTGTATGTGTTTGTCGTATGAACTTGGTATTTCGTTAAGAAGCACTGAAAAGACGCGTTGGTTTATCACCGTACGAATTTTTACCTTGAGCTGCGTGAATTAGGTGGCTTTCCCTGGCTAGTGGTGAGTTTTTTTATAAAAATTACGCGTATTTCATAGTCGTAACAGTTTGTATTCAGTTTCGCCATCTATTCATTAAATAACGAGTTTTGATTTGAGTAGTAACATAAAGTAGCAGATGTTTATTAAGCGAATCACGCGATAAGCAGATTAAATAACCACAATCCGTGCATCACGCCAGCGATGCGTCCAACACTCCATATATTTTCTTGAGAAAATAATCGCGTTCCTGTCAGTACAGCCGCAGCAATCGATACCATGAAGGTCAGACGACAGCCGCACCAAACAATCCGCCGCTCATCGGACTAAATTTTATGCCCTGTTAACTTTTCTATTCAAGTCTCCGCACTCGCGCACTGTATACTCCAATTAGCCACCCAGTGCTTCCTATAAAACTGTAAAGCATCTTCCGCAGTAAATCCAGTCAACGACCGAGTGCACTTCAGAATTGGCTGTAAATTCCGGCGCATGCTCATCACGGGAATTGTAAGCGCCGTATATAAAGCAGCCACTAACAAGGTTAACTCCCAAGGATGCTAATCGTTGTGTTGAGCTGTTGACCGGAAGTGAAATCAGAGGAAAAGGTCACTGGCGTAGCTTAAGTGTTTTCTTCCGCGCGGCGATCGTTTGCCTCTCTCTCTGACTCTCTTATGGTGCGTATTATGTTAATGATGCCGGCTTTCTTTTAAAACGCGACGGCTGTTATGGATTGATATGTACGGTATCGATCAATCACCGAGTGTGTTTGGAATGGTGTAATGTGATTAGGAGCGGTAGAGGGAGGCCGGGAATGCGCATGGGGAGTGCGCGTTAGTTGGGAGATGACAGCAATGTAGAAACGCTGCAGCGCTTTTCGTGTTCGCGATAACGCAGATTTTGGCATTGGCCGTGATTTGGCAATTTGGCGCTTTCGGTGTGCGTTTGAGGAGCTGGGAAAGAGAAAGAAAGGCTATTTTAGGAAAAGGTTTTTGGTAGGCAGAAAACATGGAGGAATATTAATCAAACACAAGTGGAAATTATCAGTTAGGCCAACGCATGTCCTAATTTTAAGAAGTTCGTTTACCCGTTGTTGAGATCAAACGTGCTATGTAACTTGTTACTTGCGGTCCACATATTTTCACAATTATTAGAAGCATTCTGCTTGAAATATCTTCATAAAGAAGTAGTTGCAAGGAACATTCTATAAAGTTGCAGTATCCTGTTGCAATATCATACGTTAAAAAATCACAGTCTACTGACTTCAGGCCTGTTCAAAAACTTCAGAGCTGCATTCGTACTTATTGATTATAAGTGCAAGTATCGTATATCCGTAGTGCAATGGCTAGTTCTAAGTTCGAGAGTACCTAACTGGAATCAATATTTTGAGACCATATACAGCGACAGCGTGTCGTAATTTTTAGCGGTAGACAAGATTTTTTGTTCTCCCTTTGATAGCACGGGACGCTGCTGTTAATTAATATGTTCAGCTTATTCCACAAATTTCAGTCGATTTCCTTGAAGCACGAAATCAATATACAGATGTATCATCAGATTCTATGTATATCTGTATATGGGCGTTACGGTATATGGGTTACTGTATATGGCCATATGGGTATTAAGGTAACGGCGGTTAGGTACTTTATTGTGATTGTTATAGATATAAAACTTGAACATCTATACATGATTCTATTTGCAATAACAGCGTTTTCGTTGTGTAACGCATAACTACGTGAGTATATAATATGAAAGTGAATTCGGATCTGGATCTTTACATCATAAAATTGATATTCTTGTGCAGGTTATGGTCATGTATATCCTTTTACATGGGAAGGCAAATTAGCCACCATTCTGTACGCCATCATCGGTATCCCCATCATGCTGGCCTTCCTGGCTAACATCGGTAGTCTGATGGCCAAAGGACTCCGCTTGATCTTCGACCACTTAATTCTCATGAAATGCTGCCGCAGTCTGTACAAACGCCGGCAAGCCCGCCTGCAGTCCATGCAAGCCGGGGGTGGCAAGGGCAAGGAGAACACCTCCGGACCACCAAGTGTCGCCGGGGGGTCCTCTCCGGCGCCTATCCGAGTGCAAAAGCAGTCGCTGATCGTGGATGACGGCACGTCGGTGGGAGTGCGCTCGCTGAAGGCCTATGGGTATCAACCGGAGGAGTTATTGGTCATACGGGAGGAGAAGAAGCAGGATAAGTCGGTGCCGGTGCTAATGTGCGTTGCCGTGATGGCGGCATACCTGTTTGGCGGTGCGGTGCTATTCTGGTTATGGGAAAAAGAGTAAGCGCACTTGATATAGCTGCACTTTTATTTCGGAAATTAGTAGAGCTATCGTGTTAATTTGGCAGTCATTCATCTTCCGAGGGTCTCGCTGCAGCAAACATGACATCCTATAGAATTTCGTAGAACAGTGGTGCTATCGCCAACTGCCGCTAAAGTGTCTTGAAACATCAACATTACAATCTTTGTGCATTGATCACTGCATTTCGCTAAAATTTGTAATTGTTTTTGTTATGGAAAGACATCACGCTGAAAAATAAGGTTAACGAATTCTAGGCTGCAGCTAGCTGCTTGGTTGCATGCGCTGCTTGTATGTAGTAATTTGTTGTATTTGTGATTGTTCCGAATCATAAATTCGGTTTATAATAGTAATTATGGTCTAAGATGCTGCACCCACATCGTAAAATAGGTGAATAATAATACCTGATATGTACTCACATAGGTACAATTGTACAATACGCGCAGTACCTGTATTAATGCAGTATTTGCGTCTTCGGATTCAGCCTGGCGTGCCGGATATAAAGTTCTCGCATTGTTACGAATACGATTAGCGTTGTCGGGCGAGATTATTTATGCTGCTGCATGCCATGCAGTGCATGGTATCCGCACAATGCCGTTCGACTGACACAGCTTAACAACGTAACAGTGTGTGGAGGTGGCCGAGTGGTTAAGGCGTTTGGCTGCTAACCAAATGGGCTCTGCCCGCATGAGTTCGAATCTCATCCTTCACGAACTTTTTACTTTTTTTTCAAGTAAAAAACTTACGTTATGCCTTACCTATGATAGAATTAATGTAATATTAAATATATCATCAATTAAAAACGTGCTGCACAACAAACTTAGAGTTATTAACATTCTCCTGCATGCGTCATCGATCGTATTACATCGTGCGTGTATGACTGTACGACTGCACAATGCACATACGTATGGAATTTGAATGACTCGTACCTCTAAAATAATTACAAAAAATCCATTAATATGCGTTCAGTGAATTCGCAAAGATTTTGACAGTAACGATATAATTTCTTTTCAGCTGGACACTGTGGGATTCATTGTACTTCTGCTTTATCACCCTGTCAACCATCGGCCTGGGCGACTTCGTGCCGGGTGAAGCGCTGAGTAAAGCTAAAGGCGGGATTCATTTCCAGCCGGTTATCTGCTGTTTCTACATTCTCCTAGGACTGGCCCTGCTGGCATCCTGCTTCAACTTGCTGCATGATTCAGCCAGGAAGGGCTTCCGGGTTGTAGGGAAAAAGATGGGATTGGTCAAGAAAAAACCCCGAAGTCGGCGAACGTCCAACGCGGCCGTCGTGTGATCTGCATCTCTGGAATACGATTTCTTCGGTTTGCATGCAATGTATTAAAACTGCCTCTGTGTTATTGTGTCTGTGTAATAACTACAGATTTGACGTTATCATTAAGCTGTTTATTTGGTAAATTGTGATGGATGGTAGAGCAACGATTTTATAAAAGTTTATATAATTAGAATATACGCAAAAATGAGATTTTAATGGCTGTTTATAAAATGGATCTTACTAAATGATTAAAATTGATGACTCTTAAGATCTCCCCGTTTCCACTACGGCAGTGAACCATCGTACTACAAACACATTGAGAACTATCCACTACAAATAAATTGTGAGCTCGTAGAAGAGCAGTACATCATTCATACTGCATTATTTGTTTGCATTTACGAATCCCACGTAAAACAAACTGGAGCAGCGGAGAAGCTTAGTTGCTATTCCCTCAAAGTCATTATAACGTCGAAGGGTAGCGGTGACCGTAAGAATGTCTGGGTGCAGTGGTCAGTGGATGGACAACTTCCAGGTGCGGAAGAAAAATGAAATGTCTGCATTAAATTGGCGAAGATCAGGTAGATTTCCATTTTCGCCAAGGATTCTCCCAGGCATGCACGTTTACCTTAAAAATGGCAAACCATCCATAATAAAAACTGTGTATGGTGGATTAATGAGATTTCCATTTTTGAATGACAGCCAGATTAATGTGGATCAACGGCCACCAAAATAGATTTTTTATATGGACATGTGATTATGAAATAACTGCTTACGTATACGGCGCGGCCACGCTAATATGCGGTAACAAGCAATACTACCGGCGTAATATAAAATACCCAACCATTCCAATGTATGCAACAACTAAAGTGGCACACGAAAGTAAGCAGGCATCCGCACATATAACGTACCAATGCCGAATGGGGCGAATCCCTTGGGAATAAACACCGAGCCAGTAGCGTCGAGGAAATGTTCTGGATAGAAATCATAAGGATGTGTCCAGTATCGTGGATTCCGGTGCAATCCGTAAATGTTCAAATTAATCAGTGTTCGGGATGGAATAACAAAGCCATCGACAGTCATTTCGTCAAAGTTATTATGCGGGACACCTAACGGCGCAACGGTCGCGAAACGCTGAATTTCCAATGTTACAGCATCCGTATAATGCAATAAACCTGAAAGATTTCTTATTAGTAACAGGAATATCACGCAGACGGACAATGGGTTTCAGGGCGACGATTTGCACTTGCAGTTTTATTACGATAAATACGACGCAAATGATTTATTTATGTCAGAAACGATACTTCAATATGTCAATTTCGCTGCATTCGTTAGTCCCGTCTTGACAAAGCGCCCTGGAAAAATTAACATCTACGTAGTAATTGTGAAAAAATAACTATGACATTATTATTACAATTACTACATAATACCTAATGAAAAAGTTAGCAATTATTACCAGTCATGGAGATAAACCACCTAACAGATTCTTTTATAAAAGTTTCATTGGTTCATTTCTGGATTACATATATACTAACGAAAGCGCTTGCCATGTGTTGTGATCAAGTCTAAAGCCCATGTACTACGATACGTTACTACCGTAACAGCACTACGCCAGTGATGCCCAATATTGTAGTTCTTTAATAGTTTATTATTTATGAGGTAGTGCATCATGAATTAGCCAATTTGATAAACAAATTCTTAAAAGCAGTAAAAAAAGCATAAAAACATTCATAAATAGGAAAAAAAACATTCATAAATAGAAAAAAAGCATAAAAACATTCATAAATATAATTAGAAAAACATTCATAAATAAAAAACATTCATAAATAGAATAGAATTAGATACTCCGCCTGGTCAAGTATCTGCCAACAAATTCATAAATAGAGTTGCACACTATTTATGTATATTTACTACAGCACAACACGTACTTCGGTGCTCCATGCGGATCGGTTCATTGCGTCCAATTTTTGCATCGATTTCCTCGTGAACTTTTTGTTGTACATCGGGATGAATAATCATGAGCAAAATGCCCCACATTATCGTCGCATGTGTCGTTCCTGTTCCCGCCGCAAACAGATTCAGCACCGACGCCAGCAGCTGCTCATCTACAGGTACACGCTGTGAACATTAAATATTTTGCCCCTGCAGCATCCAAAAATGTACATATCGTACCGGTAAAGGTCGTGTTACTGCTGCCTCTCTGTTGTTCCAGAAGAGACAGAAATTTATCGACATAGTCGCCTTTTTCCTGTCCGCTTTTTCGTTCCTCCGTGTGCTCTCTCACCAGCGCCTTACCAAAATTCCACAACTGCTGAAAATTCCCTAGCAGACTGTTTTGTGCTGTGTGAAGTTTCCCAAATGGAATGAACTTCAGAAACGGTAGAAATTGTGTGGGCGCAATGGTGTTCAGTATGTTGATGTTCTCTTCAAAGAGACTGGTCAGATGCAGAAACTCTTTATCGGAATGGTCATACTGTCGGCCAAAGATTAAAGCGCAAATGACGTTGGCGATTGCTAAGGTCAAGTGGGTACTGGGATCGAAGGGCCGGTTGAGGTTGCCGGCGAAGATGGTTTTCACCTGGTTGATGCCGTCCAGAATACTGTCCTCCAGCCACGTCTTTCCCATTCCAAGGTCACGCAGGGTGGTTAAGGCAAAACGGCGCTGTTCCCGCCAAAATTCGCCTTCAGCCGGAACCAAGCCTGAAAAACAGATTAGTTTGCTGAGGATTGTGCTTTTGACTCGCTTTAGTCGCATTTTGTGTGAGACGGATAGTTTCTTTAGCAGTGACAAAACATAGTGCAATGGCTTTGAGTGCAAGTATCCTTGTTTCCAAAACTCCTTTGAAAAGCCCTAATATCAATGCATAATTACATACTTTATTCAAATTTCATTTCATTAGTTGTCTTTTTTCATTTTAAGTGCAAGAAATGCTTTGGCCATTCGACCACATAATACACTGGTAAAAAACGCTGTGGTAATTAAGTAACTTTCAGAACTAGGGACCATCTGGGCGTACCTTTTCCATTCAGAATTCGGTTGAGAATAAAATGCTGATCCCGGCCGGTTGTGTTGTCATCGTTGAAGAGACTCTTGGCCGTGTCCACATTGCTGATGACAATCATGGTACGGTAACCCATCTGCACAGCCATCACGTCGCCATACTCCTTTGACCATTCCCGGAAGCGTTCCGATGGCCGGGACGTCAAAAAGGGCAAGTTGCCAACTACAGGTAAGCCTGCAACAGCGACAATCATTAAAAATGCTTTTTTAATTTGGAGGGCACTCAATATTAAAATGCAGGATTGAAAAATTGTCTTGCTAATTAATGATACCATGATCACGTAGGTAGAATAGTGTAATTTCAAAGGAGCGTTCTGATACGCAAATTCATTTCACAGGCTGATGTAAACCGATATACAGATACAGTAATGTAATATAGATATAAATATACTTTGTAGTGAAAGGGCAATGTGTTCGAAATTGATCGCCATTCTAGTGCCATTGCGTCAAATGCTGCAATTTAACGAAAAGGGTACGTAGCGATCACATAACCTGTGTACTTAATTTTTATTCTGCATACATAATTCACTTTGCACTTTGGGAAACTTATCCTAATTTTTTTATTATGAATGTTTTCCGTCAGGCCTGCACACCGTTGCAGGACCTATACACTATAATAAAAACAGAAAGTGAGACTTTCTGTATAAGAGTGTATACGGCTTGTTTCTTGCACGGTCTATGGGGAAATCTGTAACCAAAATGTTACACCCCTGTGATTGGCACAAGTTAGGGGTGTGGTTTACGGTATGCCAGTTAATACGGGCATACTGCATAGTCGGCATAGCTGTCGCTGAAATGTGGTTGGGCTAATAGCCTAATAATTATAGAAGTATTCCATGTGGTTTGTATCCAGTCCCGTTTATCCCGATTATTTCCCTTTCCCATCCAGGCCTGACGGAGCTATTTCCGTAGGAAATGTCACTTTAGTGTTTTTCTTATGTCGCTTTGATGGGTATATAATTATATATGTAAGTGCTCAGTGATTTCCAGTTTCAAGACAGATCTAAGTACAGCTACCTTAATTCCATCATGTTCCATTCTGTACTTAATATGCTGACCAACAATTTTCAATATGCGATGAGATCTTACACGTTTTCATGTTTAATTTTTTTACTGATTAAAGGTTGTATACCTTTAGGCCCCGGAGGTAACTTCGCAGATTTCCTTCTTAGCAGCGCTGTAATCCAGTATACAAGCGGAAAAATAAGCAGTGTTATCCAAATTGCAACCATGACTGGCGAGTCACGAAATGCGGATTTCCTTCTTTTCAAAGATTGAATTCCTTTAGATGCGAGATATTTAGAATTCCTTTAGATCCGGCTGTTAACAGCGGTAGCACATACCGCAGTATTGGAAATTCCACTTTTCACTATTCGTACTAAAATCGGCGGCTTAAGCAATACTGATTTTCTAATTTTGCCAATGATTATACAGAATACTGAGCCAGTAAATAAACACCTTGATCCAGACCATCATATGCAACCATATGCTTAATTGTGATGGTATCAGCTTAATGCAACCCAAGCAGCGTGTGCATGGCGGTTAAAGATAAGTAACATAAATCCAAAGTTTATAATCCTTTATTCTTGCACTAAATTAAGAACGACTGCTCTATAGGCTATAGCTTAGCTGATGCACTATGCGTGCCAAATATGCGGTTCGTGGGGTAACTTGTATCAGCATAATATTAAAAGGTCTCCACTCTCCACTGCGATTTTGGAAAACAGGTTTGCAGATCGTTAAATTCTTGATACCGTACAGAAAACTGCTGCAGTATAACTCGCCGCATGTTTTTGCTTTCGTAAAGTGCTACCAGTGTGGCATCTAAAGGTGTTTTACTCCACATTCTGAACTTAAAATATGAATACCAAATGACCAAGAAAAAACTCAGCTGACTTGATTCACAAAAGCACGACAACAATGAGCAGCACGAAGTTCGCTTGTTAACAACCGGCGGAAAAAAATTACCGAGATGTCTTCATCGCAGCAAAATTTTACAACAAGGGCATCACATGGCTTAGTCATGGCACACTGCAGAATTTAGTAATTTAACTAATTTGTCAGTAAAATAATTTGTCCCTACAGTTTCGAGGCCATTTACGAATCATTAAGAAAGGTCACAACAGCCCGACACACGCAGGAACTAACATTTAATTAGCTTCTCCATAGAAAATAATTTCCCAATAAATGTTTCCCTTGAGCTGAACACATCACAGTTTTGGTTCCTGACGCAGTAACACGGTAAAAAAGTCAAAAAGATCAATTAGTTAGCATTCCCGCGGCTAAAAGAATAAATTAGTAAATTCTTTAAAAATATTAAAAAATCTCTACAACTTAACCGGAACACAGAGGCGGGTTTAAAGGCACGGCATTTTCTTTCCAGGTGATTTCTTCCACCGGCAACGCATAGGGAAGCAACGGGTTCAAGGCAGGACAGGCTGTGTCGGCGGGATTCCGATACCGACTGAGGGTATCGTTTAACTCCGCACCCAGTTCATTCAGGCAAGCGTCCGAATCGGGAAGATCAATGTTCATTTGGTCCGCGGGTTTTTTCTGAAATTTCGCGAGGATGGGAAAAATGTGGCCTTCGGTGGTGAAGATAATTCGCTCGGCGTTCCGATTGACGAAGTTGTCTTCATCGAATAGCTAAATACCGAAACCAAAATCACAGTAATTATGATGTCGGCAAAGATTCTGCATTCTGATTAACATATCCTTCATACGGAACTACACTGCTAAAAAAATTGTACAACAGCAACTTTTTAACTTCAGACGCGGCATCTTGGTTCATATGAAATGGCCATCGTACCTAAGGGAAGAACATTAGCCACTACACTACCAAAACCGTTAAAATTACTAAAAATACATTGCGTATCACCTAATATTTCAAGGTTTCATTAACACCATGACCCTCGGGCCCATTTACAATTATGTTGTAATGAAAAAGCCAGTTACATCTTGAAATCTTAACTGAAATATTATAGTAGTACAGTATTTTATGCAAAAGAATAAAATACGCCATGCTGTAGCACATTTCCATGTAAATGCACAAAATACGCCATGTTAAAGTCGGTTCAAAGGAAAATTCCTATTTGCACAATGCAATCACCATTTTAAAGTATTTACTGTTACCCTCACGTTGCAACGGTTTCTGGTACAATAATTTCTAACTTACTAAGTAGGTTTTCACCATCTTATTCTAACGTTGTTCTTAATACGTGCTTACCAAATACAAATACTTCAATGTCTCGCTGAGGAAGAAACTCTCCATCCGATCCTCTAGCGAGCGATCGCGAAAATTGTGCACAGTAGCAAATCCACACTTCACCCGGGAAATACTGTTAATCCCCTCCACCATCCATTTACCCACATGCAAATACAGCGGATTCTTCGTGGCGCGGTACAAAAAATAAGTCGATTCCGCCAGTTCTGGTCGTAGCGGATATAGGGGAATATTCTCGTGCTCATGAAACCAGTCAAAACGCTCCGGGAGGACACCATATCGTTTCCAAATACTCATGTAAAAATTATGCAGACACACGGCTTCCTGGAGATCACCGGCCAGGACCTGCACACCGGGAAACGCCGCACCCAGGGCGTCAATCCAGAAATTGCTGGGCCGACTGTTGCCTTCGTCCATGTTGACGTTGATGAAGAGCGGATGGGAGGTGGCGTCCGTGCCACACGTAAAAGGACCGACGCGCTGGTGCTGTTTGATGGCGGCGTAGGCTTCGTTAAAGATTTTCAAGTATTCTTCGTCACCAAACAAAATATACGCCTGAAAAGAGCTTGCTAATTACACACACTCGTACAATTCCAATTGAATCATGCTGTGCCATAAAAAATAACAGCTATTCGTCAATAATTTCATTTGAAATATTTGGCAAAACTATGAAAACCCTTTTACAGATCCTTCCAAAAATATTGGCTCACCTTCAGCAGATATTCATAGTACGAATCCATGCCCGCGCCGACTCCTATTCAAAATCAATAATCCACACGTTAGAATACTGGATTCATGTGGGTAACCAGGAACCGGAAAACACGTTTAAGTTTTAAATTCATAAAAGTGACAAATTTAACTGCCTCATCTTCCACACAAAAAAAACTACCGACTCATAATTGCTATTTTAAAAGACTTAATTGATTTGCCAGATAGCTTGATCTTGGAATACCAATGCTTATGCAACCATGTTAGGATGGATGATGGATAGACATTAACGCATCTAGCCAATGCACTACGATACCGCCACATTACGTACCAGACATCTTATCAATCCACTCTCCCAGCGCCACGTTAATACTATTCCCCAGCAACCCGGTCGCCCTGGACCGCTTCTCCCACAATCGCAGCATGGCGCGCTTGGCCATATTTTCGTACATCTCATCCCCCGTCAGCCGGCTGGCCACGCCCCACTCCAACACCAGACTGCCCGCCCCGGCCAGACACGTCTCGTGCATCTTCTCCGCCATCATCTGTATACCGTGCCGCAAATTAATCCGCGGTACGGGCAGATAGTTGCCGACGCCCTGGAAAGCGTCGCTCAGACGGTCGATGAGATCGCGCGCCAGATCCAGCAGTTCGTTGTCGTAGGCGGCCAGACGCGCGGCCGGGAACAGGGTGTCATCGGTCAGGAGGACGTGGGCCGACAGAAGACCGCCCAGGACGCGGATGGTGGCTTCAAAGACCTGCACGGTCACGTCCTGATCGAAGGAGGTATACTGTGACACTAGGTGGACGGCGCGGTGGAATTCGGTTGTATTACCCAGGATCTGCGAGAGAATAGTTATAATAAATACCGATTATCGACAAATAAACTGTAAAAGATAAAAATTCGTTTATATTGCCCAGGACGAGCGAGAGAATAGTTATAATAAATACCGATTATTCACGAATAAACTTGAAAGCTATAAAAATATCCACAAAATTAAAGCACAAAAAAATACAAATAAGTTAAAGGGATAAACAGGAATTCAAATCCATCGTCAAAATATACGACGACTCGTACTTTAGCATCTATACTTTTGCTCGCATTTTAGTCTTAAGTTCTTAACCACTCAAATACGGTGAAATCTCCGAAACAAATCAGCATTTTTTGGCGCGCCAATAAAACATCGTTAAAGCCATTTCCTGCATATTTTAACATAATTATGGGATTCTGCGCTCTCTTAAAGCTGCAAGAGCGGGTTTAAAACTTGTCAGAGACTACTATTATACGATCACAAACGTTCGGTGTCATCAAATTTGTTTTCGTCAGTATTAGTGCTTTATTAGCATCGAATTCTAACAGAAGAAGTCGGTATCGTTACGAAAAGTCATGCAACCGTAATTTAATTAAATTCAATCCTTTCAATCACATCTTCTTTCCATCCTCCACTGTGATTTGCAACCAATAAAAAATTTAAAGAACAATAAAAACTATTAACTACTGGTTAATTATCGTCGCAGATCAAAAAGCTTTGCAAATTTTCGCAACAAAAAGCTTCAAAAAATTTTACTAAATCACTATCAGTGCTGTTTAAATTTCAAAATACTCCAGAAACTGAACACTGCAACTTTCTGCAGCGATACTACCAGTCTGCCACTACTCTACGGTATAAATCATTACTATCTGCACATTAACATCAGAATGATGATACTTGCCACTTGCCAGTAGTGCATCCAAAGAATCGATCAGAGTCAGTGAATAATTTCCCAGTACATCATTAATGTTGATATTGCTCCTAAAAATTAAAATGATGAATTTTTTTAAAAACTATGCACACGCCAATGGAATAAACAGAGAATACCAAGTCTTGTATCAGTAAATCAAGCCTAGTACAGTACTGGAATACTGGATCAATAAAATAATCTAGCAACAGATTATGCATAATGGATTCAAAATGCAAACGGGAAACCTTGTTGATAAACGGAAAAAAACGTTGTTTATTAAAGCGAGCTACGTAATTCGACAATATGATACAAGAATAAATTCTAAAATTCTCACGGATTTTCCCAGTCAGGACCTCGTCCGACACAGTCAATGGGATTGAGCTCATCCTTGGGCCAGGCATGCTGCATGTAGTTATCGTAGGCGAAATAGAACATCTCCTTGACTTGCTGCTGCATGTCCTGACGCAGTTTGGCAGGGAAATAACCGTACTTTGCCAGGACATCGTCCGACACGGGCAGACCGTAGCGCGCAAAGAGCTCCGCGGTCAGGGGCGCTCCTGGGTCCGGGAGCAGCAGCAGTAGCAAGATTAACGCCAAATACTTCATGATACTGCCCAGCACCTGTACAATCTACGGAGATCATAGCGAAGAGCGTATCGCATCCAAAGACATCGATCACATTCACATCGTCGATTGTGCCGTAATGGCAAAGTCGGATGGTGTGTTTTCAAGATTCCGAACACTATTCGCGCCTATGCTGCCATTATTCGTGCATTCCTATCCGACACCTCAGCTGGAAATTCCAAATTTTTATCAAAAGATGATAAGAATAGACTGGGTCCTAGTGACCAGGATACACGGATAAAAATAATAATTGATGAATGATGGTGAAAAAATGTGAAACTGCAAGAATGCGACTGGAAGTTGACTTTTACAGTAGTTGCGCACAGCAAAAACATACAACGATAACGCTAACTGTCTAACAACAGGAACTTGCTGTTCCATAAACGCAAAATACGCTATACTCGTATAGAAAGTACTACTTGACAAAAGCTAAAATAAAAGCTGCTAAATTCTAAAATTTAAAAAATTAACGATCCTTTTACAAGTCAGTACAGAACACGAAAGTGAAAAGCTAATTAGGACCCTAGCAGTTCTGGAGTATTTGGTAGCCAACCTGTTGCCACTAATCTACGCTTTCAGCGATTTTTAATAACATTACCGTATTTACCGTCTATAAACCTCACAGCCTAATAACACGTCATCAAATCCACAGCTGACTTGTGAGGTTTGCATTTCTGCGGCTTTCAGGTATGCGCAGATAACAATAAAAGAAAAAACATAAACAATTTTTATGCTGACGTTTGCAGTTTGCACATATGTATTGTACGTACGGTGCACTGATACCACTAAAATTAATATTTTTGTCGAAATATTTGTCAAATAATAAGTTTTGTTTTACAGGCAATAATAATTTACGAGACGGCATTCAAAACTGCGAAAAACTGGTTTAATAATAAGTTTCGATACTGGAAGGAGTAATATTAAAACCAGCCATAGGGGGTTCTGAAAATTATTATCATTACTAGATCCATTTTACTGTAAATGTTTAAGAAGAGTTGTTTATCACTTTTTCACTCACTTTTCAGATATCACTTTTTTGTGTCTGCACTTGGCCGGCAAACGTCAAACACAGCGATTTTCAATTTTATTCGATTTGCTGATTTCTTTAAAATTTGCATAAGCCGTTTATTCGGTACATGAATTTTCAATACGTATGTCAGCAATCTGCTTCTGCATAGTGATTAATAATTTTTATGAAACTTAAAATCAACCCCATCAAGGCCTTAATTAGTCTCTAACTGTGAACGTATCAATCCTGCGTTGACTGATACTTCCGCCTCTAAAACATCGAAGCCGGATATCCAAACTGTTAGCCAGCCGCCAAAAAGATTAAAGTACAATCAAACTGCGGACCAAGAGTGTAATTTCATTCTCCTCGAAATTTCGGTTTCCTTTTTTCCTTGAACGCCGCCAATCCCTCCAAGCGGTCCTTAGTCTTGACAATCTGAGCATAGCAGCCTTCTTCAATCTTCAGACCGGCCTCAAGATCCACTTCGACGCCTCGGTTGATGGCCACTTTGGCCATGCGCAGCGCAATGGGCCCATTCAACACCCAGGGTTCGGCCACTTCCAATGCCTTCTTGTACGCGGCACTACCGTCGCTGTTCTGCTCCACGAGATGATTAACAATGCCCTGGGCATGGGCTTGGGCACCGTCCAGTACCTGCCCGGTAAATATGAGATCCTTGGCGCGAGACGGTCCAACTAGCCGGGTCAGCAACTGTAATTATAAACTGTTGAAATGGCGCATGTGTTATGTTATGTTACTCTGACTTTCGTTTCTTTTTCTCGGATACTGATTGATGACCAGAATTTTTCCAATTACAGATAACAAATTACTTGACTTTTCTAACGTCTAACCAATTCGCAATTGCCAATGAAACACAGCATGCAACTTTGGTTGCTGACTTATTACTGCCCAAGATTACGAATTCGAGGGATGCAGGAAAAATGTAGAGGAATGGAAAAACGATATTAAAAACAAGTCTAAAAACCCACATACGCACGACACGCGCATTTCGATAAATATAATAAAAAGACTGCCTTTCTCTCTTGTACCTTTATTTAAGGCCGCAGCTTTTACAACCATTACCACATTGAATGCCATTCCACTACAAACCTCACTCCTCAATAAATTCTAGTACTGGGAGGAATATTAGTTTCACAGGCTCCAAACATTCACACAAACGGAAATGTAAATCGTTTAATAATTTCGCTTTTTAACTAACAACAATTTAGTTACTACTTCATGTTTTATCACAGTTCGACTATTCGTACCTGCGTTCCTCCCGCTCCAGGAATAATTCCCAGTTTCGTTTCCACTAAACCGATTTTCGCCGTGCTACTGGCCACGCGCACATCACACGCTAGCGCCATTTCCAACCCGCCACCCAGCGCCATACCATCCAACGCGGCGATGGTCGGCACCGGGAAATTATATAGATCCGCCATGAGATTCCGGAGATTGGCCACGAACGGCGCCACCTCTTCCTCGCGCATCGTCATGCGTTCCTTCAAATCCGCACCCGAACAAAAGACCCCCGGGGTGGTACTGCGCAGGATTATGGCCCGCACCGCCGTATCCTGGCGCGCCGATTCCAGGCATGCGCGGAACTGTTTGAGCAGGTTCTTGCTGATGGCATTGCGCACCTCAGGACGGTTGAGGTTGAAGACGAGGACGCCGTTGTGGGGGTCCTGAGTTAGTTTGTTGGCATAGAATTCCTCGGTGCGGGCTTTCCCTGGCTGGGCATCGTTGGAGGCGATTTGACAGACGCTGTGGCAAGTGGAAAACGAGCGAAAAGCTGGATGAAGTTGCCGGCTGTTCCGGAGAAAAGATGTAATTATCATTTTGATTTTATCTAAATTAAGAAAACCCGGGAATAAAGGCAATATCTGACGTGGATGCAGATACAGAAGTCAAACTGAAACAACTTTCAAGCGAATATCAGAAAATTACGAAAATTCCACTACTACCGATCCAAGGAAGAGGATGGACTTAAACGACTATCAAATCTGTGCAAAAAACTTGAACAGAAGTTTTTTTTTACAATTCAAAGAATAGCAAGTTGGTAACTTTTCGAAATTTCTTATTCTATAAAAAATTTCAAAAACCAGCGATCAGCTGTTTGATGTTAAAAGGAAATTTTTATTTGTTGGGATTTGCTTAGCAGCTCGGTACTGTACATGGTGGTGCAGCGTTAAATCGCCACCGAAATCTGTTGGCACAAATGCCTTGCCACCGGCATAAAATTCTCGCTTCCGATTTCGTCACTGCGGAGTGCGGACTGCGCATACAAACACAGCAGTTCGAAATTTTCCTTGTTTTGGTTAGGTTTTCGTAAAACTGCGGGGAGTCTCGATCCTGAAAAAAAAACAGATCTTATTTTACGGTCGGCAGTTCTTTTGTCGATTATTTGCTTGTATCTCTTTACTATGGATTATGATGAGGAACAGCCGCCGACACCGACCACCCGTTTGGCCAACCTTGAAAACGAGTGAGTGTAAGCCCAGGATATTCCACTCAACTATTGATTGCCCTCGTTATTTGTCCACGAAAGGTTTTTTCATATGAGTTCTTAACAACTGCGACCCTAATTGCTTGAATGGTGCTCATGGCAGCTCACGATATATTAATTTCGGGTGCAAATTATATCTGGCGTTGTTTGCACTTTGCAGCATCGAAGAACTGTGCCGTTCGATGAAAAATGAAGAGGTTTCGGAGCAAGAACTGCAGGATCATTTCCTGGATTTCTCCCCTGAGCAGTTGAAATCGGTGGTGAATCGCATGATCAAAGCTGTAAGCAACTTCAGGTTGTTTTTAACTGTCCGTACACTTTACGACGCACGTAGTATTTCCAGCCACAACCGCTAACTTCAGTACGAAGTAACTCATTCCGATTGAACCTGATTTTCAATAAGCAATTTTTTGTGTTTAATTTAATTCGGTTTTATAAAATTCATAATTATTACAATTCATAAAATAATTCTTATGGTGAACAGTACTTACTTGAGCACCTCTGAGTACTGTATAGAATGCATAAGGCAAGTAATTTAAACACGATAATAAGGATGAGTGGTAATTGTCGTTAAGATTACAGTAATCATAAAAAAACTAAGTACTTACTATAAATGCATGTATCAGTTTAATATTTTAATACATACTTACAATACGCAGTGTTTGTCAAGTTAATTGGGCGATGCATCGTAGATGAAGCTGCAAGTGAAACCCGACGGCCCTATTATCCGTTTGCGCGATAACTCCATCATCAAACGACTGCAGGGCCTGGACGAGGACGAAATCAAGACGTACGAGGCCATTGAAGCCGTCGGCAATAAGGGCATCGCCTCGCGCTACCTCCGCATCCGCGCCGGCAAACTGTCCACCACCCGCATCGCCAAGATCCTGCAGACGCTGGAGACGAAGATGCTGATCAAAGCGGTGAAATTGCAGAAAAGCGCCAACCGCGCCTCCAACAGCTTGCAAAAGATGTATATGTTGGCGCATCTGCAACCGGATGAGGCGTCGGTGGGCAAGCAGACGGTGTACGGCGTGGGGACCATGTTCGATGTGGCGCTGTTTGAGACGGTGTCCAAGGTGTGCGTGGTGGAGTTGAAGAAGCGGATGAAGGAATTTTTACAGCGCGATGTGTCGCCGGATGCCACAGCGGAAGAAATCCTGGCGGCGGTGGTGGAAAGCGGAGCCGTTAAGGTATGTCGAAGGTGGTTTGATTTCGTTAATCCTTGTTATAGTCCTGTGATTGTACTTTTCTGATGTAGATAGGTAGGTAGGCAGAATTGTGTAGGTAGATGCAGACAGAATTTTTTTGCTGTACGATGTACGATTTTTCTGTTGATTTTTCTGTATGATGATGCGTATGTACGCATATACCGGTAATCGGTTGTTATAATTAAAATTATTTAGCCATACGATAATTTTGATTTGATGTAGTCATAGTACGTATACTTACTGATGATTAATGCCCGACGATGGCCCGCATCAGTGTGTGGCGTGTGCAGTGCGGAACATCGTTTAATCCTAAGAAGTAAGAATAAGTCAGTGAATTAACGACTGTCTTGTACATGCAGACAGGCGTAGTATGTGGGCTCTATATGTTCAGGTATTATCTTGCGCTTCAGAATCCTCACATTGGTTGAAAAACCGAAAATTAAAAATCGAAATTGATATCTGCAAATTAATTTTTATTACTCGTTAAGATGCTGTTAAAGCGTTATTTTTTGCTTTACGCGTGAATATTTGGGATGTTAGAATAAATTGGAGAAGCTCATTTGCTTTGCAATACTCAATGTTTTCCATGTTTATTAAATGTGTAATGTGTATATTAAATGTGTATATATATGACTTTTGCAGAGTGATTTGACGGAAGGCAGTATTGAAGCGGCGCTCAAAATGATGGAGCTGAATGGTAAAGTGGAAAGAAGAGTTTTCTTCGAAACCGATGGTGAAGTTGTTCGTTACCGACTGCACACGATTAAAACGGACAAGCCGGAAGCCGCCTTGCCCTGCGTTGGTTGCCCGGTAAATTTCAGATGTACAGCACCTGCGAAGGTTTTTGTAGTTTGCTAATGCTAAAATATTTAAGTTACCATAAAGTTTTTAGTGCCATTAAAAGTTTTCAGTTTACTTTGTGGGCCACGTTCCAGTGTGGTTTTAAAATGAATCAGAATCATTCACAGCAGAAACGTCCAACGTTGGTCATAGGGTGAACTACGGTTTAAAGACGTTTTGAAATCGCAAGAAAAGCCGAGTAGTGTAGAATATTAGCAGTATTTGACTCGCGAAATTTCTCGTATTTTATAGTTTTTAAATTTTATGATACGCGTGCATATCGTAAAGAAGTGTTATCGCATGTTATTAGACATGTGAAAGTGGAACTGTCTAAAACCAACTGAGTACAAACATTGTTGAAGAAGAAATCTAGCTGCTGTAGTGATTCGATTTCTGTCGGTAGTATGTATGATATAAGAAGCGAACAGCATGCAGCAGTAAATTTTTATTTACGCAAAGTGAACTGGAAAATTACGAAGTTTCAGGTTAATGAGGTAATGTGCATTATTAATGCTGGAGTTGTAGTATGATGGCTGATTGAGTGTACCTCGTACATCGTTTTCGGTGAACTTTTATTGGCTGATTTTAATTGCCTGCTGTAATGAACGTTTTCAAAGCAATTTTTTATTAAATAAAAAATGGTTTTTGGGAAAATACAGAGCACATGATCTGTATTTTCCCAAAAACAGTTCAGTTATTGAAAATTTTTGTGAAACAGAATAGCACCAGTATTAATGATGGTTTTACTCCTTGTTCTAACAAGTCTTTTATTTAGCAACGCTGAATAAATACTTTAGTCTTATACTGAGTCAATCATTAATTTTATATTGCCTGCGTCCTGATTGTTTTGACTTTTTAGGTCAAACATCTCTGTTCCTTTAATACACCGATAAATCCAATTGACTGTCCGCATTTTGATACCTGGATAAAGACCAGCAATTTTTAAATTTTAGATACCATTTCCGTGTTGACTTTTTTCTCGAAGATTGTCTTTCATGGCTTCTGTTACTTGGCATTCGAAACAGCATCGTTTCTGTTGCTTGTTGATCTTCACGAATGCGACATTTGTACGAACACAGCGATATAAACCGAAGAAAACGAGTAAACGGCAAATCCGTTTTGCAGCGGTTTTATTTGCATTTTCTATTGTGAAAGTTTGAAATTTCGTGCCAGTTTGTGCCATCATATTTGGTAAGAAAGGTGACCTTTTTGCACGAGATATACTTGTTGCATATTCTTTGTCACCAGCTGACCTGTGCTGCGCAATCATCGTGACTGCATCATAATTGCATATATATGTATCGGTCACATACGGTAATTAGCGAAAACTGATACGGCTTCCGTCAAACTCTGTATCAGATACATTTTCGCCCAGTAAATATTACAGAAAATTAAAGGAACCGTTTTGAAATAGCAGTATTTTACCGCGGTACAGTTCTGCGTAATAGGTACCATTGCGTAAGTTGTACGCGCAGATAAGCTGTGGTATTGATGTGCATTTCAATTATTTGTCGCAAAGCGATAAGGAACAATTCAGACTGATAAAAGACAATACATCAATCGCCGGTGAAACAGCTCCATATTAGGCAGACACATATAAATGGATCTGCGATCGATTATTTCCGGTGGAGAAATTCCCACGTTCATACTGTGTTTATAGCTGGCAAGTGAAACAGTTTAATAATCTTCATTTTATCATGGAAAAAGACAAGGAAGCGCAGATGCACAGTAGTGCTAGCACATCGGAAATCTTGATAATTAAATCAACAACAGGAAAGACCGCTGAGCCGAAAAGCGGGAAGGCGGGGAAGATCGGTGTAGCTGTGGTAGCGGTAATTTTGTTGGCGTTGTTGGTGGCTACGCTGGTGTACTACAATATCCAACCGGCCCGGAAGGAGCTGCAGTGGTATCATGAGACGGTCATTTATCAGATTTATCCGCGCAGTTTCAAGGATTCGGATGGGGATGGAGTTGGCGACATACCCGGTATGAAATTACCTCTTATAATCTTTTTTTATAATCGTAATTATCTATTTTCGTAAAACATCTTACAATCTTTTTTGGTATATAAATAAATCTTGGCTTGACTAATGTAAAGGTTCTAATAAATGCGCGTTTTTACGGTGTCTTTTATGGCAAGAATGGATATTTTTTACCTTTGTTAAGATATTTGTAGGTCAACTTATGATAGAATTACATATATCTGTATAAGGAGTGTTTGACAACGATAATTTTGTAACCGTTATTCTTATTCTTCTTACTTTTCAACTGCTCTGCAATTTAAGACAGGAGCAGCACTCTACAGTATGGCATATAATGCGTATAAGTATCTGTATATACTACAAATATATCGTGTGTCGTAGTGATGTGGCTGCCACTGGCTGGATCTATTTTAGGGCATCCTGATTAACGAGTTCCTGTACATAAAAGTTATCCTTATACAATATAGGGTAACAGAGGTGACTGATTTATACGGTTTATTTACATTTTTCGTGACTATGGATTGCTGCATGTTGACTTTGTTATCTTAAAAATTCCAGTCAATATAATTTAACTGCTAATTTATCAGAAAAATTTTTCCGAATGATTTGCTTTACAATTTCATGCTGTTTTACAGACTCACTTTTACTTAGGTAATATTATGCAGAACCTTATACATGATTTTTTCATTGTTTTTATTTTTTTCATACATTTTTACTCAAATTTTGACTTTTTTCGGTGGTGTGTATCGAGGGCTCACTTTTTTCGTATCCTGTAGTTTTCGGCTTGGTATCGATAATAAGGTAGAAGCGCGATTGTGTAGCATACACTTGCTGATAAATCCTTTGTCATCTATCTCGTATATTTTTGACGTTCTGTAAACAGGTATAACGGAAAAACTGGGTTATCTGCAACAATTGGGAATAACAACAATATGGCTGAGTCCAATCTTCCGTTCGCCGATGCGAGACTTTGGCTACGATATCGCCAACTACACCGAAATCGAGCCATTGTTCGGCAATATGACTGACTTTGAGGAAATGCTGAGAAAAGCTAACGAAAGGGGTATGTGTGTTAGAGATGGGCATGGGATAGGAATATCAATTGCGTGTTATGTTAATTTATGGGGGTTCTTTTTTAAAATTAATTTTCAGTAATTTAATGAAAAATTTCATGCGATTGCTGGATGGATCACGTACGGCAGTTACATTACATAGTTTCTACCTTTCTCTAGTTTTGTAATGCATTTATTTGCGTGGAAGCATATAAGAACTTATTCCAAAAGAAGAATATTCTGGTTGTGTTTCGTTGTAATTGGCTGTGATTTTATTTTATTTGACTATTACTGTAGAAATTGTAAGAATTATAGTTCTCAGAAACAGCAGCTGGGTAATTACAAATATGATTAGCTAGTACAGTGCTGATATTAACTGTTGTGGAAATATTCGGACTGGTTTGACTGATTTGCTTACTGTATAGGTATCAGAATAATTCTGGATTTTGTTCCCAACCATACAAGCGACGAATCAGAGTGGTTCAAGCGGAGTGTTGCGGGTGATGAATACTACCGAAATTTCTATACGTGGCATCCTGGCCACTCCAAACGCCGAACCAATATAACGCTGTACAGTGCAGCATTGCAAGCCAATGTCACGAAGGAAATTCCGGATGTGCCCAATAATTGGGTATACTTATTACGAAAACGATACGTATTGCGCTTATCCGAAAACCGATTTTTATGTGGGAATTATCGAAGAATTATTTGACTATTTTGTGTACTAATTTACAGTTAGAGTCGTAATTTTTTATTTCATTAGCGCTAGTAGAGTAGAATCAGCTTTCAAAAATTACGAAAAAATTACGAGGCTCTTGCATTTCATCCCAAAAATTAATTTTCTTTAATAACGGACAGATGAGTGTTTTTGGCGGATCAGCGTGGACATGGAACGATACGCGGCAGGAGTATTACTTGCACCAGTTCCTGGAATCCATGCCGGATTTGAATTGGTACAACGAGAACGTGACGAAAGCGATGGACGACGTCATGACCTTTTGGCTAGACAAGGGTGTTAGCGGTTTCCGCGTTGACGCTCTGCCCCACATGTTCGAAGTTCCCATCGCTGACATGGAAGATGCCGATGAAACGGACATTAATCCCTTCGAAATTGGCAGTGGATTGACACCGGTGCGTTGCTTTTCGAAACTGTTATTCCTCGTATTCTGAATACTCTTACATTAATTATTAAATAAATAATAAAATTTAATATAATGATTAAATATCACATTTTTGGATGATTGTTGCTTTTCGTGGTGCAGTTGGATTATGAATACTGGTCTCATCCGTACACGAAGAATTACAATAAGACGATTGAATATACAAAAATTTGGATCCAAAAATGAAAGACTATTCCGAATCACATAATACGGAACCCAAGTAAGACAGACACTTATTTTTGCGGCAGTAGACACTTAATCTAGCTGCTTTATATTATTCCTGGTTTTTTTTAGTTTAATTTTAATTATATTTAATTACAATTTTTCGGGAACATTGTTTGACTACTATTTCGTTCCGTGCTAGTGTTACTCTCACTCTGGAATGTTAAATCTGTCAATATTGTGATACAAAATTTGGATTTAAATGGTCATTTTTCTACGTTTCTAAAGGACCCTTTTCTGCACAATTGTGGTCAGGGTGAAATATTTTTCGTTGAATAGGTTTCTGATTTTCGAAGTTGTGGATAAAGACATCCGGAAGATCGTTCAGTATTTTCCGGATGATCCCTTTGGCACGGCAGCCCAGCCGTTTTACTTCGGTTTGGTGTTGAGCCTTAACGATAAGAGTACCGGATCCGACATTCAACGGGTTGTCGAGACGCAAATGCATAATGTTCCGGAGAGTGGCTGGTACAGTTGGGTGGTAAGTACCATACCACTATTTTTCTGTGATTTTTTTTCAGTTTTATTCAAAGCAGTTGTCACCATTACTTAAATTGACAGGATATGAAATTATACAGTAGAGATGCTGTATTTCAATATTCAGTAAAGCGTAGAGAACTTTTTTTACAACTGCATTGTCGGATCTTTTTGTGTATCAGCTGATTAGTTCGTTTTTCGCCCAACCAAATTTATAACGTGATTTCGTAGTGTATGGGATCGTTAATCAGATTAATCGCGTTGCGTGGCTGCTTTGTTGTATTGATTTGTGCAGCATAAAATAGCAGTACAAGGTAATCAACTAGTTCATTTTTTTAGATTGGCAATCATGATCAGAAGCGCGCCACCAACCGGCTAGGCAACGCGCAGTTGATCGACGGGATGAACATGATTAATCTGCTTCTTCCGGGCACGCCCACCACGTACTACGGGGAAGAGATCGGGATGCAGAATACCATTATCGAGCGCGCCGACCAGATTCGAGATCCTTTTGCTTTGAATTATGCTTACGAAGGATTGGAGGTATGTGTATTTAATCCTCACATCTTCAAAAGAAAAGCTAATAGTTCTTGACCTTCCACTTTCTGAACTGTTTGCTTGGAAAAGATTTTGGACAATTACTTTTGAATATTTGTTGGTGTTTTTTGTTTTTTTCTGATCAGTGGATATTTCAAAGTTTTATTTTTAAAATCATGTAGAGGAGCCCTTTTCGAGTTTCTGGTACGGGCTAAGTTTTAAAAGCAGCATTTTTTTAGCATTTGGTCACACTGACCTGACTGATTCAGTACCAATACTCGTTTAAGAAATATGGAAATTGTAGTGAGGAGGCATGAGCCATAGAGGTGATCCAAACTTGTGTTACTGCTACGCATACTTACGTACTTACAACATTTGCTCCAGTTAAAATTTCTAATCATTTTTTTATCTACTCCGCTAATTGCAGGGTATGCTAAAGAAGACACGTGACTGGAGCCGCGCACCTATGCAGTGGGATAATAGCACCAGTGCCGGCTTTTCAACGAATGCCACAACGTGGCTCCCCATCAACCCTGACTACGCATTCCACATTAACGTCGAGGTGAGACTATTTATGTACATGGAAACTTGGGAAGTAATAAAAGAAAGAGTTACGAAATTGACAAATTAACGCTGCGCGCACAACTAAACGGTAGAAATTTCGAAACCCTTGTGATTTGGATAATCTCAAAACTCATGCAGTACGAGTATATATGTACAACGCGCATCAGATTTATTGATGCGTACGCGAAACTGCCGGCGTGAGTGTGAAAAAGTAAATAAAATAAATACGATGTTTTTATCCCGGAACAGCATCAAACCTCGCAGACGGTCAACCACACCCACTACCACCTGTACCGCGATCTGCTGCGCATCCGCAAGACCGCGCCCTTCCGACAGGGTTTCATGCGCTTCGGACCGGTGACAGACGATCTGTTCTCCTTCGTCCGGGAACTGGGCGATGTGCACTACCTGGTGGCCGTCGATCTGCGCCGTAACACCAGCCTGCCCATCGTCACCTACGACTTCTCCCAGCTGCGCATGGAGGGCACGGCGAAAGTGGTCTGCGGCAGTGCCCATATTTACGGGGAGCCGCAGCCCCTGGGGCAGCTGGAGGCGGAGCAGGATGTGGATTTGAAGGCGGTACCGTTTAAGCCCTCCGCGGCGGTTGTTATCCGGGTGTCGCATACGCATTAAAGAGAAATGGTGGGAAACGTTGTATGCAGCACGTTGGTCAGTCTTTCGAATGATTATTCGCGAGAGTGTAGTTTTACTGCGGTTCCTCCTGCGGTAAATGCCAGTTATGTATTCTGAATTTTTTGTTGGGTGAACAGAATTTTCTGAGAATCAAACTATTTACTCTGCCGTATTTTTTATGCAAAAAGCCGAACATGTTTTCGCTGTTTGTGTATATAGTGAATTTAGCAAACGGAATTTTCCTCGTTCGAATATTTTCAAATTTTTTATTTAATACTGCATCGCACATATAACGTCATCAGTACAAACGAAATTAAAACTACGCGTACGCGTAGATAAGACAACTGCGCCATATTTAAACAGATTAAACACGAGATATAAAAATACACAAGAACGTGGTCCTGAGCCGTGGCCGTCCGTCCATCGGCCTACTGCAACTTGCGGCAATGGCCGCGTCCGGGCCTAGTGTTCTTGGAAGTCAAGGTCTCGCAGGTCAGCCGCAGTTTCTTGGTGGAGCAGCATGGCAGATCGGGGCCGCAGTCTCCTCCCAGTTCCTTCTGGCAAGCGGCCTCAGTCGACGCGAACTGCAAATTAAAACTTGGATTATTGTGATTTTTATTTTAAACAAAAATTTGTTTTTTTACAGCACTAATAGAATGGTATCTGTAACGCATATCTATTATATGCTTTAGTATATGCAGTTATGCATATGGTGATCGCGGGATACGGTATAATCACTGTTATTAAGAAAAATTAAATAGATACATGCAGGAGGCGATCATCAGATTACCCATTTTCGCAGATCAATTATAAGAGTTTTTGTTACGATCAGATCATTTATCAGCAAAAGAACGATTTTACAAAGATTTTACTTACCATGGCGGCCACCATGACGACGAAAAGCACGCACCAGCGTAAAAAGTTCATAATGACGACTTGACGAGTAGAAGAGTTAGTCCAGCGAAAGGTCACAGGTCGTTATAGAAAACGCTAATTTCGTATGATATTCCGGCCGTAATCACCAAACCAGATTGCACTTTGCGACAAAACAGAAATGGTAAGTTAAAAACACTGCTTATATACCTCCAATAGCCTTGGTCCGTGTAGCCCTACCACAAAAAACGCTACTCTGAAAATTGTACTAAGTAAGTCCGGTTTGTAATCTGCATGGAACGACACACACCCGCATTGACTTAGAACAAAGAACTTTGTACGTGCAGCGGTGGTCCTTTCAGTGAAAAAGATAGCAAGATCCGGCGATGCGGTCACATTCATTGAGAATAATCGGAGTTAGTATCCTTGTACTGCGCCACGGGATTAGCGAAATAATTCCACCGAGAAGGCATTATGTGTGAAAGAAGGTTGGCATTTGAACTCTCATGCCATACGCGCAATGAAGCTGATTGGGTGACCTTTTTCAGAAACAGGGGATTTCTGAAAAACTGCATAAATTACACGTGCTGCTGCATCACCGAATATCCTGCACCAGACTACAGCTTCTCTTTGTAAGCTATTTTTAAAAATTATCTTGGCTGCAATGCCGGCAACTTGGCTGAAAATTACATTATGCGTATAACCGCAGTCTTTCCCAGGTGGCAACATTCCGCACGATGATGTTTTTTACCCATTTATTGCTGACCTTCATAACGGAGTCCCAAGACCATCTGTATATATCGAACCTCCTCATAGTCAAATATTAGGAAGTAAATACATCGTACCGACTTCTTGTAACCTTGCAGATGACACGTACCTCGATGCCGGCATTGTTGAGGTGTACCTGATCTGACAGAATGAGATTTGTTCTCTAGGGCTTATCGATTAGACCAATTTCGTGCGGCCAATGTCAAAACGCCGGCAGAATTTCCTGCAGACCGAATTTTTGGGTGGTCAAACCGCCGACCGAATTTTCTGCCGGCAGAATTTTTTCAACATTCTTAACTTCAAGTATGTCGTATTTCAAATATTATAAAAATATTACCTGGCACACGGTCTGTTACTCGCGCTGATATATATAAGAATTTAGAAGGGATCAGACTAACTCACACTTCGGTGTTATCATGACGCAGTGGCATTGTTGAACACTTTGTTTATCTCTTTTGCGCTGTTCTTTGTGTTCTCTTCCGAGCTTTCTTTCTGTGCAAGCTGTCAATGCAACATCAAAAGTGTGCCACTAAAGATACTGCACTTATATCAGCGCGAGTAACAGACCGTGTGCCAGGTAATATTTTTATAATATTTGAAATACGACTTACTTGAAGTTAAAAATGTTGAAAAAATTCTGCCGGCAGAAAATTCGGTCGGCGTTTTGACCACACAAAAATTCGGTCGGCAGGAAATTCTGCCGGCGTTTTGACATTGGCCATTTCGTGCATGGAGAGCTTGCTTTTGATACTGAACGGCGTGTCTTCCTAAAAGTTTTGTCTGGTGAAATTATTTTTAGCGCACGTGGCGGCTGTCAAAGCGATTCCGAGGCTCGAGCAGTGTACCGCTATGATAATGTTTAATGCGTGATTATTACGAGTACTGAAGTTTTACGGATCTCTGCATGAGATAATCCATAGACACAAGAATTTCAAAAAAGGCAATTTGCTACTATTACTGCGGACCTACTCTGTACATAAAAATTTTATTGAATTTTATTCGTCGTTAGCGTAAAAGCAGCACTGTACAGACTGTACTGCACTAGTGCATTACATACATATTGTACCTTGGGAAAGTACGCAAGTTATGTACGTATCGTAGCGTTTGGTATTGGAGAGGTACCGTTGTCACAGCATTTTAAACTCTTTCCAAGGGTTACAGATCTCTAGACATATTATTAAAAACTTTTGGAAAGCAGCAGTAAAGATTGATAAATTATTGAGTTTTATAACGTACGTATATCAGTGTGTTTTTCACAATGATAACAGGAAGAAAAAAATGAAAATATAAAAATAAGAACTGAAAAGGCGATTAGGTAGGCCTATCACAATGGTGTCGAGATACGATTTTGTGTCATGCATTAAAAATCGGCGCACGTGAAACTACGATTCTACGACAACAAATCATCCATGGGATGATATTGGCTAATTAAAGGATGCTAACTACGTATTCGTAGCGAAACACCGAAATGCTAAAAATCTAAAAACGTTGGTAGACCGCTTTATAACGAGGGAACCAAGGAGGATTTCCTGGGCGGCGTATAGCTCTGGCCGCGTTTCTTTAGCCGGCTCTGACGTCTTAAACGACCGCTTCCTACAAAAAAAATCATGCCTTTTTTAAACCGTTTTTGGTCACTGGCAATTTTAGACTAAAATCTGTAAGCCTGCTTAAAATCCGGAATATATAGCTAGCCGCAAGGACCAAACGGGAATCAAGGGTTGCCTACTGGATTAATCACTTAATTCAGCTCAGTTACTAAACCGTGAAAAAAATCCCACTACCGTACTGCGGCAGGTGATACCTCGATGCCGGCAGCAGATAATCCGGATAAAAGCCATTCGAAACCGTTTGCTCATGGCGTTGTACAGGAATGGATTCATGCTGCAGTTGATAAAAATGAGGGATTTGGCAAACAGCATGAACCAGATATTCAGCCAGGGTTTCTCCGTAAACGTGTTGTACACCAGTAGACCGCGATAGGGCAACCAGGAGATGGCAAAGGCCACCACGACGATGGCGAGCATTTTGGTCACCTGCGGGCAAGATTAAAGGTCAATCCCGAGTCAAGGTTAAGGAATTTCTTTTCCGTATAGCGAGCGATAAATTATTCTTTCGCTAAGAAATTGTGATAGCTATTTACGTATACTCCATTTTTAGCGGATAAAAGTAAACTGTGATTTTGCTTGTATTTTACGAAACGTTTTTCACTGTTAGGCGTTTGATTTTGGTAAATCTTTGACCTCTTTTATTATCCACAGTTAGTGTAGGGACTACACTATTTGTTAATTATTATTTAAGAGTGTCTTGACATGTTGTAAATTTAAATCATTTTTAAGTACTTCGACCGCGGAAGCCGGTATGTCGTTTTCGTGGCTGTTACCGCGTTTACAAAATATGTCCAGTATTTTTAGATTGAACATCGTAGAGTAGAGGCTTATGCTGTCCGATTGAGTTTCCGGATTTCAGACAAAGGCGATGCAAGAATATTAAAATCAGTCGGTCGAAGCAACACCAACAAAACTGTTATTAAAATTTTTATTTTAAAGCTGTGATAAATCAATGAGTACCAATGGAATGAATGAATGAGACCTTTTATATAAAGTTTCGAATAAAAATGATTTTATTTTCGAAGCAAATTATTATTGCAGCTGATGTGGGCATGACGTTACCTGCGCATGCGACTGATCGGGATTGGAGTACCTCCTGGCCACATCGCCGCTGGACATCCGTGTCGAACTGTCCCGGTACAGCGCCGGATTGGAGCGCTTCACCACAAAACTCCCGCCACTCCCCATGGACACCATGGACGGGCGCCGGATACTGCCGCACCGGCGTCCTTCGCTCATCTCCTTACTCCGCGCTTTCAACACCGAGGTGATCTTGAAGTAGAAGATCATCGCGGCGATCAAGGGGATGACGTAGAACAGGCAAATGTCGCCGATGAACAGCACCATGTACGTGCGTCGTGATAGACGCAGATCGCAGGTGTCGATGCCGGCGTAGGTGGGATGCGGCTGGACTTTGGTCAGGCCTAGCCAGGGCGCAGAATACAGGATGCAGCCGATCCATAGGATGCAGATGATCTTCTTTGCGCGTTGGACACTGCAGATTTTCTTGGCTAAGAGGGGATGACAGATCACCACGTAGCGCTCAACGCTGAAGGCGGTAATACTGAAAAATTAAATTAAAAATGTTTCATGTACGGGCTAATGTTTAGTCGCAGGGAGAGTCATAGGCGTTCAAAATCAACTGAGCTACATAATTTTCAATTTTGTTCACACTAGAGGATCGTCTGCTCTTAGTACTCGTATATACAATATTTTGTTGGCTCAAGCTGACCAACGAACTCAATAACATTTAATGCAGTTATAATTGAGTAATACAATAACAAAATTATGCACAACACTGACAACAGTTTAGGTATAAAAAAAATAAAATGTTTGCAACGAATCAAAAATTTTGCCTATGCCTATAAACTGTAGTGTCATCATACTTTCGGTTAAAACATCAGTGCAAAATCAGTTTAGGATAGTAATGTTTACATACAAAAATTGTATTAGAAACCAGTGTTTTTCTTTCAATGGCAAATTCCGTAAAGACGCACATGTAAAATGTTAATTAACCCAACCCCAAACAATAGATTAATATAAACAATAAATGATTTATTTATAAACGTATTCCCAAGAGATGCAAGGATAAGCGATAATCAGCGCTACCGGATACGTAATGGAATTCTGGCACTACAGTCAGTTGTTGACGAGTGATGAGGTAAATGATTGAAAGATTAATGGACACTCGTTTCGACATTTACGCTGCATATATATTTAAGTACCTTAAACTGCCAGCGTTAATGCCCAAAAAGTTTCCGAATATCAGCAGTGAACAACCGGGTTGGCCCAGCACCCACTGACGCCCGTATAGATGATAAGAGACAACGGCTTCCGGGACGGCCGAGACCAGTGCCACCAAATCGGCACACGCTAATGACACCTGTAAAATGTAGCCGGTTTAGCGTCACGTCAATGTTTATGATACTTGTGCAATTATACGCGACATTAAGGACCCCAGAGCGGAATCGCTGCTTATGTAACGTCGAGGTCTAAGTGCTTTTTACGGTATTCCCGGTAACGCACTCTTCAGCGCATATGTTACCGAAAACGTGCGACAGACATATTTTGTCTTAATAACAAAATGGAAAAAATTAAACAGTCAGGAAGAAAAAACCGGAAATCGATTAACAGCTTATTGAAATTTGTATGGTGGTTTGCGGTTTCTGCAGTTTTACTGTGCCTTGACAAAACTTATAGCCGGCAAAAAACTTGCCGTAATCTAATATACACTGTCGAAGTTATAAGGATTAACTTTTATGGATAATGGAAGTATAAGTCAAATCAAGGACACAACTGCCAAAATTTTTTTTTCAACACCACTAAAATACTCGTAAATGCATCTTTTGTATGGTTTGCTTTTTTCTGACATGTGCAAGACAGAACGTGGGTGTAGTATAGTGACCAAACGAGAGAAAAGAGCGTGGTACTCGCGATTTGAATTGGATTATATTGTCAAAGTATAAATAAATTGCTAGACAATCTAGTTCGGCTAAACTTTAACGAGATGCTCTTGTAAAGTCTTGTTGTCATTTCAGCAACATCCAATTCACATTGAAACTGGTATCACCCTGCGGGATTAAACAATCATCCACGCGGGCCAGTGCCGGAGACTAGCTGTTGCTTTATGGTAATGGGAATAATTATCATTTTGATTTATTGCTCCATTTTGCCGGTTGCACGGCGCCCGCAGCACACACGATCAACGGAAACCGGCATGGATTGGCAGATCTACGTACAAGTGCTGTGCTAGAAGTCCATTCAAAAAAACCTACGTCAATTTGTGACACGCACATACTATCAAAAGGGGCGGTTTACGACCGATAACTTTGTCCTGTGACCTTTCACTATATGAAAAGCTGCAAATCAATGTGTCCCGGCAAAATGGAATTTTTGCGATAAATCTGATTGGGACCCGGACATGACCTATTTTGAGTACTGCCAGCTGGAAAGTGTTCAAATTTTTTTTTGCATTCGCATAATTTTGTGCGGTTTACATAAGCAAGCTGTTGTATCAGCAATTTACAAGTACTACATGTCGATTTAAATACATTAGCCGTGAAATTAAATTATTCCGGGTAACATGGTATAGTGTAACAGCTGTAGAGAAAATTATTCCGGGAAGATCAGGGGGAATGCTCAGTGGAATTTCAAGACCAGACGCACTTGGATAAAAAATCGACATGGGTAATGTGATCTATCACAAACAAGATAATAAGCTGCCAGTGTAATCATAGAGGAAATTAAAGCTGTGTTGCGTATGTATGTGTCGACGTAACGGTTTAACACAACCATTAATAGTGGGAAGTGGGGTGGTTTTCTCTTGAATATGAGGTGAGGTATAATTTTATAGGACGGGATAATTAATCTGGACTACTTGCAATACATACGCAGTCTGGTTGCACCTTACATTACGCAGTGGTAATTTAATACTCCTGACCTTAAAACAACAAAATCGGAAATTAATTAATAACCTCTGTGTAATAGTTCCGCGTATTAATTTCCGTTGGCCTCGGTCATGAATAATTGGAATTACTCATGCCGGGGTTTTTTCTCGCACAACCTAATTTAATTTGCAGTATATTAAAGCCAATGACCGGGCGAGTTGAACATAATTAACGGTAACATAATTAAACGCCTTCTTTTGGTATTCTGATCGATCGCGTTTGAAAAAAATTAAAAATTACGAACATACAATTTCGTTTATATAACACATACCAATGTATATTATACGATTGTAACATGATTCTCTTGTATCATATTTTTATATATTTTGTATTTGTGTATACTTAATTGTAACCTAAGTCGCTTATAACATATTTTTTTAATTCTCGATCAATAAAAAAGAAAAATATTTCAAAAGTCTTAAAAAATTTAAAACAGAAAACGAGAAACACTTTTGAAATGCAAGAATTACGGAACATGCAAAAATATAGTTCGTACCAAGTAACAGTACGTCGGTACATGCAGTGACCGGGTCCGGTGTACGACAACCAGCAGCAGAATATTCCCCCAGAATCCCAGCAGAAATATCGTTGAATGCAGTACGGTGGCGGCAATACGGTAGGACGTGGGAAAGAGCTGCGGTGTCTGCTTGTCCATCTGCTGCTGCAGCATCCACTGCCGTAAAGATTCATTAAGCATCGTCATCTGGATTAATCCCAATCCGGTCTGATTGATGCGGGCAATAACGTCGGAATTAACAGTTGCCATAACATGCCATAACACAATTATTGATAATCGCCGAAATGCCGGCCCACTGTCTGCTGACAATTAACCAAAGTCATCCGGGACGCCATAATTTATAAAGGCAGTATTATATGGTACATTTTGGTTGTTGTTGTTGAAAAACACAAGGTCGTTATGTAAACAAAAATAACAGCGCAGGTAATGATCCGCGAAAAAACGTTAAGCACCGGCGGGTCACTCCGTAATACCGTAGCGTAGTGTTAGTAACGCTTATCACCGGCGCGATCGGGAGGAAAAGTGGCGCGCGCGCGATGATGGTCGAGGCGATGTAGCGGAATTGCACTCCAATGGGGATTACAATAATCATCAACTTGATCAGTTAATGATGTGTCGCAAAATGCCGGGGATCCCCAATCATGGGTGTTTGATTGCTAGCAGCGCCAAGGCCAACCCGGCGCGACGCGTCGGGATATGTGCGTAGACGTACACTCGCGTAGTCGAAGATGATGTACGAGAGCGGTGCAGCTGTAACAACATCCTTAGTTTCCCACATACGGTGTATATATCGCCACAGACATCCGTGTGTGGTGAGTGATCACGAGGAGGAGTGCCGATAATACCGGGTCTTAACGGGATAAAGTGTCCGTCTCAATCCGTACTCAGTTTATAAAAGTTTATGCAACGTACAGATACTGACAAAACTAATGCTTAAATTTGAAAAAATATTATCAGTACTCGAGTACAAATACAATAATTTTTTGCTCCTTCGAGAAATGCACAATCTCTTGCAGCTTTTTTAAGCAATAAAGACAGAAAAACCGTAGAGTAATGGCGCGTGTACCACTATAGCTACATCCGATCAAGCCCTGCGTTACGAATATGTTGCGCTAATCAAGCTAAACTAATTTATATTTATTACTCGTAATACTTTTTTGCAATTTTGGACTTTTATTTCGTCAGTTTGCTCAATTTGTACTGGACAATAACAGACCGAACGGCCAGAATCTTAAACTTCAATTAATACAGATATAGCATTAGCTGTTTTAAATTCTTGATGTAGATTAAGTTTTGGTAAATTATTTATAAATGGTAGAATTTAAGCTTTGAGTGTATTAATTTAATGTAAAAAAAACGCAGTAAAAAACACTGGGTACGCCACCTTATTGCAGTTAATTGTATGTTGACTTTTAATAAGATGACAAACATTGGTACCGAATTCTGCAATCTGCAACGCAGTAATAATATTATTATTGCCTTTCCTTATATGAAAGATTTAAGTTAACCCTTTTCATATTAAACTAGCGGTTGTTGTAAATTCGGATGAGCTGTGATAAAGCCACATCCCAGTTATTAACGGAACGAGACGGAGGTGGCGACCCGCCTCGTCTCGGGATAGGATTACCACAGCCGCATCACCGTCGTGTGACATGCAAAGCTGGCTGTGGTGAAATGTTGCGGCAATAAATGCCGTTACTAATTAGATGATGGCCGTGTTGAAAATAGTTAGCCACATGTCGCTGGTATGCTGTGTGTTAATTATAGACAAAATGCGCATTACTCGAAAACTGCAACGGTCGAGCGTCGGTGCATGCATATCTGTATGTCAACATTGGCATTGATCAGGCTGGCGAATTGCTGCAGTACAAAAATGTAACAATTATTTTTAGGATGCAGTGCTGGCGAAGAGCATCATCTTGGAAGTGCTGTTCTTTTCGTTGGCGACACGATATTAGCATGTGTGCATGCGTGTGTTGACTAATTGGTGCAAATTACGCTCGGGGAACAGAATTATTCATCATAACACAACATCCAGCCTGACTTATAATTGCACGTGGGTTTGCAGCCGCGGTCTTGCGTGAAAATGTGCCATAGAGCGTGCTATAATTACTGTGGCGAAAAACGTGACCTTACTCTCGCGAGCCATGCGCGGCATGACCTGGCCGGATGCGATTTTCAATAGGCTGTTTTTCCCCTGATTAGACGCATTTATAAGCGGATTATGCAGCTAATTTGCATACCTGGAGGATTGGGGCCCTGTACGCATCCAGGTTCTCTCGAAATTCTACGAAAGAAAACATCTACGGCTGTAATTAGCCGGCTACACCTACAGAAGATCCGCCTAGGTGCGGCAAAATCTTACAAACAACATTTGCAGAGTCTGCTGCTATCCACTTCAGCCTTTTGGCGGGTCTGCTCTCGTTAATGCCTTACTGCTTATTATGCAAGGTATTCGGCACAGCTGTAACTGCATCGTATTTAAAATGGCGTAGCAGATAACACTAAGAAATCACACAACTCGTATTTCCGTGAAGAAACCTACAAATGGTTCGTCCCATTATTTACATTATCGCTGCATAATCGTTAGCTACAGCAAACGCGAGAAAGGTCACTTAGTTGTTTACGTTTCTGTACGTGCTCGTGCACGGTGTATGTGAGACATCGCGTGTACACTTTTTATGCCGTTTCGTCGCTTGTTAAATAGGTCCCCTGCTGTGCAGGCCAAACATTTCTGGTCGTGATATAATGAAGAACACCTTAAGCGTCTAGTAAACTGTTGATGCCTCAAAAATATTTACAAATTTATCGAACAAGGCGCCATTAAAAATGCCGCATCACGGTATAGTGCGAAAAAAACAAACAACAAAGTGACCAAGGAGCGGTTACTTTATTTACCGTAACACCCGTATATAAAACACCCGTGAACACAATTCATTATTAAAAAATTCATTTCGTGATCTAAACTATTCTGGCAATTCTATCGGCTTGCGTAGATTCATAATATAATTACGCTATATACGCTGTGCGGCAGAGACTGTAACGACGACCATGAATTTTCTACGAATTTGCTTATGTTTTTTTGTGATATTCCTTGCAGTCGTGGTAAGTCTGCGCAGTGGAAAGGAGTTAAAATTAACTTGGTGTCTTCCGATTTTGAACTTTTGAGGCGATCGGTTTTAAGGATTTATTATTACGTTTACTGGTTTTTGCAGAGCGGTGCCGACGAACAGAAGCAGCATCAACATCAGCATAAAAACAACCAAAAGCAGCATCACAAGAATACGCACACTAATGGCAAAAACAGAAACACGGACAGAAACGCAGACAGGAACGTGGTCCGGAATAATATCGTCACGGTGCCGGTTGCCGATTGCCACGATGGGGAGATATGTCGCGAAGGAGCGCGGTGTGTGGCTACAGATACATAATGTATGAGCCTCTTCACAAGAAATTACTGCTTGTTCCAAGTTTTTATTGTTAAAATGAATTTAAAGGATGATGACATTATTGGAAGTGGGTTAATTGTGCACCAAAAGGTTATGGATATCTCATTATATGCCATGCGCTGCAGGCGCAGCTTGATTTACATTCGGAAGCCTTGTAAATGTTGCAATAAATGTATTTACGAAAACCTTCATGCATGTACAGTAAAATGAACTTCGTTGCGGTCTAGATAATTCCAAATTAACAATGGTAATATGGTATATATTAACATAAATAGCTGCGACGGCTGCTGTGCATTATCTTCGTCTGTGGCCTACATGGTTGAAAGCGATGGCGCATGCCTGTATTTGTCCCGCGTGGCACTCTTGCCGCTTGCGTCATAGCTCATCGAGCTGGGCCAATTTCCATATACTGTATCTAATAATTAGTGGATTTCGCAATGCCAGAAAGCCGGTCGATTCAGAACCAGAGTACATACTAAAAATATGTTTATAAAATTGAAAAATACATCGGTAAGTATTATTAAATTGCGGGATATTATTTTTTTACATATATTATAAGTTTATAACGCCCGACAGTTGAGTGACCTTTATTCCGGCATCGGCAATTACACAATCTTTGATGGCATTCAGAGGCCCCCTCCTCGATGTGAGGCGCACGGAAGCATGGATCGAGGCATACAGACATAAAAATTATACGAAATTTGCGGCTGTCTCTTCTTCAGTTGGACAAACTGTTGAAACTTTTAAACTGTATTTTCACCGGCTGCATTTATTGCTCATTTATGGAACTGCGCTATAGCGGTTGCACTGCAATCTGCTTGGGAGAAAAACAAAATACTTTTGGTCAGATCATAGATCTTCTGCTTCCCAGCCCCTAAGGAACAAGAATTAAGGGATGAGACAACTGCAATTCCGATGACAGAAACATTTGATAATTCTCATAATTTATGGTTTTACCAAACAAAATTTTCCTGGGTAGCCAAAGTTCAGAGAATATTGCGTACGGGCTACCACATTGACCAGGACGAAAGACAATCCTTGACATATGACCACATATGGTACCCAGGCGATTTTACGATTTTTAATGCCTGTTGTCTTCGGACAGCAGCGCCTATGGTAGCCAAACTCTGTTGGCAGCGATCAGGCTGGTCGCTGTTGAAGGGTATCTCCATCCACTAAGGGACAGGCCAAGCGGCGGATGGAATTTATGGAATGGGATACATGGCCGCCTGCTTCGGTGGCATGCCGTGGGAACTTGTGCTGCGAATGCAACATCGCAGCGCACGATCCCACGGCATGCCACTTATATTAGGAAAAGTAAAACCCAAAAAATTATTCGGCTCGACCGAATTATTCGGCTCTAACCGGGCCAGTTTAAAAAAAAGAAAGGGTTATCTGCATTGTTCGCCCAACCCGGGCGAACAATGCAGATAAGGGCGGCACGAGTGTACTACTTTGCCACTTTTGTAGTAGAGGACAAAAAAATCGATTCTGTTTCCCATATTAATTATGTACTAGAAACATTATGTACTAGAAAGTAGAAACAGTATTTTGATAAGAATAATTTAGTTGCAAAAACTATACATCATATTAATTTTGTATCAGCCACCCCTACTCGGCTATGACTCCAAGCTACCTAAATTCCTAATCATGCGCTTTATGCTGCCAGATTAACTATAAATTTCATTATACTTCTACTTAACTGAAACTTGTTGAGCATCATACCCGCAACTTGAATATGTACAATTTTGTGCACAGACATCAAACGTGTCGAACTTCTGCTTGCCCATCACCTATTTTGTCATATTTTAAAAACAAATCGAACAATCAGTCTCATCTTGTTATTATTACTGTATGTTTGAACGTTGATTGCAGTACATGGTACGAAAAAGTGCATTGTCAGTGTCACTAACGCAGACGGAAGACACCTGTTGTGGGCCGAGATATTTTCTGCGTAAAAAATGAAATCATGATATTAACGACTTCGGCGCCGGATGTACCGAAATGGAAAAATGTGTAAAATAACAGGAACGTCCCAGAAAAAATGGAGTATCACTTCAGCATTAACAGAACAATCCTTTGCTGCTTAATATATAAGCGTTGATATTGGCGTCTACAAAATGCGTTAAAAGAGATACAAAACAGAAAAATTCTATAATTAAGCTCTTCGTGAAAGCTTATTATCTTTTCCAACGATACGGACATTTTTGCAACATAAACATCTTGCGATATATCATGGTTTTCCTTGCAGTGATACTGTCTGCTGTGGTGAGTTACTTACAGTTAGCCGCGATATACAGTAGTACAGTTAGCAATCTTTAAATTTGTGTTACCGGTTTGTGCGTAATATTTCACCTGGAGGTTTCGGTAATGACTTGGGCGGTTTTACCTTTGGCTTACTTTTGTACTTGTCCATCATCCATCTACATTGTACCTATGTGCCCTAAATTAACCCTATACATGTAAACTAAATATTTATATTATTGCGCGCGGCGCACACAGTGAACACAGTTTACCATTGACAGTATATAACTCGGTTTCTCTACAATGTCATTAATCAGTGCATACACTAGTACTGGATTGAATCGATTATATATAATTACTGTATCAACGTCAAGTAGTTCTTCGAATTCTCACAGAAATTTTACCTTATAAAAGAGTTTCACAATAAAATGCTCCAAATTTAAACATTTTAATGCATACCAAATTTTGAACGACCGCCTTTCTGCAGTGTTTTAAATGATGCTGCAATACAACACATCGTTGGCGATTAAACTAACACATCGTAAGCAATGCATGAATATCATACAACTAACCATTAATAAAGTACCATGATTATTACAGCATTTTGTACTATATTGATTTCGCTTTATAATTTACACAACTACATGCATTTCTTTTTTCCAGATGGGCGAAGTGCTTCATGAAGGTCACGTCGAGCGAGAAAATCATCATGGAGTGGGACCAATTCGCCGGGAACGGCCAGTAATCGTGGAAAATCCCGTGGTACCCGGTCGCAATGGGAAGTTGTCGCGTCGGCGAAATTTGCAATCAAGGCTCTCAGTGTGTTCCTTAGACTTCTCCAGGTTGCACTAATTGCGGATTTTATGAATGTTTCGCAGCCAGTCCAAATTCCCGGGAAAAAGATGAAGTTTATTTTTGCATTGCGACGTCAGCATCTGATGTTGCCTAGATCCACAGTTGTGTAAAATTATCAATCCGCTATTCGTGCGGGTTCATTGTACTTATGTATTGTACAGTGTTGACAATGAGTTACTGTGTATGCATTGTACAGTAAAACAGTCAGTTTCGCCATTCTCACATTCAATATTAGAGCCGGCCACTAGAGAATTCAAAGGTCATGCGGTGACTTAAGTGAGTCAGTAGCTGCAGCATCAAACAAAAACATTTAGCAGGCGATATTTTTTATTGCATAATGTGCTCGAACATAAGACTTCATGCAATGTGTGTTTCTTATAAAACACTATGCAATGCGTATTCCTTCAGCTTTAACACTGAAACACGAGCGCAAGACATTCAAAGTGCCCAACGGTTCTGCAAGTTAACTGTCGTGGCATACGCTATATATTTTGTTACATAGCGTAACCTAAAATTTTTATGCGAGTACTACGGTCCCGTGGACAACATAATAGTAAATATTAAGAACAACAAGCTGTAGCCAACGACACCACAATTGCAGTCAATGCAAGAAACCAGCTGGTACGAACCTTGACAACCCCAACGCTTGTACTGTATCGTTGAGAATAGCATATTCCAGAAAACTAGTGATGAATAATAATATGGCAGAGAGGAAGAAACTTTTGGTTTTATTGGAATTTGGCGTACCAGTAGTAATTAATATTGTTTCTTTGACTCCTAGAAGTAGGATATTGTAACACATTTTATCTTTCAATTTCTGAGACCTCTATTAAGCAACAAATGTAAAGGATAGTTCGGCAAAATTAATGCTAACGTAGAATTATAAATTACTTTGGCTGAGGCTGCTGTTACACATTGCTATTACGGAATCAGGTTTCAGAATTCATTACAATTACAAAACCTTTAATGACTCCAAGTTCTGTAATTAAAACTTAGTAATAATTTCATATTTCCAAGGTTTATATAAGAAAAGTCGTCCTTCTTATTTTTAGCATCTCAAGTGGTTTGTTTTCCTTTTTTTGCCCCCTACTGTACAGATAGATACACCTTCTCGTTCGCTTAATTTAGTTACCGCACCCTTCGCGGTAGACGATCGTCTTGTAGCCGCGGTAAATAGATTCACCTTTTTGACTTTTATTACCGATGACCAGCCACATAACAGCACGTACAGTTAACTGCCCTTCAGATTGATCCTATTTCCATTACTAAAATAACTGCTGAGGCGTACACTGTTCCGGGAAGGGACAATCTGGAGCGCTGATGAATCAGATCAGATTCATGGATTTTACCAATTATAATGCCCTAACCAATCCCCCCGTCGTGGCTGTCGCGGTACGGTTAATAATCTAGACAGACGCGCGGCATGCACATCGACGCTGATTAATATCAGCGTACACGGCCACTTCACGCAGTAATCTCTCGGGGCCCTCATCGACGCCAATCCCATCCCACTTCCGTAAATCCCCACTGTCTGTCGACTGTACCTTTCACACCGGCAAAAACGCACCGCGTCAGTATTAACGCATTCTTGCTGCATCCGCAAAGGCGAACATTCACATTTCTGCTTCGCTAGTTTCCGCTTTTTGACCGTTAACCAGAACCCTAGAAGTTGAGAAGTTAGATATTAGAAAGGTCACCGCTGCGTGTTGCACGATTGTTGTTTTATATACTTGATTACCGCGTATATTAGCTACTTTTTTTATTTCCTGCTTATTATATTGTTATCTACTCGAACTAAACCAAGCTAATAATGAATACGTGGAAGAAGCGCCTGAACTTTACCAGCGACATCTCGCAGGACACGGAGTCCGCACCGTTGCCGTCCACCAGCACCATCAATCCGCGCAACCCCCGGGCCAACCGGCTGTTGCACCAGCGCTCAGCGGAGCCGCACACGGAATGCGCCCGACTGAATCAGCGTTCCATGTCGTTATCCGCCGATCCGGCCATGACCACCGGTCTGCACCCGTCGCTGAGCGCTCTGGCCACCAGCGCCATGTGTCTGCAGCGCTTAATTGCCGCCGGCAGCGCCCTGATGAGTGTGGGGAAGATTGTCGGCAATGTCATCCAGCCGACACGCACGGAAGTGGCCTGCCGGAAACTCCACTTGGTCTATTCATCGCGCACCGACGAGTACAAACGCCTGACGGATGCCTCACGTCACGGGATCAAAGGTCAGCTGTGCAGTGATCTCGACCTAGCACACCGGCGCGTGATCTAGTGTTTTATGTACATTGTATATATCCTGTATATATCCGGCTTCCGGATGCAGTGATTGGCTGCTCATGAGATCATTGTTGTATTGTTGTATAGGCTGGAAGAATTTGGTGTATGCGGAGAAGAACATGGAATTGGTGACGGAGCACCGTTACATGGCCGGGAGTGATGTGGTCCGCGTATTCTTGGCACGCACGCCGGGGTCCAAGTCGGCATTTCTGCAGTGGAATTTCGATTTGTCTTTTACCGGTAATTTTTTGCTTTTCAATTCTTAAAAATTCTAACGCTGAGTATATTTGTCATAGCTGCTAGTAAATCAGCATAAATTTTAAGAGCTACGTAGACGGTTTTACTTTTGAAGTTGCTGATACTACGTACGGTTTCAATAAAATTGTTAACCATCAATAAAATAATGTTGTTTTGTAACGACAACCATTAATCGAATACATACGTATACCGGACAAGACTGAGAGTTTCAGGAGCATCAACCTTTTCTACTTCTGGAATTTCAGTTTATAAAAAATCGAATAAAATAAGAAAAATGTGTACTCTTAAGAATATCTGATATCTAGAAGGTTAATATAATTTGTATTATAAGTGTATAGCTGCACGCGTTGTTCGGTATCAAAGAAATGATGTTGTCGTTAATGAACGCCATTGCACTACAATACCACACTTACAGTTGTTAGAAAGCACGATTGAGCAGTGGTGTTTGCGTTCGTTTACTTTAGTAATTCGCATCTTCACAATAACGATCACAAAAGCGGGTTTGCAATGTTTTTCAATAAAAACAGAGAATGTGTTCTTTTCCTGTGAAAATATCAGTAAATATTTTGGAAAATGTTATTGCAGAGTGCACTCATAACCATAAATATATTATTTAATTAAATATCATACGAAGCGTGTCGATTTAGTCAGTTTTCCGGCTTAATTAATCATAAACCGAAACTTACACTACTGGCAGCACTACTGGAAGTACAACATTTCAACCAACATTAGTGTTGTTTTTAGTAACCATAATTATTACTTATTTCGAACTAGAGGTTTATATCTGCAGATGTAAATCATACTGTAGTAATTATGTGGGTTACATGCTGCACTACGAAATATGTATTCAGATCCAGACTGTTTCTCCGGCTTTACAACAAAATATATAATTTTTTAAAAAATATCGCGCCAGTCCGGGCCAATGCCGGTTTGCAGTACTGGTAGATTTTCTACGCCCTATTGCCGTTGCCCGACACAAAACCGTAAAAGCACGATTTAGGAAAAAAGTACTCGTATCTGGCTTCCCCACGAGGTGCTTGTTTACGCTAGGCACCAATAAAGCGACATTTCATTAATTGAATCACAACACATGTACTTTACTTCCGTCCCATTCTCTAGGCATGCGCATCAAACGCTTGATGATCCGCTGTCAATATGAGATCTTCGATGACGGTGCGGTGAGTTTTTACCTCACCAGCGACGAGCACACCAGCAACCAGCAGATTGTCCTCTTTGGCACATCCGAGAATCTCAAATGCATACCGGAAGCGGTGGGCTGGTCACGCTTTACCCTGACGGCGGAGCTATCCTGTCGGCGCGGCTCCTGTACCTTCAAGCATTCACAGCTGTGCTGTCAGCCGCAACGCACGAAACTCCTGGAATCCAAAGCGTCCAAGTTCCCCATGGTGGTGAAAATCTGGTTTGATCATCCCTCCAGTCCACGTGTATAACGCTATCTTGGTTTATATATGTTTTAACGATATAGTGAATATGTGGCAGATTTAAAAAGGTCATCACCATTAACTGTAAATAATTGCTTGCTTTTACTAGCTTGTATATATAAAGATTTATCCTTATTATAAGATCCTTATTTCAACTCCGTAGGAGTTATTTTATATTTTATATCACGGGTGTGTGTCAAAAATTAAAGCTTGTGTGGTTTTATTAAAAGGTCACGAGTATGCGCACATGTTAATGTCAACTTCGCTCAAAGCGAAGACAGCGTTCACTTGCTATACGTTAAAAGGGAGAAAATAACTGCGATTTTCCGGAAAAAGCCGAACTTCTTGGCGGTGTAATAAAATTTTTAATTGGGACGACTTTCTATCTATCCGCTTATTCGTAGCGAAATGTTAAGCCCTGCAATTCGGGCCGTTGCAGGTTCTTATTAATCCAGTCATCGACTTGCTTGTTCTGCTCCTCACTGAAATGCACCTTCCAGTTGCCAACTTTCCCTACAGAAAACAGTGCACCAGCTTAGAGATCACGGGACATAAGACATAACGGTGGCCTACGTAAGCCGGGATTCATTAGGGTCAACGCCGCGTACCGGCACGGATGAACGGGGATTTGTTGAAGTCGAAATAGCCACGTGCTCCCACTTTGGCCTTATTGACGGTCTCGTTGTTTTTCATCTGGTCGAAGGCGCATTCGTAGTAGATTTTGTTTAGCTGGTCCTCGGTAAAATCCTTCCCCAGAAATTTACTTAATCTTCGTGCCACACCAATAAAATCCTGGAAAAAAATAACTATAAATGGACTTTCATAGTCAGCACGTTGTGAGCTTGTAGCGATCTGTACGTATGTGGTTGAGGTCACTCGTGGAATTTACCAAAGCTGATCGATCCGACCTCTTTTCGACTTTCAGAAAAACTATGATTCGAGGTTTCTACAGAGTATGCACGCTGTACAGATATTAGTAACAGAAGAGTAAGCAATTGCGCAAGTACCCAAAAATTTGGAAGCAATGCGTTGTGAATTTGCGAAAAATTGGTTTTATTTACTTTATTAACAGCGCTAATTCTGATAATTACTGTACAACAATAAATTTTTTATCATTACTGTAATTTGGCTGCACCGATAAAGTTCCGTTACTGCCAAATACAGAGTACTGTATTTAGTTATTATGCAGTAAATCAAAGGAGATACGTAGATACTTACAGGTATACAAAAATTATTAACCGGTCAATTTTTATGCCCAGCGACCGACATGTAAGACTACACGCACGCACGCGTTTACCTGGCTCATTTCTTCGAAACTCGTGAAGAATATATTGGGATTGGTATTCCTGCGTGACCAGTAGCTGGCTGCATGGTCGAAGAAGGGTCCGTACATGACACGCTCTTCCGTGAAGGAGTTGATGATTTCCTGCAGATCCCCGTGATACTGCATAGGGTAGTGTGACCGGAAGAAGTGGTACATGGACACAATCGTGTCCTTGGGATTACGAATAACGAACACGATCTGCGAGAAGAAAAAGTAGGATACGTGAACCAGTTGCGCAATGATGACATACGAGTATTGTAACAAAGTTTGCGTGACATAAAAATATTGTGATTAATGATGATGATTCACGCATGACGTACTTGATTTGTAGCCCAATGTGGATAAAAATTTGGCTAAATTAATATTACTAAAGTAAGTACTGTGTTTAGGCGCACGACACGTGAAAAGTAAAAAGAAAAGTGCGCTCATAAAAACAAACACAAAATTTCCAAAAAATGCAGCTAAAAACCGATGTTTTTGGTTCGCCTTAGGTTAGCAGAAATTAACTATCCACTGCAAACCGCAAGACAAATAAATTTACATCATTAACTGATATATTTGAGCCAAAATAAAAATAAACCTAAAATGTTGTATTTAAAAGGTACCCTGTTCAATTTTGTTAGCATACATAGTCGCAAAGATATAATTTTTGAATATTTGGACTGTTTTCCGCAATATCAGTAACAATCTTGTTGATTTTATTCTTTGTCTGATGTTAATGATAATGAAAACTAGCTATGCCCACAAAATTCGTTATTTTGTGCTGCGACTCCGGAGCGCTTCGTGTATTACTAAACCTGATGGTTGCCAAACGTTTTCATTTTATAACATTTTTAATGTTACAGTGATATTTAGTAGTAGTATTTGATGTCAAGTAATACAGTAGAACCTAACTTCGAAAAAAAAGTGATTCATCTCGCCCGCATACCGCTTCATATATACTTGAAGTACCGGTAATTTATTGGCAAGGTTCAGGTACTGTATATACCGCCGCAATAAATGACTCATATATAATACACATAGCTGACCTTGGTTCCACTGGCTTCAATGCTGGGAGGCAGTGCCTCGTAACCGAGATGCGTGAAGAAGGCCCGCCCGGGCGGCTGCTGGCAGAGCAGATCGATGGGGCGCTTGCCGACCGGCATATCGGGATCTGTCAGCTCCAGATAGGGATTCTTCCACTCCAACGACTTTCCATCGTGCAGGCACTGCGGATCAGCATTGTTCTTCATCATCTCAATCACGGCGTTCATCCACGTGGTGCCGCATTTTGGAAACGTGCAGATAGCGATGTCTTCTTTTTTTGCTTGAAATTTCGCGACTTCATCGATGATGGTCCAGAATGGATACGGTACCAGTGTGCCCTTGTACAGTTTCCTGTAAATTCCCATTAATTAAGTCATCATTTTAATAATGTGATGAGCTCATTGATAAATTGCCGGCTACCAGTTTTCGAAGCTGTGTTAATGTTTTTTCATCAAGTTTAGAAAATATTTTAAACTTTTATGATAAAGGATCAGATTTTCCGAATCAATGCGCACAAGTAATAACCACATAATTCTGTTACATCTATCCAAGTACCCTAAAATTAATACATTAAATAATTTAAATGTAAGCACTATATAAAACAAATATTGCAACTGGAAGTGGAAGAGCTAGAGAAAATATTTTGTCGCAGAAATATTTTTGTTTCTGTGCCACTTAAAATTTTTTCGTTAAAATATTTTACGTTTTAAAAAAAGTTTTAAAATTGCCATCACACCTCAAGGGATATGCAATCATGTTGTCGTATAAATGGTAAAATAATTTTTACTACAACTATTATACTTTTGAAAAACTGTAACAGGCTATTTATTGCAAAATATTATGTTAAGTGCTGTGAGCCAATTACCGTGCATTCGCTGATTTCAGATTTAATGAAAATGAGGCGGAAGTAACTTTGACGTTAACAAATGTGATTTGTCACTGCCACAATGAAGAACGACACTTATACGTACGTCCAATCAGGATGATGATATCCGACCGGCCACATTTTCACCGGCGCGGGAGCGGCGACAGGGTTGTCCGATTTCTTTTCTTCGTGTTCCGGCATAATTTCAATTTCGATTCCCCAGTACTGATCTAATAATAGCGGCTGTTTAAACGAGCCAACGAGACCTCGGTTAATGGCAACGTAGTTCGAGCGGCGAAGCCAAATGAATATGCTTCCGTTCAGTCCGTAAAAAAAAGCGATTTTTCGCGTCAAACTAGACTAGCTTGGCTTCGGGCAACAGATGAGTTCACATATATTTCGACAATTATAAGGGCGTCTGGTATGCCCGGCAGCGATTAACAAGCCGGTGCTTTCTGAGTTACTTAAAAATGTAGCATGGTGTTCAGCTGCAGTTTAGCTCTAATGTTTTAAAAAAATCAAAATTAACAGTATCAGATTGATTGCATGACTGTAATGGCCTACGTGATTTGTGTGTTGATTTTTTGTAAGAGTTCTACAGACCACGAATAGTACAGAAGGATTATATCAAGTAAAAAAACCGTATTAATTACCTAGAAGCATAATTTAATATAAAAAATGAATGCTAATCCTAAAATGGTGGTTGCCGCCAACAGTTTTGGTTATTCCTTTAATGTTTAAATTTGAGAATCACGTTAAATACCGTAACTATCTCCAGGCATAAAAAGAAGCGTGAATTTTTAATTATATAACTATAATGGTTCGATATCTGAAACAGTAATTAAAAACTACAGAGTATATTATGATGTTGCACACAATATAGGTAGTACATTGATATTTAAATTTCTGCCGATCTCAAGCCCGGACCGGAAATCACGTGTGGCTTTTTGGTATAAGACGATGGTACACCTACTGTTTTACCTGGCTTTCGGAAAGAACTCATCAACTTCTCAAAAATTACCAAAGGGAGACCTTCGCGACCTTCACTGGTACACAAAGTTGATGCTGTATATAGTCGAACCCGGTTAAACGATGCCGTGTCCGTGATAAATCTTATTTAAAATTCCTAATGTCCGGTACTTTTTTTAGTGAATGGAGATTGCTTTTCGCCGGATATCCCCGACACCGCATGTACAGATACATCCGGCACCTGCTTTACGACTGTCTAGCTATCGATTTTGAAACGCAGCAGGTATCTGTATGCCTACATACTGTTAAACTTCCGCAAAATTTTATTTTTCACTGCAATACTATATTATAATTATTTAGAAGGTTTAATTACGACGTGCACCGTGCGGATATTAGATTCAAGAACATTTTTCTCTGAAAACCTTGGAATGACCCGAAGAAAGTTATTAAGTATAAACTCAGTTTTTGTTCTGTATCGGTTTAAAATTAGCAGTTACCTTTCTCTCAAGACGCACGCTATCTACCGATTAGGCATTGGAATTCCGTGTAAAGTTTTTTATATCTCGGATAAACTTTAGACCTAATAATGATGCGCTAGTAAATAGTTACCAACAAGAGCATATGTTGCGCCATTTTCGGTAAATGTCAACGACACTGACAACAACTGCAGCATCTGGGCGCTCTCGCCGCAACTCTCCTTAGCGCGGACTCGTAAATCGATATTAATGAAAGACATTATAAAACGCAATACATATGTCCTGGATACCAGAAAGTGGTCCAGAATAGACGCGTCGCGAATAAAAACCCCGACACACACGAAACGGTCCCCTTAGGGGCATTGGTCAAGGGATCACGCCAGCCTGACGTCAAAGCCACAGGTTATATTCCGCGGAATACGCTTGTGGTGACGGAACTTTACTTCCTGATTCAAAAAATGGACTGATTCTTTCACCCACATTTGGCACATTAAACATCATTACATGGTAGTTTACGCAGAGATGAAAATTTAATGGCACTGTATTGTGGCATTAATCCTATTTTTTTCGCACAAACAAAAATAAGCCGCTCCACAGTAAATCGGTTTGTATACTGCACATGTTATACATGTACGATACACTACAATTTTATTCACAATTAATATATATATACAGAAGTATACGAAGTATATAATTTTATATTCGGCCAGATAAGTTAATTAATTTTATAACAAAATACAGTGGATTTATTCTGGGTTTATTAAAGCTTTCGAAACGATAGTAACGTAATTATCTGCATATCACAGCATGTGTACAACAGTTTTTGTCCTTGCATAACAAGCGTTAGCAGGTGGGCTACACCGTTAGCATCATTATTGCATTATTAGTAAAAGCAACAAAAACTACAGCTTTATGATCGAGATAACTCTAACGACATGCCATTACTGAAATCACATCACCAGAAAAAATACCGGGACGATTGCTGCTGAGCGATAGCCTTTTTTTAAATTGTCTTAACGACACCGAAAAACAAGCGATCCGATGCTGTAACTAGTAAGTACCTCTGTCATACTCATGCTAATTGGAAAAGTGAGGCGATTACACTGTGCAACCACCTGCACATGCCGGCGATTAGGGAGAACATAATGGACAAATGGCGGGATTTTGATCGAAGGATATAAAATGACGTCACATCCGCTGAGGATTCCCTGATCGCTGGTGCCCGGGCGCCACATATACCGGCGTAAAAGGCGAATCGATTTCCACATACCGCCTCTTCTCCATCACGTTTTCCCACACTATGTACCGTAGTACTACGAACATCTGTCGTGCCCCGGAATTCCTCTGTGCGGCCTTTTTACGTCTGTCCTTTGGAGCCGGCATTTCAACAATGATTGTAACTTCTCAAACCTTTACAGACAGAGTCAACAAACGTGAGCGTAGTGTTTTGATCTACTGGTCGCCGGCGGAACAATGACTTTCGTGAGTAACTATTTGGTCAACGCTTCCCATTGGGCAGTGACACAGTGGAATATTAACGGCAGTGCGGTCACTTCGCCACTGCTCGTCTACAGTGATCGGGATCCGCGCGAGGATGAGTGGTGGCTGCGCGTCACCTTTGTCGTCTTCATGGGGATATTATCCGTAACCGGCAGTATTGGAAATATTTTTGTAAGTGCGCATATATTCTAGGAATATTATTGCTGTTACAATGAAGTATTATGTGTTTTTTCAGTGTACAAAATTTAGAAATTCAAAAACGACATTGCTGGTAATGTCAATGTTTAAACAAACACTGCGACCTTACGCGTGTAATCTCAAAATGCGCTCATTTAATTAAATTATCAGGATAATCAGTATTGAAAATATATACAGTGAAAATATATACTTTTTGGGTTTGAATGCCTTTTTTATTTTTACGAACAGCACACTCGGATTTCCAAATGCGTTGATAAGAAATCATGATACATATTTTCTCTCTCATACGATGGCCACATTTTGCCAGGAAATTAACTTTTTATAAAACAATTTCATGTGCAAGATTTTCGGTAACCGTATGGTACCCACCCGTGAAATTGGAGAACGCAAATTTATGGAAAAAATATTATGTAACCCAGACAGAGGATGTCGTATTTGTGATTTGGTTGACGATGCGTAACCAGCTGATTGCTGATTTGGATTTCCAAAAGAAATCCCGGCTAGTTGTTCGTCAGTATATGTGCATATAAACCGCATATTCCTGTAGTATAACCTAAGCAGCAATTACGTTGTCTCGATTATGTAACCACAAATGCATGTAGCGCCCAGAGGACACCCTGTAATAAGTAGCTACCGTTTAATGCATCCATGCAGCATGTAATCAGCATGGACCGCATCTTCAGGGAATTTGTGGCTGGGTCGCTGTTTAACGGATGTTGCATTAAATGACGTTACTTGAAATGGCATGTTCCAGATACCGCGGCGTTCGGTACCTGTGTACCGACAACCCGGTATTCAACACAACGACGGCATATCTTTGTAAGCTAGAAATAACTGAATGCGTGCATAATCGGCGATTATTAGCCATAAAATCCATAAATTATCCTGTGATGCAGTGAACTGCATTGATCAGGTCAAACTCGTGTACATAACGATAGTTGTTGACCGAGACCGATCCGAATTTCCGCTACTAGTAAACAGCTTTTGCTTCGCGTGATATACATATAAAAAAAACTGTTCAAGATTTGCGGTCTCTGCATAGACGTACGGGTAGATATATTATTGATAAGGAATATCGAACAGGTGGTCAACGATCACCAGTACGCTTTAAAATGCTCCACATCTAGAGAGAATCGCATCATTAGACGTTGTACCATAGACAGCTTGATTGATTCTCAAGTACTCATGTAATCCAGTGCACCACAGGTGCGGTTAACCTGATCTTACGTAGATGATTTCAGAGAGCTGTTGTCTGCACTCTCCAGGTATCTTGTGAACTATTTATACGTCTGCTACATTAATGCTAATGAGGAAAGCGCATTTTCATTCACGTGTCAGACCGGACAGCTTTTGAAGAAACAAATAAGACTGCGAATGGCAAATTATAGTGACGCATTTCGCTGTGGTACTCGTAATATGGTGAATAAAAAATCATAATATGCTTTTGCAATTCGAATGTTTAAGTTGGTATTATCGGGCCAGTCAAAAAAGAGCCGGCAAGTGTATTTGCTGAACATAAAAAAGCTAATCGACTAAAATGACTTATACATAAAGTAGTTGAATTTGACTGACACGTTGAACAAAACACGAAACCATTTGAGCCAAATTAATTGAGAAAGTTGATCTTTTTTTCTGGGAGTGTGCAGTGACTAACCAAGCTTGACGGTTTACTCTGTATTGACGGTCCCACCCACACTGACAATCAGGATATGCTTCTTTAGATAAAAATATCTTATAATTCCGTTAAGGAGCTTAACTGAGAACTGAAAGAAAAACCGTTTCTTTGTCGCGTGATCTTCCTGTATGCGAGTATGCTGGGAACTTTGCTCATCAGCTAGTACCATAGACAGACTTGCGATTTGTATTGTATTCTTATTGACCGAAAGGCTTGTTGACCGCCTAGCCACATCGTGAAGACACACAACACCGCAAACCATTGGAAAAATTCTGTTGAAACCCCCATTACAAGCCATCAGAAATGGCCTCTTAATAAGAACTCACTGTGATATCCGTCCAGTGACCTTTCACATTTGCTATAATAGACGTCTTTAATCTTTTTAAATGCGTAAAAAAGTAGGATGTAATAAACCGAAAATGATTAATTTTACACGGTATCGCATATCCGTTGTATTCGTGTATAAAGCCTGTGAGTGCCTTGAAATGGAACGCATCTTCTTAGCCACTGTTCTACAATACTTGTATCTCTCGTGCACAGGCAGTCTCAAAACGTACCCTACCGTAGTCTGGATCTGTTTGCTGGCTTTTGAAAAACGAACGATTGTGGTGGCAATAAGTCTGCCGTAACGTTAACACCGCTCCTGATATTGTTTACGATTATATGATATGTGCCGGTAATGTTCTTCTGAATCCGGAATAATGGAATGGGGATAGCGGTTTTCCCATCTGTCAACCACTTAGGTATCCTTCCTTATCGCGCCTCCCAGGACCATTCCACCAATTGTAACATCTTTTGCGGGCTGCCATTGTCTTCTGATAATACCTGATGTTCGCCTGCAGCGCCGCCTTTCAAACCTACACTACCGTGCAGAGACGTCTTCTTATGGCGCCTGTATGCACGAATGCTGGAGCGCCATGACATCAACTACGTCACGAAAGGGTGTTTTATGTGGTACGGTTTCGGTACGGGTCGATCGCGGTCAAAAGGGGCCGTGTCGGATTTCGCCGACAATCGGCCGATTCGGCCCATTCCTATAATGCAATTTATAGTTATGAATGGTGGTATAGAAATGCCGGCCAGTGTCATACTTTTGGGACTCGTACTTTTTTAAAAAATGGAAATATAATTTTCTAACTATGTATGTACTGTAGTATGAGCACGCGACCTGACTGGCGCTACAATGCTAGTGCAACAAAAATTGCATGCGGTCGTTTGTCTGGCGCCGTAAAACTCACTAATTAGTGAGTTTCGTAAAATGGGCAAAATCCTTATGGCATCAACAGCGAATCCCAGATATTTGCCATATTTTCTTTTTGAAGCCAATCCAATCGGTAGTTACAGTCGAATATAATCATGGAATCGAACTGCAAACTTTACATAAAAAGGTCATGTCAAATAATTCGATAAAAGCGGAGGTACGAAAGCGTGGTATATATGTACATACCTTGTTTGCATTCTTCAGGTTTGTTTTAACCTTCATAAATTTCACTCCTCTACATTTCAAATATATGATTAATCGTAAATCTGACTTAATCATATACAGAGTACATTCGTGGTTCGACGTGCTGTAAGCTAATGATTGGATGAGGTTGAAAGTATCAATATTCAATAATGATTTACGGGAATAATCACTGAACGTTTCAAACCATATTGTATGCGCACAGGGATTGTACCTTACATCTACGTCACTGCGGCAATAGCATACATCAAACGTTATCCCAGCACCAGGCTTTAATTGGTTTACTTATTCTCTTAGGTGATATTTTAACAGTGCATGCGTAATCAATACACCGTACTGCCACACCGGAAACGGCATAAGTTTAATGACTATCAAGCTCGTAAAATGAGCACCCTTTTCCCATGTTGATCCAAGAAATATATCTACCCTGGATTGCGCACACTGAACCCCGGTTCCCCGGTTTTCCCATCTGATTACTGGATACTTCCCGCGAAGTCTTTCCGGTACGGTGTTCGCCGCTTTGTATACCAGGGTGACACTGTGTGTTTGTCTACGCATCGCACTGTAATGTAAGAAAAACAGATAGATAGCACCATTTGCGCCACAAATCTCCTCAAGTGCACTCTCTCCAATCAATACGTACACACAGAACAGCGGTCCCGCCCACCTCATCCGCCGGGGACATCGCAACATCTGGGAGAGAATTGCATTTTCGCTTAATACTGGTACTAAGTGTACTTCTATATAAGCTGCACCATTGCATCATGTATTCCCCGGTCGCGCGATTGTCCCGTCATAAACAATGATCATGACGCGCGCCGGTTGACAAATCTCGCTTTTTTCAACAGTCGCTTGATCGGTCATCTTCTGGCAATCACCTCCCGTGGCGACTGAGCGTCGGGTTGCTATGGCGTTCACGTATCCCGTGGTGCCCTTTATCACACCGAATCATACATTAAACACCACCGCCAACCAGTCGGCGGTGCCGTACGGAATCGTCTATAGTGCCGTTCCGCCGCATGATGATCAGTGGTGGCTGCGGGTGACCTTTGTGGTGTTTATGGGAATATTGTCGGCGTTCGGGACGGTGGGGAATCTGTTTGTAAGTTGTAACGATTTCTATGTATATATTACGTAAAACGACCGGTCACACGGCGTTGGTTAATGCCGCATAATCAATATTGTCTGGGTACGGTCGTTACTGACCTGAATTTTTGTGTCGATTTAGAGGGAAGCCGGCGCAGTGAAGCTGGAGAAAATAATGTACATTAGCTGAATATGTAGATTAGCTCTCAGCCTTCATTAACATGGCTTTTATGGTGTCTGTTGTTTTGTGATGCATCAACGCCGGCGCGACCAGACGGGGTTTCCCTAGTGTCGGCAACACGTGCTGTCGAGTTGATCGATTGACTTGTCGATCGGATTTCTCGCCAAATCTGTTATAAATCTAGGGACGATAGAAAAAACCGTGATTCTTACTAAAATGCCTTTGCTGTGTCTCATTGGTTGTGTGTACACGTGCCGAACGTGATTAAAATTAGCGTATACATACGTGATCAAATTCCGCACAGTTTAATTATCATCTCAGTCTTTTTAAATTTCAGTCGGAATTCATGCAAATATAGTGTCTACCTTTCTTATTTAATTTTGTATTATATTTCTTCTCAATTGATTGTAATATAGCGGTGTACACGCGCTAAAAACAGAAGTTGGAGTTATCAGTAATAAAACTCCATAAAATATTCTCTATATATTCCATACTGAGTGATGCATAATTGGTAAATAATAAATACCTTGTTATGTGTTGACATATAAAACGTTGCGCTGTGCATAAGCCAGAAAGTCAGTATATTTTGTTCTCTTCATCGTGCAACCTTGCACTCATTTCCGGTGAATTTTTACCGGGAACGGATGCACCGACAATCGTGTATTTATATGCGGGCATGCACAGAGAGTATACCTGTTCAGATCTTAAGTTTGCAATACAGCAAAAAACAGCGTAAACAGGATTTCCGCGTGGGTCTCCTTTTTGTGCAGTGGATCAGCGCTCTCGTCGACCGGAAATGTCGGTTTACAGTACAAGACATGACCGCGGGGCCTGCCCTGTCTAATCTCATAATTCATCGTGATGATCCTCCTGGTGTGATCAGTGAGCGCTTAAATCACAACCTATCCAACAACATGAGCCGGTTCTTTAATGTCCGCCCATATGCGTACGTAGGTATGTTCGACATGCTCATTGTTGAAAAAAGAGACTTGATCTTGTCTTCCGTCCTTCCTAGATACTTTGTAGTTGGGTTAGTCGAAGAAAGTGTATTCTATCACGAGACACTACGTAAGCGTATACGATAAAAAGCCCTGCGCGCTGTACGGATTCTGCAGACTGAGTACAGAATGTTCGGTCATGGTTGCGTGCATATGGCGGCACTTATATTACAAATATTTTTAGAAGTTTTTCTCGAATGTTGGAAATCTTGTAGCCTGCAGTTTTATAAAATTTGTCATGGTGTTTTATTTCAAAGATGTGACAGCCAAATTTATTTATAGCAGTTTTCAAAACCCAGTCTACTATTTCTTATGAGGATACTAAAAATTGATCGCTCCAGAAAAATAATAGTTAGATACGAAGATACGAATAACTTAACATATGTCTTTAATTTACAATTCTCATATCCTTTGAAACAGTTTTAACATGAAAAACAGCCGGCACTGATCGTGAATTCACTACTCTAGCGAAAAAACGTTCGCAGAAAAATTGGGACATGTTGTTGCACACAATTAATCCCGATAATAAACCGCTAAATGATTATTGACGAGATATTAGCACAAACATCCTTAATCACCGCCTCCTTCCCGCTTCCGCTTGAGGACATAATGAGATGGAGGTAGCACATAACAAACAACGGCTGTCGTGTAATCTACATGGTACATATTGATACATTTCAATGTCAACGAACATCCGTACCGCGAAGGATAGGAAACTGTGCAGCTGTGCAGCCTTCGATCCAAAATATGTTGACCATTGTTGCTCAATTAGTATTACGGTGTTTAATTTTATGCACACTAATATTTTTTCTCGAAATAATAAGATTAACAACGATGGCATAAATAATAAGATTAACAACGATGGCATACCGGATGTTATGGAGAAATTCATGAATTATCCAGACTATAATTATTGCTGTGCCGGTCCGGATAATCGATCAACATCTGCTGCAGTAATTCGGCAAAAGCTGTTTGTAACAAAATCATAAAAATTATATGAGTTGCGAATGTTGGAATATCTGTAACGTGGACTGCAAGATTTACAACATACCTAGACCATAGTCTCAGCTGTGCAATCATATGATGCTCGTATACAGTCAAACTGAATATTTAGCAAACTAATGTTATGTAAATTGTGCAGAGCAGTAACATAAATTTCACCCGGCATATAAAATCTTTTAAAGTAATTTTTCTGTCCAGGTACTTGCAGATTAGCAGTCAGTTTGTGAAGTTGGGAATTCTACGAGGTATAATACAGATTCACATATACCAGCACAAATATATACGGCTATATGCACGCACCGTAATTTTCACTAGAGTAGTACTCGTAGTTTTGTTAATTAACAAGTAAGAGCGTGGTGCAAACGGTCAAAATTTACCGTTTACACATATTTGTGAAGAAACGCTTATAGACACTATGTAAATTTTAAAAAACTATTTTCAGCAACATGAATTTGTTGTACAACTTCCGGTATTCTAAAGCAAAAAAAGTCATCCACCGGTCCATGCACTGGCAGATGTATTGACTTTACGATCAGATGAAATCTGTACAAATTACTATAACGCCCCGTCGACAATCGTTTTCATGCTTCGCGACGTACGTAAAATGCCGACTTTTTTCCGTGGTAGCTATCTGTTCCTAATAGGCTGAATCAATAATCGAATTAGCCTAAAGTGTTGTTGATAATGTCGTGACGAGCTGTGTTAATGGGGATTTCATTTCCGGATGGCAAGCGGTAAAAGTGCAGAAGATTGGTTAACGGCGAAAAAAATCCGCTACGCGTAATACAAGCTTGTTATCAAAACTACCACTATATATCGCATTTTCGCTAATTTAAAATAGCACTTATTTTTTGTTGATCTTGTGCGTTGGATATGTGCTGTTACCGCGTGATATTGTGACGTCAGTCCGCTCTAATCTGACCTAGCGGGCAAATGTGAATCCTTGAAAGGAAAAAAATTGGAAAAAATCACACCCGGTGTACTCACTCGTGTACCAAATCTATAAGAAAAATAGTACAATCAGTATCTGTGCCATATTCTTGTATTATGATGCAGCGATAAATTATCGGATATATCACGCTTATGCGCTGATATAGACGAGTATTGACCGGGAACGCAAAGGTCATACAGCCAAGGGCACAATCGGCAGCAGGCAGGCCCAAAATCTAATGCGGCGGAATACTATTTTGAGGAATAATGAAATTTCCGATACGTTTCGAATCTTTCGATTATCATAATCAGTGATCAATATCGTTAACGCTATGTGCGCTGAAATTTTTCGAAAGCGGTTGTAATGCCAGCTAGTGACGTCAAAATACTCTAAATAATCGGTTTATACTTTATACCCGTATCTTGAATGTACACACTTTGAGAAAATATGTACTGTTACCGGCATGTTAAAAACCTGATAGTTCTTTTGCTGAATCGATTTTGTGTGTGCAGTTTTGTTTCCAATATATGTAATTTTATCCCTGCATTTTTTGTACTTCTGCAAATTTCCAGTAGTTTTGAGCAAATAACGTAGTACGACGGCTTTAGCCTTTTACACTTAGCATTAGTATCGCAGTATGTAGTGGACAGTATCGCGCACTAGAAGCCAAGATGACATATTTTATCGTTTTTTTTAAATATATAGTATGCTAGAATTTAATCTGATCTCTGCATAATTTATTTCAGCATTTGTTTAACGCCTTTAGTGCCCTTATTCATGTTTTTTTCTCGAGGATTTTTAAGCTATTCACAAATCTTGCCTGTTTGTGTAATACAAAATTGTTTGTCACAGAACTTCGCATAAGCATATGAGATATCGATCTTTTTTTTTGCAGGTAATATGTTCGATTTTATTGGTCAAGGAACTGAGGAAAGTGAAGAATTGTTTTATCCTCAATCTGGGCATCAGCGATCTAACCATCAACGCCATTAGTATGCCGATAAATATCATCGGTAAGCACACCCTACATGTCGGCCACGCCGGAAACGGCATGATTTAAAAACGCAAGAAATATTTCCAGAAAATACAAAAACCTATTAATACAAATTAATGCAAAGAGGAAATTGCTGGCAGGTGCACTACATGCCGGATCCTACTGGTATGGGAGAGATTCCCTCTGCACCTTCGTCTCCGCCATCTGCATACCCGGATGCTCCAGCTCCCTGTATTCCATCGCCGCTATTGCCTTTGAACGGTACGTATATAAACGTGTACTGTTGCACATATCAACGTTACTCACGCGATTGCCTTTTCGATAATCTACACTCATCAAGGATAATCATAGCAATCTCAATAATTAATTAGTAAGCGCCGGCGTCTAAGCATCAGCCAGTGTACGCCGTCGTGAGAAAAACTGACCTTTCTGCAACTGTAATCAATTTACAGTGGGTTGTGCCCAGCTGAATATAACGTGACTTTATACCACGCTAAAGGTTACTGGAATTGAGTACAATATCCATATCACACAACGTACCATCAAATACGCAGATCTACGATGTTGTCAGGTCAGCGGTGCGCACACACTCGCCGCGGGAATTGTTTGTGACCGACATGTGAGCGCGGTAACGATGTGGTAGAGTACACAGGTCTTACTTCTGACCTTTAAATAATTGGCTTATTTTCTCCTGGTGAATACCGCTAATTACACAACCGGCATCGCTGCAAGTTATTTCCATTCTGGCTGAAAAACATTTATTTACGCGATACGTTAGCACGCCGCACCGGCAAACTGTTAACTACATGTATTAATATAAGAGGGCGACTTTTGAAGTTACACAAGCGTGTTAAATTAGCTGTCTCTGAAGGCGCTTTGCGAAAGGCATGCCAAGAAACACATTATTCAGTAACGACAATAAGTCCATTTTCTTCCAAATTTGTTTTAGTATTTCTTCTACATTTGTTTGATGATTCTGTCTTTTTACAAACCTTTTTGTAAATAAATATACAAGCTAAGCTGGTTCGCCTAAGTAAGTGCAAATGTATGCAAACTGGCAATTAGCCAGAAATAACTGGCTTTGCGAATAGTTTACATCGTATTTTGTCGTAAAGGATTAAATTCTGATAAAATAAAATTGCATTTATATAAAAATGCGGCTTACATCAGTAACATGCATACTTATACCATACATAACGCATTGTGTACATAGTACTTACTTACTATAATTATCATTGTAATGAAATAAAGAGATAAACTATTACTTATGAAATAATTATAAACCATTACATATTACATAACTAGGCAAACTGCATGCCACAATTAAAGACATTACGCATCGCTAACTTGCAAGAACTGCTTGTAAAATTAATATGGTTTGAAAAATTGTCAGTTTGTTCATTCATATAATTGTATTTTTTTCATACGAAACAGGTTCAGATTTTGCAATGATTTTGAGCAAATAACGTAGAACAACGGCTTACAACACCGTAGTACAACGCAGGGTAACGGTAAATAAGGTAGCATTCACGGGTACGGATTTAGTATTTGTACATACAATACAAGATCTGAGTGCATAATTATGTTAAAATATGTTTTTTAAAACAAAAATTACTCTGCAGAGTATGTTAAACATATATTAAAATTTGAAAGGCATTACAGAAAATTCAATGAACGATAAAGGAATTTTTTCCAACAGATATATATGCATTTGCCACCCGGGCTTCCACCACAAACTCTTCACCCTCCCCAACGCCGTCATCATGGTGACCTTACTCTGGGTCAACGCCCACCTCATCCACCTGCCCAACCACATCGGTTGGGGCGACATCTACTACGACGAGAACTTCTTCCTGTGCTGGCTGGATCTGCGCCTGTGGTCCTACTCCTTCTTTTACGCTTCCTACAGCGTCCTCATCCCCATCGGCTTCTCCTTCTACGCCTACTTCAACATCTACTGGACCATCCGCAGTACAAATCTCTCCCGCAAACTCATTACCAAGAGCAGCAGTAAGGGCGAGAACGACACGGAGAAGCAGGCCCGCTCGGCGTGGCTGGAAGAGGTCATGCTGGTGAAGACGCTCTTCCGGTTGTTTGTTATTTTCCTCATCTCGTGGGGCCCGGTGGCGGTGCTGTTCTGCTTTAATAAACTGATCCATCCGCCGCGCTGGATTAATTTATTGGCGATTATGATGGCGCACGGGAACAGCGCCACGAATTCGGTGGTGTATTACTGGTTGAACGGGCACGCGTCGGCGACATTACGGTCGGCACGGACACGGATTAGTAAAAAGCGCGGGGATGTGTACCCGCTGAAGGGCAAGGCCACCGGAGTGACCATGACCCGGGCGTCGGATGTGTCGCGCGGGGAATCCCGCGCCGAGACGAAGATCGGCGAATCGCAGGCGCCGGGGACGCCGGTACGCAAAGCGGCGGAGGATGTATGAGGGCATGGGTGTTGCACAGGACTTCCGATTGCTTCCTTCCAAGATTATACTTGCCACGTAGTTTAATAAAAAAGTGCATTATACGGTGCAGTTATCGGTATTAGAAAATGGGTTATTCTTTAGTTATTATGATACGTTAAAATTTAATATGATTGAACTGTGCTGCTAACGACGATGAATTATTTAGCAGAATAATTATGCAGTAATAGTGTTATTCGCAAAAAATATGACAGAGAACAATCTATGCAAATGCAAGAATAAACGACCGCAAAAAAATACGACCGCCTCGTGTCTACTTTGTCAACCGGGAATTATCAGCCATACAATTAAGCACAAAATCAATGATTCCATTAATTTTCGCTGCGCTAAAATGAATTGCAAAGTTATTCTCATGATTTAAATGCGATCGTAACCAATTAATCACAAAACAAGACAGCACTTTCATTAAGAACTTTATCGGTAAGAAACGTTAGCAACCTTCACAGTCCACGGACAAGCCAATTCCATTTCATCGAAAACCATAAATTAACACAAAATTAATGGAAACGCAAATAACCCGCAAATTCCTGTCAGAAAATGTCGATCAAATATTGTCGAAAACAAGAGAAATTATCAACCGGGGTTACCAAAACTACAAACCGAAAATCCGGAACCAAAGCTGTCAGAATTAACCCCATGACACTTTTTCACTTGCGCACTCCCTCGATTGCCAGCGCCAGCACCTCCTCCTTGAGAAACGGCACCTCCACCGCGCTTCCACCGGGCGGCAGCGGTAATCCCGAATGGAAATTCAACACCGCCGCCGGCACCAAATCCACCTCCATCAACCGGCTTTCCTTATCCAATTTATTCCCCACCGCCGTGGTCAAACTGAAGGGCAATTCCGGATTCACCAGACACTCCTTCAACCACTCCTCCACGGCGGCCACCTTCTCATACGCCCCGAACGTCCCCTGGAGAATCAGCCCGCCCAGCCGGATGCGGAGGACCGTGAAGCGGTATTTGCGCGCCGGTTTGCCTTGCTGCTGCTCGCGTTCCCGCATGGCTTTGGTACGTAACGTCAGGCTCTTGTCCAGCTCCTCCATGCGGCGTTTGTACTCGTCCTGGACTTCCTGCGCGGAGCGGTCAAAGAACTCGTCCGGGAGGTTGAACTGGGCGACGGCGCCGGTGGGGCGGAAGACGCGCAGACCGCGGTCCAGCTCGGCGACGACGGGCTCGGCCTGCATCAGGTAGTCGCGCATGACGGACAGCTTCTCCGTGTCGACGTGATCGGGGAAGAGGACGTAGAAGTCTTCGTCTTTGTCGTCCACCGGCATCGGAATCTATCCATGAATGTGCACAACATTTTGTCAAATTTTATTAAAATAACAGCGCCAGATTGAGTACTTTTAGTCGATAAAAAATTTTAAAAATATTAATAACCACGTCTCTTTATGATGCTCGAAGAAACCATTATTGCGTAAAAGCAAATCAACGCTAGGCGTAAGTAGATGAATACTGTTAAGCCACCATACTACGAAACCATACATCCTACAGCAAATTACTTGATCGGGTTCAGCTATTGTAACGAACGAAATTCTCCATGGAAGCGCTAAAACGCCGTTATTAAATTGCTCATAATATCCACAAAAGCCGATTCGAAGTACTCAACTCAATGTTAACCTTAAATAAAAGGAAAAAAGCTATTGCAACCCCACCTTTTGAAACCCAGCTGCCTCCAAGAACCGATCGGCACAATTCAGACTCATCACCTTCTCCTGAAAGACCCGATTCCCAATGCGAATCTTCCGGTACTTTTCCTCCCCGGGCTCCTTGATAATATTCCCCAGATACCGATCCAATATGTCCCGTCCGGCCTGCAGTTTCTCCGCGTCCTTGTTAAACGTGGCCAGCATCACGGCGCTAGCGATGGTGGGATCGGCCTTCTCCTGCTCCTTGAGAAACTCCTGAATCTTCCGCTCCATCTCATCACGGGGCAGCACAAACGGCCCGATCACCGGGCACCGATAGAACACGCCCTCCACCGCTAATGATGGCAATCCAGCGGCCTCATTCTCCCGGACCGGCTGGGAAGGACCTAGGGTTAAAAAAACACATTTTCGCATGTTTTGTAATTCACTTCACAATGAAACAATTCCTGCACGTGAAAACGGTTTGAAATAAAAAACAAAATTATTTTAAAACTAAAACTATTTAGAACCAAAACAAATGCAAATCCGACTGAACGAAGCTAGAAACAGTAAAACATGAGCAAAGTACAGTGTTGTAATATGCTTGCATTTCTCAATTAATTTGTGTGTCAAAAAGCCAAACAATAATCATTTTATGGTTGTACTGCAAACGATTCAAAACAGTTTTTGCTGTTTTTCTGTCGTTAATCCGAAGCCTTAGTTCTCAGTTTCTATGTGGGTTTTTCAAATAGATTGAACACTCAGAACATTATATTTTTGCTAAAATCTTCAAACTGTAATTTTTTTAAATGAACCTATTTGAATGTCATCCTTACCAGCGGCTGCACCGGCCTCCACTTCCACTTTACTGTAGCCCATCTCGGTGAAGACCTCCTTCAGGAGGTTGGTGTTCTTCCCCAGACCGCCCATCCGTTGTTCCAGACGGGCCAGTGCTGCTTGGGCGGCTTTCTGGTTACTGTCCGAAGAGGGCTGGGGTGGGCGGCCGGCTGAGGAGGAGACCGCCTGCTGGGAATCGGTGGGGCGCACATCAACTGCCGGACGGTCGGAAGTGCGAGCCGCCGCCTGCTGTAGGCTGTGACCGGGGCCGGCGTCGCGGAATTTCTTGTCTTTTTTCATTTTATTGAAGAAATCTTTAAGGGCCGACATGGTTTAATGGGAGTTTACGCGAGTAGGGAATATTCTTCAGGTAAATTCAGTTGGTCTTTGTAACGGTCTTCCACTAACTGTACAGCTTCTACAAAAAAAAACGAACTTTTATTGAGATATATACACAATCGGGCAACAAAACGAATTTCTCTTTTTACAATAAAAAAAATCAGCGCAGCTATATGCAGCTACATAATAAAAAGCAAGTAAGTTTGTTAGTAAAATTTTAAGTAAGTAATTAGTATGTAAGTTTATTATTAATATAAATAAGCCTTAGTAAGGTACAAGTTCTTTCAGATATAAGTTAGAAAACATTAAAATCTCATTGTAGAAAACTCAAGAGTATCACAAATAACCGACATGTCACTTAAAATGAATATTTATAACAAGTCACTATGTCAGTCATGTTTTTGCGGTTCCGTTATTAACCGATACAGCACAGAATGTTTGTTAGTTGTTACTTAACTTATCACGTATTACATACATACTGCAGCCAGATGCGCAAGAGCGATATTGTGTAGTCAGCGGTAGAATGTAGTGAAATGGGTACTAATGGCTTTTCAGAGGCAAAACTGGTTTAAAGCGGTCGAACCAAGCGATCAGCCGAATATTTCAACTCTTGACAGTGCCGCGATAAAAATTTTTTGGAATACAAAATACAGACCAAATGAAAATTTATTCCAAAACAAACTTTCATTTATTCCAACAGATTAAGAATTCAAGATGCCTGTCAGATAAATCATCAAATCTGCCAGTAACAGATAAGTTATTTACAAATACACATGCCACGAGCCCACGACTACAACCATTTTCCTCTTTACTGGTAACTTAATTAATCCGTACACAATGGAGCATTTTTAAAAACAGTTGGGTTACTGAAAAAATCGCTGGATACCGCATCTAACTATCTTTAACAGAACGGAAAGCATCAGCGATGTTCAAGTAGTATATTTATCGCACATACCAGGTCCTTGCTGAAGGAACACATCCACCACAATCCGACTGGATTTCTTCCACTCGCGTCGCAGCAGCACCAACGCTACCGCCAACCACACCAGCAGCGCCGAGAACACGTAGGCCTGGAATGGATCCGGGAAGAGATCCTTCAGCAGGAAGACCAGCAGAGCCTCGTCCTCTGCTTGTACGGTCGCTGTCGCCTTGGACTCCTGGCGAACAGTCTCGTCAATCACAGGCTTGGCAATGGAAACAGCAGGCGCTGGTGTGGAAGTGCTCGGTCGGGTGGTGGTGGGGACGACGCTCTGCTCTCCGCTCTTCTGGGCCACGTAGTCGAAGAAGTCGAGATCGTCGTGGATAGGGCTGGGATCGACCGAAATCGGACCGTCAAAGGGATAGCAGATGTCGGATGGCGAGCTCGGTATAGGCAGAAGGAAATCAGGAAATGGCGATGTTGCACGATGACACTGCGTGATTTTCAGAGCCGCGATGTTGGCGAAGTAAAAGTGTAGGAAAAGATGGCGCAGACTGACTGGCTATTGAAATTCATTAGAACGTTCTGGGTACAGCAAATGAAGATCATTTATGATTTAGTTTTCTGTTTACACGTTTTTCGCGAAAAAATTAAACATGTGTCAGGGCATTAGCCATTACTTGACAAAAATTTTCCAGCTGGTATCCGGTAGTGATGGCCGGGCGCCGATTTTACCTGGAGCATACCAGTTAACAACGTGCGAGGGTTTTGTTGATACTTCCCTGAAGAAATGTTTTTCTCCCACCTTGAAAGCCTAAGAAAATTGAACAGTTTTACATAAAATTTACAACTAAAAAAATGTGTCGGAAATAAACAAATCAGTTTAATACTACAAATTTTCGGGCCAGTTGGACGAGTGGCACACCGTGTCACCATCCGGCCGCCACTGCCCAAGCACTGCACTGCCCTGCGCAGTGGTTGGCTGTCAGACTACCAATGAAGCAACTTTTAGCTTCTATTTTTCAGGGTTTCAGGTATCTCGCTTCTGTGTACTTTTAACTTTCAAGGTTTAAGCTTTTAACTTTCAACTTCTGTCTTTCTGACTCTTTCTCTCCATCTTTCCTCGCTTTTCTGTTTCGCTGATTATTTCAAGTGTACTGTACACGTACCTCCACGGAAGTCAAAATTATCAATTCGTTAATCAAAAGTAGTTTGCGCGTTCGTTTCGAGACTCGCTATTATCGTAACCGAATCTCCGAGCTCAGACTAGCCGTAGTTCTCGAACGATGCATTAGTGGTTAGTTTTCTTAGGTTTTTTGCTACCTTGCACACATCGCATACCTACTAGAACTTTGGTGTTGCACCACCTGAGGATTGTCAGGAATTAGGATGGCCGAGGACAAATCCGCGGATAACCGGCTGCGCGAAATCCAGCACCATATCCGCCAGAATGCCATGGACACCAGCAGCTACTTGGCGGAGCTGCAGCAGTGGGAGAACGACATCCGCAAGAAGGATGCCGAGTTGTTGCAGGCCAAAGACAGCGGAGTGCCGCCAGCACCCGCATCTCATCCGATCAGAAAATCTTCCAATGGGATTTCGTATGGTAACAAGAAGGCAGAACCGAAAACAGTGAAGTCGGAGAAGAAAACGATGGGAACCATCGGTAGTGATGCCACGGCGAAAACTCCGCGGATTAAATCGTACGACTATGCTGCGTGGGATAAATTTGACGTGGTAAGCTTGACTACGGAAAAACGTCCGACGTGCTCATCAGCGACACGAAATTGAAGCGTTTTAGGTAGAAATTATTGGTTTTAATCACTTCGTACCTTTTGGTATTTAAATATTGCAGTTCCAGAGTATATGTCAGGTTTTCTTTGTTGGTAAAAATTATAATCGTTTATCTGATGTCTGCAAGCTTATCGAATTTTTTTTATAATGTCTTTGCCAAAATTGTTTACTTCCTCCATTACCATGTAAACGAGTTTTTAAAACAAAAAACAGATTCATCTGTAGGATGTTAACTTTGAACGGCTTTTTTAATTTATTTTTTCTTAAAAGCAGCTTTGGCGTCTTGACGGTTCTTACTCTTGTGCCATTTTACAACGAAAATCACCATAAATTGGTCGAGCTTAGTTGCCAGTGTGCGAATATATTATTGCTGGTTTAAAGAAGGGAATAAATACTTTTTACTGAGTCTTCTCTGATCATTGGACGGCTAGTTGCAGTTGTTGTACGTCTAATATTCTCTCGCTAACTTACCATTAAAATCACAAACTGAAATTCAGTTAAATATAATGTCAGCAGACAGCAAGCTGGGTTTTTCTTTATAACCGTCTTTACTCTTTATAAAAGATTTTATTAAGTGAGATTAATAACTAAGTAAACAATTTTTTCCATTTTTTGTATTGAATAGCTTAATTTGAATAGTATTTTCACAATTACAGAAAATGCGCGAAACTTTCGTGTAATTTCGCTACAAAAAAATCTTCGCAAGGTTTGCGTAAAAGTGTTGCGTTGCGGTTTAGGACAGAGCTTGCGACGATGTCGACTATCGAACACCATCCGATGATGAAAAATCGGAGCCTGTTGCAACACCGCCCATCGCTAATGGCGCCACTGCGCCAAAGACGAATGTTGAGGACAAAACCAAACAGGCTGAATTGGAAAAATCCCTGGTTAGGAGTTTTGAGTGTAGCTACCAAATTAGTCCCTTGGATATTTTTACTCATTTGTATTCCTGCAGGGAAATGAAATGTTTGAAAAGGGACGATTCCCGGAAGCGGTTGCGCATTATACCCGCGCCATGGAGCTGGACGATAAAAATCCCATTTATCCTGCAAATCGCGCTATGGCCAATCTGAAGCTGAATGAGTAGGAATTCGTAGCGATATCGTAATTTTCTGCGTTAAATTCAGTGAGTCAAAAATGCTTAATTTGTCCAGCAGTTGCGCTCTTGTTCGAAGTAAATCAGTCATAGTGCTACGTTTGATTTCGTTTTGAAGGTGCAAAAGTCCAAAAACCGCTGACGTACAGCAGTCAATAAATTTAAAATTGCGATTTTGTTGGTATTCTGAAAAGCACCGTTTATTGAACAATTTGGTTTAGCAGTCGGCGTCCCAAAAGGCAGTATGCGTAGTCTTGTGTGGAGCGCCACAAATTGTCCTTAATTAATCTAGGTACTCGTACAGTAATTTTGAAGAAGTACTGTAATCATCGTAGTGTACAGGCATCCAGTGTTTTCGGTTGTTACCAAAGCTTTGTGCGATTTTCGGGTGAAATATTAATTGTGGTAGAAACTGTTGAAAATTAATGGTTTTAAAGGTAGTTCTGTGTTTTTCCCGAGGAAACCCTTTTTGTGATGTAATGGCAAAGGTAAATTTATACTTTTTGTGTTTACAGTTTCTCGGCTGCTGAATCCGATTGCACCATCGCCTTGTCGCTGGACGCTAACTACGTCAAAGCGTATCATCGCCGTGCTACGGCACGCCTGTCACTGAAAAATTTCCAGGGAGCTAAAGCGGATTTCACCCGTGTCATTTCTCTGGATGCCAGCAATAAAGACGCGAAGGAGAAGCTTAAAACCATCCAAGAGGTAAGTTACAGTTCGTTAATTTCTTATCCTTATATTTGCGCATGAGAGGCCATGAACGCGATGAGTATTGTCACAGATAGTTTCGAAATATTTTGTTATTGGAAATGGACGGTTTCTTTGCGTGAAATTGGTTTTGATCAGTAAACTTACACCAGCACTTTTTGTGTTTAAAACAGAAAAGAAGGAAAAAGTTGTTTTACAGACACTGTTTTGTTTGGTTTTAGTGGGAAGCCAAATATGTCAAGCCAACTGCGGCAAAACAGCCGCTGGCCAGCAAGAAATTAGGCGATCTGGAAATGCGACCGGTTGTCAGTCAGCAGATCAAAACACCCGCAAAACCGGAGCGAACTGACGGAAAGATCCGTGTTTATCCCGTAGAAAAATCGAATCTGTCATTGTCAAAGGTATTCTTAATTTTTTTAAATTAGTGCGTGAATTCGCGTTAGCAGCTTTTTGGTTGGAGATCTCTGATAATAAATGTAAGAAATTCGATAAGTTATTTATTTTTATTTAAATTTTAAAATACGTAATAATCCTTTTATGAGATACTAGTTTAATAAATTTTGATTAATCTATTAGCGCCGCTGCGGTTCATTGCGGAACTTTTAGATGCTAGTAATCTTTGAAAGCTGTTTTATCAGTGTGAAAGACACTGTAAAATGTGGACCACGGCATGCATGCAGTGTTGATTGTTTTAGAAGCCATTACGAAATGTCCCCATTCAAGATGGGGACGCGAATGAGAGCGAGCCGCTTGTTGAAAAAACGGTCACCGTATCAGCCGTTGCGGCCAGTAAACCTCCACCGGTCAACCATGCCGCGGCTCAGTTTTCCAGCTCGGGGAATTCTACTGTGTTGCCGCCGAAAAATGCCATGATTTCTAGCCGGGAATTCTTCCAGTCCTGTGCAGCTTTGTGCAGCAATGCTGCAGCCGCTGCGGATTACATACAGGTTTGACAAAAAATTCTAATTTCTGTGTATTTGCCTTTTACGTATAATTTTGTTTGGTAAAGCAACAGAAGTTTTTACGATTTTGTGTTTACGATTTAGTGGCAGAATATTTTTTATTTTATTCTAATTCATTTTTGTGTGGCTTTTGCTGGTGTGGTAGTGGTTGCCTACCACGTGGATTGCTTGTTGCTTCTGCTTTGGATATTTGTTAAAGCAATATGCACACTGCAAGTAATCAAAGTGAGATTGAAATACGATGGTGTTTTTCCAGAACATCGATCCTTCATGGTATATAAAACTGATCGGGCATAATCTGGAAGCGGACATTTTTAATACGGTTTTCCTGGGATCTCTGGCATTCGCTCGCAGGTTGGTGTTTGCCTGTCACGTACGGTATATCTGTGCATGATTTCGTGTTACGCCTTACGACAAGCAGCAGTCTGGTACGTATGACTTAGTACAATGGCATGCGTTTTGGTGACAGAAAGTCATGTTTATTTACTGAGGCTTGTTACAGTAATAAAATAAACGTATCTTCAAAGCGCCGGTGGTAGCAAACGTTTTTTACGTTTTTTTGTATCAAAATTCCAAGTTATTTGTACGGCATACCTTTATTCGTAATATTAATTCTTTATAATTGTGCTTTTACTCACAATAATTTCAGAGTTCTAAAATGTTTTCATCGTGAGCTACCAAAATAATGAATCTGATGTTATAGTTTTGTAGATTATGGCTGCTCACCATTATGCTACACTGATGTTGTAATGCGAAGAGATTTTGGTGCATACAAGTTATACAACTAATAGTTACAGTGTGAAGAACAGCGAATATGTGGTTGTTTTAGTTTGATGGCTTCATATTGTAGGTCAGCCTTGAAGGAATGTTTTGCTCATCTGGTGGGCCTCTCCGTAGTGCCGCGGTTGGGGTTTTTTGCGCATTGTATTTCACAGGCGGATAAAAAAGGTATAAAATTTTGAATTTCTAAAATGCTGCGACGGTATTTACGCAAACTTCGGTCGATCGCATGAAGTGAATCATGAAATTGCTAAGACTGAACAAAGTTTTGACGTTAATGCACGTGTGGTTTGCCTCACAGAATTTGCTGGATATTTGTCAAAGATGGCGAAAGAGAACGTGGCCGATGTGCAAATGCTGCGTGATATTGGCGGGAAATTCCTGATTGATCTGCCTTGAGCCAGTGTATACAGTCTGTATGCCGATGGATGTTTTGAGTCGTTTCGCTTCCCATTGATCTGTGTTGTTCCAGATTTCTTTCAGCTTTTGTATTGTCAGTTGATGCTTCCTGGAGAACCATTTCTAATCAGAGAACAGATGTACTGTTCAAAAGCGAAGAATGCATTTATTGTTAGTTCTGGATTTATGTAAAAAATATAAAAAAGCCATAATTTGACATTAATAAATCTCGCGAAAACCGTTTCGGTTGCGGAATTGTCTTCTGGAATATAGGACAACGCGTGTATACATGTACAAATCGCCACATAAAAATAAAATAAAAATGTTTTCGCGAATTCGTCAAATATACCCGCACTCAACCGCAGATACAGAGTGAAAAAGTATTGTTACATTCGGAAAGTTACTGTCATTCTGAGTTGTTGTGTACTGTAATCTGCAATATATATCCTGATAAACGAAAACGGAATTTGCAATTCAAGCTACCTTGCGCCACTGTACTGCGCTTTCTGCAACAAATGAAGCCATGAACTCCGTACAGACGGCTGCGCCTCGTGATCAGCAGCACTTGAAGCGGCATTTGGTCGGACAGCATGGGCATTTCTCTCCACAAGAAACACTACATCCGCCTTGTTGTGGGGGTCTGTTCCCGAAAAATAAAAGAAAAGCATAATAATATTTTTATTTCACCGCTTCAGTATAACGTGCAGACACATTTTTGTACAGTTACCAACTTAGCTCACACACGGCAAAATGTGGTTCGCTGTAATTCTATGCATGACTTGTTATAAACTGCAAAATGCGCAACTGCACTGTCATTTCATAATAAAACAAAAGATCCAACGCCCAAATAAATGTCAAAATTTTCTGGAGTAATATTTTTTGGCCGACTCTTCATATAAAACATATTTGCCGGTGAGAAAATCATCATTTTTCTAGTGACAATCATAATAATGCCGTTAACGTTTAATCTTGATCACTTGTCCTCACACTACGATACACGGTACAACCACTTACACAGCACCTCTACCCGGTTGTTCCGTGTAGACGGATTTTGTTCCGGGCTGTACAACCGCCACGGACTGGGAACCGGATTGCTCCGGCGGATCATCCGCAAAATCCAGTTTGTACATCATCGACCGATCGAGCGACATCTTTACTTCCGGTGCTAAAATTCTTTGCTATAACTGCTTCGATTAATGTTACCACTTTGCAAACCAAATTGCGTCTTTCAAAATTATCCCCACAATTTTTCGATGCAAATAAGACCTGATATCCGACAGTATGATGAGCGGCAAGAAATAACTTTTAACTAATCATTCGTGTGCTCACAATACTGTTCGCATTTATGATTACTCATATGGTATACTTGTACTATAAAATTATACATGAATGTCTGCCTATTCATGCTTTTTGCTTCATATTTTACCAGACAAAAGTTCTGACTAAAAAGGGCTTGGTTTTTGTTTTGAGTCATCCTTTAAGATTAAGATTTATTTTGTGAGTCGTTCGCCTCGCCTGACAAATGCCCTTGACCTTAATAATTATGGAACGCTCAAGATCAACGTACCGTAAACACTCCAAACAGTAATTCTCTATTCCGATTTTTACTGATTTATAATTCTGCACCGGAAGTTGGTAGGAATACGGTACTGTAAACCGAGAAATGAAACATTTGAAGGTTTGTTTGCTTAGTTGCGTCCTGCTCACGTTGGTCACTTTCCGAGGTTAAAAAATGCAAAGATTTTCAGATTAATGAATATACAGGAAATTCTCTGGTATTTTCTTCAAAAAAGAATATCATTTGGCAGTGATTTACTAGCCGATAACGTTTGTCTCTATTCGTAACAAAAGCCGCGACAAGGCGCGATTCAAGTATTACGTAACGCTAATGGGTGGGGGGGTGGTCAAGGGTTTTTGTTACGCCTTGTTACATGGGGTAGGGGGTCAAAAAATTTTTGTTACGTGCGGGCCGACACCCCATAAAAAAACGAAAAAAATTAATATATTTTAATTGAAATTTTATAGGGGGGTGGTCGGGCTCTCTGTTACGTATGCAGTTAGGGGGTCGAAAATTTTGTTATGCGGTGTTACAAGGGGTGGGGGGTGGTCCAAAATCACGAAAAATCGCGTTACGTAATACTTGAATCGCGCCCAAGCAGAATGCTACCTTATTATTACAAATCGTACGGGATTTATTACGGCAGCACGACTGGCTGTTGTAACATATTAACGTAGTACAACGGCGGAATGAGCCGAAAATGAAATTAGTCTCCGCGTACAACGAAAGTGCTAATATTGTAAATGTACACTAAACTAACGCCCCTTGGCAAATTTTTGTATTTCGACAATAATTATTCGGTTTTAATTTATGCATATTCTTAGCTGCCGTAACACAAATAAAAAACAGATCTGGTCTTCCAGTTTAATTCTAAGAAATAATCATATAAACGGACGTTTACCATCACGTGAAATGTACAAAAAAGAACATACAGAAAGTAGCTGCACTGATTTCCCAAACAGATTCCCAAGGACGGCAGTACGAGACATGGAAAAATAAAACTGTTAGGGAATTTACATTAATAACAATAACAGACTAACAATATTAAATTTTGAATAAATTCAATAAAGCGATTTAGTTATATGAGTATCAATGTGGACACATCCAGTAATTTGGCCGAAATTAACCGACAGCAATTCCGTACACCCGGTAGACGATATCAACAGCAGCTAAAACCGCAGCTGGCCGGACAACACGGACATGATTCGCCCAAGCTGAACCCGCATCCACCCCGTTGTGGCGGCCTGCAAAGGAAAAAATTAAATTATGAAAGTATACAGAAATAATTCAAAGAGTAATTTGGCAGTATAACTAATTTCGATTCCTCTCAAGTTAAATTTTCGAAAAAAACCATTAATAAAGTACACTGTACAGGCGCACTACTATCGCATAAGAGTCATACAAAAAAAATATTATTTTCAATACTATATCAATAACGAACATAAATTAAACGGAATAAACATATTGGACATAAATTATGTTCAATATCGCATCAATATGACATCATAGATTATTATGCTTAATATAATCAGTTTTATCATAACATGAGTACAAAAATAGGCCACAATAAAACTGCGGAATCACGACATAAATTACTGAGGCTGCTATTAATAATAATTTCAAAGAAAAACATTATTAATTCGTAAAACATGTATGCCATTCTTGATATATACCAAACAGTATAAGTAAATTCACGCCAGCTTACATGTCTTCCTTGCCGGGTTGCTGGGTGTAGAACATGGGCTGTCCAGGCTGGACGTTGCCGGTAGTGGTCACCGTCACCTCCTCCATGTACTGCGAGGGATTCTGGGTCGTCTTGGCGTCCACGGAAGCGGAATCCTTGGGAAACATTTTTTCGAAACGCTGGTTATGAATTAATCTCCTTAAAACACTTCAACGCGGTAAATTCCACAGGTCGTATATATATAATATGCAGTAGCAGCACTTGCTCTAAATTTGACAACACTAAACTGACACACCGTACACGGTAGTCGGGATGTTTATATACACACGCTCGACCGCTTCGCGATTATGATCGCGTTGCCCGTACAATAACAACGCACCTAGTGTACAGCGCATCCGTGCGGTCAGAAAGGTATGGCCCGTTGTGCTGTATGTGTCAGGTATCCGATGGCAATCGATAGTTTCGCCGATTGGCGGATTTTCCCATGATTCATCGTGCGTATGTGTACGCTTGCCACATATTCTTAGCTTCTTGTAAAAAACTTATTATGCATCACAGCGATAATGGTGTTGCGCAACTGGTTTGAAAGTGGTGCAAGCAGCAAAGAAACTCAGGTCTAACACAAACACGAAAATTCCTGTCATTGCATTTATTTTTAAAGAATGTTTTTCGTACAAAGGGCACACATGAGCGTAAGCGCGGCACATCAATATTCCAAGGTTTTAGACATAATGCCTTGTTTGCGATCGCTCATAAGTATTGTCATTAATCGGTTCTGCTTTTTCTTGTGCAAAGTGAATGTCTTGTAAAAGTGGCGGTTTTGTAGTGAAAGGGCTACAGGTACAATTCAGGAGTCTTCATGGAATTAACGTGCCCTGCAAGCGTGATATAAATCAACTCACAAGTCAGCGTTAAAGAAGAAACAGTCGCAATAATTTTTGGAGAAAGCTGCGCACACCACGTTTTACCACCAAAGTCTCCGCACACCACCTTTCACCACCACCAGGCTGCGCACACCACTGTTCGCACCACGTTTTGTCTCGGGCCACCATTTTTGCGCACCACCATGTATATTTAAAAATATCGTCAGTCTCGGGACACCCCCTTATACTCGTAGTTTGGAAAACATACAGTGCTCGGTCGTATATATGTACGTTTTATCTAAATTACAATGTTTTGGGTTTCAATATAGCGCAAGGCAAATCTTTACTATACGGTATGCGTAATGCAAGTAAGCAAGCACAGAAAGTTCTTAAGTAAGCACAGCAAAAAGTAAGTAAGCACTTCTTAAGTAGGTAAGCACAGCAAAAAACATGTGGTTGCGGCAAGCAACCATCCGCAAACAAAAACAACTTGCGTTCGGCAAGTTTGTAAAACCGAAAAATTTGCTACTATAACGGAAGCGGAGGCGAACGAGTGGTATCAAAAAGAGAAGCCAGACCGTGAGACGAAGGAGCTGTCTTTTTTCCGCCCGTAACAACAATTAATTAATTTTTTTTTAAATAGCGGTGTGCAGAGACTGTGGTGGTGTGCACTCTGCCCTTGGTGGTGTCCAGAGATTTCGGTGGTTTTTGTAAAAAAATTAAAAAAATAATAAAAAGTGGTGTGCGGAGCCTGGCGGTGGTGTTTCGTGGTGTGCGGAGACTTTGGTGGTGAAACGTGGTGTGCGGAGCCTTCCCCATAATTTTTTTGTCGCATAGCTTAGATTCTATCTTCAACAATGGGTAATCTAACGAATTATAGGTATTAAGATACTCCAGTTATTCATATGGACATCCAATATCGAAACCAATGTTGCACCAGTGAGCAAAACGTTAACATTACTGTAATACATAAATAATCCCGAGAATGCGTCTAATTATCTATGCTAAAATGCAACACGCGATAGCTACATAAATACATCTTTTTCTGTTCCAGATGTCGTTTTAAATCTTGTTAGTATCATTTTTAATTGTACCGTTTATACGTTCATTTTTTTAGACGATCGAAGGGAAACGGACAAGTCAAAGCATAAAGCAACTGTTGACTTTTTAATTCTTCGAAGTATTTACATGCGCCACTTAGTTCGTAGCTAAGAAGTTGCACGAAAGCATACAAATTCCAACAGGAAAATACAGGTACAAAACAACACAATTTGGCTATAATATATCCAGTCAAATAAAAACTTTTAGCAGGATTAATTTGATTGGTTATATCAAGGTCAGGAAATCAAGCCACTGTGATGTGTTACAGTTTTATTAACAGCAACTGAAGCCACAATCCGCCGGACAACAAGGGCATCCTTCGCCGAGTTCGATACCGCAACCGCCCCGTTGAGGTGGCCTGCAATATCAAATAATATTTATTTTCTTTTAAAGTGTCCGATGTTCACTTATATTAATGGTTTAATTTCATAAGCATTCATAATAATTAATAATTTATACAAACAAAGTGTAATACAAAAAGCTGCACGAGACAATAAAAAATGTATATATAATATAAAGAACGTTTATTTCATGCATAGTTGTACTTACTTACATGTCTTCTTTGCCGGGTTGTTGGGTATAAAACAGCTGCTGACCCGGTTGTACACTGGTGGTGACGACTGCCGCATCCTCAACAAGATTTGCATCATTATTATTATGTGCCGAGTGCGAAGCTGAGAAAGTATGCTGAGAGGATGCAGTAGAATCCGTTGGAAACATTTTGCCGATTAGAAAACTGAATTAATTTAAGAAGCAAATCCGCCAAACGTATAGAAAGACAACGCTAATATATCTTTAATTGCCTGTCACAACGAATTTATACTTCCACCTTCTAAGATTGATAACACTAACAGTTGTTGACCTTTTGCGTTTGATTGCAAGTTTCATATATGGTACTGTGCATGCAAGGCACTGTACATTCTTTTAAATACATTCTCAACGTCCTAAGCCATGCACGACATGTTTGTTATATATATTGTGTGGTTTTGTTTTCACCAGAGTTTTTGTTTGTTGTTGGCGGGTCTTTTAGGTCACCGGCGATTGGTGGTAATTTCCTAATGATTCACGTACCACAGGTGCGTATGAACTTCCGCACTCAACCATGCACAAGTGGATCATGTTACCAATATATTTCGAGATCGTTATGCGTCAACATTGTGCAACCGGTTGGTCACTTACACTTTTTTCCTAACAAATACAAACGCCCACGCGCTAATGCGCTTAATGTCTCCAGGTGAATGCTTTACTTCAAGCACACGCAATCATCAGGTAGTCAAGCGTTGCGGCATTTACCCGCATTCTTCGTATTGTAGGCAAATGCACAATGCTTCAGCACATTTTTATTGGCTGTTTTGCATGAATCGGCAGATTTATGGTATAAAATCGATTTTTCTTCTGGTTGTACCGTACGTGAAAACCGACAGCTTTGTTTGCTGTAGCCTGCAGCGCAGTATCTATGTTGCACTTAACACCGATAGGTAAGTATGCTTTGTAAACTTCCGGTACCTTTCAAATTAAAAGATATTTTAAACCTCGCTTCAACGAAAAAACAGTCAATTAATATTAACCACTTTGTAGTTTCGAAACAGAAACACGGCTCTCCCGTATGCTTCCTATAGTTTGCATACTGTACAATACTTTGTACTTACATACATATGCGTGACTATTTTACTGCATCAAGATGATCAAGTCGCAAGGTAATTCTAGTTGATGGTATTATATAAGGCAACTGGGTATTATTTAAACCGCCGCTTAAGCCCGCTTCCGTATTTAAAATATCCAGGTTTTGTATTATAGATTTATACTTATCTTGTTCCCCCAAAAGGGATTTAAAGATTTCCCATTTAGGGCGCGCACATGACAGCGCTAGATTAAAAGGGCAGTGCCACTGCATGCACTTGATAATAAAATAAGTTGAGATCAGCCACACAGAAGCATTTAAAAAATGTTTTAAGTATAAAAAAAACCCATGGAAAACCAAAAGTTTGTTTTATCTTTAAACGCGGATGTTTCGTTAAAAGCGTTAAAGCCGGCAACAGGAGCTGGAGATCGCCGAACGGACACAGCATCTGGAGAAGAGGAAGCAACAGCAACACTTCCCCTTCCAACTGTTAAGCAAGAAACTGAACGCCGATGGCTGAGAGTTGTTGTTTGGTCGTTGATTATTTCTACTGTATAACTCTGTGCAGTATTATTCAATACTTTTATAATGCTATGAAATATTATACGTTAAAAGTTATTATGCGCATTTGAGTTCCTTAGGTTGTAAGTCCATACTCTATGCATATCAAAAGAAATTTATGGGTACACGGGAATCAACTTTTAAGTATTTCCAAGAAAGTTTAAAGACTCCTCTGATAAAGCAAATATACGTATTAGCAGATGAAAGGGAATCACGGCCATTACTCATATCCCGGTCGAGGAACAAGATCCCACACCAAATCACTAGTAAAGCAAAACTTCCGTCAAAAATTCGTAAGCCAATGCATTAATTTTTCCACGCGATGAGAGTGTCCACTGTTTACCGGTCGAACCGTTTCGAATTCCTGGCAGTTCTCGGCAAGAATGACACTACAGATAGATTATTGTCACAAGAGTTTCGTAGCATGGGGCCTGATGGGGGCAGTGTTCTCTCAGTACCCCAGTACGATTGACATGAGGAGAATAAACGGTTACCGAACCGTAAAACAAAATGTGGAAAATCCTAATTACATACACTTCACATACATCTATAACATTTTTCAGGTTTTTTTACATACGGCTTCTACAGTACGATGCCAATCTGTACCACGAATAATCTCGGATTTTTAATTTGTCGTTGGCAAATAACTTGAGCAATTGGTATAAACAAAAAATAGCTCAACAATCACAAAACAACACCAAAATCCACCGTCTGCCGTCAAACTGAGCTGCTTTAAAACTGGAACAATAGTAACCGTAAACCGTAATAATAACCGTAAACCGATGATAAAACCAACAAAATAACACTTGCATTTTTTTGAATTCACGCAGTTCAAAACTGCCACAGCGCGCCTTGCCCAAAGGCTTTTAAACTCCAACCCCTGTGATATGAAAACAAAAACACGTTCTCAAAGATTAAAAAGATCACGTTCGAAAGGCGCATAGCCAAAAGATAAATCTCAGTTTTATGTTTACCCGAATTCAAATGAACATCCCGCAGCGCATCGGCCAAATCACCGGGATTAATCTCTTTTTTCTTCTTGTCTTGTTGCTTGGGATTCGCTTCCGTTTGGTCAACCGGTTCCAGGAGGGTAACTGAAATGACACATAAAAATCGGAAATATTAAGCAGAATTATTTATTACTGTGAATTAAAATTAAATTAATAAACTGTTAAGGGAGAAAACACAAAAAAACATGAAGGCGATAAATTATTACCGCGATACTGCAAGCATTTCCAGTTATGCTTGGGGAAAATATGAGCGTCCGCAGCAGCCTTAATGTCTTTCACTGCACTATGAAGGACAACATTTGTACCATGCTGTTTGTGAGTAAAGATGATTTCTGCATTTTTGTACCGACTGGATGGACACAAGCTAATCGGCTCAGCGGCTGATGCGAATCCCATCAGGGCTTTCATAACGCTCTCCGAGCACTTCTCTAGCATCTGCCAAATCGACCACGAAATATTTAAAACATACAACAACCAAACCGCAATAGCGACTCCGGTAGATTTATATACAATAATAAAAACAAAACACAAATGACGATTATTAACAAACATTCATATAATAAGCTTAGAGAAATTCGCAAAAAAATGAATCTGGTAAGTACTGTAACTACGTATATTTGTTTAGTGGCACAGAAAAATTATTTTTATCGTACAAACCAAAAAAACAGTGTTAATTTGTCTACCTCTAGATTGTAGCCGCCTTCCAGTGCCACAATAACGCGGCCGCCGGCCAGCGCCAACAGCATCTTGGTCATTGTTTCGTATCCGATTTCCGTCAGACAGCACTCTCCCAAGGGGTCATTCAAAGCAGCGTCGAAACCGGAACATACGAAAACTAATTCCGGCGAAAACTACAGCACACAACTTATTAATTTGTGACGCAATCTGAGTGCAATTACGGTAGGTCAAAAGGCGGTCAGTATGCAAAATGCAAAATCCAAGGCATACTAAATCGCAGTTTACCTCGTACGCCAGCGGCATGACCAGCTGGAGAAACGCCGCGACGTAATCCCCATTGTGCATTCCCTGTTAAAAGCACCAATTTACCACAGATCTTTGGAAGACATTCTTCGCATCGTAAAACACTATTGTGTGTTATAAAACAATAAAATTTTCATTTTTTGAAAACCTTTCCGTATTGCGCCACATGTTTCGGTTTCGAAGAGTTTGTGCCCGCACGCACTCGTGATTACTTTTGATCTATGTATAACGATTAAGAATGAATGCAGCATTAACAAAGAGTACAGACTTGTTGTTATCATTGCAGTGCGACACTTCCAGCCAATGTGTTACGTAACACATAACAAACATACACCCTAGGAAAAAAGTACCAAAACAATTTCAAGCAATACCCTAGATCATTCACCTAAAATGACTTATCAAAACTTTTTTGTATCGACAAGTCATTGATATGCTTATATCCGTTGCTGTAGGCTTTTACCACTGTAAATGGACATTATTGAAAGATTAAAAAACGCTGGCGCCTACAAGTCAACTTTCAAGACAACAAGAAAAGCTTAAAAAAATATTCCAGCAACGTATTTTATCCTACGGATTTTATTTTTACGGTTCATAACTTCATAGCAGTCATCATGTCGTAACACTGCAGAACGAGACCAGCCGCAATACTACGAAACTGCTCTTATAAACCGTAGTGTCATTCTTGCGAAGGGCTACAGAAATAATTATCAAAAACAGAAAGCATAAAAAATCTAGAAAAATTTCAAAATGCGTATACCTTGTGACTCCACGGAATGTTCACATTGAACCCGTACCCCTTTTCCGCGCCGACATAACCCACATCTTTCCGGCTGGGTGGATAGAAATCCTCCTTCCCGCGATGCAGAGAAATGTACAATATTCTGCAACAGCGAAATGAATTCTCAACTTGACCACTTCAATGCAGCTGGAGGCAGCTCCACCTCGGGTCTTTGTAGAACAATTCCTGTACACCATCGCCATGGTGCACGTCCCAGTCAACAATTAAAATTCTACAAAACAACTGTTCAGACAACCTACAAAGGTATGAAGACCAAATCGGCAAGGTACCGTTTTAAACCATATTTTTCAATGGCGTGCTGCGCAGCGATTGCAACATTATTGGCGAAACAAAATCCCGCCGGGTAGGTGTGGTGGGCATGGTGGCCAGGGGGTCTGGAAGAAAATAAGTAGTTTTGCATAGACCAGCTTTTAACTTCTACTAATAAATCAAAAAATATCATTTTATGACCAATTTCAGCAACTGGAAGAGCAAATCAAAAGTTACACTGCCATTTAAGACCTTTCTGTGTAACCACTGCGCTAAGAAATGTCACTGTCTACACCAGAAACGTCTTGAGGGTGTGTTAATTCTGCGTCAAGCATGTTAATTTTGCGAAGTACCAATACGTTGTGCAGAATTTCCGTATTAACGACTTTTTGGGTGTCCTTTCACTCTCGAGCATATCAAGATTGCTGTACAGTTGCAACCAGCTCATGTTCATGCTCTGATCTGTACTTAACCGAAAAATCCAAAACATATTTAAAGCGGCCAGTTGCCCGTTCAATACAGGTACAAACTGTTGCTCTTTACCTTACAATGGCGTATCCATTGAGACACTTTCCTTGTACAACCGCATCCACAATATTCAACAACGATCCAGCCGCAACCAGCGTTGCCGGTTGAGTTCCCTACATACAGCATCGCAGACTGTTAATTACAGGCAACAACAGCTGATTATTAAGCTGCAGCAGTTGATAAATAACGAGAAAGTTCGGGAAAAAATTCTCACTACAGTGGATAAAAAGCACACACCAGGGAAACGTCCAGATCGTTGGCCCAGCGGTCCTTAAGCTTCACGTGCATATTATTAATTCGCCGTGATCCCTCGCGATAAAAATTAGCCGGCGTCTCCAAAATTAATTTTGTAAAATTCTTCCTAAAACAAAATAATCAACTGACTATTGTACTATCCTATGTATTAAAATTAATCATATATCACTTACTCGTGAATCAAGTTTAGCTCTGCTTCCGTGACGTTCCGACTCTGAAAACAAACAATGCTGTTGGGGCAAAGCGGCAATAGTGCAGAGGATTGAAGGTTATCAGCATGACGTACCGGCAAATGAACACATTTCGGGAGAAGCTTCCTATTTAAATAATTATAAATGCGGGATATCCGTGCCGGCACTTCCGGGAGATGGGTGTCGGGGATGTGGTTGAGCATAATCTCATCATAAACATAGCACGACCTATCGATAGTCTGCACGTAAATATTAATCATTAAATTCCATTTATTTTCGGAGGAAGTTTTGTCACAGCAGTTGTATTTACCAACATAACTCACGTACTAATAATCAGCAGCCGAAAAAAGATAAAGGATTTTAAAAAAACCAAAAAAGTCGCAAATATAATCCTGTTATGTATTTTAATGGTTATGTTAAACCTCTACCCAGCAAATGCGTCTGAACTTATGTTTTGAGAACATTTCGAATATTTACGCAAAGCTGGGAGTTCTTACCGATTAACCGGCAATGCAGCTCGGAAGGCATCATAAATCACGCGAAGTTCTCGCACTTGATAGCGCAGATCGACGATTTCGGACGCTGGGCGCAGCGGAGCTGAGCTAAAGCATGTATTATGACCCGGTATCTCCTTTGGCGGGTCGAAGAGGATCCGAGGCGTATGCACAGGATACCTGCAGATGCATAAATCTGACAGCCCGCACTTCCAACATTACCGCTCGAAATTTTTTATCATTATGAAAGATACACCGACGTAATACGGTGCGAACGCGTCTTCGTTTTATCGGTTTCCTGAAAGGCCAAAGATTTCCAATACGGTCGCAAAACACTGATAGCATCCAAAATAGCAGTGGCCACCCTAAAACGTCAGACACACGCTTCAGCATAAAATTACAAAAACGGATAATTTCGAAAAATACTGAATTTGTTATGGCCGTATGACAAACGGAACTAAAAAAGGCAAGTTTTTATGATTCCTACATGTACGTATGTACTTAACGACAAAACAGTCAACGATGACTGAGAAGGAAAAACTTCGCTTACACAGGATGGGGTGCGCCCAAAGATGGCAAAGGGCATGGTGGCAGTCCAAGAAGTGATTCTATCGTACAAACGGCACTCTGAAGTACAGTACAAGGTAAAATTAGGTAACCCATCAAGAAGAACGGCTGGAGAAAAAATAAACAGTGCAGTATCACGAAACATCTTGTCGTGCTTACTTCTGCCAACGATTCCAAAAAGTATCCACCCTGCAAAGTATCCAGATTTATGAATAGTTTGCTGTATTTATTTTACGAGTACCAATCGCGACCTACAAAGTACAACGAAAGAAAATACGCAAACCACTGCCGAGCGATTCCCTGTACAAACCGCGATGTATTTCAACTAGGCGAAAGCCTCCCGAACAATATGGGTATTTAAACAACTGCTGCGTTTTCCCTTTTGCAGGAAAAACCAAATGAGAAAAAAAAGATTGAGCGATAATTCATTTATCCAGATAGAAATACTCGTACATTCAAAATCCGATAATGATTAGTGATTACTTACGCATAGTCGCGGCTCGATATTTCAGTAAACCTACTGCCATCTCTCTATATTCATTGACTGTAATTAACCGTCTCTGTGAGCACGAGCACGGTTATAACGCAAACGCAATTCCAAACTTGAGGGGGCGGATCGAAATTGAACTACGATGCTTTAAACAAAGATAACAAAAACGATAAATTTTTTTAAAAAATTGTTTCAAAATTTTTAACAAATTTTATGGAAACGGAGTCGAAAACTGATTGACTGAACAGCTGTATCCTCAGGCACTCTATCGACGGTCAGATATTACGCACACAAAATTTTAAAAAAACTAATTCAACGACTCACGGTTGATGGAACAATACAATACAAACCGAGAAAATGAAATTTCGCCACAACAACAGGAAGTTCTCGATGTTGATTATAGTTTTACTAAAACGCAATTTTTAATTTTTGAAGCTGACTTTCATAACCGGTAGAAAATCTGAACTGCTGCTGTACAAAAACTGAAAGTCACGCACTTGCAGCAAGACACTTGATCGGCAAAAAAGCCGCACATGGTTTGCGAGTAATGTGTGTGAGAAGAATAAGATTAGCATAATTGTGAAAAACATGCAAGAACCATAATTACCAAAACTATCTACTCTAAATAATACCACTAAACCTAACAACAATATTCCGGAAATCAGTCTTCGATTCAGCCCGTCACAACTTGTTAAAGGCGCCTAACTAAGCCCATAATTTACGATCACACTTACTTCCAGCATGACAGCCAACTTTCCTCCGGCCAAGCAAGATAACGCATGAGTCATATGGCCGTACGCTGCCGGAGTTACTTTCATAAGTCCCTAAAATCCCAAATGTTAAGCGCTCCTGCCGCAAAAATTTAGCAAAATTTGAAACAGCATTCCATAAGATACAGTATTTCTCACTAACTTCCGGACAGCCGACAGCGGCATCGTAACCAGCGGACACAATAATAATCTCCGGGTTGTACTGCAAAAAGAGAAATAATAATTCGAAACATTGCTTGAACAAACATTATGAAAAAGATATTACTGAAAATTCTATTTTCATTCATTTCAATACCACATATAAAGTGCTTGTACGAGTTAGGACACACGTGCATTAAAACAAAATTGCCCAAGTTTAAGCCACAAGCCCACGAACTACAATCAATCATCGTCAGATTCTGCAGGATCACCGAGTACAGAAAATACAAATTTAGGTGTTCAACAGTAAAATTCAGTATTCTTCCGTGCTCATTGTCAGTATCTGAGCTTTTCTCGTTGCCATAATTTTCAATATTAAAACTAACGTTAATGTCGCATGTTGCTGTTATTTTAAGTTAAACTAGTAAATAGTTTTTCCAACAGTCACTTTAATGCCTGAAAAAGTAACAACTATTACGGTGCAAAAAAGATTCACGTTCGCGGCAAACTGACCTCAAAAGCAACGGGCAGTAGTAGCTGATGAAAAATAGCCATATATTCCGCGTCACCCAAGCCAACATCATTGAGAGGAAGACAAACGTTAAAACCAGCACCTTTTCCGCTGCCAATCTGATCGAAATTGCCTTCCCGCAGATATGGCCACTCCCGGCCATTCCGATAGGTGTGGATCGAGAAATATAGGACCCTGTGTAAAACTGGATTTTGACATCACCCCCATTTTTAATGAACAAATCATTCATAATTGTCATCTTTCATGCATACCGTTCGTCTTCGTAGAATGTTTGTTGAGTTCCCTAAACGTATGATAAAAATGTGGGACCAGCGCAAAGTATTTCCAATGATTTCCGCTCTGACAAGACAAATTAATTACCTGGCCGTGATGCACATCCCAGTCTACGATTAGAACCCTGCAACAAACACAAAAAACTTAATCCCGAAAAAAAAATGAAGCGACCTTTGGTAACATAAGCAAAAACGTTACAATAAGTCAATAACCCACACAATAATCCCAGTGAAAATGAAAAGCAAAAAATATCGCTTAAATCAATTCAAATTTTTAGTCTGCGCTTACTGGTGTTTACTAAACAGTAAACACCTGTATGAAATAAGTAGTTTTATTTTTAATTAGAGTTTCCCTTGGCTCATCTGTGACAATTACTTGCGAAAAATTTACGGCAACAATAAAGCGCGTGAGTTATTTTTTCACGTAAATATGTTGAAGACATTGTATTAAATGAGTAGTAGTTTACAATAGTTCCAATACAATAGTGCCAATAACAGCTTTAACTATTTTGTATGAAATTTAACGATTATTGTATTTTTTTTTAATTTCACAAGATAAATATTTTTTAATGATAATCCAGACTAGGCACGACAGTGACAACACGTTACCTTTTTGCACCGCGATTTTCAGTCAGATGTCTAGCAGCAATAGCGACATTGTTGTAGATACAGTATCCATTACTTTCTGAATACGAAGCGTGGTGGCCTGGAGGCCTACAAAACAATTAGGCATAAAGGAATTTTGAGCACTTTCTAACAATATAATTTACAGCCACTCACCGTATTGCCGCAAAACCGTTATCTAACGTTCCCAGGTACACTGCATCGACCAGCTCGATGGCACTTCCCGCTGCGAGCAATGCGCATCGCTCGGAATGCTAAAAAACTAAGGAAAGTGAAAACACTGAAATTATCAAAATTAATATCCGTACTGCTCAATTTACACAAATAGTCAGCAAAAAACCTAATAAGAAGTCGGAAGCTAATAAAAATAAAATTCTCATTAATTTTATTTTTTTTGCATATAATGACTGCCGGTTTTTTTTAAATTCAAAATACTGGATAATAATTAATGTACAAGTACGAATTCGGCATTTAAATCCGAATTTAAAAAAAAGGGATTAACAAGCGGATAAAACGTCTGACAAGTGAGTACCTACTTCGTTGACATAAACGGCTTCAAAAGTATCCGAGAACACTCGGTAACCAGCAAAGTTTTCCCCCGACTGTCCTGTGCAGACCGTGTGAACATTGTCCAACAATTCGGAACTGTGCACCAGCTGAACTTCTTCTCGTGTTGCTCGCCGGCTCTACCGAAAAAAAATCAGGGACACGTCGTAACCAAAATTGTGCATGAACAATACAATAATTACTCAAATCAAGGAAACGGCAATCATAAATGCAAACCATTAATTTTCTAAGTAAACCATGCAAATTATGCAATACGAAAACAAAACAACTTACCAATTCTGAAAATCAACAAATTAAATTTTCAATTTTCGAGGACAAATATAATATATTTCAATTCATACCTCATATATAATATAAAATATATATATATAATATATTTCAATTCATAATATAATATATTTCAATTCATATATATATTTCAATTCATACCTCTGCGCAAATATTTCCGTCATTACAAAGAATAGTATTCCATATTTAAAAGAAGCTGCTGAGCATCCTCCTACCTGGACGGGGACGCAAAAATCGAGAGGCGATGCTACAACAACAACAAAATAATTACCACTATAACCAATACTGACAATTAAAATTCTCATAATAAAAAATTATTGAATATTGATACTCATCCCGACTTCCTTACAATGCTGCCACTATATCGTTTGTGTTTTAATGATTCAATGTAATAATTTATTTTATTCCAAGAGAGAAAAGAAGGTTCAAGAGAAAAGTTTGAATCGTTACAGCGCATAAATCGTTTTAACATTTAATTAGGTCTTATTACTCTTAGAATCTTATTTCTTACGAGTCAGATCCTGCAGACGCCGCTGAATACTGGCAATACGCTCAGGGCTCTCGATATGCTGGCCATCCCATTCATTTTTGTGCTGCAAGCACTCAGGCTCGTAGATATATCCACATTTCCTGCCAAAAAATAACAATGATCTTCC